CTTCACCTTCTTCATCCCAGGCCAATCCATCTCTCACCATGGGAACACCCTTCACCCCCTTCGTTCCTTCACCTTCTTCATCCCCAGCCAACCCATCTCTCTCCCGGGGAACACCCTTCACCCCCTTCATTCCTTCACCTTCTTCATCCCCAGCCAATCCATCTTTTTCCCTTGGAACACCCTTCACCCCCTTCATTCCTTCACCTTCTTCATCCCAGGCCAATCCATCTCTCTCCATGGGAACACCCTTCACCCCCTTCGCTCCTTCACCTTCTTCATCCTCAGCCAATCCATCTCTCTCCCGGGGCACACCCTTCACCCCCTTCATTCCTTCACCTTCTTCATCCCCAGCCAATCGATCTCTCTCCATGGGAACACCCTTCACCCCCTTCATTCCTTCACCTTCTTCATCCCCAGCCACTCCATCTCTCTCCCAGGGAACACCCTTCACCCCCTTCATTCCTTCACCTTGTTCATCCCCCGCCAATCCATCTCTCTCCATGGGAACACCCTTCAACCCCTTCATTCCTTCACCTTCTTCATCCCAGGCCAATCCATCTCTCACCATGGGAACACCCGTCATCCCCTTCATTCCTTCACCTTCTTCATCCCCAGCCAATCCATCTCTCTCCCGGAGAACAACCTTCACCCCCTTCATTCCGTCACCTTCTTCATCCCCAGCCAATCCATCTCTCTCCATGGGAACATTCTTCACTTCCTTGGTTCCTTCACCTTCTTCATCCTCAGCCAATCCATCTCTCTCCCGGGGCACACCCTTCACCCCCTTCATTCCTTCACCTTCTTCATCCTCAGCCAACCCATCTCTCTCCCGGGACACACCCTTCACCCCCTTCATTCCTTCACCTTCTTCATCCCCAGCCAATCCATCTCTCTCCATGGGAACACCCTTCACCCCCTTCATTCCTTCACCTTCTTCATCCCCAGCCACTCCATCTCTCCCCTAGGGAACACCCTTCACCCCCTTCATTCCTTCACCTTGTTCATCCCCAGCCAATCCATCTCTCTCCCGGGGAACACCCTTCACCTTCTTCATTCCATCACCTTCTTCATCCCCAGCCAATCCATCTCTCTCCATGGGAACACCCTTCACCCCCTTCATTCCTTCACCTTCTTCATCCCCAGCCAATCCATCTCTCTCCATGGGAACACCCTTCACCCCCTTCATTCCTTCACCTTCTTCATCCCCAGCCAATCCATCTCTCTCCATGGGAACACCCTTCACCCCCTTCATTCCTTCACCTTGTTCATCCCCCGCCAATCCATCTCTCTCCATGGGAACACCCTTCACCCCCTTCATTCCTTCACCTTCTTCATCCCCAGCCAATCCATCTCTCTCCCGGAGAACAACCTTCACCCCCTTCATTCCGTCACCTTCTTCATCCCCAGCCAATCCATCTCTCTCCATGGGAACATTCTTCACTTCCTTGGTTCCTTCACCTTCTTCATCCTCAGCCAATCCATCTCTCTCCCGGGGCACACCCTTCACCCCCTTCATTCCTTCACCTTCTTCATCCCCAGCCAATCCATCTCTCTCCCGGGACACACCCTTCACCCCCTTCATTCCTTCTTCATCCCCAGCCAATCCATCTCTCTCCATGGGAACACCCTTCACCCCCTTCATTCCTTCACCTTCTTCATCCCCAGCCACTCCATCTCTCTCCCAGGGAACACCCTTCACCCCCTTCATTCCTTCACCTTGTTCATTCCCAGCCAATCCATCTCTCTCCCGGGGAACACCCTTCACCTTCTTCATTCCATCACCTTCTTCATCCCCAGCCAATCCATCTCTCTCCCAGGGAACACCCTTCACCCCCTTCATTACTTCACCTTCTTCATCCTCAGCCAATCCATCTCTCTCCATGGGAACACCCTTCACCCCCTTCATTCCTTCACCCCCTTCATTCCTTCACCTTCTTCATCCCCCGCCAATCCATCTCTCTCCATGGGAACACCCTTCATCCCCTTCATTCCTTCACCCCCTTCATTCCTTCACCTTCTTCATCCTCAGCCAATCCATCTCTCTCCCGGGGCACACCCTTCACCCCCTTCATTCCTTCACCTTCTTCAGCCCCAGCCAATCCATCTCTCTCCCGGGACACACCCTTCACCCCCTTCATTCCTTCACCTTCTTCATCCCCAGCCAATCCATCTCTCTCCATGGGAATACCCTTCACCCCCTTCATTCCTTCACCTTCTTCATCCTCAGCCAATCCATCTCTCTCCCGGGGCACACCCTTCACCCCCTTCATTCCTTCACCTTCTTCATCCCCAGCCAATCCATCTCTCTCCCGGGACACACCCTTCACCCCCTTCATTCCTTCACCTTCTTCATCCCCAGCCAATCCATCTCTCTCCATGGGAACGCCCTTCAACCCCTTCATTCCTTCACCTTCTTCATCCCCAGCCAATCCATCTCTCTCCCGGGGAACACCCTTCACCCCCTTCATTCCTTCACCTTCTTCATCCCCAGCCACTCCATCTCTCTCCCAGGGAACACCCTTCACCCCCTTCATTCCTTCACCTTGTTCATCCCCAGCCAATCCATCTCTCTCCCGGGGAACACCCTTCACCTTCTTCATTCCATCACCTTCTTCATCCCCAGCCAATCCATCTCTCTCCCAGGGAACACCCTTCACCCCCTTCATTCCTTCACCTTCTTCATCCTCAGCCAATCCATCTCTCTCCATGGGAACACCCTTCACCCTCTTCATTCCTTCACCCCCTTCATTCCTTCACCTTCTTCATCCCCCGCCAATCCATCTCTCTCCATGGGAACACCCTTCACCCCCTTCATTCCTTCACTCTCTTCATCCCAGGCCAATCCATCTCTCTCCATGGGAACACCCTTCACCCCCTTCATTCCTTCACCTTCTTCATCCTCAGCCAATCCATCTCTCTCCCAGGGAACACCCTTCACCCCCTTCATTCCTTCACCTTCTTCATCCCGAGCCAATCCATCTCTCTCCATGGTAACACCCTTCACCCCCTTCATTCCTTCACCTTCTTCATCCCCAGCCACTCCATCTCTCTCCCAGGGAACACCCTTCACCCCCTTCATTCCTTCACCTTCTTCATCCCCCGCCAATCCATCTCTCTCCATGGGAACACCCTTCACCCCTTCATTCCTTCACCTTCTTCATCCCAGGCCAATCCATCTCTCTCCATGGGAACACCCTTCACCCCCTTCGTTCCTTCACCTTCTTCATCCCCAGCCAACCCATCTCTCTCCCAGGGAACACCCTTCACCCCCTTCATTCCTTCACCCCCTTCATCCCCAGCCAATCCAGCTCTCTCCATGGGCACACCCTTCACCCCCTTCGTTCCTTCACCTTTTTCATCCCCCCCCAATCCATCTCTCTCCCAGGGAACACCCTTCACCCCCTTCATTCCTTCACCCCCTTCATCCCCAGCCAATCCATCTCTCTCCATGGGAACACCCTTCACCCCCTTCATTCCTTCACCCCCTTCATTCCTTCACCTTCTTCATCCCCCCCCCAATCCATCTCTCTCCCAGGGAACACCCTTCACCCCCTTCATTCCTTCACCCCCTTCATCCCCAGCCAATCCATCTCTCTCCATGGGAACACCCTTCACCCCCTTCGCTCCTTCACCTTCTTCATCCCCCGCCAATCCATCTCTCCCCATGGGAACACCCTTCACCCCCTTCATTCCTTCACCTTCTTCATCCCAGGCCAATCCATCTCTCACCATGGGAACACCCTTCACCCCCTTCGTTCCTTTACCTTCTTCATCCCCAGCCAACCCATCTCTCTCCCGGGGAACACCCTTCACCCCCTTCATTCCTTCACCTTCTTCATCCCCAGCCAATCCATCTCTCTCCCGGGGAACACCCTTCACCCCCTTCATTCCTTCACCTTCTTCATCCCCAGCCAATCCATCTCTCTCCATGGGAACGCCCTTCACCCCCTTCATTCCTTCACCTTCTTCATCCCAAGCTTCAGAGATCGTGCACTCTTGATGCCAACAAAGGAAAATCTTTACAGACCTGTATTATATAAAGACATCTATAGAAGTGAGAGCTGACTGCACCGAAGTGAGAGCAGATGTCTGTGGACCACTTTGCCCACAAGCACCTGTTGTACTATGCGGCAGTGGGTAGAGTCTACTTCAAGCGCAGCTTATGGTATTTTGCAGCTAACCGTAACACTGACACTGTCACTGGTGGCACCAAGAGGAACCCAGAGTTGGAGTGACTAAAATTGCAGTGAGATTCTGTGAGGATGCATCTGCTCTGTTGGCATCATGCATGGCATCAGCACGATACTGAAAGGTGAAGGTAACAAGAACTGATTACAAGAAAGTACTGTACACAAGCTGCATAACAGGCAATCATTGCACACGGGAAGGAAGGAAGGTTACATCACTTCAGCCGCCTAGGGCTGATTGGATGAAATGGCAGCACACAAATAATCAAAACAATCCATCACGAAACATGCAACCAACAATGTCAAACTGCCACATGAAATGCTGCAGGGTCACAATCTCTGCACCAAACAGCCCAGGATATCACACCCAAACTGATTGCAAGGCAGGGCACTCCAACAAAAGGTGGCGCTCATCCCCAATAACCTGCTGGGCACAACGCATGCACAAACGCTGGGGCTGAGGAAGCACAAGCTACACAAGCTACATAACAGGCAATCATTTACAGCTGGATGCCATCCTTCAGGCTGCCTGCTGCTCGTCTGAGAGCGCTCCGCAGGATCCTTTTTTCCTGCTGGGCAACATTACGAGGTTGGGTTGTAAGTTCCAGATTGCTACGCCTGTTACCCAACTTGTTATTATTCTTGTGCTGCACCATGACATTACCCATTTCTCCAGGGTATAGAAAAGGTGCAGTGCACACCTGTTGAAGCTCCACTCCAAGACCATATCAATGATGGAGTCAACCAGCTTCTCCTTTGCCCACTTTAAGTTCCAGTGAATCCAGTCCTCGCTCCCTAAACCAGGGGGAGGGTTTAGAGGCTCCATCAAGACACTCAGGTCTGGGTACTTCTCCGCGATGGCGATCAGTTCCTCTGCGTACTCAAGATACTCTAGGCTCTTGTGGCACTTCCAGACACCAGTGTGCATCATTGCTCCCTTGATTTTCAGTTGTACAACTTGTCTTTTTGGTCACGATCAGTGTTATTGTCCTGGACTATTAGACCTTTGGATCATTGTCAGATCTGAGATAGCGTTTGGTCTGTCCCAGATTCTGTCCACAATGCAACTAAAATAAGCCGTGACTGCTGTGGGATGCCACAGAAGGATTGGGCACACAATAAAGATGACAGCAGTGACAGCTTGACGCACCGCATGGCAGGACTCCAAACGCAGAAAGTAACCTGGTAGTGCGCATGAACCAGGTAGAACTCCTTAAGGAAGTACTTCAAGGAAGCGTCCCGCCGCGGAACGCATCCGAAGCATGTCTTGAAATACAAGCATGAATGAAGAACTCATCAAGAAATATGGCCAGGAATGATGCCGCCGCGGAGCGTCTCCGAAGCATGTCTTCAAAAATAAGCATAAATGAAGGACTCATCAAGAAATGGGGTCAGGAAGGATGCCGCCGCGAAGTCTTTCCGGCACCTGTCTTGAAATCCAAGCATAAATTAAGAACTCTTCAAGAACTAGGGTCAGGAACGATGCCGCCGCGGAGCGTTTCCTTAAATTGACAGGAAGTATATAGGAAAGCCTTAAGAAATCGTTCCTAAACTATTCCTGACGTCACGGATATTTATGACGTGTATAGGAAGAGCTTAGGATGAGTTCCTAAACATGTCAACACTCAGGAACTCTTTAAGATGTTTCCTGAAGGATTCAACAGCTCTTAAGGAACTCATCAGGAACATCCAGGAACCCTACAAGAACAGTTTGGGAAACAGGTCGTCGTCATAGTGTGGGCATCCCGTCAAGCAATCATGGTACACAAGAGGGTGCTAGCATGGCAAGGCGTCTGTTCAAGATGTGCACAGGACAGAGCCGCATGACAGATCACTACCTCAAAGAGAGTGAGCTGCAGCACATTATGTTGTCTGAGATAGTGAAAATGAGGCACATTATCATTCATTGAAACAACATGACTGCTGTGGGCCTCGGCCTGGCAATGGATTCAGGCTTGGAATCTGTTTGGTAAGCTGCTACACAGAGGCATGCATTCATGGAGTCTCCGATGTTGCACCCAGCTAGCTCTTTGCCTTCTTCAGCTGCGTTCCTGCCACCGCTGCCGCTCCCTTTGAGCCTGCGCTTGCTAGGAGGAGGCCTGCATCAGGCAAAGAACCTTTTTCTATAATAACCCAAAGCACGGGATGACTGTGTTGCAATAGATGTCTGCATCATGGATCTGCTATATCGTAGGAGACAATTGGAATGACACACCTGGCGGGAAGCGCAAGCAGGCCACCACTCCTCACGCCACCTTAGACTGGCTGACACCCTCACTGCTGTTGTGGGACAAGTTCCTGCATCAAACCAAAGCATTGGGTTTCTAACATTACCACAAAGCATGACCATGTACTTTACAAATCGATGTACAGTGACCGGAGATGCACAGTGACTGGAATCCTCTCAACAGAATCAGAAGAAAATTTGGGCGATGATACACACCTTGCGGGAGGCACGGGCGGCCGGTGGCTCCCGCTGCGCAAGTTGGCTGGCGCTGAAACACCCTGCTCTTGCTCCATGGCAGAAACAGCCGCCTGTGGCGCCGGCGGAGGCGGGCTGCTCACAGAAGCGCCGCGCCCGGCCCGCCGCGCCAGTGGGGTGCCACTACAGGCACACAGCAACATGCCTAAACCTCCAGGGACACCAGACTTGAGATGACCATGTACTTTACAAATCGATGCACAGAGATGCACAGTGACTGGAATTATCTCAACAGAATCAGGAGGAATTTTGGCATGATGCACACCTTGCATGAGCCACGGGCGGCCGGTGGCTCCCGCTGCGCAACTTGAGAGTTGCATGCAGCTTGGGCGATCTTGAATCTTTGGATGTGACTACCGGAAAATGGACACTGTAGGAAGTCAATGAGGGTAGAGATGAGCAAATCACAGTCAATAAGTCAGCATCCATGACTTCGATTCGGGCATTTCTCCCAAGAGAAGTCCTGATGACACCAGACATGCTATCAAGTCCTCGGACACATGCGAAGTCGAACCCCAGAACCCTAGGAGTGGCTGAGGCGAAGAAGATGAAGGAATAAAGCGGGTGAAACGGGCGATGCCGGAGTCAGGCAGGTGAAGAAGATGAAGTAATGAAGCGGGGAAACGGGTGATGCGGAGTTAGGGAGGTGAAGAAGATGAAGGAATGAAGCGGGTGAAACGGGTGATGCCGGAGTCAGGGAGGTGAAGAAGATGAAGGAATGAAGCGGGTGAAACGGGTGATGCCGGAGTCAGGCAGGTGAAGAAGATGAAGGAATGAAACGGGTGAAACGGGTGATGCCGGAGTCAGGCCTGTGAAGAAGATGAAGGAATGAAGCGGGTGAAACGGGTGATGCCACAGTCAGGGAGGTGAAGAAGACGAAGGAATGAAGCGGGTGAAACGGGCGATGCCGGAGTTAGGGAGGTGAAGAAGATGAAGGAATGAAGCGGGTGAAAACGGGTGATGCCGGAGTTAGGGAGGTGAAGAAGATGAAGGAATGAAGCGGGTGAAACGGGTGATGCCGGAGTCAGGCAGGTGAAGAAGATGAAGGAATGAAGCGGGTGAAAACGGGTGATGCCGGAGTCAGGGAGGTGAAGAAGATGAAGGAATGAAGCGGGTGAAAGGGGTGATGCCGGAGTATGGGAGGTGAAGATGAAGGAATGAAGCGGGTGAAAACGGGTGATGCCGGAGTTAGGGAGGTGAAGAAGATGAAGGAATGAAGCGGGTGAAACGGGTGATGCCGGATGCCGGAGTCAGGCAGGTGAAGAAGATGAAGGAATGAAGCGGTTGGAACGGGTGATGCCGGAGTTAGGGAGGTGAAAAGGGGGAAATGCGAGATAAAATGCGAGGGGTTTCGGTTCACGCTCACCTAGAACTGGTGGGGTGAAGTGGGGTGAACGGTCAAATATGTGAAATGAGAACAAAAAACGTGAACGAAAGGTGAACCCATAGAAAAAGCTTCATACCGGACGGGTAAAGGGTGCGAAGGAATGAAATGAAGCCATGTCTTTCCTATTTATGCGCATGACCACCGGTCACTGGCCCATGGAGGCACCAGGTTTTCTGGTTAGTGAGTTATGTGGCGGTTGCCTTGGCAAGTGCAAGCCTGCAATTTGTTGCCTCCCTAGCTAGCAGAATCGCATTTAATGTTGTCTGCCTTCTAGGCAAGTAGCATGTGATTTACCTGTTTCTTTTCTGTGACCTCCGACAGTCTATGCCAGATGATAGCATACATCTTCAGCCTCAGGCTGATATGAGATACCATATCAAGGAACGATACTATTAGCGCGTAAGGTGATAGCATTATGGAGTCCGCCATAGAGGCAGTGGTGTTGCTACCAGAACTTCTTGAAGGTATGGATCCAGTCGTGCAAATTCAAATCACTTAATTGAATTGAATTGAAGTGGAGTCCAGGTACTAGGCTCAACAGATGGCATGCCATGAATAGCCTAAAATCCCCGCCTAGTGTGCACGTGAAGGTGAGTAATGATACCGGTACTGCCGGTGGATATTACATATAGATTCCCAGGAAGTACTGTAAGCAGGGTCGTCTAAGATTTTGACAATTTTGAAAGGGCCAGCGAGGCAAACAGTAACGTTACAAGCTCAAGAGTTCCGTCCTTGATAGGCGTAGGATCGCAGTACATCGCGGCAGTGTAATACCACAGAAAAGAAATGAAGGGAAGGTGCTTTGCCATCATTAAAGAGTCCACAGAAGTGTATTGCCCCGGAACAAAGTTGCCTGCAGCAAATCTCTTGCGCTGACATTCCAGCACTACGTGGGGCTGTTACTTTATTACATCCAAGGCACCTTCTTCTTCTTAAATTGCTCTTGTGTAATAATGTCTGGGCGGTGGGTTACAAAGAGTATCGAAAAAGTCGCTCATCATATCGAAACAGAAATCCCACGATAGCGTGTGCCAAAAGCAACATATGATGTGACACAGTATGGCACACAGGCATATCTTGCTTTGGTGGTGCTGCACTTTTCTCTGTTGCTCAGCCTTTGACGCTTCACGGGACGTTCGGGGGCAAGGATATTGTGGCACATGGCAAGAAGACTATGGACGACTGCACAGAGCTATACTCGAGGGAACAAGACCTCCTCGATACGCGATTTCAATTGCTGCACCTTCTGGACTAGCCGGTGCGCGAATGTCTACTTACACCAATCACAAGAGTAATTGTCTGCAGAAGTATGCGATCCTTCCAAATGGTACTTGCAGAGCAATGTGTAAGGATGATTCCCTTCAAATTCGACAGACCGCGTTGTGGGCGTAATCTCAACATTCTATTTCGCTCTACTGACGGGGCGAGCCTTCACACTTACAACAGCATATGAGGGAATGCAGCCATTTGAAACCGCGTATTTCGCTCCCAACATTAACTGGACGACGAAACACGAGTATGTCGATCTCATTCCCAAAGGTGGCTCTTCATACGAAGGCGGCCCACCAGCTCGTGCAACCCCACAATTCCAGCTTTACAATGCAATAAATCCAGAATTTAGGAGTGACATAGACGGAATGGGTGTGATTGACATGTTTGCGCATATGAATCTCTCTGAACAAGCATATGAGAAGGAGATAGTGTTCATGACTCTCAATAGGGGCACATCTGTGCGCCTATTCGACAATCCTCATCACGCTGATCAATTGCGTAACATGGGGCTTACACCTGAGACCGCATTTGGTTGTGCAATGAATTACTTGTTTGAACCTATACCAGAGGTCATGGAGAGCATCGAGCCGGAAATTGCTCTGTTGAGAGCAAGTGGGACACTTTCAATTGGCTTGCACATCCGTATGGGTGATCATGTTTTGCATGGGGATGATAGCAATGACCCGGACATTGGAAGATACAAGAACTTCTTCAACTGTGCGAAACAAATTGAGAATGCTTTGCTCGAGAAAGAGGAAGCTAGTGCGAAGGTGGTTTGGCTGCTTATTTCTGATAGCCACGCCCTTAGACAACATGCCAGCGAGACTTACGGTGCAAAATTGATCACGAGACTGAACAGGAAGCTAGAGCACTCTTTTGGGCACCAATACACCAACACAAAGGCACACGCGTCAATTGAAGGATTTCTTGAAGCTGTTGGGGAGCATTGGTTGTTTGGGCTCACAGATAAGCAAGTTGTTGACAAGGACAGTGGGTATGGTCAATCAGCAGCTTACCGGAGTTTTCGCAAAGGGAGCATATTTTTTGTTACCTCGGGCGTTCAAGCTAGTTGCAAAATCGAAGATGCAGTCACTATCAAAACTGTGGGCTACACTAGAGCAGGAGTCAAATTGAGACATTCCAAGCATAGGTAATACATCATGTCATGATGCCTGCAGAACTTGTTCAAATATTGTACCAAATATATCTGAACAATCAAGAACTTTCTAAAATAAAGTAAATACAGACGCCCTGTTGAGGCCTGGGCCATGACTGATGTTTGAGAGACATGTCGGCCAAGCCGAAGGAATATTGACCTTGCCACAATTCAATGGATAAGTCCTGAGGACATGCCCTCCAATAGTTGGTGTTATAACCACTGCCAGCGGCGTCCCAAATATGACCTGCCACGTGCATTTGTCCGGGGCTGAACAGACGTTCTATGGTCCGACCGAGTCATTATGACCGCCGGTCATGTCGGCGACATCATGTATAATGCATCATGTGAAGCTGATCAGAGCCCTGCAGCTCCACATGCCATGCCACACACCGCGGCGTCACGGTCCGCCGCGGCGACGTCCGGCATTCATTCGTCTCATTCAATTCGGTTCCGAACCAAACAAAGCCATGACTCATGACTGACTCGGAGTCATAGCTTCAAGCGAAGTCACCTACCACCCCAAGATCAGGCAAATGTTACTTAGCATGGGCGTGCATGTACGGCTTTCGAAGTCAAGCAGTCCAACTGCAGTATTTTGTGGCGTACACAGGTGCCGTACCTGCCGCGGCGCCCACCATGACCATGCAAGATGATCCTTCTGCTCATTGAGGCATGTGGCCATGGCTTCATCAGGAATGACACGATAGTCCATTTCAGATTGATCCGATGATTAGTGGTTCCATGGATGCACACACTGTGGCTTTTGGCAAAAGCCATCATGGTTAGCCGTTTGTCGCTATGAGAAGTACTTGTGTGCACACGCGTGCACGCGCGTACACGTGTCCTCAGGCTCCCGACTCCTCCCCCCCCCCCCCCCCTCGGACTCCGAGGAGGCTGCATCCGGGAATCTCCCTTACTGAGTACCACTAGTAGTGGTACTCAAGCAGACAACTTGTCTGCTGGTGTTAGAATTGACTACCACTTTCTTGCCAATATTTAAGGTACTTAGGGTTCAGTACCGTACTCTATTCAAGGTGTGACAATGTCAGTAAATTTTACAATTAATCATCTTGACGATCCTAGAAGTTTGTAATTCTGAGTTCAAGTTTGTAAAGTGCATGCCATGCACAATTTGGCTGTGACCGTGCCATGATGGTGACCACTGGATGGCCTACTAGGGTGAATAGCATATTCCTTTTGTAACTTATTTGAACTCCTTCAAAAACCTTCAAGTTGATCGAGTCTAGAATGTGTCAAAGTTGCTCATCTGTTTATGCTTGTACATGTTTATACACTTAATCATTTGCATGATGCCACCGTGGCTAAATGTGATTAAATGCCAGCAGTGCTAGCACAGCGCTGTGGCCATCGAGCGGCTCCGAGACATTGATATTCTATGATAGTACTACTATTAGAGAATAGTATTATCGTTCATAGATGGGTCACCCATCGGTGCCACCAGTGATTAGTTTGATACTTTCAAAGTTTAAGTTAAACCTCCTAGACGCCTCAGAACCTTAAAGTGCTGCAATCGCATTGCAATAGCATTGACTGATGCCGAGTCTTCGAGCCAGCTGGGAAGAGGCTCAGAAGGCCGCATATCGCTGTAAATGATAATACCAGCTTGATTGTATAATGCAGCTGTGTACGAAAATGAACTGCGGCTCATGATCAGCACGTCAGCCTCTGTCATGGCCTTCCAAGAGGCCATCATTTCCACGTCAAGATGCAGCGTTGCTTCGTATTTTTCAACAAGTTGAGTAAACTCTGAGGTATTTCCTTGAGAGTAAACATGAATTTCTGCAGACATGTCAACCAGTTTTGCAGCTTCTGACACCTTTTGCACAATCTTCAGATAGTGAGACATGTCCAACCATTTAAAGTTGTTGTCCCTCTGAACATCTCCTCGTCTGACATGCACATGTACACTTAGCTTCCGGGGATTGCCGCTGTCAAGGTGGAAATGTTGAATGCGCTGCTGTGGACATTCCTTGTTACTCTGTTGCTTCAAACACAGTTCTCCTTTGAACAACTCAAGCAAACCAATGTTGGCATTCACAAAACCTGCGCAACCTTCTAGGATCTTGATTTGATCTGCCAGTACATCCTCTGGCCGTAGCTCACCTTCCCCAAGGTTGACAAAATCTTCCAGGTCTTGGAAAACTCGCCAGGATGCGGACCTTAAGTGGTCCAAATTTTTCATTGGCGTATGTATATATGAAAGTCCTGGAGTTACCCTACTCTTGACAAGGCATGTAATTCTTTCTTGCAATTGTGCCCCAAAGCCATCGGTTCTCACGACGGTCACAAAAGGTTTCCCTGTGTCATGAGCGTGTACCAAAGCTATAGCCACCAACTGCAGTAGCACCGCGCTGAAGCTTATCATTCCTGTCGATACTGCACAAGCAGCCACATATTCCGTGCTATCATCAGAGCAACACCTGCGTAGTCAAGCGTTCGTACTCACGCGATAGCCACGTTCATAATTGAATTCTGTGGAATGACCGTGCAATATAAAGTAGCCTAACAGGAACATATGGAACCACAGCATCTGTGTGCAGGCCCATACCGACTACTGCCAACTCAACCAGGTGTTCACTACCGAACGATATGTGTTTCATAACAGCGGGAAAAGTAATAACTACGGCACAGACGTAATAAACATTTTGGAGGTGTGGATATTCCTTTTCTTCATATATTTCCCCTTCTCAGGGGAAAGGCAGCAACCTCCGCGTTGAATGCTTCCCACCTTTCCTCAGTATTTTTAAATTTACACACATAATCTTGAGATTGTGTCTGAAATCTCCGAAATTTCCGTGACTTGTGTCAACACACGTCAACGGGTAACATAGGGAGCCTCAAATATGAGACTCGCGACTGCAGATGGCCGTCCTTCCGCAAATCAGGTAGGATTGGTATCTAAATTTCAGAAAAGAGCTTCGTTGCGACTGCTTTGAGGGCTTCCCAGTGCCATTATTATCCACCTTGATTTAAGAACTGATTACTGAAGGCCATAGAATTCCAAGAACCCACTGGCCATCTGTAGGGAAATATCCTCATGTTTATCATTTCGACACCTCTCCCAGGCATCCAGGTCCTAAGTATCCAGATCCCCTGAAATACAAATTACTAGATGACGGGCCCAACTTGGCAAATCGGGGTTCGCGGTGCGATGGTTTCAAACCAATCACTCAAGAGTCATCATGATGAGCACTGACTAGTCGAGCGCTCACTACAAATGCACGTGAATATCAGGTCCAGACTTCTGACCTTTGAAAGGGCCATTTAATATATCGTTGTGGTGCACTGTAAACTGATCACACATGCGACGCACCTGATCCTCATGGATTGGAAAGGCGTGTAATAATAACTATTATTATTATTACTGGCTTTGGCTGGCGGGGGGCAGTACAAATACTGAGCACCGTGCCCACGGTTGATTGGGTCTTGCTTGGATCTGGCGAGTCCAACAAGGGCTAGGAATTTGCAAGCCTTTACATGCAGCTTGTCTGCAGACGCACCTTGCCTTTGGCAGGAAAAGCGTGTAATGATAATAATAATAGTAAATATTTACTAGGTCCCTATGGATAGTAGGTCCAGACGCAGGGAAACGAGCATTCCAAAACGAGCAGTTCCATTAACATAAAAGAAAAACAAGGAAGGCCAGGGTTTGACAGCCCCCTAGGGTCCCCCAAGGGATTGGCCAACCTGCTCCAGGGCTAGGGGCAAGGTTTCAGGGCAACGCCGGGATAAGTTCAGATTTGGCAAAATGGCATCAGGGCAACGCCCCAAGACCACGTGCACGTGGCTATGACGTCACTCAATCGACTTTGGAGGTCCCCTGACTTGTCAGGCAATATGACCCACTTGGAGGGATTCAAGAGAAAACCTGCTTCTCCGTGTTGATAAAAAATTAGGAACCTCAGGGATGCCCCATATTTTCAGCTACTTACGGCGGCAGGCGGGGGCACAGTCCCCGCCCGCCCCCGGGGCCTGCCCTGCTTAGGGGCGGGCCTGACATTTTCTAGGACCCCTGTCAAACCCTGAGGAAGGCAATTTTGCACACTGACGGTTTCGTATTGTTTCCAATAACTTATTCCCAATACCTTGAAGGTAGATCCCGGTGGGCCACTGCCAGTGGGCAGGCAAAACCGTCTCTTCTTCATATTGGATCATGCATTTCTGGCCACGGGCCCCGGACATCGGATGTCTGTCAGTGACACCATCATGGGATCACATGCAATATTAGGTTGATATCACACAATTCAATCTGCCATGGTGCCACCGTGGCGCACTGTGACAGTGTATGGTACTTCTTTCACCAATGCAACTATAAATTAATGGAGTCCGACTCCTCCCTTACATAATCTTACCGGGTTTACAAAGGCCTGCCTCTGACCTGCCGGTGATCACATGAGGGCCTAAGTCCCACTCAAAAATGTTCACATACATGCAACCATGATGGCGCGCTGATGCACTGCGCACCCTGAGGACCCTCGAGTGGATAGCGGCCGGCGGCGTAGCGGCCGGCGCTGACATCACGCCGGCGCTGCAAGCATGATGGCGCTGCAGCAGTCAGATGCGCTGCTGCCGATCTTGACGCCCGGCGGCGGCCTGGCTGGGAAACCCGGGAACAAGGCGGCCGCTGTGCGCGTGCTCGGCGTGCTCGCCGCCATCTGGTCGAAATCTGCAGAGACAGGAGGTGGGCATCTACACCTCTGACACATATTTCTGCTGTGTCCGATGCTGTGCTGTGGTCAAAAGGTGCATCGCGCAAGGAGACGGAAAGCTGTCCTGCAGATGTACCCACGAAGAAGCTGGCCGCCTTCAAGTTGTGCTTCATAGGGCAGGCAGACAGATCCCCGGAAGCCATCAGCAACACCCCCAGCCACATGCAACAGCTTCTCGTTGCTCCTGGGAACTCGTTGGAGGCCGTGCGGCTCGTGGGGACTCTGGTGCACTCTGAAGCTGAGGATGACAAATTTCTCACTGCGCATGACTCTTTTGCTTACATGTTCACTCCGAGGGAGTTGCAGCGACCACATAAGGTGGATAGCGCAGCATGCATTCATGTACAGCATGCTGTACAATTATCCTCATTTCGAGAAGCCGTATGAGCTCAACCAGAGCCGGTTCAACAGCAATCCTATCAACCCGATGTTGTACCAGATGCATGCCCAGCAGCGGTACTACGAAATGGTGCTGGAGTAGTCGAGGCAGCATGGCATCGAGTACTCAGTGATTGTAAGGGTCAGAGTAGACCACATATTCAAGAGCCTGACGGGCAACATCCGGATTTTGCCCTGTGGAACCCACGCTCCATGGCAGCGATTGTCCTCCCGCAGCCGGAGTGGGACTTTTTGGATACGATGCCGGCGTTCGGGGTTTACCAAGATGGTGGGTATTCAGATAGAAGAGGGTGGGGGCCTCCGGAGTACATGCAGTTTACATGAGGCGGTGAAGCCATATTGGATCAAAAAGATCCACGTGGAGAGTGGGGCCCCTTTTCATGGGGAGTGGAGCTTGCGTATGCACTCACCACATGTGGTATATACATGTGGCGTCCTGTTCAAGCGGGTTGAAGATGACCAGGTGCAGTATTTGGAGATTCCGCACAACAAAATGGGTTGCGCTCATCAAGAAGCTCACCGATCATATGACTGAAAATTCCATTTGAGACTCCATTGAAAGCTTTTGGCACCGATCGGTGCACATCTGATGGTGACTGTGATGGCCCCAGGTCGACTTAATTTGGAGTTTGGAAATGCACGCTGTGGCAGGAATCACAGGTCGGGCTCACGGCACAGAGCCACGTGACATTCTGCAAGTTCTGGTGGTTGCAATTTCTTTTCTATTTGTTCACCTAGCATCATGTTCCCTGCCTGACACCTCCAGATATCAGAGCAACTTGAAATTGAAGCATCTGGGAGCACCTCATGGGGACAAGTCATAGGCTGGTGTGATGCCCACTGGGCTTGTGTGCAGTATCAGACAGGCCCTCAATTGGTGTCTACTAGCAGTGCTTCATTTCGTGAGAAAAGTTTGTCATGTCCTATTGGATCTGCCCTGCCTGCTACAGCAGCACTCATGCTCTGCAGGTCATAGCCAATTGAGGGTTCACTGTCATGCCATGAGCATCAGCACCGTTCAATAGCCATTAAGAGCTATACAAGTTTGAGGGAGCAAAATTTCACGATCTTCGCCATGTGCTCATGCTGTAGTGTGAAGGAGCCTCTGCCTTGCAGGATCTCGCAACCTTCTCTTACTTTGCTCCTTTCTTCTTCTACGCACACATATCCCAAAGTTTTTTGAGTCTCTGGCTGTACTAAGGCAGAATTTGTCTGTATCACGTCTTGTTGGTCATTCGCAAACGGCTTTGGCAAAGCGGAGGTGCCCTCAGGATCCTTCATTTGGTGTGACTTACCCACATAAATTGAGGAGTCTCGGCCTCCCTTTGCACAGGCATCGTACTGCAATACGGAATGTACTCCAGACCATTATATGCAGCATCATTCAGAGACTTACGAATGTGATACTCCCAGGCATCGCTGGGGATCTTGGCGTTCACCTGCACCAAAGGGTCCCAGGAGCTTGGTTCACAGTGAGTTACGGAATCAGAAGCTGAAATGGGGACGGTCAAGTCTTCAGTAGCGTTGATCTGCACGTATCTGCACAAACAGTTGTTCCTATTACAGCTGTAACGCTCACTCTTAGGAGGTCTCTACATGATACGCACCGCACTGGTCCAAATCTCGGGCTCTTCCACGTTGTCCACCATCGTAGCAGCTCTCTGCTTTTCCTGCTTAATCGAGGTCGAGTCGAGAGGTCGAACCTAGCGGACACCGATTCGAAGCGGGGCAGGCCACAATCACAAAGGCCTGAGCGTTATGGTGAATACATTCAGAATCAGTTGCAATCTCCCCTTTAAGCGAGTGCGAGCTTTGCATTACGTTTATTGCTAGGTGCAGGTCATATGGCTTTATCAATATATATGCTTGACCAATCGAGCTCATGTGAGGCTCATGCAATCACGGACAATTTTTTCCTAGCTCTATAGAAGCAAAGGGAAAAATGGGAGATTTAAGGAGTGCCAGGTACATGGCAAGGTACTTTCTGAGTAAACTATGAAGGCTTACCCACCGCATATTATGTGCCACTTTGGACAGGAGGGAACAATAACAGTCTAATACTGCGCATCGCCAACGCATGACGGCCTTCAACGTCTCCAACACCCTGGATCCTTGCCTCTCCCTAGCTAGCTGCTCTGTGCCCACATGCCTGGCATCCCAAGTCTGCCACATAACAGCTGCTTAAAGCATGCACTCACCACCATGCACAAACAACTGCAACAGCAACTGCCGCACTGCCTGTGCGGCTCGTGTTCCCATATATATGTATTCACAGCAATGTTCCAACGTTTCCCCAAGGTCCTGATCTGCAGACACACAGCACATGCACAGCCGGCAGTTGCGAGCGTGCAAACACAGACAGGCCCTCTGGTGCAGCAAGATCCTCCAGTGAGATGCCTCCCCGTAAACTAGTCCTGCTCCCCTCCCTGAGCGGATGCTCGCTGCAAGCATAGCAGTCGGCTGCTGCATGCAAAATCTGCATCACATCACAACGAACCTCGCCAACCCTGACAGTGCATGTCCAGCCCCCCTCCTCGCCCAAATTTTCACACCTCAATGCATAGCTGACCTGAGCCACACCCCACACCAGCAGCAGTCTGCTTCTCCAGCAATGACCTCGCACATGCTTCCTAAACCATGCTTCAAGCCATGCAGATCCCCGAACGGCCTGCAGCACAAGGCGCAGTGCACTCTCTTGCCGAGCGCACAAATCTTACCAGCACCAGCGATGCATGAGTGGGCTGCAGCGCATGGAGCGCTGACAAGGGGCTGCAGGGCGGCATGTGTGCGCATGTTGCGGCAGCATGCCGTCAGCTGCCGCCGTCCCCCGGCATCTCCTTGGCGAGCCACTCCTGCACCACTGCCTGGCTTTCAAAGCCTCTCCCAGGCATCAGCACTGCTCACTTGAGCCATAGAGAGCCATCAAGGCATGACTTTGCCTTCTGCCATGGACTGCCGATCTGAACTTCACCACATAATAAACCGAACTGTGCCACAGCGTCACCTTACCACAAATAGTCTCAACAAAAATTTAAGCATAGCACTGCATCCCGTGCGCATGGCTGCGCGTCAGCAGCTGGCTGAGTGACAAAGCGCACGGAGTGCGACTAACCCATGAGTCACCTTAAGCGCAGCTGCGCAGATGTCGCGGTCGGTGGAGGACAGCTCGAATTCGTTGGTGATCTCATCTGCAATCTCCTCCGGCGTGTCCTTGTCAGCATCGTACGCAAAGTCTATCGTGCGCCTATGCCTGCAGCATGCGCAGCCCAGCTCGGGAAACATCTAGAGGTGTTCAAGGACATCTTCCTATGCCTGATTGTGACACATGATGACATCTACTTTATTAAGCCCCTAAATAGCCCCTACGAAGACGTCTCCTAGACCGATCGCTCCTCCATGGTCTTGCTCTGAAGCCCATCCCGCCCTTTATTCGCGTCTTGGCACCCAAGTGAAGACGATGCAGTCATACCATGACCGCTCAGGCACGCATGGCATGTGAAGCCCGCGATACATGACAAAGGCTGCCACTGCCAAGAAGTGCACCCTCTGGCAGACAGTAAAATGCCTAAGTGCGATGGGGCAGATGCAGATGTGCAGATGATACCTGTGGTGAGGGGCTTCCTCGGAGTGCGGCTCCTCTTCCTCCCCCTGCGAATCATCGCCCACATACTCCATGTTGAGGCGGAAATGCAGCCGCCCCTCCTTCACGCGCCCCGAGAACTGGAAGTCATAGTCCTCCCCCCGCACTGTGCCCACCTGCACAAGAGCTCATACAGATCAGAGGCTGCCGTGGAGGCTGGAAGGGAATGGAAATTACCCCAGGTGCAACCTGCGCAGGTGGGCCCTGGCATCCGGGAAAGGACCTGCCTATTGCCCACGAACAAGAATATCTGCCTGTCTAATTCTCCCAGCTGCGTTGTACACAATCCCCTGGGGCTTGCCAATAATGCAGACCAAGGACTCCAGATCTCCAAGGAACTTGCAGAGCAGCGTGACAGAGCCAGCAGGCATGCAGCGTAGCGGACGATTCTCTCTGGGGTTTGGAGAGCAGACAGGGATAGGGCCATGAGCGAGCGGAAGTGACATGGCAGGCAATCATTCCATAAATCAGAGGCAACGCAGTGCCCCACCTCGCAGGCCTCCTCGCCCTCGGAGCTGGCCCCCCCGTCCTGCTGCTGGTGATTGGCCCCCCGGTGGTGCCTCCCCACCCCCTCCGGCTCCAGCTGCGGCAGCCCGCTCGGCCGCCGCGCCTGCTCCGGCGGCGGCAGCTTGGGCTTTGCAAAGAAGGGGTCCTCCAGCAGCTCCATCGCCGTTGGACGGGCGCCGGCCGGGTCCAGGCACCTGATTAGCAATGGAGCGCCTGATCATGACACCTTCCACCACCTCGGTCTGCAAAGGAGCAGTTTACAGTGCAACCAAGCAAACACGGGAGGGCCAATCCCGGTCCACAAAGAGCAAACCTCCAGGCGAGGGTAATTACCACTGGGCACTCTGCAGCTTCTGACATGTGAGACCCAGACACCCTCCAGGCCCGTCATGGAAGTGGCAAACAGTGTCGTAGGGGCCGCACCTGTGGATGAAGCCGCGCGCTTCAAGGTCCTGCACGTTCTCGAGGAGGCCGGGCCAGGAGTGGGCGTTGTCGCGGTCCAGGCGCTGCTTGGTGGTCAGCTCCAGCACGCACAGCCCGAATGCAAAGATGTCGATGCTGCGCGTGTACTGGTTGTCCAGGTTATCCTCCGGCAGCACAGCTGCGTAGCAGCATCATTAGATATCAGTCACCGCTTGCACATGCTGATTTTCAGAATCTGGTCGGGAAGCTGTCGGAGAGCAGCTATGCATGAGCGCCGCTTCAAAAAGAGGCCATCAAACTGCCTAGATGTAAGGTGGGATCCGGCATGTGAGCTATTTCGGCATTGGTGCTTTCTGCCATCAATTGAAAGCTGCCACAAAATAGGTACATTTGATTATGAGGGTCGCTGCATGCGTTTCACCATCAGCAGGTTCTTCACATGTTGCAAGTGATGAGGCTCACCAGGAGAGAAACGCTTGGGCAGCAGCGTTGCCAGGCCCAGATCCCCGATTTTGATCTCCCCGCTGTGTCCGTTGATGTAGATCTTATCGCAGCGCAAATCCCCGTGGATGACAGGCGGCTGTTTCAGGTGCAGGTAGTCCAAGCCACTCAGGATCTGGCGGGCCCACTTTCGCACTGCCTTTATTTCCAGGTGTTTATGCCGCCACCGGTAGTCCCTGAGGTTGCCCGACGTAAAGTACTCCGTGATGAGATTGATGCAGTGGTGCTCAAGGTCGTGCCAGCACCTGAAGCACTTTATGATGTTTGGGTGCTCCAGCTGCAGGCCCTTGCTCATCTCTGCCACGATCTTCTCCATCGTCTCCTCATCCAGCTCCATGTTATTGACGTTGGAGTCAATCTTGCTCCAGGCCACGTCTATGCCATGCTTCTCATCAAAGCCCTTGTAGACTGTCTTGAAGCGCCCTGAGCCCACTTTCTGTGCATACCGCGAAAAACGCCCCGAGGGATCCTGCTCCAGAGCCAGATCATCGTCCTCTTCTTCCCTACTGGTGGAAGCCTCCCCAGGTCCCCTGTTCCTGAAGCTGCCGTCGTCTGCCATCCCTCCTTTGACACTGCAAATATCAATCAGGCCGCCCCAGCGCCTCGGGAAAATTCATGGAACGTTCCAGGCAAGAATGCTGGGCCTCCCTAGAGTAATCTGCACGCCCAAACTTGGCGGCATGTCTCGGATCAAGGTGAATCTATCACTGCAAGATCGCTGCGCCTGGCACGATACAGCCTATTCTGGCCGGGTTCTTAGCCAACGCCTTTGGAGACAGAGATCCAGATGTGTTTCCCTATTATCACCTGCAGCGTCTTGCTTCATTTCTGGAGAAAGGCTATTGCTTGCCCTTCCCTGAAAATTATGCTGTTGAGAGCTCGCGCCACTTCTTTTCTAGCAGGTGTAGCTCTTGCGGGTGCCGTTGCCTACTTCCAGCTTCGCCAGGACCTCCTGCAGAGCCAGCAGGTCCTGATTGATCAGGTGAGGCTCTTGATAGAATTCTCGCCAGCTGGCGCGGCGTTGGGTGTCAGGCTGGGATTCAGCTTGGCCATCGGAGTTGCGCACGCTTTCTCAGCCGTGCATGAGAGCCCGGGAGCTGGCTCGGCTACGGTTTGTGCCGCCTTTTTGGCGGGCTCCTGCCACCGCAGGGGCGTCATGCAGCGTTTTCCGTTGGCCTTGCTGTTGTAAAGGGGCTGCGCTGCATTGGCTTAACCATTTTACTTCAGAACTGAATGGATGTTCTCGAAGGAGTGTAGACCAAGGGTGGCCGTTGCTTAATTGGAGAACATATTAACTACTGTTGTGAAATCTGTTGTGACTCATTGAAGCCGTAATCGACTTCAGTTCCTGTTTGATCCATCGTAGGTGTCAAAGTTGGACTGTGAGGACCTGCAAAAGCGCGTGACGCAGCTCGAGTCTACAGTTGCAAACTTGAAAAACCAGCAGTGATTCAGAAAGTTTGAAGGTGATCGGCTGCTTTCCTTGGCGCCCCCATTTTTCTTTTTGCACAATTCTCTGCACTGTTTCTAGAGAACATATTTTCATCTCGGAGATGCCACGGCATTGCTCTTCCAGCACACTCGATCCCAAGCTCAGTGAACGGTTCTGCTCAAAATGTGAAACTGGAACGATCAGAGTTGATCAAGGGTACCAGTGTCTTGTGCCATGATGTCAGTGCACCCATATGACACACTGATGTCATGACAGCTAGTACTTTCTTGAGTCTGCTATCCAGGAATCAAGTGCAAGTGTGCGCAGAAGCCCTACAAAGATGGCTGACGACGGAGAAGTGTCTGCGCTCGTGTGCGACAATGGATCAGGAATGGTCAAGTCCGGCTTTGCCGGTGACGACGCCCCTCGCGCCGTCTTCCCCAGCATTGTAGGACGCCCCAGGCATCAGGTCAGTCACACGATCCAGCCCACCCACCGTTTCTGTGCTGTCATGTCAGGTTCAATCCCAAGGCGTGCCCCTTCAGCCACGCATGGATCCTGTACACCAGCAGGATGCGTCCTGCGTGCTTCTGGGTTGGGCAAGTGGCAAGAGTGTGTGCGGTGCCGAATTGGCATAATGCACAAGGCAGGTGAAGGGCGACCGTGATGCATGTCATTAAGAGCACCCTGAAATGATGTCGTGGGGTGTGCGCAGGGTGTGATGGTGGGCATGGGCCAGAAGGACGCCTATGTGGGCGATGAGGCCCAGTCCAAACGTGGCATCCTCACCCTCAAGTACCCCATCGAGCACGGCATCGTCACCAACTGGTGCGCTTCGGGCTCGGACTGTAGTTTTGTAAATATTTATGACTAGTACACGCTTTTCCAGCCCTCAGGGCTAGGTGCGTTGCAGCAACCTCTCAATAACTCCTCTCCAACCTTCCCTGTCTTGGCATGTTCTCCACCAAGATGTGTCTCCAAGACTCATGACTCCTTGAGACCGTGATCATGAGGATTGTTTAGCCGCCACCAATATGCCTGCCACAATATACAAGGGGTGTGCAATGCACTCATTCATGGATGCGCACGCTGTGCGGCTGGGCATTTGGTCTTCATGTTAGCGTGGCTAGAGCCAGTGTCATGGGAGACCCTCGGTTGCTCTCTCTGCCGGGGTAGTGCAGAGTCAATACGGCATTTACTGTAAGAGTGTAGCGCATTCGTCCATCCTTTCTGGAGCTCATGCTGGCCTCGGCTGCAGGGACGACATGGAGAAGATCTGGCACCACACCTTCTACAACGAGCTGCGCGTGGCGCCCGAGGAGCACCCGGTGCTGCTGACGGAGGCCCCTCTCAACCCCAAGGCCAATCGCGAGAAGATGACTCAGATCATGTTCGAGACCTTCAACGTGCCCGCCATGTACGTGGCCATCCAGGCCGTGCTGTCCCTGTACGCCTCCGGCCGCACCACCGGCATCGTGCTTGACTCCGGCGACGGCGTCACCCACACCGGTGAGCACCTGCTGCTGACCCCTGCACTGCCGTCCTGGGCTTGCTGCTCTCAGTGCAGCGTCGGTTCTCTTGCGCATATCATCCTGCCTGCAGCGTCTCCTCTGCAGGGGGGCCGTGCTCTGTTGCTTAAATTATTGAAGTTTTTGAGCGCAAAGTATTCAGCAGGCATGTCACCGCCATCTCGGCTGGTCCCCTTCCGCGCAAAGTCCAAGCTTGCTATACCATTTGCTAAGGGCATGGCAGAGATGCCCACAGCCTGAAAGCCTGCCAAGCAAAATGTCTGCCTAGCTCGTGTCAGTGGTGTTCATGGGTCCCCTGCAAAATAGGTGTAGTACAGCATGGAGACATGAACCTTGTAGAAACCTATGCGCTGATTCTTGAGCCTTTCCCCGCAGTGCCCATCTACGAGGGGTACGCGCTGCCGCACGCCATCACCCGCCTGGACCTGGCCGGCCGCGATCTGACGGACCACCTGATGAAGATCCTGACCGAGCGCGGCTACTCTTTTACCACCTCGGCTGAGCGCGAAATCGTGCGTGACATCAAGGAGAAGCTGGCCTACGTGGCCATCGACTACGAGGCTGAGCTGGCCACCTCCGCCTCCTCCTCCACCATTGAGAAGTCCTACGAGCTGCCCGATGGCCAGGTGAGCTGACCAACCCTCAAAAGTCACAACAGGTCATCGCAGTGAGCTGCCCGACGGCCAGGTGCACTGACTAGTCCTCATTAGTCACAACACGTCATCGCAGTGAGCTGCTTGACGGCCAGGTGCACTGACTAGTCCTCATTAGTCACAACACGTCATGGCAGTGAGCTGCCCGACGGCCAGGTGAATTGACCAATCCTCATTAGTCACTACACGTCATGGCAGTGACAAGTGTTTCTTTGCGCACAAGCTCAAGCACGTCTTTGGCAGCTCAAGGAGCCTTTTGAGCTCCAGCTGGCTTGCACTTTGGCCCTTGAAGGCTTGACCTGCTGTGTGAGGCTGTATAATCTCCCAGCTTCAAACTTTTGGAGGAGATTTGAAGTTTTGTCCGGGCTGTGTCAAGAGCCGTCCTGGGCCCACAGAGTGCTGACATGCCAGGTAATTGCCGTGTCTGACGGCCAGGTGAACCGACCGATCCTCAAGGCTTCAGCAAGGCCTGCCATTTTGGATGGGGGTGACAAGCATGGTCTGTGGCCGATGCCTGGTATGGGGTAGGAGGTCTTGATCTGCTGTTGATGCCTGGATTGGGTTAAGGAAAGCTCAATATGAAGTCGCTGCATTAAAGAGGAGGAATGCGGAATCTGGGTTCTCGCTCTTGAAGTGGAAAGCTTGGGTAGTGCATGTGCCGTATGGGAAGCCAGCTTGACGGCGTGAGAGGCTCTGGGCTGAGGTTTGCGGGCTGTAGCATCAGGACAGATCAGGTAGGGCTTGTGGCTGCCCGATCATGATCTCCGTAGATGGTCGAGGGGCGAGCCCTGGGGTAGCAACAGTGCCATTATCAAAGCCTGCATGTACGCTGCACTGCAGCAGGCATGCCTAAAGCCCCCGCCTGCTGTCCTGTGCTGTGTGCATCTCCCTCTGCATTTCACCTCCCATGTAATCTCCGCTTATCGCGATGCATGGAAGGGGGGTCTGGTTATTCCAGCTCTTCATTTGACATGGACACACGTCACATATTGCTAGTATTGAGCTAGAACAGGGTGGGGTAAGCATGAGGATCTCAGGCAGGAGTTCTGATGATTTGGAGAATAGTCTCACCGCAGGTCTTGCAAGCGAGCCTTCCAGTGCATGCGCGTAATGCAGATGTGCGTCACTATGAGACCGGGTCATGTGCATGCGCGCAGGTGATCACGATCGGCAGCGAGCGCTTCCGCTGCCCCGAGGTGCTGTTCACGCCGTCCATGGTGGGCATGGAGGCGGCCGGCATCGACGAGACCGCCTTCAACTCCATCATGAAGTGCGACGTCGACATCCGCAAGGACCTCTACGGCAATGTCGTCCTCTCCGGAGGTGCAGCAGCACCCTTCTCTTTTTCTGACGGTGGTACTTGCCCCTCAGTGCGTCCTCGGCACTCGAGGAGCAGTCTGTATTCAGGCTGGCCTAATCATACTGCAGCATTGCTTGCAGGGGATTGTGCCGCTGCCTGTAGCCTCTTCTCTGCTAGTATGTGGTGTGGTGCAATGCTGCACGTTGGGAATGGGTGATACTCTTTTAGGGCATCGCAAACCTGTTGATCAGTGCAGTGCCGGCTAAAACAGCCCAAAGCAGGCCGCCGGCTTGTGCATGTCTCTGTCCCCGCATGCGCACACTGATTAGTCCGCCCAATCTAAGGATTACCTGAGAAAACGGGGCCAAAGAGACATGGCCTGCCCAAATCCAAATCGAGCTGCCAATTCGTGGGCTGGGGAGCTTGAAAGGACAGCAAGTTCACAGAACATGAAGAGTAGAGAACAGGAATTCTTTGAGCAAGCACCTGCGTGCAGACCGCTCTAATTCCTTCCAGACCTGACCAGCGCTGCTGCCCCGCAGGCACGACCATGTTCCCGGGCATCGCTGACCGCATGAACAAGGAGATCACTGCGCGCGCACCGTCCTCCATGAAGGTCAAGGTGGTGGCTCCCCCCGAGCGCAAGTACTCCGTCTGGATCGGTGGCTCCATCCTGGCCTCCCTCTCCACCTTCCAGCAGATGGTGCGCGCCTGCAGTCTCTCTGTTTTTTCACCTGAGCGCTTTCTTTGGGAACCTAAGAGTGGTTCATGCCCGTGCGCCCTGGAACTCCGGGAGCAAGCAGAAAGCGAGTCCGTTTCATACAGATTATTTGAGATTGCGACATATAAGACGGAGGTTCCACTGAGTCAATTGGCCACGCGGCCGCTGCGGGCGCCACTTGTTGCCTTTGTGATCACTGGGCTTGGTGGAATATATATATATATATATATATATATATATATATATCTGACGCCCCTGAGAGTCGGGGTGATGGAAAAAAGCAGAAGTGATCAGCATCAGGGTCGATTGGCCTCGTGGCCGCTGCAGGCACTCCTTCTTCTTTTGGGAATCTGGAATGAGTCATTGAGCCATGCCCGGGGTTGCCCTGCGTGCATTTCTGGGTTCTGAGACATTCTGGGGTAAGAAGACTAGTCATTGAGCCATGCCCGGGATTGTCCTGCCTGTGTGTCTGGGTTTTGACGCAGGTGCATGGGTAAGAAGACTGCGAGCGCTTTGGCAACCTTGCGGACACTTGTGTAGCATGCGTAGTAGGAGAGAATAAAGCAGAGTACTGTTGAGTCTCGTGGCAGTGTGGCGATGCTAAATCAGAACAGCACCTACTGGATCTTGCGGAGTGCCCTGCTGCTGTTGCTGGGTTGTTGGTGTTGACGTTGTGCTGTATTTGTATGCTGCAGTGGATCGCAAAGAGTGAGTACGACGAGTCTGGCCCCAGCATCGTGCACAGGAAGTGCTTCTGAGGTGAGCACTTGGAGCTTCCTGCAGCAAGACAGCATACTTTGCAAAGCTCGCTTCTTGCTGACAAGCTGGCAAAAGCAGTACTGTGAAACAGCAAGCACATTCTGTCAACATCAGTTGTATGTGCCAGCATGCGCCAAGCGAACTGCATCTTTAACCGGTAGTAAATATGCTGCCAATTGTCCAATCTGGCAACGTTGCTCTGTGCTTGTGGCAGATGGGCATCATGGCATGGATGACAGGCCCAATGGTTTTGGAGGGGCTCTGTGCGCTAAATGGAGCTTGCCAGATGGGATGGCAACGAGGGGCCCCAGGGCTGGGTAGTGTGTGCTCTGGCTGAGGTACCATCAGTAGTTTGCTGGCAGCAGCAGTGCCAATGCACCATCATGCAAGACGTCTTCTTGTCGACTCTGCTGTTTGGCAATTTTTGGGGACAGTAGGGATGCCCAGTGCCTGCATGCTGTAGCGCTAGTGCGCACTGTTGTGAGGGAAACACCAAGAGGTCTCACAGGGATGCAACTATTGTCGCATGTTGTGCATGCATTTGGCATGAGCATGAGAATGTGGTTTCATATGAACATTGTGCATGCATGTAGCAAGACAATTTAAATGGGTTGTTTGTAGGGCTCCATCTGGTGGGAACTGCAGAGTTTTGATCACAATCTGAAATCATTTGTTACAATTCTTGTCATGAAATACGATATGCATGTTGACAGATCGGTTGATAGCAACATTCCTTACTCGAAACACTCAAATTTTGTCATGTTCTTAGCTATTGCGCCTCAAAATAGTCTTCCCAAACGAAGAAATCGTGCTAAATTTGAATTGAGAGTCTACTGACGCCCTTGCCGCGTCTGCCTCTCCTTACAAGGCCTCTGTCACTATAATACAATGTCATCAACACAAAAACTACCTCTCATGACGGGGACTCTTCAAGACCGTGCCTTGGGTCCCAGGGAGCATGGCCCGTCACAGCACCTTCACCCAGGGGTGATTGACTGCCACCTCCTCGAAATTGTCAAACTCGCTCCGCACACACTCCCATGAGGCATTGCGGCCGCGCGCCGCCATTGCCTCGGCCCCCCGTATTGTGTATACGGATCGGAACCGCAGAGAGCGCAGCGCAGCTAGACGCCCAAAAGTGGACTCCTCTGTTATGACCTGCAGGAAACATGACCGTTACCAGGCTGCAAAGAGATTGACATGCGCGGTACCAACAGTGAGATACAGATTCAGTGTGGCATATATTATTACTATCATACACGCAAGCATATATACACCGTCCAATATTGCACAGAGGGATAATTCAGAGGCCTGCATGCATTGCGAAGTTTGAAACACTTGTAGGGGGTGGGAGCCGCGCTGACAAACCTGGAAATCAGTCATGCCCAACAGCCACTGCTCAGCAAAGGCCGTGCGAAAAGCCAGCATGTCCCTTGTCCTGTTTCCTGACTTATAGAAGATGTGGTCCGTCACAAGTTCTCGCGTTGGCAGTAGCACCTGCACATAGGGCTGCACATTGGCATGGAAGATTGCAGAATGATGGCTGGGCAGAGTCGCCATCAACATGGTGCCAGGCCTGCCAGCATCACTATGCAAAGGCTCAAAGCTTCATCAATGCACGCAGCTGCGAAAAGCAGCCACCAGCCAGAGCCATGACTCAGAAAGCATTGGAGTCTCTGATCATGCTTGGATCTTGCAGCGAGCGCACAGCACATGCTGACACACCCCACGTTGGTCAAAGCCCATGTTCAAGTACTGTCTCCTGCGCGAATAACGGGCTCTAGGGCAAGCTTTCAAAGGGACACAGAAGCCTCCGAACCATAAACCGGTGTACCTTTGGTCCATACTTATCTGCGGCTTTGTAGCGCAGCGAGGGGCAGTCAGACACCACATACCAGCGCACAGGCATTCCGAATGTCTCTGCTTTGGGAGCCCGCGAATTTCCGAGAAATTGACCGTCACTAGAAAATCTCAAATGTTCCTCTTGGCCCCGGGACTTCCTGGGGCAACCCAGTCCTGGAAATTCCCGGGCTTTTCTCCTATTTCTGCAAAATCCTAGGACTGTATTCTCCTGGGAATCCCTGGGCTCGACAAGATTCTAGGAATTCCTGGAAATATGAAGTTGTCTACTGCATGCTGCGAGCACACCACTGTGCAGAAAAGGATGACAAAGTGAACGAAAAAAGAGAGGCAAAATGAGGAAATGAACCGGCAACCGCCTTAGCTCACGGGAACAACATCGTGCACTGCGAGCTTCGTACAAATGTCACCCTGTATGTCTAACCCCAAATGTCTTGGCAATATCGTATTTGTACTTGGTTATAAACAGCAATATCTGACCCAAAAAACAGCATTCTCGCCGGAACACGGCTCTTCGAGAGCTTTCAGCCTCGAAGTACGATGAAGGATGATGCTTCGACACTCATGGCAGGATCTGGATGCCGCGTGAGGAGGTTTACAGCCGGGACCTTTTGCGCAGTCCCGGAACACGCGGCATCTCGCACATCCCTCGAGTCACGAACACGCTTTGGCTTCGAAACATCAAGAGAAGTATTATTGTGGCACATCTTTAGGATTTTAGGACGGAGCCGGGGCCGTAACCCCAGTAGAATACAATTTATTCGGATTTTTACTAGCCTCCTGGGTGCACTTACGACAGTGACTTCCCGAGCAGGCGACGGGAACCAGGAAATCTTGGGCCATTCAAGCCTGAGAAGTCCTGTCTTGATGCTTAGTTCCAGGAATTTTCAGTCTGATCATGCTCAGAATTGCTCAGCGGCAGCACATCCCGGCAATTTCTGCGGTCAGGGGCTCCTAGGATTTCCCAGCATCAAGAGCAAATATGGGAATTCCTTGTGCCGGTCAGCCCAGGCTTTTCCAGCGCTAGCCCCTTTGTCAGAAAAACACAAGGCTAGGTCGTCTGCGGTTTCCTGAGAGAGGGAACCTCCACCCGGTACTCAGATGGCATCCTCAACCTGCATGCCATTGCACAATGTTTTGAAACAGCGTGTCTTTGCCCATGCATTGACAAGTCATTATCTGACTGAGGCCAAATGACATACCTTAGTTACCTGGATGACTGGCCTCCAATAAAGCATAACCCTAAAGATCTCGGGGGTTGATTGTGCAAGCTGAAGCCTGACAATGAAGCCTGACAATGCGGCTCTACATACAGATGAAGGGCAGCACTACTAGTATGGGCGGCAGAATGCCATATATCAGTACAGTCTTTTGTGTCATCCTGTCTCATCGGACCTTGCGGCTGCTGCGCCTGCGCGCTGGATGATGCTTGATGCGGCATCATGTACAAGTACGACCGGTGACTCACATCGGATGAGCCACCAGCTTTGTAATGCTGATATACACAAGCCTTGGCATGAAAAGGCATTGAGGGGAAGGTAAGAGCACCCGGAAGGCGCGTTGCGGTATAAATACTGAGCACTGTGCCCACGGTTGATTGGGTCTCGTTTGCATCTGGCGAGTCCATGCAAGGGGTAAGATTGTGGCAGCCTTCATCTGCACTTTGTCTGCAGGACGCACCTTGCCTCTTGGCAGGAAAAACGTGTTGCACGAATAATCATAATAATTAGAGCACCCAATGACCATTAGCAGATGAGAGGAAGGCAGACACTGCGGGACCTCACACCTTTCAAAGTTTGAGGCGCACCGAAACCACCGGCCCCAATTGTCGTAGTCTATCTCCCCTTTACAGACCCCATGCGGCTTATTTCCCAGCCATGCATCGCCCATCCGCACCTGCAACACCCACATCTGTACTCAGACCAAACATGCATGCAGTAGTTGAGTGCGCAACTTTCCCCTCGCGTCTTGCATCGCTCATCCGCACCTGCAACACCCACATCTGTACTCAGACCAAACATGCATGCAGTAGTTGAGTGCGCAACTTTCCCCTCGCGTCTGGGTGGCCAGAGCCTGTTCTGCACATCAAAGTTCTCTGCACAGCCACTAGTCTTATTGACAGTCCATGCCAGTGCTGTGCATTGATACGATATGTTGCATTGGAACGGAGTATTCCCAAGATACTAGCAGCCACGCTACGTCAGTTCAAAGTCCTTTCACAGAGAAAGGCGATTCCTGGGCACTAGAGATCTACCTCCATAGAGCCCACTATAACTTCAAAAACACACATTCTCTTGTACTGAGGCATGCTTGCCAACATGAAAGCGTTGGACATGACAGAACACCGTGGCTCTTGTCAGCAATGAATACACAGCCCACTAGACATTTCCTGTATTTCTGGTAGGCATCCAACACTGGTAGATATGTGTGCAGGGTGCTTCACTCAGTTTGCAGCAATCTCAACATGATATCGCAAGAAGTGCACAAATGCAGGCCTACAGTTTCTTTCTTTTGATCACCGGGACAGAACCTGGATGCCTATTTGAGGGCGTCCGGGTTCTGAAGCGCCCGGTAGCTGTCAGCCACCAGATCCAGCACCTCTGGACGCGGCCTAAACAGATAATCCAGCGCACATCCGACAGCCGTCTCCGGCCGCGGGCCCCAGGCAAACAGCTGCACAGCGGCACAGGAACCTTCATCTCATCTGACTGTTCCTCTGTCACAGATCACAGATGCAATCTGAGATGTTACAAGCTACTAGACCAGTACCAGGACTACCTCATCTGTGAGGCGGCCTAGATAGGCAAGGCCATGTGCCAGCACGGGACAAATTGCCCACAACCACTAGGCCCGTACAAACAGACCTCTAATATCCTCACAGTTGCCTGGTGGGCCCCTCGTTGCTCTGAGGCATCTGTTAGATACCATTTTCATCTTGCCAAAATAGTGTCCATGCTCCCATGCACTTCCCTTCATGTTGGCTGCAGAGCTGCTGTCTAAGGTCTCTGGTGCTTCAAGCAATGATACACCATGTGCTGAACCATCAGGGGTACGAGACAATTACTGTACTGTATTTGGCATGAACTAAGCTCATTTATCAGTGTTCTTGTTGTTTAAAGTATCCTATGTGTCACGTCTTCTGAAGTCTGCACAGCAGTCTGGTCTTGCCTGATGCTAATTACCATGCTGCTGCACAGGGTGGAGGAGGGTTACTGACTTGCTGCCGGTGGTACGGGTTGTAAAAAAGCTTGTCTACGCTCCCTGTGTTCATTTCAAACTCGACCGTGCGAGTGTTGGAAAACTTGCCGAGGTCCTCTCCGCCAAACACCCTGAAGTCTATAGCGTCCGGCGGGTGCCGGCCACCCGGCCTGTCCCAGAGCACGCGGATGACAGTGGCGTCAGTCACGCCACTGTCATCCGCTGAGTCACTTGAAGAAGCTTCCCAATCCACGTTGGGCTTCTCCATCACTGCTGCCAGAGTGGCTTCTGGGATTGTGCCACGCCAGGCTATCCGGAATGCTCTCCCTGGCAAACACCCATCGGGAAACAACGTGGGGTCAGAGCCCGGCATGTAATGTGTACTGCTCTGATCTTGAAGCGCTTCAAGGCAAGTATGTTGAATAGTGATCTGCATGGGGCCAGAAAGCCAATGAGTTTGTCAAAATCTGTTGGTATTCATAGGAGACTGATCTTGGAGGTCACAAGCAGCTCCAGCAGAGACTCTACAACATTCTGCTACAACCAACTAGGCAAGCTGGACTTAATACACTAAATGGTGGAGCATTTGGAAGGCTCCTTTGGTGTGGAAGTCATCTGCACCTGAGAGCACTGCAATGGCATTGCGTAGTAGAAAATGGTGACGGCAGATGTCAGCCTATCGCCAAGCCCATTGACACGTGCTTTGTATACAGCAAAGCGCTGCTTGGAGGGCTCTGATTTGAGGATGCCCGGATGCAGGCGGGCATATTGTGCCTGCCAATTTTTTCCACATTGGGGGCTCTCTCGTGTCCCAGACGCCCTGCGCTGTTGGACAGATCCAGGACTCAAGTCTGCCCTAAGATTGCTTCTCACGAGCTTGCAAATACCATGAATAACAGTGGGAGGGTTTTTTTAAGCGCGGTTGATCACCATATAATCGCCAGAATCTAATGCCTTGGCAAACACACTGCCACATTTCGAAAGATACATTCACATATCTTCATGTGAATGGTGTGATGATCCTCTCGTCGAGCATGATTAAGGAGACAGAGGTCAACCATGCCGAAGGCACAAATGACCTTGCCACCATGTGGGCATGGGTAAACCCGTGCCCCCTATGCCAGTATTGGCCTTTTGGTATTGTACAACAGCTTGTTGCAACACTGTCAGGCAGGCGGTCTACCCTTGGTCAAAGGTGCCGGTAGCACAGCCAGGAAGGAAAACGCTAGGAGCAAATGCCGCAAAGTAATTTAAGGGAACTTTCTTCAATAGCCCAAATCCCCGGCAGTACTCTCATATGGCATGCTTGGTGTGACTCCTGTATTACCAAGTGGGCAGCCCCGAATGATACACATTGCAGAACGTTACACTGAGTCCGGGACGGACAAAAAAATCTACCTCGAGTCCCGAGTCTGTTTCAAACTTTTTGTATCCGAAGTGGTGTTGTTGCCCATTTATAGTAACAAATTCTGTTTGTGACACCTTTACATGCTCTCCTAGAAGTGCCTGTCAACATATATATTAGAAACGATGTTACTTGGCAATCAAATACCAGTTGTTGACAAGGGCAATATTAAGCTGCTCGTTTATGATGACATGAACAGTGCAAGTGGCCTAAGTAATAAAAGTTGCGCACCTTCAGGGAATAAAATTGCTGTTCAGTAATGCTGTCCCCAACATAGACTAGCTTCTTGCCGTTCAATGTTTGTAACAACTCTTGCACGTCGCACCCTTCTCCCACTGGCTTCAGCCGGAAATCAAATAGCTGACAATGCCGTGGTTTCCATCTCCACAAAAATGCCTTCTTTGCTCTTTCCACCTCGTTCTGCACACTACCTTCGTCAGCGAGACTGTTGGTGGATATGAAATGGGTCTAACCTGCCGTAATTGGGGTGAAGTGAAATGCAGTATCATTCAGGACACAAAGACGAAGACTTGAGTCAAAATGGTCGTTATTCCTTTTGACACAAAGTGCTTCATCAGGCTGTCTGTGACTTGTTTATGTCACTCCAAGACAGCCACGAAATTTTACCTCACTTTTGTAGCAAAGATGAGCGGAGATGATATCTTTGTACCCACTGAACTTCGCGATGTCGCCACCAGATTGGATGCCTGGATCTGGTATACGCTCCCATGACCCGTCTGCGTAGTTGTGGTAAGGAGAGCACAAGGATTCGCAGGCAGGTGATGCGATGCTAGTGTGAACGAAGCATAGAAGCAAATAAAATGCCTGAGCTCCCTTTAGAAAGCGTGTGAAAGGTCGACACTGGTGTGAATATTTTCTGATTGAGGTCAAGACGTGCATTGAAGACGTGCTCTGTACTCACAATTAGGGGATTAAAACTATATTGTCTTGTTCAACAAGTTGAGATATTCGTGCAAATCGTTTAATTCGTTTAAATCAACCCGGTAGAGCAACGACGTGCATGTGCTTGTTGATAAGTGTTCGTCATGGCAGACACAAACTTGGCTCTAGCATCTATAGCATATATTCTATGGGCAGTGAGCATACGTTCTGTATGACTGAGCCAGGACCACTTTTTGTTTTAGGTATGATACCCTAGCAGGGGAGATGTCCCAACTTTAAACGTACCGAAACCCTAGTTTGTTGTGTAAGAAAGTCGATCTCAAAGGTTCCAGATTCATTTCGAGTCCCGATCTAGGAGCAGCGTTTTTAGCTCAATTGTGACGAATTGTCGAGGGCTTGCACTTCGTCTTCTGGGTCCTTTCAAAATCTTTTGCATTATTGGATGACATCTTAATTAGCGGGATACAAATGGTTTTTCACCCGAAGGGATAAATGTTGCTAAGCATACACCAAAAGATGGCATAAAGGGATAATGTGTCCTCTACAATCAGTTGCAAGGACCTTCAACCAACCAAAATCGAATGTGTCCTTTTTATTGTGTTCGCCAGCCTGTAAGGTGGAACGATTCGCTCAATTGGATTCAGTGATCTGCAGCCACCAAGTGCATCGTCGTATAGGACATAATGTCGTGCCTGTCGTTCCATACTGGCTCACATTGATGTGAGGTCTGCTTCGTTCGCTGGCTGGTCTCACACATCCTTCCATCATCCAAATTGGCGCACCAGCTCCAGCAGGCAGATCCTTTGAATGCTTTGCATCCATGAGTGATCGTAATGTTGTACGTCAGAGGGGTCGTTTTGGCAGCCGTGCTGCTGACTGTAGCTGATGCCAAGAACTTGCACGTGATCTCCTCAGCACCAGGACTCGCCAGGGACAAGCACAGCAATTGGGTGGTAATCACAACTATAAACTACCCCACGGACACCGTGAAGAGGCTTGCAAAAGCACCAGGATGGCGAGTGGTGGTCGTAGCCGATCAGAAAACGCCAAGAGACTGGCAGTTGTACAACGTGGACATCTTAGACCTGGAGAAACAGAAGGAATTAGACTACAAAGTTCTGGCGCTCCTACCTTATAATCATTACGGGTGTGTCTAAAAAACCCCACCTGTCATCCTGCGGGCACCGTTTCCAGAGATTATTTGACTAGAAACTCTGGACCCTTGCAAAAGCATTTGGGTGTCACTCCTTGGGCGCCTAGGAATGTGGCAGGGTTCAATCGAAAGTGTGTTGCATGCAGTCAGGTGTGGTGTTGCTCTAATATGCATTCGAGCGTGACTCATCTGGCACTTGCCATGGGAAGAATGTTTAGGTTGCCCCTCTCGCTGTGTGCAGGAGGAAGAATCTGGGGTACCTGTGGGCCATACAGCATGGGGCGACTCAGGTGTACGAGACAGATGATGACAACGAGTTGAAGTTGGATGAGCCCCCTGCTTTGTCAGGCCTGAGTTACTACGTATACGACGCTTCAGGTGCAACTCCTTTAGGGCACATCAAGCCCTAGAGCATCTCTGCACAACCCTCTCCATGAAAAGGAACCTCTCTCCATAAAACGCTGAAATCTATGACAGAAACACTGCTGAGCGTTCATGCAGGAGGCAAGGAGCAATGTGCGATGCAGCAGTGGTTCATGACATGTCTCTGTAATGACGCACTACTGACCGCTTGCAATGCTTTCTCGGCATCCTTCTAATCTTAGAGTGCTGCCAGCCAGCCGGTGGCCCTAAGGCAAATAGGCCGTGAGATCCTTAACACGAATGCAAGGGCCTCCACCATGATCAATTTATTTTGTGGCGACCTTTGGTTGCTCACTGCAGAAGCTTTCTCTCCTGTACAGACACCCTTAAAGCTCATGATACTCAGTATCACCATCACTCCTGCCACCTAGCTTGCACAGTCCCGACACAGCAGTTTTGACTCCATTCCTTGGCTCTGCAGGGGTGGAGGTGTGCAACCCCTATGCCTTCTTTGGGCAGCCCCAGATATGGCCTCGCGGATACCCTCTGGAGCACATCAAAGGCGCTCCCTCCTGCACCAATTTTACACGCCAGCCTGCACAGCCTCTCATCTTGCAGGTGCATTGGTGCCAGCGACCTTCCCTGTAATCCAAGGGCTGCATGGGGGTTTGCTCTCGCACGAGTGCATGTATACACTCCTGCATAAACGCTGAGCAGGGTGCCTGTCATGCATCTCAGTGATTTTGGGAGAGGGCTTCTTTTCAGTGAGAGTGTTGTGCAGAGATGCTGTAGGACAGAAAGATGGATCTTCCTGATTCACTTCTGAAACGTTAAGAAATTGCACCAGAATAATTAATCCAATAAATATAACAGCAAAACCAACTGCAGGGATTGGCTGACATGGACCCTGACGTGGACGCGATATATCGCCTGACACAGCCGCTTGGAATTGCGTTTGATTCAAATGTCCCTTTGGTTGTGTTTCCCCATGGCGTGATGGCACCCTTCAACTCTCAGAACACCCTCTTTGCCAGGGACGCGCTTTGGGGCCTGCTGATTCCAGTGACCACAACATTTAGGTACCACAGCTTGAGACTGGAACCCGCCTTTTAATTGTGCAAAGGCCTTCTTGAGAAAGAGAATTTCCAATAGTCCACACGCCCAGCGGTATTGTACTGTATTCAGCACCATACTTCGCGCACATATTTCAGTTCATATAATATTTCATTTTCTTGATAAATGGTCAAAGACGCCAAAATGCAAAACATAAAGCCTATGACATTTCGAGATCAGTTTTAGAGGGATCTTGCCGAGCGCGACCCATTGGTGATGATAAACATCAAGGAAGGAAAGACTCTCAAAAACATGTCCAAACATTCCGCGCATTCGAGGGGTGCGGGATTAATGGTGCTGACTACAGTATTGGTACACATGGAAGTGTGTCATTCACTAAGCAATGGCGCATCACCACAGGGTGTGCGATATCTGGAGGGGGTATTGGGTGCAGCGACTACTCTGGGAGATTGATGGAAATCTGGCGTTTGGGCCTCCCACTGTCAACCAGGTGACGCAACCCCTGCTATGATTTATATGCCCTTTTTCACACGTGTTACAGTGTCTCAGGACAATCACACACCCCATCCTTAGCTCGGGTTGTGAAAAAGCACATCATGGAACTTGGCGTACTCTGCGGATGCATCCCCGCAGCTGACACTTGCACCCACTTTAAGAGGTCTGCTGGCAAAAGGTAATGATACATATCAATCAGTCTGCATACCAGATCAAGAACTTGCAAATTGAATAGCTCCCCCGATCTGCTTCGCAGTTCCGCAACCCACACAACCTGCTGCATGACATGGCGGAGGAGGCGGACCTCTACGCAAAGGCGGGGGACCTGGTGAAGCTTCTGAGCAGCTGGCGCGGGGCAAGTGTCAAGAAGCTGCCCGACCTCATTGGTGATCTGGCTCAAATCATGGCCGACAGTGGCTTCTGGGAGCAGGTGACATCTCGATACCACGGAAATATTTCGGAAATATTTAGTGGCTTCCTGAATTCAGCCAAAATGCCTCTGGACAAATAAACAGGGAACTTTTGTGGCGCATAAAGTACCCGAGGGTGTCCCACTTTGAAGCCACCAATTGGCTCTTTAGAAATTAAATCACCAGTGGAGGAAGCCGCATCTCAGACCTTTTTAGCAAAAATGCGCCCAAAAACACCGTTTCAGGAGAATCTTCTTTGAGATTATCAGCTTTCAGCTGCTTTTGTGGCTGCAATCTTTTCAAACAGGCACATGTTTGTAGCCGCATTGGCTTCCAGCCAAAATCTTTATGAGAAACCCCGAGTCGGTATCCACCTGCTTGCCTGCCTCTGCTGCACTGCCATTGTGCCATCAAACAGAGGAGCCATGATGATTGCGTGCGTTGGACAGGCTAGCTAGTTTTAGGGTAGCACAGCCAGGAGCAAAAAGGCGAAAAGTATATGGGATTCTGCAGCTGACAGCGGTAATTTTGCAGTAGGGAGCCCTCAGATGGTCCCAGCTTTGTTGGGTCACAGAGAATTTTCTGAAACGTCCGTGAAGCTGTAGCGGACCTGGCCTCCACATGTTTTGCAGAGCCTCTGAAGAAGTGGCTCATCCCCAGTTTCCTCACCAGGCTCCCCCTGTGGGCTGCCTACATAGGGCGATGCTGATCTGGCACGAGCATGGGTGGAGGATCTCAAAGCTGTTGGCTATCGCTTTCCGAAGCGCCAGAAACGTCGGCCCGCCGAGCCGGCATCGGTTGAAGTGGCACGAGCGCACACGCCGGCCTCTTGGCGGCGCTACGACGCCATAATCCTCGTCGTGAACTTCAACAAGGCATACGACGGGTGCGCGCCTGTGTGCAAAGCTCATGCGGCTGCCTGCACATGGGTTCTGTGACTGGCTGCCACATAGGTTCTGTTTGGGGCCCTGGGCATGTTGTTGCTTGCGATCTAGCCAAAGGTAATGCAACCCTCAATGGGGGTGCGAGTCTCTTAATCACGCCCCAGGTGACATAAGGGCGTTGGAACGTCATGTAACCTGGCTGCTAGCTTGTATTCCACCAGCCGGCGCAGGGTATGAGGCAGAGCAACATTTGAACTAAAAGCGCAATGCCGAGCAAAGCCCTCTGTATCGCCCATGAATGAGAATTGCTTGCTTTTGCAGGCTTGGTGACCAACCATTGCCATGATGCAATTCTCAAAGCATGTTGTGTGACAGAGTTGATTGCAGAGTACTCTTCAGAGACTAGTCCACAGCTGAAGAAATTTCTGAGGGCACAAATTGGCATGGACTGGTGGCAATCATCGCATCACACGCACAATGGATCATCATCTCAAACTTGCATTGCATTGCATGCATAAATGCAACTGTAAATACTTAAAATAAGATTTCATTGACGAGCACCTCCGAGCAGGCGTTTTGCATGCCTGCACCAGGATGCTGAAAGTGTTGGAGCTGCTGCGGGAAGCCTACCAGCCAATATTCAGCAGGATAATTTTCACCGGGGGGACTCGCCCCTCGGAATTCCCGGGGGAGGAGCGGTGGGTGGAGTGCGATGGCAGCGGGGGTTCCATGATGCAGTCCTGCCTTGCCAACGTCATGCAGGTGCAGACCTTGCCTTTTCACATGAGGGTTCATAGTCGGCTAGTGGGAACACCCACCCTGAGCCCTGCAGCCACCATGACTCATAGAGAGAATTTCGGAAAACTCTTCAGGGCTTTCACGAGTCGTAAAAAGCATCCTCAGCCTGCGCAAGGCGTGAGAAGTGATACACTTCTTGTGATGGCAGTGCCTCATAAAATAGGTTCTAGGGTAAACGCTAGAATGTAAACCATCATGGTACATTTGATTGTCTGCCAGCCTTTCGATTAAATTCAGGGCCCCGGCCCCATTCAAAATTGAATGTATTCTGCAGGAGGTAGAAGCGCCGCATGGTGGAGGTTACCTGATGCTGGGCGATGATGTCATCATCTCCCACTGCCAGCTGGCAGCGTTTGATCCCAAGAAGGCGGGTGACAAATCGTTCTTGACACAAAACCATGACTGAGGCAGCCTGAAGCTCTGCTTGACAATGTCCAATCTACACCGTGTGGGTCGACTAAGGCTGCTACAGCCACACCCCCCCAATTTTCTGGCATTTTTTCTATAGATGAGACTCTAAGCAACTGAATTCTTTCTTGCACGACATTTCCGCAATACCATATGCTTCTTTGGGAAATGTAGAGGTCCCCAAATGCATGTACTCGAGCGGTCCAGCATCGCAAATGCAGGGGGGGGCAGACTTGCACCATACGCCAGGAATTGTTCTGGAGGCCGAACGTTCGGTCATACCGATTTCTAATATACCGTATACTGCGGAGCACTCTCAAAACGGCATCACTTTGATGCTAGCTGCACAACTTGACAGGTATGGTTCCAGCGTGCGGTGGAGGCGAAGAAAGAAAATTTACGCTCATTTGTGGACGACATGGCGGCCTTGGGCAACGGAGGCACATGGGCATTCTCACATGACCAGATCAACGCGGTGCACAGGGTGCGTCAACGCTCAGCTTCAAGCCAGGAAGCTTGAAAAGTCAGGGTTTTGGGACATATTATAGATCCAATTTGGGCTTAGATTGGATGTACCGTGAAGCCCCCTTGGCTGAAGCTGCAGATTGGTGAATCAAGTGAGCGTTCTGTCCATTTCAGGGTGATTCTATGTACCTCTGACACTGAAGACACTCATATCAATCGGCTTCAATGAAAACATAGAGTTTAGGGATACTTTAGATTGTCTGTCGTGTGATTAGAAATAAAGATGCCTGAGGCATTGAGTCAAAAGCACGCCATGCGCTTCCTAAATTACTAGAGCAATTTGGGTCGCGTTAGTCCCAAAGTAGAAGATTGTCTCACGCTTGCTTGATCACGCTTGACAGGTGTTTAGACGGTTCATGACGGGGCCGCTGCAGAATCGATTTGGCAAACAAATCAGCCAAAAGCTAGGAGAGGACTTGGAAGAGGTGAGAGCCCCAGACTTTGAGCACCAATCTGAGCCTTAGTGACATGTCATACTCCACAACATGCCACCGTTCCTCGCATCATGCTGGAAAAGTTGAACCCAATAAAGGGATGAATGAGATGTTGTGACCGGCGGCAAATCAAAGACAATTTTGTCAAGATGTTGGAAAAGTACATCACCTACCCTCGCGCTTCAAAAAAAATGTAATCTTTGAGTCATTGACATGAGATGCATCGTGTTTGTTGGGCACCAATATAGCTGCCCCTTCCAAGCAAATTCCTGTGCATTTGTCGACCACGTCTATACTTGTCAGCTATTGTACTGATTATTTGTATCCGTTTTGATAGGGGGCACGGGTTTACCCATGCCCTCACGGTGGCGAGGTCAACCATACCCCCGGCATGATTGGCCTCTGTCTCCTCGATCGCCCCAGGCCTCATCAGGGCGTCTGTGTTTTAATTTATTTTGTGTTATCCATTTTGACCGATTCTAGTGCTTCATCTTTTCTTGGGTAGAAAGCTAAGTGCCAGCATCATACAGGGACTCGACACAACACTGACAGTGACTTTTAAATATGGTGCTACTCAATTGCTGAGGTTTGCAGAGTAACCTCAGCAATAGGTTACTGAGTAACCAAGAGTATAACTGTCATCTATGTCAGGGCCTATATGCTTGATAATTTACTGGCATACAGACTTGTTCCATGCCTTGGAAGACTCACAACACCGTCCTCTACTTGCAGGCACATTTTGGAGGGGACAACACCGATGTGTTCTACATTCCAACGCACTTGTCGGCTGATTTTCAATTGGCAGCCGCGGCGTTTGCACATGAGAGCATGCTGGCAGAGATTGCAATCCCGGCCATACTTGGCATCATTACCGAGGGCCCCCATGAATTCCAGGTGATCCATTTGGAGTGATGCCTCACCATTGCCCAAAACAGTTTCTGCTCCTGGAGCATGCTCTTGTCATCTAGCCAATCGAGTTTGGCCACGTTGGAGACAATTTGCTCTTGTGCATTGGTGGGCAGCATCTTGTCCTTTGGTTGTCATGCAATTCTGTCAGATATTCCCACAAGTGAAGCGCATTTATGCCCCAGCACGGCCCATTGCAAGTAAGGTCTTCCACTGAAGCATTTATTATAATCTCCACCGTGCAGTGGGGGATCGCGCCCCTGACAGCTGTACCTATTTGTGACATATCTACTCTTGCGTGAAAGTGCGGTGCCATATAAATGACGTGCACTTAGGGTTGGAATTGTGCTGAAATGAGATCATAATTTCGCATGCACAACAAAATTGTCAAGAGGAGGGTTTTGCACAGCGGGGCTGATTCTGGGGTACAAATGGCTTGGTGATGGATGACCTCCCTGGGAATACGATGCAGGTTTTTAAGCCACTATACTACTGGAATGAAGCGCGACATTCTGTCATGCGCGAGCCAAGCAGGTTCCTTGTCCAAGATGGCCTCGCCGGGCGCGCTTTCATGTTGCACCCCTTCAAGCTCTCCGGCGCTGATGCTGCCAAGGCCTTCTGGCAGGTAAACTTTGTAACAAGCTTCTCATTTGCCAAGGTCATAAAGAGCTGAACAATATCTGATATTCTAGAGAGCTTTTTGATTTTGAGTTCATGGGAATACCTTGTACGCAATTTAATGGTCAAGAAATTTTGGTGTTTGGGATTGTATAATATATTCAAGAATTGCAGAATGTATTTTATGCCCTTCTTGCAGACGAGCTGCAGCTGTGTGCCCCATACATTTGCCTCTTTGATGTGGATGTGTCATACATGTGTCAGACATGTGCCAGAACATGCGATGTACATGTTTCGTCCATGTTTTCCATCTTTCCATGGCAAAGTATTTGTTGGCATTCTGAGACAAAGGACGTACATCCAAAATTACGGCGTTGATCACTCATACCACAATGCCTTGATCGCGCAGTGGTGGGAAGCCCTCTCTTGCAGTGATGGTGAGCCTCTCCTGGACGGAAACTGGGAGGGGACGGTGGGCGTTGGGGCAGGACCGAATGGCATTGTTGATCAGGACGAAAATCACATGTATATCAACATGTATGCCCGCTGACATTTTGAGGCATTGCATGGAGCAATGATGCATGCCTTTTCCTTTCAAAGTAGGTTACTAAAGAAGTAGTACTTTGTTGGCTCATATAGCATTTCCATCCCTTGGAATCTTGTTTTGTTGGGTTTTCTCCTATAGAAGTCTTGATAACTGCCAGTCCAATGAGTCATCCGAATCGGATGATCCATGTCTGTCCAGAATATGTAGATGTACTGCACCGTGCAGTGATTGTATTGTGACAAGATTTTGAATATCTCATGAAAGCCGCTGAGAAGAGCTCTCGAAGTGGCGTTGGCATAGCCAGCAGGCGCAAGCATTATGCATGGCATGATGCAAGGCATCAAAATCAAAGGGTAAACTGAACCCTACCTGACTCAGGGGCATTTCGGAAATGCCCCCAAAACCACCAGTATTTTTAGCCCAGAGTTTCTTCAACATCCTATTAGTTGCCACCTTTGTGGCTTCAGTGGTTTTTTTCGAAGACATCTTGAAAGTCACCTTATGGCTCGGATGGCAATGATTGGCTTTAAAGCAATTTCAGCCAAAATTCTTGGAAAATACATCTGCAAGTCACGGATCTGCCTCCACTTCCGCTGCCCATATCCAGTAACCCAACCTAGTCACGTCACACGTCACGTGCAACCATCCTCCTTTATCTGCCACCCTTGTATCTACTAAATTACCTCCCACCTACTTAGTAGATCTCGATTTCCGCCCACCTGGTCATGACATACTAGGCTAGACAAGTCACCTAGTAGGTGACCTAGTAGTGGGCAAAAATCGGGTTCCAAAGTCTAGAAATATGATACAAGTTACTCTTACGGACTCGGAGACTATCAACACGGATATTCATATCAGTATAACCCTCACAAAGCTTTGATGCATGTGCACGTGCGTATACCAATGGGGAAGCATTGCCAATTTCAGGCAGATGGAGGCATACGACTCATGCATGTGTAGGAATCTTTTTACTCAGTCTCGAGACTTATTGTTGTGTGAATTTCATTGATGCTCTGAATGCTTGCAATGCCAGACTGTGGCACCATGATGGCATATGGTCATGGCACTTGTAAAATACACTGAAGGTCAGAAATTGCCTCTAAAGTATAATTTATTGGAGAAACAGCTTCTTCCAGTGTCTAGTCCTACAGGTAGCTGGGGTCAAGAATCTGAACACGTTGCAGTCTCGTCGCTAGATGACACATCAGCCGATGGCTTTATTAGTCACAACGGCTCAATGGATAAACAGTCCAACAGAGTCTGAATCATCAAATACTGCCTCTTTGTCCGTTAAGCCATTGTGAAAAATATTGCTTCGTGACATCATGTCACCCTTCAATCACCCAAGGTATGATAATATAGGTGACTAAGGGTGACCTATTACTTATGTCCGCTATGGCAAATACACCAGTGCGAATACTGCAGCGATATTCACGCTTGACACAGCGGCCACACAGCCAGCTTGATTGAACTTGAGGGCGCGACAGAGGGCAATGCTAATCTCCTTGACCCAATGGATAATCAGTCTGACTCATCAAAGACTGTGATCATGCTGATTATCCACTGAACCAATGTGATTGGCATTGCCGTCACAGTCTGACGCATCGGCACCATGTCAGGTGTGAATATTGTAGAGCAGTACTCACCCATGACAGTACACGAACATGGGGGAGTGTTATAGGTCAGCGGTCATGCATGGTAGATGGCTGCTCAGCTATGACACTCCCACATGTTCTTGAGCTTCAGAAAGATATCTGCTGAAGGTCCTGTGCACATCGCTGTAAAAAGCTCCCTGATCAAGGAGGAAGGAATGAAACAAAATGCTCGCCAATGTTTCAACGTAAGGTTTGGTAGTTAGATGTCCATAATTTCCCTTGTTGCCGTTAGTTGGTGTCTTCAGTCCGCATGACTTTACAATTCTCCATTGCTCTTCCAGCGGGGCTGCAAAGGGATCTGCCAAAGCCTTTAGTTTCTCAAAGAAGCATATTGCCATTTTCAATTTAGCGCCATGAAAATGGAGAATTACGATATCACTGCCTGGGTAAATAGGCCTTCTAGCAGTTGTTGCATTGCCCCAGTACAATTTCCAGTTGTAGACATCTGGTAAATTGGTTACCCTGCTCCCTATGTACTGAAACATCAGTTCCTGGTCGTGGTTGAAGTGAAAGCGCTGCTGCTTTGCCCACTTCAACATGCCAAGCGACAAATCACTGAATGCACGAACGTTGAAGTATATCACGCCATAATTGATTGCTTCCCCCATGCCCGCTTCAGGTCCAATGCTTAGGATGAGTGGTTTGGGAAGAGTGCAGGAATTTATATCACCCTCAAATATAACGTCAGGGTCAGTCCACAATATATAATCCTTACTGTACTCTGGAACACGGTGGCCATCCTCTTTCAAAGTTGCAAACATCTTTTCGACGCGAGACATGATTGCTCGGATGTCAACCCTCAGCCAAGAGCCCCAAAGATTCTGTGAAAATGACCACTCGGGGTCAGAGGACAGGGCCTTTAATTCATTGTAGAATGAGAGCTTGTGTTGTACGACGTACCCACCATGTTTCTCAACCCAATCGGTTAGTTTCGAGTTACCTCTGTTGTCGCCAGTGAGTACCACAACTGGAACCAACGATGGCGCTTTGGCTTTAGCTGAAACGATCGCAACCTTGAGGTGCTCAACATATTCGTTACTGTCCGCTAAGTAGAAAACATCACCTCCTTTTTCTGACTTTGTCTGGAAGCCAACAAACCACAGCAAGTTTGTGCAGCCTTCGTCAAAGCTCCTCAGACGGCCGTCTTCAACGCACAATGTGATGGAACAAGACAGGAGGAGAAAAGTCAGTGTTGCCGCAAGCCTCATGCTGAGGATTCTGGCTCGTCCTGTGAGTTCAAGAAATCTCTGTATTGCTGTCGTGCATTGATAGAATGCGCATGATCTGAAGGCATGGTATCAATGAAAAGCACTCGTCGACTACCCTTCTTTAACACGGCACAGGTGAGCATGGAAGGAGCCCTTCAAAGAACTCACCTTGACTTTTGTGTAATGGAGGACAACGTCAAGTCACCAGTGTATAGCCAGGGTATTCTGACGGCAAGTGCATCAATAGGAAGTCGAGTGATCGCCCTTATATCTGTACAAAGAAAATCGTCAGCAACCTGCGTTCAATGATTGGCGATGGAAGACCGGCACAACATGCAGTACATATACTCGAACACGTCACCACCTGCGCGTTTGTTCCAGGACTCTTCCGTGTAAGGGGTTGTGCGTCCAATGCAAGCTGCTTGCCATATGTTGAGCTAAAAAAGTTGAAAGGTCCTTCAGCCGTCCAGTATAAGATTGACCCCAGCAAATCCCTAATGAAACCCACAGAAAGATCAAGATTTCCCTCAGACAACAATTGCGATTTCTTTATGTCTTCAGAAATGTGTTCCTCACTGAAGAATCTTCAGAAATCTCCATTCCATTTCCATTCCTCGTCGACCCGTGCTTCACAGGGGTCGACGAAGAATCAGAAATTCAAATTTCCCGCGCTCTGGCCATCTCGTATGTTCGAGGTCTCGAACAGGGGACTCTAAACTAACTAGTTAGTCAAGAGTCCCCTGTCTCGAAGTGACCAGGGGGAAAACCCTAGGAGAACTGTTATCCTAGGTCACTCCCCCTGAAGTGACTGAGTGCCCCATACACCGAGCCCAAAGTGTGTTCCAAGATGCCTGCATGTCATCTAAGAGGCTCCTCACTTCAAATTCATCTGAACCAGAGTCTCCAGCGGGAGCCTCCTCAGGCTGAGGAATACCAACTTGTATAATCTGCGAGCGGCATTACACAGGATTTTGAAGTTGAGGGATTTGGCAGAAGTTACCTCGTTCAAAACAAGCACTCTCACTGAGAGTCTCTCAGACATGCCATGTCATGTGACCATGACATTAGACCCTGGGCCTGTCAAGGAGAAATGCATTACCACAATTGCAGCGCATATGCAACCGCGTTGCTCTGAGAGGCTCATGAGAAATCATGCAGTCATTTATGCAGTTTAAAATGTTTACTGAACTTCACACTTCACTCTGGAGAGACAGGCCCTGCATGTAGTTGCAATCAATCGGCAGATGCTTGCATTGTACGGGCAGTGCAAACACGTCAATGTCGCTTAGTTCCCCGCCTGGATGCAAGTGCAGGTGGGCTGGCTGTGGCGGATGCTGCGGCGGCGCTGTTGCCTTTCCTGTCTGGGCAGGTGGGCAGCCAGCTGTCGCAGCAGCTTGGCAGCGGGCTGCTTAACATCACCAGCACCACCACCCTGCCACAGCTGCTGCTGCAGATGAACACCTCCATCACCATTTCAGCCGCGGTGAGCCCTGCTCCTGCGCACATTTTGCAAGTAAGTTTAGCAGTGACACACACTCTTGTTGAGTAATTTAAGATTCAACCGAAAGAATGCAGTCGACTGATTGCATGTGCCCCTCCTGTACATGCCTCACCAGCGACTCATCACACTCTGAACTCTGTCAGCATGCTCAGGGGTTCTCCTGTTGCACAATAACGTGGCCTGCATGCACAGTGCCCCGATAAGAGGTCATAAACAGATAGACATCCAATTTAATTGTTCCCAAATATTTGGAAATATTTTGTGCTTGATCGGGCGCCAGTCATAGCAATGTTGCCACTGCCTGCTTTGGCGCCGGGCTTTCCGCCAAAAGAGGCGCCGGTGCCAGCACCTGTTCAGGCGCCGGTGCCGGGCCCATTCGGCGCGCAGCCGCCGCGCCGCGCCGGGCTGGGGGCATCACCCCCTCCGCAGGGGGTCCTGCCGCGCCTTCCCGGGCTGCCACCAATTCTGACACCGATCCCCAGCGCTGCAAACGCGCCATCGCCCACTGCACTATCTCCCTCGCCTGCCAATTCGCGCCCCCTGTCAGGCAGCGCCCCTGCGCCATCTTCTTCATGGTTTTTGCACTCTCTGGATGCCGCCTTGAGCCCATTGACACAAGTCTTAACACTGATCAGGATGAAATGCTGCCACAGCTATCCATAATCCTCACCGTTCTTAACAGCATGCAACAATTTCAGTAAGTATCTAACCATAGAGTACCTGCACAAAAGTCGGATCGCACGCCAAACGGGACCGCCCATGTGAAACTGTGACGATAGATGGGGGCTAACTTCCAGGCAGGAGGAAGATTAAGTAACCACTGGTAGCCTTGTTGGCTGGCAAAGATGTAGTAGTTCTTTCTGACACAAATTTGAAATGAACAGCATGATATCGATGATGCATATGCTGCTGAGATGTGGGTGCCCGCAGCAATTGAGTGCTAATTGCATGTCGATAATACAGTATACTATACTGTATAGTATACTGACTAACTGAGCTGATATATCAGCTTAAAAATATTTTTGTCTGTTCATTTGGGTCCAGCGCCAGAGACATCATGTGATTGATTCTGACAGATGGTATTCCACTGAATGAGTGTGTATCAATTACAAAGGTTTGGTCACCACTGTGCTTAGGCCATGATCAGTCATAGCTGACACTTTAACCTATCTGTAACCCTCTGCACGTTACAGACATGCCTGATATTGAACATGCCTCACTGGCAGTGGGCATATTGCATCCACATGGGGTTGTCCCTCAAAAGGTCCACGGCCTCCTTTGGCGCCTTGGTCAAAAAATAACGGTGCGCTCCCCAGTAGCAGGGCTCCGAGTTGAGAGGTGTGTAAAAGTACGGGTTCAACATTGATGGCTTGTCTCCCCGGTGCAGCACATGGATCGGAACAATACCACCCCACGCAGCCGCCACATACCCGAACGACGATGCAGAGGTGACAATCAGAGCATCAGTCATGCTTAGTAACCGCATGTCCAGCACTGCTGACTCCTCCGAGCCGGGATTGCCGGCCTGCGTACCCTCCCCTCCCCTCACGCCCCCTCCATCCGTGTTAACCACCCTATCCGCTCCCAGCGATTTCCTCACCCCCTCAAGCGCATCTTCCGAATCCGTCGCAACAAAATATTTCACTCGGTCGTCCGGCAACCCGTGCTTGAGCTGCACGGCCCGCGCAAGCGAGCAGAAATGACCAATCGACGGGTCCGCGAGGCCGGCGCCGAGTGGCTTCTGCGTTCTTATCTGGAGCCCCACAGTGAACGCGCCAAACTTGGACGCTCGAAAAGCATGGGCGGCAGCCTCGTGCCGAGGGTGGAGATTAAACAAGAAGCGGCCCAGGGGGTGGAAAATCTCGCGGCTGGGGAAAAAGCGGTCAAAGAACGCGCGGTAGTTCGGGTTGCTGAGCAGCAGCGGCACGAGGTAATCGTTGTCGTAGTGGATGTCGACCGCATCGTGCCCCCCCCACAGCTGCTGAAGGTCCCCCGTAATGTACAAGGGGTCCGTAGGGGACATGGCCCAAATCGAACGCGGCCCCAAGATCAGGGTTGTGAGATTGTGCCGCCCCCAGCGCTGCAGCCCCGCCTCGTGCTCCCACCAACGCATGTCCAGGCCCATGGAATTCCTGAAGTCCCTGCCGGTGAGAAACTTCAGCGTCAGCTGAGATGGCCAGGGTATATCCCCACAGATACCTGCGGGTGAGGGAATGCCATGCTGCAGACACTGTGACAGGTTCACACCGCCGCAAATACTATAGTACTCAAACCAAATCCCGCACCCCTGGCGGTGCGGAAAACCTTTCAAAGAAACTTTTGGAACGTTCCTCTCCAAAACACCAGGGTCATGCTCCATTGAACTGGGCTCGTCGAGATCTTTCCGAATCTGGTCTCAAAATCATCACAGGGTTTTTATTCTGGGAGGTATAGTCTTAATTCTCCACCCTAGAATTTTAAAATGAGCAGTACAGTACATGTGGGTGAGGGACGTCCAGGGTGACTGACAGGGGTTCATGCTTCACACTGCCGCAACCTCTGCATGTGCGGGAAACTTCCGTCTCATTAGCAGGGAACTCTGCCGCAACTACCTGCGTTGAGGGACTTCCAAATTTGGAAGCTTTGAAAACTTTGACGTTGACTGAAAGGGGTTCACACGGCGCGCCGCCACAGATACATGCGGGTGTGGGATTTCAATATTCACTGACAGGCCCTAGGGCTTCATGGGTCACACTGCCGGAACTATCCGGGGGTGCAGGACATCCAAGCTGACTGACAGGGGATCACAGGTCACAACCCCATGATTCTCATGCGTGGCACGCCTCAGAGCTCATGGCTTGCATGCATTCCACAACCCGAGGCAGCTTCTCCGGCAGGTTGAGGGCACCGCCTAAAGGTCCAGCACTAGAGATATCGACCCTGAATCCTTTTGAATGGGTGATATGCTTATGAACCATAATTATACCATTGCATTCCCCAAGAAAGGTTACTATTGTAAGGGCTCTCCTCCCCTAAACCCTAAACAGTACTCCAAATTCTAACCCAAAAGCCTTCGCTAACCCTGAGGATCGCTATCTTAACAAAGGGTTGATCAACAGGAGCAAGGCAGGCGGAGTGTGTGAGAGCGGGCCCCCCACCTGAGGTAGGTGTCGTGGCGCAGGAAGAAGCACCGCTGAGTCATCAGCGCCATGAGCATCCCCGTCACCACTGACAGCATCCGGTTGCCCAGCCCTGCACACACAGCATCCTAGCTCAGTCGTGTCTGAGTGAAGGTCAAGTGGTAATCGGCTGCATGAAAGGCGCAGCATCACACCACAGCTTATAAAGCCCCACGGAAGGGCCGCTCAGGCGCCCTCGCAGGAATGTGCTCCATGATTTGCGCTGGGCGTGGCGTGTGGGATAATCTTGATGTGCTCCACAGATTCTGGTGAGCTAACAGCAATCATCAACCCAACGAGGAACCCACAAGCTTGTGCTGATAGCCTGTCCCTGCTGCTGACGTTGAGAGAAACCTTGCGGTATTGGGCGAGCAGCTCTGAAATCCTCCCAGGCTGGCAGCCCTGGGAGAAATATGAATTGGGCATCTGAAAGGTGAAGGCAGTCACCTGAAAACGAGTCGCCCATGCTGACGATGACGTACTGTCCCTTGTATGTCTGGTCAAAGAGGCAGCGCTTGTGCCTCTCTGCATAGCGGTCTAGTAGGCTGTCCAGTGCTGCCCACTGGGAGCGCTTCCTTCTTCCCGGACCTGCCCTCAGCCGCAGCAGACCCTGCGCTGCTGACCAGCGGCCTCCGCTGCTGTGTTCGGCAGCACCACCATAAGTGGAGTGCTCTGCCGCAGACAGTGTGCCCCTCCTGCTGCTGGTCTTGCTGCTGCTGCTGCCGCCGCTCCGATCGGCAGCGTTACCATAAGTGGAGTGCTCTGCGGCAGCCAGTGCCCCCCTCTTGCTGCTCCCGCTGCCGCTGCTGCTGCTGCTGATAAGTGCATTGTCTGCAGGAGGTCTGGCGGTGGCTGGACGGCAGCATACGGCGAGGATGAACAGGCACAGGAGCCTGAGGATGCTTCGCCTGTCATGTTTGCTCGTGCTGTGAATTCTGGTCATCAGGCCAGGCGCCAGGCTCCTGTGTAGGCATATGGGGGTGTCAGGCGTTCGCTCCAGGCTTTTCACGGGCAGGGGGTAGACTATGACAGCCACGAATATGCTCTGTGACTCTTCGAATGGTGATCGTCGGCAGAACCCCTAAAAACAGCACCAATATCCATGATCGCCGAAATTGAAGTCCAAAAGTGCAAGGGAACCAAAAAACAAAATGAGATTGATGCGGTGGCAGCGTGAAAGAGCAACCAGGATGCGAAAGTGGGTGCGAAATGTCTTGCCTGATCAATCAGAAAAGGCATCAAGCCGTCTCCCGGAGATTGCCTGAACCATAGACTACGATGCGCCGAGAGAAATTGTCGACGGAACCTTCAAACCTATCCGCAGGGCGTCAACAGTGTTCTTAGCTGGCATCTGAAGGTCCTGGTCCGACTGACGAAGTGTAGAATGTTAAGAGGTGAGGCAAGAGTGCCATCAAGGGACTCACAAACAGGCTCTACAAATTCCTGTTGCGGCATGATTCACGGACAGCATCGCCCACACTCTTTCACGAGAAGCTACGGTATTTATCAGCGTCGTTTTGACAACATAGGATATATGATGGATCTGCTCTTCGTTCACATGCACCCTTCCATTAGTCTTCATCCACTTTCACCTTGGGCGAATCTCGCGGCGTGCCTGCGAGGGTCGGATCTGGATGTGACCTGTAAACATTGAATGCCGCAAGGATTCGAGAATAAGTGGTCAATCGTATTTGCAGAAAGTGTAAGTTTTGGCTTATTTTGCTAGATCGGCTCTGCACACCGGTATTACACACGGGGATCGGGCATCCTCTGGCATGTCCGATCGGCCGGCAGCAACGAGAATTCTCAAATTCTAATTCGTTCCCCCACAACCCCATTATTTTTTATAATATTTGAGTTCACTCGAAACGTCCTAAAGTATTTAATATCCAGGTTCCATGGTTTTCGCACGCAGTAGGGAATCAACGATGCCCTCAAAAGTTCAACAGACATCCTCAAAGGTACCTCAAAGGCTTCTCCACACGCTCCCTTCTTGGCCTTTGGGGCACCTGTGACTGTTTGCTGGGCGCTGGCTGGCTGTGGATGAAGGGCAGGTTGCCTAGGTCCTGGCTTCCACCAGTAGAGGATCCTAAATGCGCCTGTGGGACCTCCCCAGCAGATCCCGAAGACTGATCCACCGGCATGCTCTCCGCTGCATCCATATCCAGACTAACTGGGGCCCTGCTGGAACGTGGAAGTTCCTCCGTGACCGCCACAACACCAGAGCGCTGCAGCCTGTTCTGAGCAGCTTTGATCTCCAAGCTGATGCTCTTGTGCTTTTTTGGCGCTGCTCTTGATGGCAGGAATGGCAGCACCAGCTCCCCATCGTCACCGTTGCTGCCCTCACTGTCGCATTCATCGCCGCCGCTGGCCGCCGCTGGCCGCCGCTCTCTGCCTCGATCTGCGCTTTGCTGTCCGATATTTCAAGGCTGCCTTCTCCAAGAAAGATTTCAGCCTGGGACCCTCTGGCGCAGCCGAATTTGGCTGGAATTCCTCCCCTCCATACTCATCCATGCTGCCCAAGCCTGCTACAGCTTTCTCCACCTGCCCCGTCGCCTGCCGGCGAGCCACTAGCATGAAGCGCCATAGTGGGCTGTCGTCCTCCCACAGCGCTGTCATTTCTGTCAGCCCCGCAAGTGCTGCTTGAGCTGCCGCCTTGGGCCCTGCATTGCCCCTTGGAGCTTCTGGGCTCGCCGAAGTCAGCTCACTCGACAACTGCATGTCTATGTCACTGGCTTCCAGCTCAGCTGATGGCTGCACATCAGCATCAGATGCGTCCGGCTGGCCACTATCACAAGCGGCGGCACTGTCCCTTGTAAGGGCCATGGCAGCCCGTAACCCGCTGAAGCCGCCCCCAGCTGCGGTGCGCATGATGCCAAGGTATCTCAGCAGCTGGTTTTTGCTGGCGCCCAAGCATAGGAAGACCTTGACCACATGCCAGCACATCCTCCCCATCCGGCCAGCTGTACATGAGCACTTTGGCTCCTGTTCAGTCCCCTCTGACAGCTGCACCGTGTGCACAGCTGTTGCACAAGATGCGCTCTGGACTTCTGCTGTCCCGCCGACAATCCGCACTGAGCTGTCTGGCTGCCTTCCTGCCACTGTGAGGGCTTTCAGCACGCTGTGGTAGGCTGGCAAATTTTTCTGGGCGCCCAGGTCTTGGTCCTGCATCCTAAAGTGATATATTCTGCCACCTTTGTATGGAGAATCCACAGCAGCCAGTCTATCCGGCGGTTGCACAGGCGCCGCCGTCCACTCAGAAAGCAGAACTGCACACAGATCAGAAGAAGACAATTCAGTGTCATAAAATAACCCACAGGCTGCAAAGCTTTCGGAGTTAGTCAGTGATTAAGTGTCATGGAAAGATTTGGTAGGCATTCACCTTCAGTGTCTTGTGCCACCCTTCAATGTGCGAGGTGCAGTTGATAGCGCAGCCAACCAAGTCCCGGAAAATCTGCATGATCATGCCTGCGCCATTTCCATCCGTCACATCAGCAAGGAGAATAGCAGAGTGGTAAGGACCAGGCAACAGTTCTTGTGTTTTGAGCACGTACCCAATTTGCCACCCCATTCCTTCCTGAAGTAAGCCACAAAGACCTCTTCCCCCGCCCATCGCTGGCAGAATGCCTCCAGCATTTCCTTTCCAATGCGGTGCGCATCGGCTTTGGACACAGCGGCTTCTTTGAAGCGCATTATCTGCAGAAGATCTCCAAACATTGGCTCCACATTTGCCTTGGCCTTGACCTGCAGAAATATACAACAACTACCGTTCTTGCATCTATTGAGGTTGATGTACACTTTTATTGAAATCACCTGCTGACATTTGGCAGAGGTCTGAGGTTCTACCTTGGCAAACAGCTGCTTCTTCCACGCCTTCTGGATGTGCCAGTGGCAGAGAAAGACCGGCACCGCCAACGCAAAAGCTGAGGTCACAGCAGCAATCTCCGCATCGCATGCATCCACAATGACGGCTAGAGGCTGCCAATCTGGCTTTGTCTCCCTCACCTGCATTGGAAAACTCAGATCCAGCCACATTCCATCAAAGTGACTTTCTTCCTGTCAAAGATTGTGTACTTGTCTTGCAGGTGGTGGGCCCAAATTATACCAGCTGCTCTGAGGAATTACCTTTGCAGTCACTGCTTCGATGAATTTCTGTAGGAGATCCGCGCGCTCCTGGCTGCAGATCAGGAAGGCTATTGGCACAGCCTTGTTGTGGTCGTCCACCACCACCAGTGTGAACACTGGAAATTTCTGCGTATTGCAATTGAAGGTGGAGTCCAGCTGCAAGGGCCGCATGTGGCCCCATCTGATGGCTGCTTCCACGTTGCAGTCCTGCAATACTGCTATCGCGAAATGCGTCCACTGCAGCGGGTCAAATTGATACATCTTCCCAGTCTCCGCGCTGGCCTTGGGGGTTACCAGATGTGGCGAGTCATCCCTCTCAACATTGAGAGAATCTGGTTTGCTCAGGTCAACATCAGCCCCATCAAATGCTGGGTCAAGAGCAGTGTCTGCTGGTGTGCTGTCATGCTCCTCGGCCTGGCTGGCTGTCCCACCCTGTGGCACCTCTGACACGGAGGCAGCAGCTGCTGTGCTGCCTTGCTTCCTGGCTGCCAAATATGCCTCATCCCTGGTTCCCTCCATCGGTTTCTGCAAATCCAGGTAGAGCGTGTCTGCCTCATGTTGCTCAGCCCACATGTGCACGCTCTCCTGTGGGTTGTCGCTGAACAACCACTCCCTCCTGTCGAGACCCCTCCGCATGTTGGCAACATCCATGACTGTCAGGAAATAGTCCTTGGGCGGCTGCGACTGACCATAGTTCCTGGCTGCTGTGATCCTGTCAGTGACATCAGGATTCTGTGCCATGTATCGATCCAGGAACTCATCCTTATTCTGCTGGACGATGTCACTGTTGGACAGACCTCTGTGGATCTTGATTTGCACCCTCATCCGCAGTGCCTCAGAGACCCGGTGGGCGGTGTAGGTCAGGCCAGGACCCACCTGAACATATTCATCACAATTTGTTCAAGACTTTTACACCATACTAACTTTAAGCATGTTGAGGTCTGTTGACGTGCTACAACTGTGCTTCATGGAAACAGTCATGTAGCAACCGCACACAATGGCGATTGGACAAGGAGCATACACACCTGCGCATCTGGACCGTGGTTGATGTGATCCCTGTCATAGTATTGTATCTCCACGATGTCCTCAGTGCCCGGTTGGCGTCTGTAGCCATACCGCACAGGGCAGCCCACCCACACAGAACAGCCAAGAGCCATCCTATCCATCCTGCTTGAAGTACCTGGCTCTTCCTGCTCACCATCACCAGCGCTGCAGGCATCCTCCGCTTTGGTGTCCAAATTCCTGTTATCCTCAGGGCCACCGCTGCAGTGGCGTGTCCCCTTCTCGATGTATGCATTTTTCCGCGCCACCTGCACGACGCAAGCACAGGGCGCTAGCTCGAAACCCTCTTCTCCGGAATCAGATCTGCTCAGATCAACACTGCCTTCCGTCCATCAACTCAGAGAGATGGCACCGAAATCAGTCTTGCTATCAAAATCACCTTTTCACCATCGTCATCTGCATGCATGGCATCGGATGCCTTCTTCTTCTTCTCGGGTGGAGTCTTTTTCTTGTAAAATATGCATTGGCCCCTGGCGTTCTCGCCCAGTCTGAAATCTTCAAGTCTATTGGCTGGAATAAATGTAGAATAATAGCACAAATTATCCTTCTTGTTATACACTCGTCGCACCAACTTCAACTCTTTGCAGTTGATATCGAAGATGCCCTGGGGTGGGATGCACAGCAGCTCTCTACGCTCCTCGGCAGAAATGTTGGCTGCCTGAGGTTTCGAATCGGTCATAATAATAAGAACTGTGATGTCCGAAGTTTAGCTCACAAAGTGTGAGGCAGGATTAGGCTTGGACCAAAGCTCGATCTAGAAGGCACGCCGCGAGATTCGCCCAAGGTGAAAGTGGATGAAGACTAGGAATGGAAGGGCGCACCGCTGAGGTGGCAACACTTAAAAGTTTGTGCGACGGCGTTCTTACTCTCGCAGACGGTACTTTCCTCCGAAAGCCCAATCGAGGACAGCAAAAGCTGTTGCACTCAGCCACAGCGCGTTGCCTGTAAAGCTCAGCAAAGTTTATATAAGGTGTAGAAAGAGGTCGAGCGGCCACGAAACTCCGCGTTGCTCACCTGTCGGACCCGGATCTAGTGCGGGGATATCACAAGATCTGCACGAATGGGCGACGGGAATCTGATATGAAACCCGTTTGAAGCAAAATTTACGCATACAAAATGTGAACGCTTGTTTTATCGCATCAAGCCAGCGATAGGTGAGGAGCCCACCGCTGCAGCTGTTCTTTCCGCTATATCCAGATGTGTACTTCTTTTAGACAAATTACTTGACAAAAGCATGCAGATGGTCCCGAGAAAGCTAAAATGGGAAAAGGGTTCAAGGTCCAGGACAGCACAGCTTACAACTGGGGAGCGAAGCTGCTCCAGCTGTCCAGCTGGATATGAACTATCAGCCGCTGCAGTCCTGCAGTGCGAGTGCATTGCATTCCGACGAGACTCAAGACTTTGTGTGGACTGGAAAGTGTGCAAGGAGTTGAGCAGGCAGGGGCAGACATGAGCATCATTTGAGGGGTTCTGTGCACTGCTGCAGGATCCCCACGCCGAGGAGCTAGACCCCAGCAATGGGCAAGCGCAATGGCCGCTACCCTCTTGTGGCTGCGCTGCCGCTGCTGTTCCTTCTTCTGACTGCCGCGCCGCTGCGCAGCGCGGCACAGGGCCTGCTTCTGGGCGACCGCCTTGGGGCCACTCCCTCTCTGGGCCGACTGCTCGACCGTGCAGGCGCAGGCACCAGCAACACAGCCGCCACCAACCCGGCCGGCGCCGGAGCGGTCAGTGCCGGCGCGGCCGGCGGCGGAATCACCGGCCCAGTTGCGGCCGGCGCTGGCGGCGCGGCCGGCTCCCGGGCACTCGCTCCGGCCCCTTCAGGTACAGCTCCTGTATGTGCTGCCTTTACCTGCATGTTCCCCCACGTAGCCGTGTAGCTGTGTGCCTTTTATCAGCGTAGCTGCGTAGCTGTTTGCCATGTATGAGGGCAGGGCTCATCAAGAAGTCAAGCAGTCAGCCCTCTGTGTAAGGAGCTGGCCGGGCTTGGAATGTCTGTGCTACCTGCACCTGCAAGTGCTCGACTTTACTAGCGGGTCTGACCACTAAAGCCCAGCAGGCAGTCCTGTGCGCATGGTCCTGATCTCCTTGAACTGTGTGGAATTGGACCCCCGGCAATGCTGAGGCAGTAAGCATGACAATGAGAGAGGCTCAAGGACAGCCGCAGTGTACTGCCAGTCTGCCCCTGAACGCCAGCAGCTGGGAATAAGCCAGGGGTACACTGGGCGCTGGCGTGGCAATCAAGGGTCTGTCGCAAGAGCACAAGGGGAATCATTTTCCACACCATGACACGTGTGAGGGCTGCGGGCACTCGCAGCATGAAAGTGAGGCACAGCAGAAGGACAATGCTTGCCTCATGCAGTGCATCAAGATCGGGACAATACAATCTCCAAAGCGATCACATTTGCATTCTGCGGTGCAGGCTCAACGGAGGCGTCCACCATTCGCACAGCGTCCCCCGGTTCCTCCCCCGGCAGCGTTCAGCAGTCCCCCACCTGGGAGTCCCCCAGCCCGGCAGGCTACAATCAGTCCCCCGGATATGAGTCTCCCAGCGGAGAGATCACCAGGGCGGGAGTCCCCCCCTCACCGGCGGCCGAGGTCCTAGTCCCGTCTCCCCCGCCGTACCTCCCCTCCTTCACGCCTGTTCAGGCCGCCGGGCCCCCCTCTCCGGCGGTGGCCACAGCTGCAGCATCACCCCCCCAGTCCTGGGGCGCAGCCGCCTCTCCGCCCTGGGGCGTTGTCTCCGCGCAGGCGGCCCCGCCGGCCGACAGCTCCGCCACCGCGCCGCCATCCCCTTTGCAAGGTATGCAGTGAAACAGCCCTGGCCATCCCCTTTGCAAGGTATGCAGTAAAACAGCCCTGAACTCAGCAAAATCCTCACATGTGAGACTATCCATGCGCAGTGCTCTCAAACCAAGCAACACTCCATCCCCATGGATTGCCGCTATTTGCACTGTCTTGCAACATATCCCACCCTTTTTCTTGGCAGCTTGAATATCTCCGGGTACTGGCTCGTTCGTACCACTGCCAACGTAAGCGCAAGAAATGAACAGGCGCCTCTTCTGTGGATGCAGCTGCGGAGTCTTACCCGCGGTGCGGCGCGGATGCTTGCAGCGCGCCGCAGCCGGCCGCGTTTGAGGGCAGCGACAAGTTTGGCAACCTCACCTTCACGCTGCAGCTGAGCGCCAACTCTGGGCTGGTGCCCTTTGGGCAGGCCCAGTCCTGGGCAGTGGGCAACGCCACGCTGGCGCTGCTTCTCCCCGTCATCGGTGAGCCTCGCTTTGCCCCAGCCAGGTGGGCTCAGGTGATCAAGGAATCAGTGGTGCAGCAGAATCACACAATCCGTTAGTCATCCCTGTGGATCAGAAGTTGAGCAGGGGAGGTGATGCGAGCAGTCAGGAACCTGCAGCTGTGTGGGGACAGTGAGCAAAGTGCAAGGTGCAAGGTCTGAAAAGGAAGCACCCGTGTTGAAAGGAAAAGAAGTAACAATCAGGATTACAAAACAATTTAGGTCTGGGCATGGGTGGCAGGCTGATTATCCTTTATGTACTCTGTAGTGCTCAAGCTAAAACCCGCGCCCCTGGCGGTGCGGGAAACATTTTCGAAGCAACTCTTGAAGGTCTTCCTGACTCCAAAATTAACAGGGTTATGCCCTATCACGACGACAACATGCATGCTCAAGCACTGTACTTGCGCAGGTAACAAGGCGGCTGCAATTGCCTCAGTTGAGCCGCTGGCCACGGACCAGAGCGGCAGTGGAGTGCAGTCCGTACGGGCCAAGGTGCGTGCTGTGCATCCTCTCTGCTGTTTTCTAGCCCGCTGACATCTGCGGGCCAAGGTGCATGTTCTGCGTCTGCAATGCTGTTTGTTTTTCAACGGGCGTGGTTTCTGAGAGCTCATGAGACCAGTGCAACCAGCGCGGGTCCTGGCCAAGAAATGCATGCGCAAGTGTTTGCTCATTGAGATGCCGGCATGACGCATGCTGTGACAGAATCCGCGTTAGGAACGGCCAAAGGGTACTATACGACAAGAGATAATGAGCATTTCAAGTGTATCCCCACCACCCCTTCCCACAATTCTATGACCATTTATCCGTGTTAGGGTTTCTCACTGGGTTTAGGGTTGAACCCTGCCGCAGCAATTTTTCCCGGGTCAAAGCGCCCCCAAGTGCTTGCGCACCGGTTTGGCTTGCTGAGAACTGAGTCCGGCCTCTTGTGCAGGTGGAGGTGAATTCCACTCGGCTGCACCTGTCCACGATGCTGGCAGTGCTGCAGCAAACGAGCCAGAACCGCGAGTTCCTCAACCGGCTGCGCGCGTTCGGCCTGGGCAGCCTCATTGATGCATACCTTACTAACATCGCCAGCTCGGAACGCGCGCGCGTCGGCGGCACGGTGAGACAACCCACAAGTTCTGAGGGCTGAATGGTGATCCTGGTCAAGCAAAGAGCGTGCTGCGGCGCATTCATGACGCAGTACTCCATGTGCCCAGCTGCAGGACAGCAGCTCTCTTTCTTGTGACTACATGCCTATCTGGCAGTGCAGTACTGGCAAAATTGGTTTTGTCCGAAGAGAGTGGAGATCCAGCGGCTGTGATGTGCTAGCAGGACAGTGTAGCAGTCAGTCCATCAACAGCTTTGCAAAATCGTCAAGCTTCCAATGACATTCCATAGCATTCCATTCCGCCACATGCGCATACTCAGACTTCCTGCTCAAGCCATCCTGTGTCACTGCCTGCCTTGCAGGATGGATCCACTGCACAGGCGCCGTCTCCGATTGCACTCGCGCCGTCGACACTTGCCCCGGCTTCACAGCTGCCCGCACAGGTGAGACGGTCGCCGGGACTTGTTGCTGATACCGTATATGACTCTGACTTGTTGTCGATTCTGGGAGCTTGCCAACCCATCGTGAGGCAAACCTATGCCACCCGCTTGAGCTTATCCATACTGGCATGTGACAGCACATGAAACAGCACCTGTTGATGCTCTGGGTTGAGCAAACTAGCTGTCTTTAGCCTTGCAGCATTCATCAATTTGTTGGGTCTCTTGCCTAGCAGCACAGTAGCAGACTTCAAGTCTGTGTACCCCTCCATCACTATACTCTAAGGCATCCCCATAAGGCATTATAGCTAAAACTTGCTGCAAATGCTCTCACATGTGGTGGGTGGACTCTGCAAGGGGCAAAGACTGCAGCTCGGGCTGAAAGGCCATAGGCAGCAGTCTTAGCGCTTTCACAAGGTGTTGTCTACCGTATTACTGGGTGAGCTGACCAGGCGGATTTCTTAAAGCTCACGAGAAGCCCATGTGTCTATATAGGAAGGGGCCTTGAAATAAATGTTGACAGGGGATGCTGCTGCATGCAGGATCTGAGCACCGCAGCTGCTCAGCAGGCTGCCCAGGCGCCCGCCTCCGGGCTGCCCACCAGGCAGGCGGTTGCTGCACCGGCCCAGACGCGGCTGGTGCCCGCGCGAGTTTCCGGGGCCATCGACCTTGCACCCGCTGCGGCGCCACCAGCTGAGAGCAACCAGATCGTGCCAGGCGTTGTGCAGGGTCCCATCGCCGTTCAGGCAAGCTCCTGCACTTGAGCTTGTAATTTCTTGGCTGCATTGCCTTTGTTGCGGCAGTCCTGAAGGTGATTCCTTTTTGCTGGAGTTCCTTGGCAATTTGGGTCTTAAGTTCCGGTTTGCTGCTGTGCGTACTGCTGTGACTCTACCAATCAGTGCATTTTGGGGCCCATCTGTGGTGTGCTGCACTGCACTCTTCTAGAAGAGCAACGCATTTCCCCTTCCTTACACTGCCAATGACGTCCCTGGGGAGATCACGGCCCCGCCTGGTGCACCCTGTCTGGCATCGGCTGGTTTTTAATGTGTTGTACTGTGGCATCTGATGCAAGAGCGCTGCATCCGCTAATCTGCTCTTCTGACAGCAGCGTTTCTGTATGACGTCAGTCATGTCGTTATGTCAAGTCTTTTCTGTGCTCAAGGAGCCAGAAAATTGTGATCTTGACTAAGCTCACGGAGCCTAACATGGGTGTTTACAAACAAGGAATTGATGCTGTGCAGGCGCCAGCGGCCGCGCAGCCGTCATGGGGAGAGCCAATGCCAAATCAGACGCCCAGCCCCGGGGTGACTATGACAATGGCGCTGGTGGGCCCCAATTCGGCGGCGTTGACTCCCGCCGACAGATCAGCCATCCAGGTCGCCATGGCACAGGCCATCCCCGGCATCAGTGCGCGCCCCTTTAAATTTCTACCTTGTTTTTAATTTGACACCCTCTAGACCCTAAGGCCACAAAGCGCCGCACAGACCAAGCAAAAATGTCTGAAGCCGCTTTGCGTGTCCCCTTGATAGCCTCTGTGCCAGCTTTTTGGGGCTGGAATTTTCTTCCGTGCCACGTCCGCCCTTGCACACAGACAACTGTCTGCCGAGTGGTTGCTGATGTTTCTGCTGCATGCATGCAGCCCCCGATCAGGTGATAGTTGGCCCCGCCCCTCAGCCGACCAACGCCGCCGGTACCAGGAACCTGCTTCAGGCGCCCACATCCCCATCCGTCTACACCATCCAGGTGCGCTGACATCGTTTCATTTATCCACCCTTCTCGGCCAAAAACCAGGGGGAACTAAAGACTACCTGTAGTAGTACTAAAATAGTCTTTAGTACCCCCTGCTAAAACAATTAATTAATGCGGGTAGAATGAGTACCACACTTTCCATGGTCAGGGCTCATCCAATGTCAGGGCAGCGTGTGATAGGTCGTGTATATATAGCAGGGTTTGGGGGTTACTAATTCTAACGCAATTAACGCTAAAGTGGACCGCCAAATTGGACTGCAATTGGTGAAACAAGCATGTTGTTGCGCGCACAGGTGTTGCCCGGAGCGGCGAATGCGGCGGCTGTTGCGACGCAGGTGGCGGCTCTAGCGCGTAGGCCGGCCGACCAGCTGCTGCTGCTGCTGCGAGGAAAAGGTGCGCGACTCAAATGTCAGGGACACAGCCCTTATTTTGGATATATTGAGGGTTTTACGGTTTTTAAAATTGGATTTAGGGTTTGTGGGTGAAACAACACCAGGCTGCAGATTTTTGTAGGCCCCGCATACGTGGCTGCAGACGCCCTGCGAGTATGCCCTGTGGCCTTTGGCTTTGGGTCTGCCGACCTGTAACAAAAAATAATAATAATAATAATAATAATAATAATAATAATAATAATAATAATAATAATAATAATAATAATAATAATAATAATAATAATAATAATAATAATAATAATAATAATAATTATAATTATAATTATAATTATAATCATCAATAAAAAATGTAATACCGATCAACCCTTTTGTAGAGAGCCTCTTGCATGTGCTGTATAAATCTCTGGGGCTGAGAGATACATTGCATGGCAGGCATCTGTCATGGGGAACGGGTCTCTTTACGACCAGCGGCTGACAATATAGCACTTTACGGAGTTTTTAATTGATGCTGAAGTTGGAATGTGCGCAGGCTTGGACGTGTCAGGGGTTGCTATCACGAGCGTCAACGGGGTGCCCGTAAACGGCGCAGCCGAGGCTCCGGCCTCCGCCGTCGGCGCGCCAGCGGCCGCAGCCGCGTGGCCTGCCCTGCCTGAGTGGGCCTATCCATTCACCCCCGTCACAGATCTACCCAGCGCACCTGCCCAGGCATGCACCCTTCCTCCCCTCGGTACATTACAAAATTTTAATAGTTATTATTACTACAATTACACGCTTTCCTGCCAGAAGGCAAGGTGCGTCTTACAGACAAGCTACACATAAAGGCTGCCACAGGTCCTACCCCTTGTTGGACTTGCGAGATCCAAGCAAGACCCAATCAACTGGGGGCGTAAGAATGCCACGATATTCGTAAATTGCCACACTGGCTTCAGGACGCCACTTAGAAGAAAACCTGCTTTTCACTGGCATGCTAAGATTGCACACCTGACAAGCAGTGGCGTATTTTCCTTTCTGCAGGCGCCTGCAGGATCTGCTGTCGAGCCATTGCCCCCAGTCCAGGCGCCCTCTCAGGTTTCCAGCCCAGAAGTGCAGCTGGTCGGAGGCGCTCCCTCCACCTCCCCAGAGGTATGGCCAATGACTGGACTCCCACATTAGCTTACATGCAGGAAGTGGGACCCTGATCTTCCAATGCTTTAAGGATTATTTTACTTTATGTTTCACCTATATCACCCTAAAACCCTAAAAGAAACCCTAAATTTAACCCTGAAGAAAGTCCTCTGGTCTGGTGACCCTGCCTAGGGCATGTGTGTAGGATCCTCTCAACGTTAGTAATCGGATGACCTTTAGATGGGTCACCCACCGACAACATGCACAGCAGGGGTGTGTACAAGGCAGGCCCGGCTTGGGCAAATGTCACTGGGCATCAAGCATGCATGCTGCTCCTCTCTATGCCGTGCGGCGTTATCAAAGGCATCAAGTGCTCATCCTCCCTGAGAGGTTCTGGGTGTCTCTGCGCAACCCTTAGGGCTGAATGTTTGTATATATAGCCTTAAACCTTAAAGCCATGAAAAAGGAAGGTGACCTCACGCACCCCTTCAGAGCCATGCAAATGGACAAGCAGCCGTCTTGGCAGCTGGAGGGCGGGGGGTGCCGACAGCAGCCCAGGCTTTTCATTGGGGAACATGTTTTTCACGACAGTCTCACTAGGACTGATACTCCAGCGAGAACCATTCTAGAGTCGACCTAACGCCTGTGGGCTCAGCGATTGAATCTTGATCTGCCGAGAACTTGAGCAATATACCTGCCACCCAGCTGTATGTAGAATGCAGCTATGGTGGGCTCCTCTGGGTTCTTTTACAGGTTTCATGGGTTCCTTTTAGGGTTCATTTATATATAGGGTCATTAAATGTAACCCAGAGGGCCAGGCTGCATCCCTCCTAGTTAAAAAGTCCCGACGCCTTGTCAGCATCTTGAAAAACTTGTGCTTGCGGTTGCAGCAGGCGCGGCCGCCACTGAATTTCACGCTGGCGCTGCAAGGTCCCACGGTGGACCAGCTTGCGTCCCAGCCGCAGGCAGCAGACGTTCTCAAACGAGCACTGGCTGACCTGCTGCCGGGCGTATGTGAGTTTCTCTTTTGGATGTATATGACAGATCATTGGCAGATCTGTTGCAGGCTGCAGCAGTAATCTGTCTCCACTAAAGGACTGAAGCCCTGTTTGAATAGAGACACCTGCAGTCTAGCCAGTCCAGGAGGCAATTTTGCAGATGTTGACTTTGTTTTTAAGCCACTCATTCCCTTAATGAGGTGCGAATGGCCTGTGCGCGTAAGTGCGCTGCTAGGAGGGTGTGGGGTACGCACTCAGTGAGCAGCTTGTGATGATGCAATGCAACACAGCTTTCATGTGATAAAATGCACGTGTGGAATTCAGGTAACCCTGACAGGTTGGAGGATGTACAGAGGCATCACAGAAGCAAGTGGCTGCACAGGATCACTGCCAGTATTACTGCAATTCGCCGTATTCAATTGCGGCACTTTCATCTGTAGTCTGCTCGAGCTGTGATGCACTGGTCGAACAATGCTGAAATTGTTCTGTTCTTGTGGTGCGCAGTGCCGGACCAGATCGCTCTGTCGCAGCCTGCAGTACAGCGCGGAGGCACGCAGCCGCAGGGCCTGGCCGGCAGCGGCCGCCGCCGCACGCTGCTAGCGCTGCGCACCGCTGATGTCACCGCCGCCATCGTGACATCACCAGGGCAGGTGAGTCACCTCCCGTCTCCGTCAGCCTCGCCTTAGTCTTGCCTCAATGCCTCAGCCTCAGAGTCGAGCGTTCTTGCTCTGATCTCCTGTAAGAAGGCTCCGGGACTCCGGCATGAGAAGAGTCTGGCGGTGTCACAGCTGGGCTGAGTGACATGGAGTGAAAACATCCAGCAGTAACATGAGACGGCCAAATACCAACCAGAGATCTTATGTGCTGCACCACAGGAGGAGTCGGTCATGAAGAGCCTGAATGCTCTGGCAGCTCTGCCGCGGACCACACTGCTCCAGGCATTGCACTCGCGCGGTGAGTGGTTTTCGTAGTCTGCATGCCAGACTTTGCTGATGGTTTTTTAGGTATGTTAGAATTGCCTGGCTAGAGATAGCTGTAGGGGCCTCAGGTTGGGCTTGCACGGCCGACGGGGCAGATATGGTTGCTATGTAGCGAGAAAGGTCCAGCAGGGTCGATTAATGCATCCAGATTTCATGCTCTACACCACTGCTTGCATCCCTGGTTGCAAGCATGCATGACCGTTGTGTTTTGCAAGCTGCGTACTCAATTGATGCCCTGCTGTTCCAGGGCTGGAGATCACTGACGCTCGCGTGTCGGCTGTCAATGGCGTGCCGGTGCAAGAGGCTCCCGAGTCTGCCTCTTCCCCCACCGCGCCTGCCGGAGGTCCAGTCAGCAGTCCAGTCAGTGGTAGGGTCAGCTCTGCCGGGCAGCCCGCGTCAGCACCGGGCAGCGGTCTTGGGGCAACGCAGAAAACCTATATTGTTGCAGGTGATCCCACTTTTGGATCCTGTGTGCCGAAGTTAACGCAGAGGCAATTGGGCTTGAGCAGGGAATGGCAGGTGCATGGTACAGGGTGGGAAAAAGCAAATAGAGATTGCAGTGTCTTGAAGAGGGACACTGTCTTCAGATCCCAGGATGGGCCGATTGGAAACTGTGAAAGCGGGTGCACCCAGCAATGTGGCAAGCTTGGTAGCGAGACTCCATGCTTCCATGGCCGCAGAGCCGGGAACCTCCTTGCTGTGATGCAGAACAATGACTACCGCAGTCAACACCATATTTTGCACATAAATATTTTCATTAATTTGAAAAATGGTCGGAAATTAAGACTGCAGAATACAAACCCCAAAACAGTATATGAACAGTTTTGGAAAGCTCCCGCCGAGCCCAACCCATTGGTGATGATGAAACATCAACTCAAGGAAGGAGAGACTCTCAAAAACGGGTCCAAAAACATTTCGCGCATTTTGAGTGGTGCGGGATTTTTGGTGCTGACTATGTGGTTTTCTTGATGACTGTGCGCAGGCTGTGCGGCCGCGGCGCTGGCACTGTGTCTGGCAGCGGTTCTGTGCTGCTGCATACGCCGCCGCCGTGCTGCAAACCGGCAGCCGCCGCCGTCCCCCGTGTACATCACCGAGAGCGAGGTCCGACTGAGATTCCCGCTTCGTTTTGTCTTTACACTTCATGCACATTGACAGACAAATCTTTAAAGTGAGGCCATCTTCTTGTGCCTGCATATTGGCAGACTCATTGTGCGGTGTATGCACTTATGCCCCAGCACTGGCGGCTCTGCAATCCTGTTGCTCAATTCTGGGCTTCACTTGGTGTTGTTGCTGCATTTCCTGCATTCTCCTGCCGTGCGCTGTCATGCATGCATCATGTGCGCGCAGATCAGACTGAGACCCCCAATTTACTAAGTGGTGCTTGCCTTGATGCAGATTGATGTAGGATCTTTCAGAGTGAGGCTGCATGCCTGTGCCTGCATGCAGCAAGATCCCTTGTGCGGTGTATTCTCATGTGCCCTTGGCACTGCCGGTTCTGGAACTCGCTCACTTCCAGGCTTGTTGTTGTCTTTGCTGGGGATTTGATGCTTTCTCATAGCCCCGCGACTCACGCTCATGCAGGGGTGCTTGGACTACCCTGAACTAGTTATTTCATAAATTACCCCTAGCTCACGCATTTTCATGTGCGCGCAGGTGCGCGCTGACTCAGCGCTGCGCGGCATCGGCCGCGCCGTCTCCGGCGTTCCCGGCAGAGGCCGGGCCGGCGCCGCTCAGAAGCCGGTGGCGCGCGCGTTCTCGCAGCCCAGCAGGCGCGGCGGGGACGGATTACTCAGCGGCCACGTCAGCAGCACGGAGGCGGCCGGGGACGCCGAGAAGGGAACGCCGCCGCGGACCGCGGCCGAGGCGCTGGCCGCCATGCAGTCCCGGCTGGCCGCAGAGTCACCCTCGAGCCAGCCCCCGGCCGCCGACTTCTCCTCCCCCAAAGCCCCGGACACCCAGGTGCCATCCCGTTTCCTTTCGCAACGCTGACCGTAGCCTGCAACTGGCCTAGTGGCAGTTTTTGGAGCAACCAAGCAAGAAGGACCCCAAGTGCGGACAGCGCAGGCACAAATTGTGAGCTCAGTTGAAACTTTCCCTTTGCGCAACCTGCAGAAGCCGTGGGCGAAGCCGGCCGGCAATCCGCGCGCGGCCGCGCCGCCGCGCGCTGTAAGCGAGACGTTCCACGGCAGACGCATTCCCTGCGGCGGTTCGCGCCGTCACTCGATCATGTCATCGCTGCCCGCTGACGTGGCCATGGAGGCAGCGATGAGTAACCCCCTGGTGACAGGAAATACAAAAGACAGCGCTGTGGTCACTAACCCCATCAACCTGATGGACTCCAGCCTCAGCATCAGCACCGGCCGCTCCAAGTCCCCCAGGACCCCCCGGGTGAGCGCATGCTTATTGTATGCCTATACCGTTTACACTCCATTCCCCTGTCCCTGCTGCAGCGCGGTGCTGCATTGCAACTTCCCATTTTGCGCCTACAAAATAGACTCTCTGCGTGTCTCAATTGCCCGCCTGCAATCTTTCCAGTGTCACAGCCGGCCGCACGCAGCAGAACTGAGCCAGCAAACCTCAAAAAGAAGGTTTCTAGACTTCTAAGAGAATGCAGAGTGATGTCTCTGAAGTTTCTCAGGTGATTGGAGTGCATAGGAAATTCCTATTATTGAATACCAGGTACTACTGGGTGATAGAATTTTTCCCCACAGTGTGTGGTGGCTTTGTCCTGGCTTGGTGGTAGTGTTTCTTATTAAAAATTCTGCCGGTTGCCAAAGTGGCCTCCAAACGATCCTTAGGAACATATGATAGGGCACCAAAGTGGCAGAAAACAGGACTTTACAGATATTCTCCAGCAGAAATGAGGGTTTTGGGGGTTTGGAGCCTAAAAAGGGGGAAACATGGCTTCCTGCACCTCTTGAGATATCATCCAGAAGCCGATATGTGGCCCCAAAGTGTCCAACAAAAAGTGGCCAGAACGCCAAAACAACGCTTGTGTACTTGGTAAGAGCCACATTGGAGCCGGCTAAAACAAGCCCTGCTTGATGCACGCGCGCAGGCGCAGCCGTCAAGCCCGGTAGCAGGTGACCTGGAGGCAATTTCATCCGCGGGCATCAGCCGGCTGCGGCGAATGGCGAGCGACACTCAGGAAAGCTTAGATAGGCTGGGCTCCGGCTCAGGGACCCCCCGGGCCGGGGGGAGTACCTCGCCACGTCACTTCGCGAACCCCCTGCTCACCACCAGGTGAGGGAGTTACCGGGCTAGGATTTTCCTGTGTGTCTGACGCAAGGGAGTTTGTACCAGGGGGTCTTCGCTACCCCCTGTTCGTACTTGCAAGAGGGTACAGAGCAGAGTAGAGTAGAGTAGAGTAGAGTAGAGTAGAGTAGAGTAGAGTAGAGTAGAGTAGAGTAGAGTAGTATCTCCCGGTTCTTGAGGAATAGGATAGAGAGAACTGCATGATGGAGAGTGCATGCATGGCCACCCATCAGATGAAACCAACAACATTGATCAATGACAGGAGCCCAATACGTACCACGAGTGCGTGAGCCATGCAGCGGCCTCATTCTTCTTCCTATAAGTTAGGGTTCCCATCGGAGACTTCCTGCCGAAGACTCCAATGGGCCCTATTGGCTCTGCGTTTGCCAATATCTTGACATGGGTACCAAATGTTAACAGTTCAGATACATGTATACATGACGGCACTGGCTGGCGGGGTGCGGTATGAACACCGAGCACCGCGCCCACGGTTGATTAGGCCTTCATCTGGCGAGTCCGGACCACAAGGATCCAACAAGGGGTAGGTTTGTGGCAGCCTTTGATTGCAGCTTGTCTGCACGACGCACCTTGCCTCTTGGCAGGAAAGGGGTGTCATATCAATAAGACAAGCGGTTGAGCTGGTTGTGTGATTGCGCGCAGCCACAACTCGGCACTCCTCCTCAGCAGCGCAGGATCCAGCATACTCGGCGCTGAGGTGCGCACAAGAAGCTCGCTTCTCCTTGTCAGGTCAAGCAGCTGCAACTGTGAATACAGGTTCACAAAGCTGCAATTCCCACTGTCTTTGAGCAGGAGCCTATATTGTTAGATGCCTAAATATTATCTAGGCCTAAATTTTACTATAGGCATCCCGGCTTTCTAAAGGGGGCGCTGAGGCGCTTGCCGGCATGTGCTCTGTGGGGGATACACCTTCAAAGACATCCGTCGCCGATGTGGATTTCGCTGTTCGTTAGAGTTAATGCTGAAGTGTGCATGCATGATTAGGGCTTGGATTAGGGTTCAGGAATGGGGACTGGTTATTTTCCCGGACGACGACGACGGCAAAAGTACCCATATTTCACAGACAATGATGCGGCAGTAGGCCGGATGCTTCAGGGGTCGGTGGGCGGACTCAAAGCAAAATGTTCTGTGCAGGTCATGCGCACGCCACAGGGGACTCCAGTGCAGGCAGAAAACATGGCCAACGTGCAGTACGCAGTGCAGGACATCATCGACCGCGGCAACGTCCTGGCAGGTGCTTGACTTTGAATTCGAACCTGAGTTGGTGGCCTGAGGGTTAGTCAAGGAGGGCTGACAGGGACAGAATATTACTGGGAGTGGGCATGCGTGGCAGTGTCTGCCTGAGTCAGAAAAGGTCATAGTGCGTTTTTATCAAGAGGTTGTGCTTTGGGATCTTGCTCGATCCTCAAAGACTGCTGGGTTTGCGGTGAGGCTGTTGGTGAACCTATTTCTTTTTATGTTCAGGAATTTACGAATTTGGGTTAATTTGGGTTAATCCTAAAAATTCAGAGCACAAATAAATGTGTGCCTCTGAACCCGGTTGCGAGCTGATGTGTGCGCGCAGGCAAGTACGTGCTGCAGCAGGGGGTGGTTGCCGGGCAGGCCAGTATCACGGCGGCTGCGCAGGAAAAACGCTTTCCCAACCGCGCGGCGCTGTGCCACTTCTATGTGGATGTGGCTGACTTTGACAGGGAACGCCTCCTGCTGGATCGGCTGACTAGGCACGTGCCAGGTGAGACTCCCTAGTTTGTACCTTCTTTATAGTTTTTTACTACCGGCGAAGGGCGAAGGGCGGCACATTGCTGAGCACCGTGCCCACAGTTTATACGGTCTTGCTTGGATCTGGCGAGTCCAACAAGGGTCAAGGACACTGCGCAACCATGGCACACATTTCTTACCATCCTGTCCGAGCTGCAGCAGACAGGGTCCTAGTGTCACTCTGCAATAGAGGAATGGTTTGAGACCTTGACACATAAGGAGGTCTATGCCCTGCGCGCAGCTTTGCTGGACGCGTTTGGGAAGGGGGACATCCCGGGGGCCCCGCACCTGCCGCCCTGCTTAGTCACCGACACGGGTGACTACACTCTAGCAGAGTGGCCATCCAAACGTGCCAGGTGCGCCGCTGCACCTCCTTTTTTTAAAGGGTGTCTTCTACCCTAAACCACGACTTGGACAAATTGCGGTGATCTGCAACGGGGTGTTGACCGGTCACTGCACTACTGAGCACCGCGCCCACGGTTGCCTGGGTCTTGCCTGGATCTGGCGAGTCCATCAAGGAGTAGCATATGTGGCAGCCTTCACATGCAGCTTGTCTGCAGACGCACCTTGCCTCTAGCACGAACAACGTGCAATCATAATGAGAAAGAATGATATGATTTGGAGCACCAAAGTCATGATAAGCGTCTGACGGGGTATATATTGATATTTCGGGTTTGGATAGCATTAAAGCCCTCAACCCTTAATTTTCATTGTGCGGCGCAGGGATCCGGACGAGGTGCAGAAGCGCGCAGTGCTGGCGATGGTTGTCAAAGCACTGGCCGGCCTGCATTCTGCCGGCGTCGCGCACTGCGCGCTCGGCCCGGGCACGGTGCTCTGGTACGCGCGCGACAACGCCATGAAGCTTGCCGGCCTCGGCTGCGCGGCGGAGCCGGGGCAGGCCACGCGCGTTTCCCCCGCGCTGCGCTATGCTCCCCCCGAGGTGCGCACGCTTGCAGCGCATACAAAGGTCGTGCTGAAGGCCGTGCTTGCATGGCCCCAGCTCGGTTGCCATGAGCGACAAATTACCTGGCTAGAAAGCACGTTTCTGTAAGCGGTGATCCTGTTGGGGTGTGAAGCCGTAGCATTGGTGCCAACTTGTGGCGTTCACACTGATACTGATTCGCCGAACCACACACGCGAGTGATGGTATGCCTCATGCGCCGGCCGGGGCATTTGCCGCTCCGGCCCAGCCTCTCTGACGCGCGCGGCACGACAGCCTCAGGGGTTGTGAGTTCTCATGGTGAAGCTGAGATCACATACAGGGCAATGCAGCAGCGGATGCGCCAAAAACCGCTCTGCTGTGAGGCTGAGGCCATGTCAGCAGAGCGATGCATGCGCCTCATGCACGCGAATTTGTGAGCAGGTTATTGCTGCGGCGGGAAAACGGACCGCGTCACTGCCAGCCAGCTTTGCCATCGACATGTGGTCTCTGGGCGCCATCGCGTATGAGATCTTTGCAGGGTGAGCTCCTATATCCTTCAGCAATAAAGCATTACTGTAGTGACCGGTCTAAACCCCGCAGGAAATAAATGTTTTCGACCCAAAAGGGTTGAATATTAAGACTCTATTTCCCAAAATATAACCATATGACGATTTTGAGACAGAGTCGGAAAGCTCTTGACATACCCAATCCAATGGAGCAGGCCCCTGGTGATAAAAATGTCAGGAAGGCCCCTAAATGTTGCATTCCAATGTTCCCTGCACCACCATGGGGGTGCGGGGTTTGAGTGACCACTACGGTAGTGCACAGTCTGCTGTACTTTCCTTGTGGCTTGCCAGCAAGCGCTGGCAGATGGTGTTTTTGCAGAGCAGCTGTCCTCCTGTGTCCTGTCAGCAGGTCAGTGACCAAGAGATGACCAGACAGTGTTGTCAGTGCTGCGGTTGAAGTCTCATTGCTGGCTGCTACAAGCCATTGCTGGCCGTCGAATTTCCACCACCAGCTTGGTGGTGTGCAAGTGCACGATTCACAAGAGTGCAAGCGTGTGGCGCATCTTGCTGTGTACGGTCCACGGCAGCGCCCTAAGTCCGGGCGGTGGGATTTCTTGCATGACAAGGGGGTGAGATTTTATTGGGTGTACGTTTTACACCCCAAAGTTGGCCGGGACCCTAGACCCACCCACCCACCACCCTACAAGCTGCCTGTTGTGGCTTGTTTGGTGGTCACGTGACCCTTGATTACTCACTAAATGGCACGATGAGTCATCATTGACCCCCTGGTGGGTCTAAACATTTTGGCAAAAGTTGACCCACCGTCTGGGACCCACCCACCCACTATTAGGGGGTGGGTATTGAGGACTTAAACATTCTCACCCCCTTGTTGCACGAGTCCAAAAACTATGTCCTAAACAGGCGCGTTGCAATGTCTGCGCAGGCGTCCCCTGTTTGGCAATGACGTGTCCCCCTCCAACTTTGCCGCTATGATGGCCGGCAAGGCAGCACTGCCCTGGGAGGGAACGCGCGCGCCAGCACTCGCGGCCATTAACAACGTTGACGCGCGGCTGCTCATCTCTGGCCTTCTCAGGTGTTGCACCGAGCAACACTAAGCACGCCGTCTCATGTCTCATGTCGGCCATAACATTCTATTACACTTCTTTTCTGTGTGTGTGAGGAAATTTCCATGTTGCTGAGGATGCCCAATAAGTCCATGGTCTCGACATGTGCAATGCTCCTACAGTGGGAAGCGGTTTCTAAGCACAAAGCAAGCTCTAGATCTGTACGAAAGCACATTGATTCCATGTCGGTTTCAATGAGCGTGCTGGTGCCTGTGCAGGCGCAACGCATCGGAGCGCTGGCAGATGCGCCAGGTGCTCGGCTGCGCCCTCTTCCGGCCCCCGACGGCCGCCGCCCCGGCGGCGCGTCCGGCAGCCGCCGCCGTGGCCGGCCCGGCCGACGCGGCGCAGCGCAGCGCGAGCAGCACGCCGGCTGCGGTGACGCCGCGCTTCGTCAGCACCATGCCATCGCCGCAATCGCGGCGCACCACAAGCGAGGGCGCTCGGAGCCTGGAGGATGCTGCGCTCTACGCCACCGCGCACCTCTCGTCAAAGCGCGGCGGCCAGTGATGCAATATATATTGAAACATAAACAAAATATTACTGTACTTTTGGGTCGTGGGCGGAGATCGACTGCTGTTTAGTAGGGGGGAGGTAACTATAGGAAGGCACTCTTGGGTTTTGGGGACAAAACTTAACGCAGCATAGTGGCATCTGGGGTGACAGTACTGAAATGTGAAGTGGGATACTCCATTCTTTGAGTTTGCAGTCGTTTCGAGCTCCCCAGCCCCTGTTTTTGTAGCTCCATTTGCATTTGAGAATGCCAGGTGGAATGCAATGCGACGACCATCCATTGGCAATGGACTCCAACTCCTTTCTTATGTAATCATTCCAGCTATTTTGAAGCCTGCCCCGATCTTCTGAAGGCCGAGGTCACATATATACCTCGCCCACTGCATGGACGCCGCGAACAACGCGAAACACTAGATTTTATGCAAATGGAGAGCCGGCGACGACGATATCGATCCCGTCTCAAGAGGCTCGTGGGAGCGTCCTTGACGTGGCGTTTATATTTTATGTGTTTGAGTTTTCTTTGTCATTGTGGTGTACACCAACGTACAATGGCTCCTCATGCGTACTAGCTAGAACATCCGATGCAAGACTTGTCTTTGGCTCCACAGCCACAGTCTTTGTACTGCGTCCTTAACATGAAAGCAATGTAATTATTAATGCGCGCGATCTTTCAACGTTGGCTTGTTATCTTTGGGAATCTACGCTGGATAGCTGTTGCGGCGATTGGTATATCTTCGCCGAGGAGAGTTGGACCCTGGAAAAGGGTGGGTGCTTGTCAAAAACTTTGCCTTAGGATATGGAATTGTGAAGTAGTCTTCTACTTAAATATGCCAGAATTAGTTTATACGTACTTAAGCCAGAGTCTTAGACATCTTGGATGTGAGGACGGAGGTGAGTAGACTACACAACAGCAGCCGATGGCTCCAGGTCGGATGTGTCAGCACAAGTAACAGTCCAAATTCAAAAGCCTCTAAAAGCTGCAAACCCAATACATATATCAACTGAATCGATCTAGGGAAAGTAATCAGGCATGCGACGGATTCCGTAGCATGAGAATAGTGTTCGGACTGCTCGAACTTTCCGGAAGAAATGAAGTCAGTCAATCAAATTACATCGATTCCAGCCACCTAGGCTGATCTGATGCCTGACTCTGGGTATCAAAGTCAGCGCCCAGCATGAAATCTAAAGATTCAGATAAAAATTTAGCAACACCAAGCATGTCATCCTGCCAGAAGAACTGCCTCATAGTAGTACATTGAAACAAAGCAGCATACTTGTCTCTGATGTACTACAAGTGAGGACACTCAAAAAACAAAATTTTTGTCATCTCCTAGTGAGCCATGTCCACATAATGTGCAAACCCGGTCAGCCCTGGGGGTGCCGGTCCAAGAATTCCTGGGCAATCCATGACAGCCCATCCTAAACCGCAGGAGTTGTCTGATACACCTTGCTGACAAAGGGAGCGACAACACAGGTTTCCTAACACAGCCACTTGGTCGAGCAAACCACGCAATGTAAATGACCAGACGAGACTTGTGTGAAGGGCAGGCTGGGACAGTAATCAAGGTCCTGCCATGCTGAATTGGCACGGTCAGCAAGAACCTGAGTAAACTTAGCAACATCAATATAAGTCAACTCTGAAGCACTGATGACAAGATCATAGCCTAATTTACGTACACCCTTGATGATAGACCAAGCCCAATTCTTCAGATTCTTTGTCACAGCAGCCTGGCAGGCATCAAGGGCAATGCGCTTATGGAGATTTGCATCTGGAAGGGAAAGTAGGTCATTCCAAAAGCGGACAGCACGGAGCCAGGACTCATTCTCAAAAGGCTGAATTCAAGTATCATCTTCATCAAGATTGCTGTGGCCACAGTAGACCTAACACCAACAATTTGCTTGAGAATCTGTAAATGTGAAACCCCTAACGATTCCCGAGCAGATGACAGAGGTGCACTGAGGCGGTAGGGGCCCCAGACCTCTGAGCCATACAGACCAGTAGGCGGCACACAGGTCTTATACAATTTTAACAATAGCCCAATGGAAGCAGCACAATGGAGCTGCCCAAATCATCGCTGTAATAGCGCCCATGCGCCCCATACTTTCCTGTTCAAGTCCAAGTAAGTAGCATGCATGCCTTGCTGGGCCTGGAAGATGAGGCCCAAGTACTTCATCTGCACCACCCACTCAAGAGGCTGTCCATAGCACACCCAATTGGAATGGACCTGGCCACACCTGTGAGAATACTAGCACTTTTATTTGTCAGCACTTATCAGCAGTCCAGTTGCGTCACAGAATCCAACAGTGGCATTAATAAGCGCTTGCAAACCGTCAGGCGACTCAGCCAGTAGAAAAGTCACGGATGCTCAATTCGGCTGCATCTACATCCAGTGTTCGAATAGAAATCATTGGCTTTTGTGCATACATACGCGATTCCCTCACAGAGAATCCCTCAAGAACCGCGGGCATTTTTTCATGGACCACAACTCTGGGTATTTCAGGTCCAAGAGTTCTTGAGTTCCTCTTGAAAATTTTGAAGGTGATCATCCCTAACACTGCCGTCCGCATGGGTCAAACTGATGTATGGCATCCAGAACTTTCCCTTCTTGATTGCTTCGGGTGGCCTAGGATGGCTACCCTTCTCGTACACGACCTGTTGATCATAAAATGCCACACTCACAGTCGTGGTAGTGAATTTTGCAGCGGAGCCTGTGTAGTGGCCGTATATGTCCGAAATGTGTTGTTGAGCGTATCCGACATATGTGCCAGGACCGGTGGTCGTCACATCCTCTATCATGTACACGCCATTGTCACTGACAAAATCATAGAGTTCTTCAAAAGTGACAAGCTGCTGCTGATAGGTATGCCCGCCGTCATCCAACACAATGTCTATGCGGGGTACCCTTGATTTCACTTCTGCCCAAAAGGTACGATTCTCCTGGTCTCCAATAAAAATTTGTGTACCGGGGAGATCTTCAAAGAGTGCCTTTGTGTAAGGATTTATGTCGACACCGTATATGCGCAATCTATCGCCAAAGTAGTGGCGCCACATGTCCAAGGAGCCGCCACTCTGTACTCCGATTTCGAGCAAGTGAACTTCAGTGTCAATAAATCTGGAAAAGTATCTATGGTAAACATCGAAGTATTGCAGCCACTTGTGGATACCGGGACCTCTGTCTCGAGTTTGAAAGAATGTCCACAACGGGTTCTCATCTGACGAGCCACCGACTCGCACGCTGGAGAAACACTGAGAGTGTCGTTGAGGTCCTTTTGCTATTTCGTCGCTGCCAGACCTGCAGATATGATCACGACACAGTCACAAAATTTCTCGTGCCAGCTACATATAAGCAGGAGGTCACGTCGGTGGTTCAGGAGGGTCACGAGCTAGGAAAGACACAACCTGCTTTCGCTTTAGAAGCAGATGCAGAATTTTTTGAGCAAACCTGTTCTTGCCAAGTCCAGCTGAAACGATACACGATTGACTGCTGAATAGTATGGCTGCCAAAGCCAGCACGCCGAGCAACCCCATATCGGTAAACACGGCAGAAAGTTGTGATTCAGCTGGTGGCGTAGGCCACTGTATAAATAGTAGAGTGTTAGATTGTTGGCCATTGGCACTTTCTACACTCATCATGGCCCATGATTCATGGGCATTCAAGCGATGAAAGTTCCGAGGAAGTGTATATAACGTAAGGTGGGAAATAGCCTATCTCCCTGAGGGATGGGGCGATAGTGTATCTACTCTGAATCCCACGGCGCAGCCATGCATATAAACAGTCAGTGAAAATCCACGGTGGATTTTGAGGGCCTGGGTAGCCGTGGTGCCACGGTGGTGGCATGCTAAGGAATCATACGAGCCTTAGGATGAAAGTGCTTAGCTGTGGGGCTGAACATCATGGCTGCCTTGGGAGTCAATGTTTGCTTGACATTATACGCATGCTTGTGACATACTATGTAAGCTGGGATATGAATTTTGTGTGCAATAACGATTGATGTGATCACGATCATGATGCCCAATAGCCTCTGTGATGAATTACCCACCAGGCATTTACAGTTGAATTCCGTGATTCAGGGTCACGTGTGGTTGACTACGCGTCACATTGCTACCCGAGTGTTAAAATAATGTAAAGCAGTCATTTCTTAACTCCCAAATTGGCCAGATTGCCCCTGATTGACCCACTGCAGTTGAACAGCTGAACAAGGGGCACGGTTTGACCATATTATGAACAAGACTCTTCGGATTGCTCATAAATGACTTCAGTCATTTGGCAAAGGGCACCCTGGGTGATTTTGGGTCTGGACTAGGCTTGGGCAACCCAAACTTTGCCTGCTTGAACTTCAAGGCTTGAAGCTTGAAGCTTGGTAGCGTTTCAAAAGTTTAGGCCAAGTAGCTCCTTATAGGCCAGACGCTGGTGGGCCAAGCCGTCCATAGTAAGACTCCTTAGTAAAAATGCTAGTAAGACTGAAAGTTTGGAAATTACTTTCAAGGTAACATCACGTCAACATTGGTCTCCTCCTTAAGAGAGATTGGTGATCCTGCCCCACGCCTCGGGACATAATGCACTGCGAGATCTGGACACTCAGAAGCAGGAACTGCAGTGCATGCAAGATTCAATTGCAAGTTGCTGATTTCTGCCACATCTTTGTTCCTGAGGTTGGCGCGATCGCCACAGCTGCTGGGGTGGGAGGTGGGTTTTGCAGCTTTTGCTTGGGAATGACAATCATGATCAGGGCATCAGTGTATATGGATGCCATTTTGTCCTCTTTGAATCTTCTGCAACGTACGTACGTCACAGTACGGTACTGCTAGTGTATACTGTAATGCAATTGAGATTGTGCATGACGTCTCGAGCCTCTGAGAGTTGTTACACCATGTTCCACAATTTGACACACCATACATGTACATGTGTATTCTAGCTTTGAGCTGACTTGCTCACAGTTTGCCAATGTGAAGCATTGCACACTGCTCTTGCTAGATGACGAGCTAAAGCACCCTTCACCTGAGCCCATAATTTGCTGTTGTGCGATTGCATGAGAGTATATCGCCGCGGTCGTTTCCTGACTTCTTTGTGTAGGTATAGGAGCTTATCAGGCAGCTGCTCCCAAGAATCAAGGAAAATTATGTTGAAACCTAAATATTGCAAAGGGTACAATACTTGCCCAACTCCAACATGCCTCTCCAATAGTATAGGTATGCACCCTGCGGCCCCATGATCACAAGTGACGCTGAAAAGCTAAATCTTAGAATCAAACAGATACAGAGATTACACGAACAAATTGAAGATGCTGTCAACTTGAACTTGTAAATCGGAACCTTACCTGCTTCGAAGGCTTCCCAAATGCGAAACTGCTCCGGACTGATTCCAGCTGGCAAGGGAATGAATTGTGTTTTTTGCATGAGCATGGAGTATTCCCAGTTGTCCATGGAGTCTTGAGAGCGAACAGGACGACCAGCATATGAGCCAAAAGGCTGAAGACTTCCCCACTGCAATATGTGTTCGGCTGCCTTGTGAGCTTTGAGAGCTTCAAGCATCAGCAAGCGCTCTGGCTTTGAACCAGTGCTACCTGCCCAACTCCACAGAAATGGCCTATCCAGAAAACCAACCCTGAGTGCTTCTGGCAACGTTCTCAGATTCGCCAGTCCCAAAGGCATCCACAAAATACCACTGGAATTTGTGCCAAACTTTGTGCGCTCAGGCAACAGATAATCCATTGTGCTAGCATGCATTTGCGAATGAAAATAGTTTCTATATATTAGTTTGACATTGCCGTACAGCCTTGGATCTGTTTGTGAAATAGTTTCATCACTTGGGTGCAAAAGTATTACAGTTTGTCCCTCGGGAATTTTCTGGAATGACTCCTGTTCTTCTACAGTAGGCCCACCAGTTGCGGCTAGAATTATTGGTCCATGAAGTCGCCGAGTTTCAAAAAAAAAATTGCTGTACTCTTCTCGCTTCCGCCACTCCATTCGACAGCCGCATTTACCCACTTGACTGAGCAGATCCTTAAAGAGAAAGCTTGACTCGCTAACGTCAGTCTCCGCAAAAAGGAAAGCCTTGCAGTACTCATCCGGCCGGTGTATAATACCTCGAGCAGCACTTGCAAAGCCTAATTGCCCCAGATATATACAGGCCCATATTTTAAACAGAAACACTATCATGTATGTGTAAGCGGACCAAAACGTTCCATGCATTCGATACTAGTCCCGATTGTATCAAAATGCCAGCTTGTCAGGTTCTATGCCCATACAAAATTTGCAAAAAGAGAATCGTTGTCGTGTTGTGCTATCTTGTCCTTCAGAACTAGCCCAGCTTCTCTTCGCGTCCTAGCGTCACAAGTTAGGGTGATTGACTTGCAGGTCCAAGTGAATTCCAGGATCCACTTGCGTCCACTGGACATTGTCCATCTCTAGTGAATTGGAATCACAGACTCGTTAGAGTTGAGCCGTAACAGCAATCTTGATGATATTATTATACTTTAAATTTAGTACCCCTGGTGCCACCCAGTGGGTTTATAATCAGGACTCTAAGTTTTTTAAAATTCTTCTCTTTCATTGCCAGATAATTCATCGCATCAGATATCTAGATGCCAATGGGGTTACCGGTACAGAAGTACGTACTACAATACGGCATGCATAGCAGGTACATATGCATATATGTGCACAGGGGAAGCCTACCAGTGGCTCCCCTCCCCAGGTTCACCTAGCCTGGGGGACTAATTCGAAGGTCTTAGAATCTGAGGATCAGAAGTTCGGATCCCAGCGAGATGGTCAGCCACTTTTTCGGGAAGATTTCGTTTCTCTGGGTTTAAAAAGGTACGGGATCTGTCCCGGGAATGAACAATCTCTTCTAGATCTGGCAACGGAAAAGAACCGACAGCGCCTAAGCTGAAGTCCTTGGCGAGGCTATCCGGTATGGCAAAGCCACCTAGGTTCCGTTTACGGCCATGGGACGGTAGCCGCGAGCGGCGCTCGCGATCTAGCCAATTGATGCAAATGGGGGAGCGTGTTTCCTTAATCATGCCCCAGGCGACCGTCGATGTGACATCGATGTCAGGGCGTCGGATTTCCATTTTTTCACATTATACCAGTGGCTCGGGCAAAGGCCCCCCAAAATTATGGGAAATTTTATTTTTTATTTAAGGATATTATATATCAATTAGTAATTGAATTTATATTGTCAGGATCATACCTATAAGTTAATCATTATGGACCCATGATGGACACGAACTATGAATCCCGAATTCGAGTCGAATCGAATGCCCCTCACCGTGCATAGTGACTATGGCAGACCCGCATAGTGCACTATTGCGGTATGGTTGATAGCGAGGCAGGTTTGTACAGGCAGCTGTGTTTGCATCCTTGTGTTTCTTCAGGAAGGTAGGCTACAAGGTGCTTTCATGTTTAGCAGGATAACCTGGGTTGGAAGTGTTCTCCTACTTGATGTGCAAGTTCACGTGAATTTGCTAGTGCGAGTGTACAGTAAGCAGCATAATAATTCAGATGTAAATGATCAGCAGAATGACCTGGGCTTCCAAAGTTGCTGAGCAACTTGAAGGTGCTGCGAGCAATATCATATTTTACGTGTACACATGTGTCTCACTGACTCATGCCATGTGCACATGATTTTGGCAACATCATCATGATCACAATATACCGCCGGGCTGATCCGTGTGAATTGATGAAGGCCCTCGATATATTTCCAGACCTATTGCCGATTACCTTCTTGATTACAAACTATGATGCCGATGGCAATTGGATTACTATTAGATATGTGTCTTCATAGATATGGAATGTTTCCTCCTGGGATTGTTATTACTACTCCTTGCACCTCTTTCACTGCTATGATCTTTTTGTGGCACAAATGAAGGCCCTGTAAACCAATCATTGTTACCAACTGCACCGCGATAGGTGAATCCCTTGGAGGTCAACAAATTTCTCACCTCCTCGTTTTTCTTCATACTGTGAGAATCGGCCTCAACTGTAATTACTCCCACTTCAACATTATTGAAATCTACCGTGCGGAGAACTTCCATCTCTCCACCCTCAACATCTAAACTCCAGAAATCAATATGGCCAAAGCCCAATTTGGACAAAATTGCATTCAATGGAAGGCACTGGATGGTGGGTAAATCATTGACATTCAATCCCTTATACCATGTGTCCAAAAAAGAAGCCGACATGAACTCATATATCCCAGCAGTGGCTCCACCAGCTTCAACAAAATGAACCAAAGAAGGGTTGGCGCAAATAGCGGCATTGACACATACATCGTCAGGACGGTTCCTCACCAGTGCAGAGTAAGAAGTGGGATTTGGTTCTATCAAGAGCCCGCGCCAGCCATGAGCCTTCCGAAGATGCAAAGTATTACTGAATTTTACCCCATCGAATGCGCCCATTTCAAGATATGTGCCGTGATCCAATCCCCGGAAGAAATTCTCTACTGCATACTTGTCTTCTCCACCTTGACTATAATAACGGGCGGATATCCTCTCGTCAGACGTCTGTGGTGTAATCTTGCCAATCCACGCCTCGCCGTGTTGGTACCATTGCGGAAGCCAAGCAGGGAACGCGACGCCCGTTTTGCTCAAGTCATCGTTGTGAACATGAGATCGGGTATCTTTTTTAGGCAGGATATCCTGGTCGCCACCTTGAATACTACTTTTGAGCCTTCCCAGGATGCAAATGTACCTCGAGAGCAACAGCACGGCAAGGGTGGATCTTCTGGTAAAGGGGCTCATCTCCTGAAGGGCGTGTGGCGCCAATGGGTCAACTGTACAGGCAAAATGCAGAGGTCGATTTGTGATTTGAAGTAGTGATTTGTTTCAACCCTTGCAGTACAGCCTCTTGTATGATGCAGTGCCAGGAAAAGTTGCGCGACAAAGCCGCGTTTGGAAATACTATGAGTTTTCTGGTTCACCTTACTATAGGTGGAGCACTGGTCGTCTGTGTGTCCCTGCTATGATAGTAGCACCAGATTCCTTGTACGGGCATTTATGTGGAGCACTTCGGCGCAACTGTCATTGGAGGTTTCAGAGGGCATAGGGCTAAGGGTAATAGAAATCGGAGACCGGGCTTCACCCCGTCATTCTATGTGAGCCTGTTTTTCTCAATGTCAAGTCAAATCTGAAACAGGGACTCAGACACAGGCTAGGTACACATACTATGTATGCAGTGGAACAAATAATTGATAGTAATGGTATTTGCCGCTTTTACGATATTCACTGAAGTGGTTTTCAAGTTAGACCAAGACATTACGGTAGATTCCGCGAAAATCGTATCGAATTCACTTTAAGGGCCCCTGCCACCGTGGGCAGTGATTGAGTGGACTGACAATTTTTAAGCCCATTAAAAAAACCTTTAACCCGAAATTTATCCTGGGACGGCGAATTGAGGATCAAATAGATGCTTTATGTGGCTCTTTTATGTCGAATGGCATTTGGATGACTACTAGTCACTGACAGTAGTACTAGATCAAGATAGAACTTCCTTGAAAAAATTTGGCAGCCTGCTGAGATCTGAGATCTCCCTAGACTCTATCGTGTCGGACGATACGTATACTCTCACTGCTGGCTAGTAGCCGGTACTAGCTGAGTATGCGGTGTTTAAATATATGCCTGACCAGTGGTCATTACTAAAAAACAGTACTTGTCATTCACTGTCACTATGCGTACAATACCCGGTGTACAATGAACGATAGGTGTACTACAAATACTGATACTCACAACAACTCACGTTTTTGTCCTAAGAATGCTATTGTCAACAACAAATTGTCATGCCAGTGACGGCCAAGAACGGATTCGAGTCATATGTCATCATATTGATGGATAGTAGTAACATTGATGACGACTTTGCAACTGATCAACCAACTTGCTTTGTGAGTACTCTGACCGTCCCAATTCTTCCCCGTGGGCAATGACAATTACTCCTCGACAAGTCATCATGATCACCATGATGGCATGAAGTCACCGGTACGGTACCGGTACGATATTCGTGCCATGTCAGCCTCAGGCTGAGTGAAACTGTACAATAGCAGGACGTCCCTCTTGACACTCAACTCCGAGTCACATCATGCTACGATTGTTAGTAACCGTTACGGCGCACAGACAAAATAATAATGACACAGTTAAATATTGTATGGCACCTATTTTCCGCATTTTGGAAAGGCGGCAAGTTGCCATTCACGTAAATCTACTATATGTGGTACCTGCTGTTTAATGCACAGACTGCCAGACTATCAGCGGTTAAAATTGAAAAGAAATATGAGGCCAAGGTTTATGCAGCTTGTTGTGCATCACAAAAAATGCCTGACACCAGGTAGTCTCCTGGACAAATCTTCATACGAGTCACCTTCCAGGTGGCAGTCGCGTGGCTGGTTGGGATTTATTGTATATATAGAATTCCATCGTCTTCCATGTACTGCTGGAAGACGGCCAAATCCAGAGTTTGATATGACAAAATAATCTGCAAGTGAGATGAGGAGTTTTTCTCCGACTGCTGCCAACAATGCCTGTCGTCCTCCTGATAAGGGCCCTTGCCCTGCTGGGATGGAAGTATGCTGCACGAGACCCTGGTACATGTAAAACGTAGGTCAGCTTATCTGCTCATTTACCACTTTATCCTGAATATAGATTAAAGCTTCTACATGTGTCAGACGCGCCGCACCATCCACAGTAAGTTATTGAATAAGGTTGTGTGTCATATTGGTAGCTTTATAAACAAGGTGAATTAATACAACTGCTAGTTGTGTGAGATGTACAAGGGCTTTCAATGAATGTCATTTACCTTCTTGGTATTGGTCAGGATCAAAGTAGGGTATTTCTCTGCTGCAGCCTTTCGAATATCTTCCCTGTCACTTACAAGGAGCCATATGACGTCCTGGCCTTCTTGTTGATTGTCCTCTTGCAATTCCTGAGATGCCAGCCGAAGAGTGAAACCGTTTGGGCCATAAAAAGTGGAGAACTTATAACAACGGTACCAGCGCAAAGCAGATTCCCAAGCAAATGCAACGACTTCACACCTTTGCGCATGCAAAATAACTTTCGTAAGGGTTCAATAAAGCGTCCCATTTGCTGTTTTGTTCATCTAGTACAAGTCCATTTTGCGCCATTGCAGTGTCAGACGTCCTTATTTGAATAGCGATTTTCAGGGTGTTCTTTTGTTGCATTTTAGCAAGCTCTTTGCGGAATAATGCCTTTGCAGCCGAAGTGGGTTCAAATAGGAAGTCAAAGGCACATCCAAAAATCGTCTCTGGCCTCAAGCCCTGCATTTGTTGGAAGAACATCTGGGTAAGGCAAAGTTAGCCTACTAGGCAGGAACAGGCAGCAAATTCATTGCAGCCTGCCAGTGACTCACACACCCCACATGGTAATGCTCGGAGCATTACCATGTGGAAAATCTCCGACTTGTGGTAGGGGTTGTGAGTGAGCTGTATTACGGTACCAAAATTGCAATGCTCAAATATGACAATATCTGCATCTTTGCCTGCAAGACAATGCGGAATGCGCAGCTGAGTTCAAAAGGCAATCCATGTGACAGGAAAATTGCTTACTCAGGAAGGATCGGATCCCCCGGGTACTCCAATCGATATCCCTGTGATTCTGTTGTTCCTCTACATACTGGGTGGCGCGTACCTATGTCATGCAGGTTGCCGTTCCGAAATATTGGCAAAGCTGAACTCTTAGGCTCCTGCATTTGGTCCAAGCCAGCGAAGTTGTTTGGCACAGCCAGCCGTTACAAGTAGCCATGCCAACAATTCGCTGATTTGCAACATTAAAGGTTTTCAAAATTTCAAAGTATTAGGCTCACCTCTCCACCAGTACCAAGATCAGACAACCTATGTACCGATCGGCCAGTTTCGTCAACTTGAAACGTCCAGTCTATATTTGGCCTATCATACCTAAATGGAACGGCACAAGCAGGTTAGAATTCCTTGGCATGGTCTTTGACAATTCCAGCAAGACAGAAGTCCTTGATATAGAAGAGGGATTAACACACCCATCTTGGAGCTTGAATGAATCGTCGAGATTTCGTAGAACAAAGGCTCTTCCTGTAAGAACTGAGTACATGAAAGCTGTAATCATGCAACTCCTGCACCATAACCTCTGTCAAGCAACTTATGACGGGCTTGTCAAAACGAATTCGAGTGTACCGGATAGTACCATCTTTTCAAACCTCAGTTATGACAAGGGGTCCATTGCCCTTACTGTGCATCGCTGAGACCTGGAAGACAGGCCACAAAAAGATATGAAAACCTACAAATGTGCTTTTCTGACTGTTGACAAGTAATGGCTATGGATGCACGCGAATATAGCTTACCCATGCTTGAATACGCCATAACTGTATATCTTGGGTATTCCATGCCTTCCTTGATCGCCCTATCAAGGTGCTCGTAAGGTCCCTGCCAGTTTCCGCAGGTGCGAGGGTCTCTTTCACTTGCATGATTGGACCTAACGCGATACTGACCTATCACATTGCTTGATAATGATAGGATGCTCGAATTTAAGCAAATGAGTATACTTATCAAAAATAACCGCGCCAATCCTACACGATGCTGTCTAGCTCTGCGGTGTGTGGCAGTTGACTCAATATTTCTGGTCGAAAGCAACCATCGCCAAGGCATCATGCTTCACACGCGTTCCAGAACTGCAGGTGGAGACAACAATCGTGAAAAAGAATACCCAAAACCCGAGGTCGATTACCCTACTAGTAGCGATGGGTGCACAAATGGCTCTGCGATGTATGTTAGTTTATCCATTCCTTTCATCGAAGACATATGCTGTCCGGACGATGCCCGGGGAGCAGGCAGATAGCATGCAGGCTCCAATGTTGCTCTCCATTGGACCATGACGCATTTTACGTCAGCAGAATAATAATTACAGGGGAGTTTGTGGAATAGCTTCCTCCCTGCATGAGTTGAAAGTTTCAACTTGAAACTCATCATCAGCTGTCACTGAATGAGGAACGGGACGACATCCTGACTGCAGACACACACACTGCAATGTGGTGTGGGGTTGAACACGATGAGATCGAAAATGAGTTGGACGTCTACAATTCCCCGCTCACAAGCGTGGCTAACAGTTGCAGTGGCTGCGATGCTCTTATCAACCCAGCATTCCGTAAGTGCCTCAGCAACCGGAGGACTTGCAAGTGACCACCGCACAAAGAGCGTCAAAGTCAAGGTGGTGTCGGCGTGGATGTTCAGTTATGGATCAAGATGTGCACTGGATCAACAGCACGGAATAATGGCTTTGCACCATAGCATAGAAGTTCCACGAAAATAGCGCTGTCTCTGAGAGCTGTTCCATAACTTTTCATGCAATCTTGCACCGAAAGTTAAGAGGTGGCTGGCTCACTGATGGTCCCCTGTTCCTTAGACAAGGAGGCTCGGAGGGCGACATGGCGCACACTGCGGTCAAGGGTGGCAGGATACCTACTCACACCTGCACGCTGCCATCCTAGAGTCTGAAGCCTCCAGACAGCGTCTGGCGGTCGTAAACCTGCACAGGAATGGGCTAGGCGACCGGCTGACAGCTGCCGTTACTGTCTTCTATTATGCCTTGCTCTCAGGTGCAGACACACTCCCTTGAAGGACAGAGTGGTGAGCAACACAGCGCCTAGGATTCACAGCCCTTGGAGATACATAGAGCGAATACATGTTGGTTCCTGCAGGCTGAACTGTTCATTCATTCTACCCCTGTTTGAAAACTCCTTGACTTATCAAACGGTGGCGGCAGTTGTCATAAGCAGGCAATTCAGCCACATAACAGGCTAGCAGCGAGCCGGCTTTGCTGTGCATCAATGCACATATGCAGACATCTATGCCATGATTCGTCTCTTAAGCACAGCAGTGGATACTCTTGGCGTTGTACACAATATCACACGAATTTCATGCATGCGGTCTCCAGGTAGGGCCTTTCAAATCAACTGGCGCGGTGCCAGCACAGAAGCCACGCTGGCGGCTGTGATGGAGAAGGCGAATGTGGATTGGGAGGCCGCACGGGGTGATGTGGCGGGCGGGGGCGGAACACAATACGTGGATTGGTGGTTGATTGATGGGCATCATCCGCCTGACGCGATGGATTTCAAGGTCTTCGGTGGCGCGAATCTGTCAGACATGTGGCCAGACGCGCGCACGGTCGTCTTTGACATTAACACCGGCGCTGTCGATAAACTTTTCTACAACCCTTACCACCGGCAACAGGTGCGCGACGTTCCCTCGTCCTATCATGTTTTCAAGATGAGAGTAAAATTGAATACAAAAGCCCTGATGAAGCCTGGGGCGTGATCACGGAGGCAGAGATTAAACATGCCAAGGCCATGGTTGACCACGCCACCGTGAGGGCATGGGTGACTCACCCATGTCCCCCATTATATTCTAATGCGTGGAGACTTTGGGCATAAGTCTTAGGGCAGGACGGCGATTTTGGTGAAAGCAGTGAGCCATCAGACCATTCAAATCTTGTTATTTCATGAGGCGCTTTGTGGTCGAGCAGCTGTTCACCTGGGGCCTGCGGCCAGAGACGGCTGTGGGCTGCGCACTGAATTACTTGTTTCGGCCGCGCCGAGAGACATTGGAAGTGGTGCGGGAAAGTTACGAGGCGCTGCGGAACCCAGATGCTCTCAAGATAGGCATTCAGGTATGAAAAGGTACAACCTTTCAGTGAAATGATTACATCGAATCCTCGGATACAAAGATGAAGTGGGCCATTGAGTGCGTTCCAAGTCACAGGGATTTGATTCCGCATTAGTGTCTGTTTTCGAGATCGTGTCTAAAATTTGCAACGATGTTCAGTCTTGTTCTGCATGTAAGCAAAGATGGCATGAGAAGAGACTATTGCATGCACTGTCTAAAGTCAAAAGCTTGATGTGTAGGTCCGGATGGGCGATGCATGGCTGCAGCATAAGCCAAATGGCGTTTGTGACAGAAAAATCGACTATGATGACTTGGGAAGGTGGTTTCGATGCGCATCCAAGGTATGTCAATTGCTCTCAATTGTGTTCTACTCTGTCAATATCGCTCTGATTGAGGTCCCCACAGTGTGCCGTTATACCAATTTTGATTCCTTGGATATCCATTTATCCAAATATTGATATTTCATTGTAAGGGAAAACCGGCAACGTTGTTAACTCACTGGAGGCGAGTTTCATGTGACCGTTACATGAGGTTGCGTAAGACAGTAAACCTCAATGCACAAGATCATCAATGATTGAAACAGATCTGGTATGGTGCAGGTGGAGCAGGAATACAAGGTGGAGGGAATGCCAGTGCATTGGTATGTTGTTTCTGACTGCCCTGCATTACGCTACAAAGCCGTCGAGAAGTACGGGCTCAAGGTAAGTGCCAATCTTCCATGATGGCGGCAGGTTTAATTACGTCTCAAAACGAGGCGCACTTGGCAGCAGGCTACATCTTTACATCTGAGGATTCAATATCATTATTTTATGGAAAGGGTTGTATCTTTACATCAGATAGCATTTTTGCAACTCATTGGCAGCTGCCTGCAGGAAATGCTGCCTTGCATGCTTGGCCATGCACGTCCCGCTATGAATCATTACTCGCATAACCAATATTCCCCCATTTGCAGGTGCTCTTGCCAAGTCGCGAACTGGTCACGGAGCACGTCACCTTTAGCACAGGAAATAGCACAAAAGATGTGCTTGCCATGCGTACCGCATTTGCGGAGCAGTGGCTTCTAGGCATGACTGATTTTCAGGTACATGGGAATACGCTCAACTCTTTTGCACACCATCTAGACACCTCAATGCACACACAAGAGACTTGCAAGATGTGGTACCTACGTGATGTAGACAGCCCGCCGACCTTGCATTTAGTCTTCTTGGAAAGGCTTTTTATTTCAATCTTTGAAGACCTTCAATCTCTCGCTTGCCGCTTTCAATGCAAGCCATTGTCAATGTTACCCACCACTCCACTGTTGTATGTTGGGCTCAAAACTTTATTGCAGGTGATAACGGAGGAGTCGAGTTTTGGGCGGCTAGCTGCGCTGCGGTCGCTGCGGTTTCGCTCGGTATATACCATGCGCTCGCCAGCGGCAATGGCGGAGCGCGGCCGGAACGTTTCATGGGAGTGCACCCGAAGCAATTTTGACAATTTTGAGGAGGTTGCCATCAACCACCCCTGGGTGAAAGTATTGTAATGCATCGTCGAAATATAAATGCATTTTTTGCAATTTTCTGTACTTCCAAATAATCGATCTAGCCCAGAAGAGTATTCCTTTTTGTTTGGTGGACATGCTTAGGGAAAAGCGTCTTCATGAATGACGCTTTGTTATTAAAGTGTGAAGGTACTACTATAGTATCGGGCCAAGCTTGCTCCAACACTCCTCTCATCCTTTTGTTGAGCGTTTGCAAGTTTCTGTTATACTAGAGATCATCCATGATACAGCAGTATCGATAAGCTTATCATATACCTTAAGGAAACCGGATACTCTAGGCATGGATCTCAGGCTGCAGCCAACTGTGCAAAAAGCTACATTGGGGATAAGAGCCATCTCAGTGAGTGCCTTCCTGGCATAGGAATCCTGAGACATCACCAAGGACAAAATATTGTGCAAAAAAATTGTTGTGCAGCAGATTACGTGGGACTTGGACATGCAGTACTAGTCTTGCAAACATATCATGGGATTTTACCCCCCTTGGATGCTGTTCACTGTGGCACATGAGTACCGCACTGTGACATCCACCGTGGACTCCACGGTGTCACTCGGAGTGACTCAGCACTGCCAGCTCCCAGTGGGCGGGTGCACGGTAACACCCAGAACAAGAATTGCTGATCACATTGCAGGCAACAACCTTGTCGCATGGCCCAAAACGTTAGAGAGGTTACCATGAACCTTGCATGAGCCCCTGTGCACCCGTTATCTTAAATTCTTGAAGGTCCTATTAGGTCGATGCCCCTGGACAAAGGGTTCGCAGGGGTCCCCCGCCCCTCGAGTAGTATTTAGTACCCCCTGGGTTTAGGAAAATCGATATAGGCAAAAAGATATTGAGGTCATTAGGCGCAAAGCATGGGTGCATTGCACACTTGAAGCCCACAATCATTCCTTCAAGTTCCTGAAGGGACTCAGCTTAACTATTGCATACCTTTTGGATTGAAACTCCATACATTCAACATAATGCGCAAATGTCTTGTAGTGCACCATGGGTAAAAACACGCAGGTTGGTTGATACATCTCGTCTCCGTAAGACACTTGCGTGTTGTTGCCTAAGTTTGAGGCTGTAAAAGCGTTTTATGCACAAGCCGGCAATTGTTAATCAGGACAACCTAGTGATTACAGTCCGTGTTTGACTCAGTGAGTCGACGGAGAATATAATAAGACGACATACAGAAGGGTTCAGAATATTAGTGTGACTGGCAAAATGCTAAATGGTTCAGTCGCTGCAAAAAGTTCAATCATTAGAGAGGTACTACGCGGCTAGGGCAACCAATTAATAACTCGATGCCACAAGCATATGATCTTGGATCTATAGACTTCCTTTCGGATGCCCAAAATTGCTGTGCCCTACGTACCTGTTTTTCGTTCCCCCTGCAACCAATCTTAATTTCAACACACTGGTACAAAGGGAGCAATCCTTTGAAGTAGCAATAATATGCATCCTTTGCGATCCTTGAATGTTGGATGCAACTATACCTTACCCTTACCCAGCCATGGACTTCGGGCAAGCAAGGAGAAGAAAGGTGTTGTGTACGCAGGTGTTATGCCACGGACTTCCTTTAACTTCTCCCTTTCGAAGCCAGCAGCAGTTCCTTCTTGAGGAGCGAGTGAGATGAATAGCTGCCTTGCATCGTGAAAATTTCGAAATGCCTTCTGCTATGGCTCCATCATCCTGATCACATATTTAGGCGGTCGGTTTATGAAAGCGACCGCGATGTGACATTTGGCGGTCTCACCGTGACACCACCAGGTACAAGGGGTGGATAATCAGATTTCAGGCTTCACATCAATCCAACGATGAGCAGCACACAAAGATTGATTGGCTTCACTTTCTTGACTCTAGTGTTGGACACCACTGGCATATTTGCATCAAATATTGACAGCCTTTCACAAATTCCTTGTGAGTCACCCTCTTTACCCGCGGGCAGCTTCCACGTTGTCGTTGCAGCTTACGAAGAAAAGCATTGCTTCAAGCAGTACTTGTGGAAACTAGGACTTACCAATGCTCTTGTTATCATCTATAGGCGGGTGGAGCCTGAAAGACCCCTTGGCCGTTGGCACGGTCCTTGCGGTATGGTTGTCCAAGAGAAACTACTGCTTCCCAACCATGGAAAAGACCTGTCGGCCTTTCATAGTTATGTTTTCGAGTACTATGACAATCCCCCTTTGGCTGTTTTGTTCCTCCATGGCCATGGCCCACATGCTTACCATACTGACTGTCATACTATAGTTGGCAGAGCACGTTTATTTTATAGAGGTCTCGTATCGCCTTATGAAGATGGCGCAGAGTTTGCAAGGCACATGGTGACGTTGACCAGATTCAGCAGGCAGGGTGACCCAGATTGGATGCATGTGTTTCCGGAGAGCCCAATGTCACGGCGCTTGCAAGAGAAGTCTCCTGAAGAGGTTGAGGCGACTTCAAGTTGTGCAAATCTCTTCAGCAAATGGTCTGTCAACGCAACTTCAGCTGGTTTCTGGAGCTGTTGCGCAACTTTCATCCTCCCTTGGGACCGCATTCTTTGGTACCCAAAAGGATTTTACAGAGAAGCGCTCCAACATTCAGTGGAGCCTTATGATGATCATTGGACTAGTAGGGTGTGTTGGGAATTTGTCGTGTATGCATGGTATCAGGAACCTGCGGTAACGCCCAGCTTGAAGAAGTTGTACTTGAAGGCATCTGATCTGGCATTGCAATACGATTTGAGAGGCTGCACTGATCTGGAGCCCCCGACTTGTTAGTTTTTCTTACTAAGAAAGGCTTTAAAGGATCCAAATTTGGGCCTTTGAAGTCACCACAACACTTATTACAATGATGTGACATCCTAGTGTCGACGCTAGGACTCCCTAGAGTCACTCGGTATTACTAGGAGGATCCGGACCTCTGATTACAGAACATTAATATTATATATGTGAAGTTTTACTTCAAGTCGTATGATTTCATGATTATATGTGGAATGTAGCTTTCGTGGTGTCAGGGTTTAACGTAACTATTAGCTAAGGTAGTGTACTACATGTGTACACCAGTAGGGTTCGGTGTGTATGCTGTAGAGCCATAAATAGAAAAAAGATGAAAATCCGATGCCTTGATGTCACCTGGGGCGCGATCAAAGAAATACGCTCCCCATTTTGGGGCTGCATTTAAATTTATTATTAAAAAAAACAAATTTGCGTCGAGTGGCTAGATCGCGACCGGCTACTAGGTAGTACCATCCCAGGGCCGTAATCGGAACCTAGGTGGCTTTGCCATACCGGACAGCCCCGCCGAGGGCCCCAGCTTCAAGCCTTAACTTTAGTTGAACTAAGTTAGACGTTGCCGGTTCTTTTCCGTTGCACGAAGAGATTGTTGATTCCCGGGACAGAGCCCCAACCTATTTGCCCCAGAGAAACAAAAATCTCCCGAAAAAGTGGCTGACCACCTCGCCGGGTTCGAACCTCTGATCCTCCGGTTCATAGACCTTCATATTAGACCCCCCCCCCAGGCTAGGTGAACCTGGGGAGGGTAGTATTATATTATTAGTATTTAGGGTTCAGGATTGAATGTATGTAATTATACGTAGTATTTCTATATTGCACGCATTGCATTTGCACGGCGATGCAGTACTGTCATTTCTCCGAGAAAACTCGGAGTCACTTCGGTCCGACCGAAGTGACTCTGAAAATTGAGGAGTCCTCAATTTTCACGCTAGCTCTCCTTTGATGTCTTCATTACATTTTCTCCAGATTATGTAATTGGATCCTCCCCAAGCAAAGACAGTTAGCTAAGCTATAGCTAGCTCCTTGTCAACATGGTTGCCTCTACCGTCTCGCTCAATATCGAAGAGTTTATATCCAATATTGCATTAATGCACAGGCGAAATTGTGCACTTCAAAAAGGTCCATGCTGGATTTATCATGCACCGATATCGCATGGCCCCGGCTGGCGGGGGCCGGTACAAATACTGAGCACCGTGCATGGTTGATTGGGTCTTGCTTGGCTCTGGCGAGTCCAAGGTAGGGTAGGAAGTTGGCAGCCTTTACATGCCGCATCTTGTCTGCAGGCGCACCATGCCTTCGGCAGGAAAAGCGTGAAATGATAATAATAATAATAAATATCGCATGCACGGGTGCATGCAAAGTTTGAGAATCCGAACTTCGAATGAAGTTGAAATTTTATTCCGAACGGGTTGTCATGATTATGATATCATCGATGGAAAGTGTCAACGTCTTTTGTTTTGCACCTTATTCACTTTACATACATGTGCAAGTCACGGATCTGCCTCCACTTCCGCTGCCCATATCCAGTAACCCAACCCAGTCACGTCACACGTCACGTGCAACCATCCTCCTTTATCTACCACCCTTGTATCTACTAAATTACCTCCCACCTACTTAGTAGATCTCGATTTCCGCCCACCCAGTCTGTTATCTCTAGTCACCACAGTGTGCTGCTGCAATATCGCATGCAATTCCGCACATGGGATCTAAGGCTGGCTTCAAGCAAGTTGCGCAGTCACAGCCAGACCTAACAACTCATGACAGCCGAATTACTACACTTTCAAAATGTATTCATCCTGCCTCAGCCCTTCTGCACCTTGGAGCGTTCCCTTCCACTTCAAAAGGATCACAACCCATGCAAGGCTTCAGCTGCAGCCCCTCACCGATTCAAACTTGTATCTTAAAATCGAGCATCCATATGGCATGCATGACGCCAGGACGCCGCGTCATTGAACTCCTTATGACGTCATAATGACGTCATCGTGACACCGATATCATCATGACGTCAAATGACCATATCGTTTCAGACGTATATCCAAATGACATCATGGCGGATATCAAAATGAAGGGGAAGGATTATGCTGCCAGCGGTGGGTTGGCGTGTCGAAGAATTCTTATCATGTGATGTCATTGATACGTCATATGATGTCAAAAGGATATCAGAGGTGCCAGAGCATGTCAATTTTATCAGCTTGTATCAAATGCATGTCAGTGCATCAGCAGTGATGCTGGATAATCATCCTGATATCCAGTTACAGCCTCTTGTCATCAGATGACATCATAAGCATATACATGTCCAGTCCTCCTGACATCCTAGGGTCTACATCAAGTGATGATCAGATGACATCACCACCTTATCATTAGACAGCACTGTGCTGTCTCAAGCCAAGATTGTATTACAAGTCCCTAAGAATTGCTACACAGACAAAAATCAGCCTTAAAGCACCCTGTCTCATAGATGAGTACATTCATCTTATACATCGGAGCACAACCCCTGCTCCTACTAGGCCTGTCACGCTAAAGCCTCGCTCAGTGTATGCTTGCATACACAAGGTTTCAGTTGGTCTTCTTCACAATGAGTGCCTTCTCGTTGATCCCAGCTGCAGCCTCAGCAAGGAAGCGGTCATACTCCAGCCTCTGCTTTCTGCCTTCTGCGGTGTCCTTTGGAAACTCAGGGATGCCGTTCAGGAATAGCCACACCTGGCAAACACAGCCAGACACGATCAACGGGCAGGATCGCATGACCTCATGGTCACATTGATTTCAAAAGCATTGCAAAGCACGCCATGGCAGTGAGTGTGTGTCCTCTGAAACCTGCATCACTCAAAGAGTTGCACTGGCCAACTCACATACACCCATCTCGGCAAAGGCCACCTCTGCTGCGCTCAGTTGCATTGCGCCCCCTGCCTGCTTGGGCGGGTTGTACACGTCCAGCAGCAGGCTCAAGAAGGGTTGCGCGCCATACTGCTGTGCTCCATCCTTCCTGTATGACACATCTGCGCCCACCGCACAGTGATTAGTCAGTGCTTCTGAGCATGTGTCTACGTTAGCCATGTGTTCACACTATGGGACGGATGGTGCAATAAGGCCGCTTGTCTTCTATCAGAGAAGTGAACTCCTGCAATGGTCGGGGCAGAGACTCTCACCTGCCAGCATGGCCTCCATCTCCTCTTTCTTCAGGAGCCCATAGTACTTTATCCGTGCTCCCTTGATCTCCTTGGCAGTCTCTCCTCGCACCTGCTTTGTCATTGCGGTGCGCATCTGCAACAGGACAAGGAGGCGTCATGGCCATAAGAGGCACGATGCAGCCTCACATGACAAGAGACAAGCCCAGCGCTGGGATTGGGTGGCTGCATTCTTCCATCTGGCATGAACAAGACACCGACCAGGCACATGCTTGTACATGCACATGTATGCATGAGCTGCAGAAGGTACTTGAGTTCCCACGCACCACTTTGACGATGGCGCGTCTGAATGATGCGCTGCCATTCTCTTCCTTGGACGCCAGCTTCTTTGCTGCCTTCTCCATGGCAGCGGATGAAGGGTACATCGTCTTCTTGGAGAGCTTCTCATGGCAATATTGCACGATGTCCTTCTTCTGCCCATGCACACATTCTGTTTAAGACTAGCAGTGACTGGTTGTGAGTGATGCAGCCCCTCATTTGAAGCCCTTAAAACTCTGGTACTGCTTTCCATGAGACCGCTTCAACAAAACCTCATTAGAGCTAAAACTGAGCAGGAATTACTCGAGCAAATGCATGTCTCACAGCTGGTTAGAGAATGCCAGCGTACAAACAACTTTGAGGTTGGCTCACCAGTTCACGGTCAAGCGGCTCCTCTCTGCAGTCTTTCCAGATGCCTTCGATCGCTGTGCAAGTTTCTCTTCCAGTAAGGACTCCAGCAGCTGCTCCAGATTGTTGTTCTTACTACCTGCATGCATCATTACATGCCATTTTATTCCCCAAGTGCATGCAAGGGACAACCTTTGTGTCCACCAGCACCCTGAATGAAGAATGTGAATCACGGTCAACCTGCTCCAGGTGAGATGTAACAGTATTGGCATGTCATTGCTTGCAGAGCGAAGATAGGCAGACAAAGTTCTACAATTGAGCCAAATGCTGCAGCCACGCACTGTGCTTGCTTTTTTTCCTCTTCACTCTTAGCTGAGGCTGAGGCTTGCTCTTCTTTGCAGTCTTGAAGGATTTCTTGCGTGCCACAGGAATGTCCTCATCGCTCTCACTGCCACTGCTGCTGTCATTCTCTGCACTGTCACTTTCATTGCTATCCTCGCTCTCTGTCTCGGTTGCTGCACCGTCATCTTCATCGTCTTCCCCTTCTTCCTCTGCCCATTCCTGGAAGATGTGCAAGGATCAGATCAGCATGGCATCATGCCTCTGTTGCAGCAAATTGCTCAATGCATGTCAATGTGGGACTCTTGAAACGTAACAATTCCCTGTAAAGAAACGCAGCTGTGCAAAGTACAAGTTGCTCTTATTCATAGAATACACGCTTTGCTGCGAGCAGGCATTTGCAGATGGCATGGCATTCTAGTAGGCATGAATGCACATGGCAGGCATGCATGCACATGCCAGGCATGCATGCACATGCCAGGCATGCATGCACACCTTGGCAGCAGCAGATGACATCTTGCCCCCCCCGTGGGCACCTTTCCCTCCCTTTGAGGGACCCGCTCCTCCTTTGCTCATGTCATCTTCCTCACTTGCTTCGTCATCCTTAGAGGGTGCGCTGGAGTTACGGCCCTGAACATGCACAAAGGCTTATCAATCTTGCGCTGGGAAGGCTAGCCCTGGAAAGAGCAAGAGTGATCTGAATTGCGGTCAGTTGATGCATGTAGAAACCCTGCATGTACTGGCAGCAAGGAACCAAACAGCAATGCAATTCGAAGCATGCCATGTGTCCCTGAGTCGATAGAGGTCCTCTCTGATAACAGGCAATCCATGCAACTTGATGGCGGCATGGACATGGACCTTCTTTGCTACAGTTTTCCCTCTCCGCAGATCTCCCAATGTACATGTACAAAAGTTTTCACGTAGTTGCTTACCTTGGACTCTTTCTGGACCAGGGAGTTGCCAGTCTCTTGCATGGCCTTCTTCTTCGCCTTCTCGCTCACCTTATTGCCCTTTGACTGCAGATCCCCTTTGCTCTGCAAGGAAAGCCAGATATTCAGAATCGAGCAAACAAGGGCGGTTTAGCTGTCGTGCATGTGAACCGGATCGCGTTTGGCGGCAAGCCTTCTTGAAACAAGCATGGTCTCTTGAATCTGCTTAAAGCCTAAATTTTAGACCATTCATCTCGCAATGAACTCCAGATGGTGCAGATTGAAATCGGCGATTCGGATCTTGGCGTTTTTTCGATCAAGGTGGCCAAAATAAAGGACCCTAGGACTTTGTGGTCGAAAGACCAAAAGACAAGACCTCTCCTTCCGCAGAAAGAGTCATATGATCCATATAAAAGCTTTAGGATACGTGCTCAACTTGGTCATGTGGTCTACTAAGATATCCATATGCTAAAAAAAGTACATCCCTCTAGAAGCATTCGGCGTGTTAGACATTGCTTACATCATGGCAGCCCCGCTCTGTATTGCCATATAAGGAAGGGGTGAATTTATTACCGTCGATGCGCCGTTCATGTCTCCCTTCGTTGAATTCAGTGCATTTCTTGCACTGCCTCTACCTCTCCTCGAGGCCATTTTCCCTATCTTTCTGCGAAAAGAATGCTCCACCACTGATCTTGGCAAGGAAACTAACGGTACTCAGCGATTGCTGGGTAATATCATGGATTCGTTTGTGCACTGTGCACAGCAAAGAAAGCACAGCAGAAGTTTCCAAGATTGGCCGTCTTGCATAACTGCGTGGTAACCATTAGTCAGCGATCGCCTTCAACCATGTCGTTGCTGCAGCAGAAGATGCATTGGGTACTTCGCATGTCATCTCACAGTGAGAAGTGACAGACTAAATGGAGACAATTTTGTGCCAGCTGCGAACCTCGCAGCCACTTTCTTTCACAGCAGATCCCAGATTTCGGATGGTGTAGCGGACAATTGCTATGTCACGATCACCTTTTCAGATGATTATTTCTTCATTTCTGACATTAAATCACTTTAAATATTGCGTTCTGCCCGTTCACCAGCGTTGACATTGGAAATTTTGGGGAGATCTCATTACCGGAGCAGTCAAGCAAAAAGCCATGTAGTGCCTCCTGTAGCAGTGCGACATTTCGATCCGATGAAAAGGAAACGTAGGGCTGAAAAAGACGGCCCAAAGTCACCCAAGCGAGGCAGGATCGCGTGCCCAAAACGCGGGTGCCCATTCAGAGGCGATTCAGACAAAGCTATAGCTATACACATGGCCAGAAAAGCGCATTATGGTTCTGAATCTTCAGGAGACGGATCAGGTATTTCAGGTTCAAGGACAGATCACTCAAGGTCGCACCCCAACTCAGACAGTGTCACGTCACAAAGCAGTTCAGAGGCCTCGGAGGGGCCTGCCGAGCATCCAGGAAATTCCCAGCAAAGGTCAGAAGGGCTGGCTGCGGCGTCTGCAGCTGATGAATCTGGTGGCGATATTGACTGTGTAGACGGGCCAGTGCAGGGCGCTCAAGCCATGAATGTGGAGGATAGCTCGGCATGCAATGTGAGTGAAGATTCAGATGATGCATCTGAGAGTGCAAACAGCGTTGTAGAGGTGTTAGTCAGCTCTAGAGCGGCTGTAGCCGTACCGAACAAGTTTGAAGAGGGCCTAAAGCCCCTGCTGGCCGGGATGTCCATGAGAAAGATAGATGACTTGCTCAAGATCATCACAGATCCTGAGTACACGCCCCACTCAATACGCTGGAGGTCATCTGGAGCATTCAAGAAGTACATGGACAGTCAAAATGAACAGGTGAAGCCCTTTCTTTACGCACCAGTGTGCCATGATCTATGCCAGCTAAGATGCTCATGTGCAGCACCCGGTGGCGGTGTACAGGCCTGGAGGAAAGAAGCTGTTGTGGCAAGTGCGTCCGGCAAGGATATTTTTGTACATTATAGGACTGACTTCCATGAGCTCCTGCAAGAGCTCCTGATCCATCCACAGGCAAGCTGTGCATCGTGCAATCGTCTTTGAGATGTATGCAATGATAATGTCTATCACAAGTTGCCTTTGCTTGCAGCGGTTTACTGATCTGCTCATGTGCTCTGCAGATCCAGAAGAGCCATTTCAAGCCACGCTCTGGACACAGATTCAGTGAGCTTAGGGACGGGCAGTGGATGCATGAGACATGGGTGAGGCATTGGGCGCCTCACCAAATCAATCTGTTGCGGATTGTGTTACAAGTGGAATCCTTAACGTGTTGGCCTGTGTGCAAGAGCTGTGACCTCACTGCTTCATAATTAACATGCAGGCATTTGTGCAGGAGCAGCACCCAGACGCAGAGGGGGTGTTGCCATACATCTATTATTCTGATGAGACCCATGTGAACCCCTCTGGCCGCAAAGTCCACCCGATCGTTGTGTTCTTGGCCCTTCCACCCAGGATCATGCGGCAGGGCGGCCTGTTCCGCTACCTGGCATACTTGCCATCCTTCACGGGCGCAGAGATTGGTCTCAATAAGAAGCGCGACAAAGCAGAGTGAGTGTATCGACAAGCACCCAGTTTCCAAACATGTCTTATAAGTGCTCTGTCAGATCAATTCAAGTGTAGCTTGGGAGGGGCAAGTGGGGCATTGCGCAATAATGATTCATGTGATGCATGCAGTCTGAAGGAGCTGAGGAGGAGTGTGCTCCACCCATCCATCGACTTGGTTCTGGAGCAGCCAAAGGCAGATAGCTACAGGTATGTGAGACACTAAAGCTCTATAGTCGAGTGATCTTCAGTACAGCTGTTGGGTATTGCACAGAAGCCTGCAAATTGCAAAATATGAACAGGCTATTGCAAAGCAGAGTTCATCTGAGAGCATAGTATTGAGCTAATTCGCATGATGCAGGTGCCAGACGTTTTATGTGGGAGCCTCAAGGACTCCTATGAAGCTTGTGCCCATCCCATGCAATTATGTGGCAGATGGACTGGAGGCCAACAACCTGCTGCTCGTGAAAGCCAATTCAAACCACCCAGATGTGCACTCACTGATCCCAAAAGAGCAGCTGGACAATCCAGATGCCCTGTACATGCAAAGGACCGAGAAGCGTACTAGAAAGGTAACATCCATTCGCCATTTGGAGTCAATATCTTGATACAGGGCACCTTGCATCTGTGATCATTTCAAGACTAGGCACTGAGTATTGGTTCGCTTTATGCATGTGCAGATTGTGAAGAGAATCAAGCAGCTGATGAAGGAAGGGGCGGATGGCAAGCGGCAGGCAAAGAAACTGATGGACGACTGGAGCCTGCAACGTGCTGAAGAGGTTGTGCTCATCTGCAATGCTGCCCCCTGTTTGCCCCTGTCATGACGCAGTGCAATCTTGACGTGGCTTACAGTTAGGGTTTACATTTAGGGTTAAGGGTTGGGCACGCTGTTGTTTTGACATGCTGTCCTTCTGCTGATGCCCCTTTGTGCATGCGCAGTCCCCACTGGCTGGGTTTGCTGGCACTGATTGCTGCCACCTCATCCAGCCAGACCCAATGCATCAAGCAGACAAGGGCGACACAGAGAGTGCATTGGACCTTCTCAAGAAAATCCGAGGACGAGGACGGCATCGCACTCATTGACGAGCGCCTGGCAACCATTCAGCCCATGCATGGGCTGGCCCTGCCGAGCCGCGGGCTGTCGACGGTGAAGATGTACGCGAGCCAGCAGGCTACACTTTTGCGTTGCCTGCCTGTTGCCCTCCTGGGACTGGAGAGCGAGGTGGCAACTGCTCTGAGAGTTGTCATTCCTGGTGAGCGCATGCCGGCTGCCCTTCTTTGAATGCTCTAGTAATTGTGCCCATAGAAATGCGATATATGCTGTCTTTTGAGGAGATGACAACAATAAGTCCAATCCTAGGGGACAAGTGCAGCGTGCTGGCTGCATTCCAAGGCAGTGTGGCACCATTTTTACTTTAACTTAAAATCTGCAGGCATGTGAAAACCAGTGTGCTGTTTGACATGCAGCGTATCTGGACTTTGAGCGGCTGCGGGACCTGGACGTGCACGATGAGGAGTCCCTGGCGCGCCTTGAGGCCAACTGTCGCAGGTGCCACCCCTTCATTCCATCACTGCAATCGCTTCAGACAACAGAAGGCCACTTGTTGGACAGCACATGACTGAGTGCATACAAGCTGACTGGCATGACGGGTTTTCTTTGCCCCCCTAGCGCAATCTTGTGCATCCATGACATGACACTGTACTCTTGATAAAACTGCAAGGAATCTTGAGCTCGCCCAGTCCATCTCTTCTGACAGTTGATGCCACAAATACAATGAAAACTGATGAAAAACAGCCCAGTTGGTGCTGTGCGCGCAGGTACCAGATGCTGGCTCTAGAGAAACTGGGGGGTTTGAGGAGCTTCAAAACCTCAAAATTTCACGCCCACGGCAAGTATGTGCCGCTCATCCGCTGGCTGGGCAGCGCGACACTGGCCTCAGCATCCCCAGGAGAGGCCACGCACAAGGTCATCAAGGCGGGTTACCTCAACAGCAACAAGAAGTCTGGCGGCTTGGAAGAACAGGTGTGATCAAGCATCTTGACTCTGCACAGGTCTCCTGCCATTGAGATTCTGTGACCATAGGGTTTTCCAATTTACGCATGCCAAGCCTGCATCGCACAACCTGCCATGCTCTCATAAGTTCATGCACTCAACATGGGAACCCTTTGCTGCACATCAGGGATCACGGCAGGAATCTGGATCTGGCACGGTCGGTCAGTGCAGACCCAGCAGCAGACATGCCAGCAAGGAGTGCGGTGCGCATCGGCATACCCCTTGCAAGAGTCTTACACCCTCAGGATCTTACTTGCAGATTTGTATACCGGCTAATCCACTAGTCAGCGTGCCGCCGTTGTCACTTTGTCAATGTCTTCTGGTATTGATCAATCTTAGATCCATGCTTATAAAGTCTGTTTGGTACAACGCAGGGCCAGCTCGCGGTGCAGACAGTCTCGCATCAGCTCATAAACCATTCTAAGCAGCTGCACTACAAGCAGCTGTCTAGCGGCTCAAGCGCTGATGCTGCGTGGCTGGAGCGGCGGCCTGAGCTTGTACACCTGGAGCGCTGCCTGCGGCTGTACCTGGGCGCTTTGGCAGGCCTACCGGACGCCGCAGATCTTGACATGCTGCCGGACGCCAAAGGGGATCTGGTGCGTTTGCGTTTGAGAGTGTAGCCTGCACTTTTTGAGCTCAGCTGAGCTGAGCTGAGCTGAGCTGAGCTGAGCTGAGCTGAGCTTACTACCTGAGCTCTGAGCTGAGCTTGCGCTGATCTCCTCTGTACAAGATATATAAAAGGAGTCATGCAAGTGCCCTTGGCACATCTGGGCCGTATGCATGCTTCCAAGCGCCTTATTTGGTAGAGGCCTGCTGTTCAGGTGTTGGTGCGTCCAGGACTGGCTGTGCCTCTCAGCCTTCACAGGGGCTCACCGCATGAGGCGGTGATACTAAGGGCGGTGCCAGAGTTCGGAGCTGGGAAACGGGAGGCATTCAGCTTTGTGACCGTCAGGTATGCTTGACACATGACTCTTCGAGATCAGTCCTCATCCTCATCCTCATTTCCCCATAGGTAGCTCCGGCATCGGCTGTACAGCAGGCATGTGGCAGCACCTGCCTCCCATGTGCTGGGCACATGGCACCATGCCATGCAACAGGCTGTGCTGATCTACATCTCACCTAGCTTGAGTTCATTTGCAGTCTGTATAAATGAATCAGCAGGCCATTGCCGTCCTTGTGGCAAGCAGCAGCAGTGACCAGCGCCATTAGTGTTAGTGTTAGTATTGCTTGTCATTTTCGGCATGGTGCTGTAGTGGTTGCTGGTGACTAGACACATGTCCTCCTGTCCTCATGAACACAATCTAAGGTGCCTCTATGCTCTGCAGGTCAGGGGAGGAGGACTGGTTCGCGCAGCTCCGGCTAGTTTTCAGCTGTACGGACAAAGAGGGGGCGGAGCACCGCTGCGCCTTTGTGCACTGGTTCTGCCATGCTGAGGAGGGAGAGCTGCCCATGCAGCGCCTACAATGGGCCACCACCGCCTCTGCCAGTGGTGCAATTATCCCCTGGTACGATGTCATTGACATCTGCAGCATCGTGCGCCCTGTGCTGCTCCAAAAAGATCCCACTGAGGATGACAAATACTACTTCAACAAGTATGTGGGCAGGTGACTGATAACTCTGATGGTTGATCCAATGTTGGTGCTGTCTCACGCATGCACATGAGCGGTGTACTGTAAAAAGATCTTCTTCCTGTGACTCCTCGCAATGCACATTGCAAGTGCAGACAGACCAGATCACAGCACTCGTCTCCTGAGATTGCCCATACCAGTTCTGTGTGACACCACAATTTATGTCAATTTCACTTGGACATGCGTGGCACCATTGACAAAAGCTGGCATCAACATCTGGCATCAACATTGCACCCTGCACAGCACAAGTTACGTAAAGCTCTTTACACGTCATCTGCTATACATTTAATATCGCATGTCATCAGAAAGACAACCACTGGGACCATACTTACGATATCAAAAGGTATCAGGATCGAGCCAGTTTCTGACAGAAATCGGACATCATATGGACATTATTTGACATACAAATGATATCCAGGACACCCGTTTTATGATATCAGAACGTATCGGGTTTGGGGATCCCATGTCATCATTGGGATGTCATCATGACAGCATATGACAACTTGTTTCTATCCGAAATATATCATCCTGACGCTGACATCATTATGACGTCATGTAGAGTTCAGTGACTCCTGAATACATCTTCATTGTACAGCAGGTATCCCTGCTTGAAAAGATTACATTTGGTAAAATGAAGACATGGAATTTTTGGGAATTCTTGGTATCTGATTCTGGGCGCCTTTGGTTGCAGACAAGGACTTCAAAATCTTTGAGCTTGCTTGCTCTTCCTGAAAATGCAAGATACATTGAGCATGAAAATGAATGCTACGACTGGGGGACCATAGGATGGGCACTGCAAACAGGAAATGTAGACCCACAGGGTTACAAATTCTTGATTCTCATGAATTCGTCGGTTCGTGGGCCTTTCCTGCCTTCCTATCATAGCGTACGTTCCATACAATGGTTCACCTGATTTGCAAAATGACCTCAAAGAAAACGAAGTATTTGTAAATATGAAGTTTCTCTAATGTCTTGTACTTCTGTGTGACCATGATCATGGTAGCATGTGAGACAGCGGGGTAGTATAAGGCATGCATGATTTTTATGCGTGTTTGCAGGCCGATATCCACTGGACTAGATTGTATACGCAACGCATAGATCAGAACGTGAAGCTCGTTGGCAGCACCATAAGTTGTCAGCCTATATACTGGAAATCAGATACTGCAAACGAGATGCGGAGAAACCCACATGTGCAGAGCTACATAGTGGCAATGGATCAGGCAAGTCCTTCTTTTGAAAGATATGTCTCTTGCACAAAATTTGGAGTGAATTCTGAAAACCTTACTGTTCATCCTTTTTATTGACAAGCCCGGACATTGCAACAGCCTCCTTTGCTGACGAGGCATCATTTGAGCAAACTCTGAATATTTTTCATGCCTATCGTGAAGGTTGGTCTGCACTTACTCCAAAGCGAACGCACGATCTTCCAATGCTATAAAAGATTGCATGATGTTGTTTGGTTCTCTGAAGTCGGGGCGAGCCGAGCCGTTCTCAAAGCAGGATACAGCATTGATGCTCTCATGAAATAGTATACAGGCGTTGATTGGCGCAATGAGACCAACTGGGACTGCAACGCTGGGTGAGTCACTGGAGTTGCATTGGTGACATTAACATTCCATGATAGTGCTCGGCAGACCAATTGTTGATCAATGTCATGCTGCGGGCGTACGTACCTGACCACCTTCTGGTCGATAATCACCTGTCCAGAAATAGGAGATGACAATCTGATGCAATCTGGGTTGATAAGTTCACATGCACGATGACTCTCTTCCACATGATATTTGACAATTGTTATATCTTAACGCTCAGTGTTGCTCGATGTTTGCTGACCAGGCAAAACCCTTATGACGATTTTGCTTACGATGGCTTGATGATAAACCCCCTTGAAGTCCTCTTTGTGAAGATAAAGAGCTACCAATTAGAGAGCAACTGGATAACCTCGAAGATGGCAATAACATACGAGAGATGGCATCGTGATCAGGTCCTTTTCCTTGCCTCTTATCTGTGATGGACATATACTGTCAGAAACAGCTGTAAACTAATTAGCAATATCAACCTGATTTGTTATTTTATGGTTCCTATGTCTGATCCTAGGAACATTCCACACACATCTGATCATGAAGCACATACTATGTAGTACATCATGATGACTTATAATATCTAAGTAGATATGACTTGTTACCTTTGTCTTTCTGACGGATATATACTGTCAGAGCATAAAGAAACGATTCGGTTAGAGTTGTAAAGCAATGAGAAAAATGCTGGTTGCCTAGACACCGTGTGACACTATTTATGTCACAATATTGAGCACTGGCCCCGGCTGGCGGGGGGCGGTGCAAATACTGAACACCGAGCCCACGGTTGATTGGGTCTTGCTTGGATCTGGCGAGTCCAACATGGGTTAGGATTGTCGGAGCCTTTCACTCAGTGACTGCAGCTTGTCTGCAGAACACACCTTGCCTGTTGGCAGGAAAAGCGTGCAATAATAAAAAATAATTGTGCACTGCAGGGACATCATGCATCCATGAATCTCCATGAGTTTGACAAGGGCAAATTTTCATATTTTTGAGCAAGGGTATTGCTATGAGCATGAGAGGCAGCGATTGCTTCGATTTGGCATAATACCAAAGAGCAAATACCGACATGCCGACTGTAAATGCTACCTGGCAGCACTTTATATCCTATGGCCAATTTGAAGGCAGGCCTTTCAGGTGAATCAGACTGCATAAGCGTTGATACCTCCAACGTTTATGTTGCGAATTCGCTGAAACCCTTGACATCGTAAAATGAGCATTGATTGCCATTTACAATCAAATGCCGGTTGGCCATAAGCAATTAACGCTGACCTTTCAATTTGCATGCAGGTTCACGTGCGCTGAGGAATACTCTCGACCATCCCCAAATATAATTATAATCCAAACAGCAGCCGAAATTGCTCGGCACTCCATGCACTCCTCCTTTCACTGGCAGTTGCTTGAACAGCATTGAATGCAGTGTCGTCGATGTTAACGCTCAAAGTTGGGGATGATCATAATCACACGCAAGTCGCCCTCGCTTACTAAGGTAGGATGAGAAGTTCTGGAAAGTTGATATCCTCAAAGCATATTTACTAAAGCTAGTATTCACAGTACCGTTGTGTGACACCAGCTGGTGTACTTGCCAAAGTTGAATTATGTAGTTGTATACAGTGCTCCCGGCTGGCGGGGGGCGGTACAAATACTGAACACCGTGCCCACGGTTGATTGGGTCTTGCTTGCCAAGCATCCAAGAATCCAGTGGATTCGGCGAGTCCAACAAAAGGTAGGATTGTGGGAGCCTTTGACTGCAGCTTGTTTGCAGAACGCACCTTGCCTGTTGGCAGGAAAAGCGTAACAACAACAACAACAACAACAACAACAACAACAACAACAACAACAACAACAACAACAACAACAACAACATTAATAATATTAATAATAATACAGTGATCACTCATGAGCAAGGAGACAATAATTGCATCATGCTGTCCATATGTCCACATGTTGTCCATATTTGCATATCATTACGCAAAGGACCAATATCCAGTTTAATCGATTTCATGTTGAGTAATGTGCAATACAACCGTTATGATCAAGTAATTTTATTTTCAGACATGTCATGTCAAATGCAGCAGGGGTGGCGCCTATGTACAACAGCGGCAGCATCATGGAAAGCGTCCAAGTTGTATTACACCCAGATTTGGGCAGGATCTGAAGTTGGGAAGATCCCTGAAAGTTGTTCTGATTATGTTGCTTTATAGAAGCTTTTTGGTGCGGGATCCCGCACCGCCGGGGTCGCGGGTCCGACCGCGAGTCTTACAATGAGCCCTGCTATAGAACTACTAGCCCAGCCACTGAGTGCGTCGTGCACTGTGAGTCAGTGCTTGAGGCTTGCGTCTATTTTAGTCACCAATTTCATTTATCCTCTGTAGACTTAACTTAGGGCTGTATATCCATGAAGAACAACTTCAGGTTGCTACTATTTTGCAGGGTTGTAGTCAATATCATTTTGTAATCATGCATGTCCTACGCATGCTCAAGCCACTGTCAGCGCTGGAACCGGGTTCCTATCCGGGATTAATTCTGCTACTGCACGACAAAGAAGGATATGATGCGTACAATGCCGCATGCGCATAGCTGCAACCTAAGACCAAGTCCTGACAATATATTACAGTATACTGCCAAATTGTAGTCTCTCGCTGTGCATACAGTCACTGTTCTGTGCGAAGTGTAGGCATGCTCAGCATGCATGGGCATCATATGATGCTACTAGCATAGTATGTAGCTTAGTACGACGTAGTATGTCCGACAGAGTCTGAGAATGTCACTAATAATGTCTATATTCGACTTGGCTTCACCTCGGCTTCAAGCAATTGCAAGTCGTATTACACCATCATGCAAATGCATTGTCTTGTCTCCCGGGTGCTCTGATGTAATCCCGACCTCTAGACAAATATTTGACGGTCCAACTTCTTGAATGCACTATGATAAATGCCGCATGTGCGGCACAAATATGTATCCAAAAGAGACTGTGTGTTGGCCATTGAGCCTTTTTAGTAAAGTTAACAACTTGAAGTTCTTGCCCTGAAAGTTTTACTCTCTGCCACGGGTCTATGCCTTCCTGCCGTCATGGTGCACCACGTGGTTGTTATCAGTGTCGAGGGGATGCATCCCATATCATATCCCATGATGGGAGGTACCTAATTTCTGCCCTACAGTAATTTTAGTTTCTGTGTACCTCTGATGTTACCTTATCAGCGGGTCTTTTGTACTCTTAGATACCCCTAGTGGATTACGTCACGTTACTGTAGATTTTGTTGGAACTCTGATTTGATATATTTTGACCCTAGTTATTACATCTTATAAGCACAATTCTGAGCATTCAAGGCAAAGAGACTGGCAGAGTTGCCATACAGACGCTGAGGACAGGCCTCAGGAAGTCCGACGGGAAAGCAACTCGGCGTCAAATCTTTTCACGGGAACACTTTATAGTGCATTACGCATAAGCAGGATAGACGGATTCGAGCAAATCGACGAAAGTGTCTATAATGGTTGATTTGGCTTGGCATTGCCATGTACGTAGAAACTTTTACAGTCGGTCCACCTCTTTTCAAATACATGCAGTAGAGCCACAATAATGTCGGCAAGGCCTGAAGATGCTTGCCGTCAAATTAGGAGAAAGCAATCACTGCTGGTAAGCGGCAAGATCCAGGACTTTGCTGGGTACAGGCCAATTACGATCTCAGGCCAACATGAAGGAAGCTGGAATAGAACGGGTGAGCACTGACTTTGTCTCCGAAAGAAGGGGGTGGACATGTATCCGCCTTCCTATGACAGCAATAAGAAGACGTTCTTTTCAGAGCTTATTTCACGATGACCTTGACCACCATATAAGCTCTTCTTCAGGTTAGTCATTATATGCAATTCAGTATACTGAATTAACCTGAAGGATCCAAACTAAAGATGGATCGCACTTGGGTGCCATACAGGTGAGTGCCAGAGCTGTGGTACTGGCTGTGGTTGCGCTGACCCTGACAGATGTGTTCGCTAGCAATGCACGCTCTCACCGCGAGCCCAGGCCCACACAAAATCAGATGTCCACAATTGAAGATAGTAAAGGGAATTGTGGGAACTGGATGCGCGATTACACGCAGTTGCACAGAAGTGTGAGAAGCGGTGCAAAAGGTCCACGGTATCTCATGGTGCAAGCGAAGAACACCAGTGGACTAGCTGATATGTTTGCTTGCATCTCTTCAGCATTCCTCTGCGCCCTTCTCAGCGATCGAGCCCTCATCATTGATGAGTCTGATGAGTCTTCTCGTTTGAGCGTTGCTTACTCTGCCCCAAACATTGACTGGACCCACCAACCTCAAAAATTAGAATCTCTTTCTAGGAAGACAGTGCATGGAATTGGTACGACTGGGCCTCCCGCAGAAGGACCGGACATTGACGTATTCCACTGGGGAAACCTAAGCAGCTTTGGCAGTGAGGAGCTTATGATATTTGATGATTGCAATGCGGGCCTTATCATGCCGCTTTTTGACAATCCATTTTACAAAGTTCGACTGTATGAACTAGGTTTAACGCCCGAGACTGCTTATGGTTGCATATTTTCGTTTTTGTTTAGATTGAGATCCACAGCTAAGGATACAGTGAAAAAGGAGATAGAGGCAATGGAAGACAGCAGGTACATCAAGATTGGTATCCACATACGCACAAGTGACCCAACGATGGCTAACCAAGAGCTTAGGTGGCCTAGCCACGATGAAGCAGAAAGAGAGTTAGCAAATTATCGACCATATTTCTCGTGTGCTTTGGAAATAGAGGAGAAGATCTCACGTGCAAGTAAGAAGGAAATTCTTTGGTTGGTATTAAGTGATTCTATGTTGCTGCGAAAGAGTGCTGTCGTGTTGCATGGGAAGAAGATATTGACAAAAATTGAAGATGGGAGGCCGCCGCGGCATGTCAGGTCGAGCCAAGGAGGTGGTGGGGCAGACGCCATGAGTCTTAGTGCAGGAGAGCATTGGTTATTTAGCTTGGCAGATTATCATATATTTGGTTTTGGAGGCTTTGGGAAGAGTGCAGCTCTCTCTTCAAACAAGTGGGGTCATTACGAAGTTCACTGGCACAAGGACCCTAGCTGCAAAGCTGTCAGTGTTCGAGAGCTTGCGGATGTACCACCCGGTATTTAGTGTAACAAGTCACCTGCATACGGTATTGCACTATGGTTGCTAAAAACCGCCCGCATAATTGCCTGCCAAATTTTATTTAAATAGCTTTCGACGCATACCGTGCAACGTGCCATCATATCACCTCATGATGACTCATATCGGATATGTGCGGTGCGCCATATGATCATCATGATATGATATCATTATTGATCCGATCATGGCATGCTGAGGCCACTGGCATGGCATGGCATGGCATGGCCCAGGCCAATGCCCTGTGCACGGAACCGCTGCCCCGTGTAAACATGTACTGAGTCAATCTATTTTGCAATGGGACTTCCTCCACCTTTTATTATTACATGCTTGTCCTGCCAAGAGCCAAGGTCACTACGGCACCGTGCGGTGCGGCCTGCAGCTTACAGTCAAAAGGCTTCAAGCCATAATCATTAATCCTACTCCTTGTTGGACTCCGAGTCGCCAGATCCAAGCAAGACCCAATCAACCGTGGGCACGGTGCTCAGTATTTATATCGCCCCCCGCCAGCCACTGGCAGGACCACCTATACATATATATACTACATACTAGTAGTATGCAAGGACAATATTGATCGAATGTTCATTAGGATATCGTATCCCATCCATGACGAAATGATTGAATTCACTAGAAACGTATACGGAAAGGACTCCCTCGGAGAACTTGGACTCCATGTTTAACATCCCCGGCATCAAGTTGATACCGGGGTTGTTTGCAAAGCGTTTGCATTGCAAACGCATTTTGTCCGATATGATCGGCACCATGATAGATGCCATCTATCATGATGCCGATCAGTGATCAGCATAAATGCAGCGCCGGGCCGGTCAACGTCGGACGTGTCGGACGCGTCGCGGCGCCAGCCTGGCTGCCGGCCCAATGGGCACTACTCTATACATCATGTATAGATGATGTTAAGGGCATATATATGTATCATCATGATACGCCGTATCATCATGATACGACGGCGTCATGGTGACTGCAGTGCGCATAGAGTCACCGTGACGCATTGTCAGCTTGAGGCTGACAACCATGGAGTTCCAATTTGAAATTTGGAATTAAGATCGATCACAACCTTAGAGTATGTAAGAGACTCTTTTAAAATGGTACGCTTGGAGCGCACTCCTCACGATGTTATTTTCTACTAGGTAAGCCTTGTAGGCCACTGTTGCGCAAGTCGGCCGTCACACCCTCTAACCCTAACTTTTGAAAGTTGGGTTGGGTTTGAGAATTGGTTGTAAAGTAAATGTGATCAACATAAGCCAGCGGCACATGCTTCCCAACAAGTTCCCCTTCTTGTGACTTCAGACAATCCATACAGGAAGTCCATGGGACCACTTCCCAATCGGCTCAATATCCATCGCGTTGCTGTGATGCTTATAGGATATGTTTGTGAACCGTTCTCAACCACTTCACAACGGCATGACGCAAATAGGAAATGGGTACACAGGCAAGTTACCTGGTTGGGAACCCTTGGGACCCTCTTGGGATGTTATTGTGAAAGTGCCAGTTCACATTGTGGGGGGTGCACCGTGTGCGCCGAGAGAGAGGTGGATTGACTGGGAATATTCATTAATGAAGAATCATTCTACAGTACGGTACGGTACCGGTATAACAGCTGCTAGCTGCCAGCTGCCCAGTGGGGCAGCTCATAACATTTTTACTTTGGACCTGTACTCCCAGAGAAGAAACAGCAACTGGGATGTGTGATGGGATGGGACGCCCGTTGACGGAGCAGCTGTCCCTTTCCCGGACATTTTCCCGCCATGCGCGGCTTGGGGCTGACGTAATTCATCTTATCCAAGCAACATCGGCAACCATTAAGTGTTCAGATGTTCAGCAAAGAGATCCTTGGATACTGTGCTTGCAAGGCTCACGCTAGCAGTGTTTCAATCTATCCGAGGGGCAACGCTGCGTCGAGTGATCGTCACTCTTCTAAGAAGCCTAAGTTTTTATTGATTCCAGGTCAAAAGATCATGAACCTGCTGTTAACCTTGGTCCATCTTGTTCTGGCCTCCGGGGCATTAGGCTTAAATGTCGAGCTCAGTAGTCATCAGGATCAATCCCACAGCAAAACGGCGCAAACGGAGAATATCTTTTTGGAAGCACGCGATAAAGCAAACAGGGAGCGGAAGGCGCTGCCAGGAACAGTCTTGACCAGCGCCGTGACAGATCTCGGGGACTTTCGTCGAATCTGGGACTTCTACACGCCCGACTATAACTGCCCATTCCTAAAAGAGCGCGTGGGCCGCCTTGGGGACGGTGGCAAGTGGGTCTGCGGCCTGCGCTACCTGCTGCAGTCTCGCTCCTGCCTCATCTATAGCCTCGGCAGTGCAGGAGACGCCTCCTTCGAGGAGCAGCTTCTGAGCCAAACCCCCTGCGAAGTGCACACCTTTGACCCCAACCTAAGCGCGGAGACGCAGACTCAGATGCAGGCTAGTCTCCCCAGCCTCAACTTCCATGCAGTTGGACTCGGCCGCAGCAGTGGGCCGCTCAAGTCTCCCAGCGACCGGGGCATGCACAGCTTTCAAGAGGTCATGGCGGCACTCGGCCATTCATGGGTGGATGTGCTCAAAATGGACATTGAGGGCCACGAGTGGGATGTGTTTCTGGACTTCTATGCCCAACCCGATGCGCGCCTGCCGGCCACCCAGCTTCTTGTCGAGTTCCACTGGCCCGGCAGCGCTGACAAGGTCTGGAAGGTAGGGTGCGTCGAGCCTCAATGCTGTGCATCAGACATACCGCAACTTGCTGATTTGGGATTGCGGTGCTGACTTTGCGTGTACACGCACTGGTGGCAGTGAGATACCCCTTGTGACCAACTGCAGAACATTCTTGAAGTAGTAAGGAGACTACAATTTTATCTGTGTTGAGCAATACGGGGAAAGCATTTATCTTGAGCCTTTTGCTGATTGCTTGCAGGTGTTGGATGTGCTTCTGGCGGACAAGTACCGCATCTTCTCAGTGGAGCCCAATTATTACTGTGAGGATGGCGCGTGTGCGAAGAATCTGCTGGAGTTTTCATTCAATCGGGTGTCAGACAATGGGCATGTGTGTGCGCCGCACAGCCACACCAGTAGTGCAGAGGAAGGTGCCGGCATGACACTGCCACATGGGTGCTGAGTATCTAAACCTGACAAATCTAGTGCTGTGATAGAGTGTGCTGCTGAAATAATCTGAACCTGTCTCCAAGCGTCTGCAGTGTTGAAAGTCAATTGGTTGTCCGGGAGAAAGTATTTTGACAGTTGCTGTCGGGCGTAGCTTTTTGGCTGCAATGTCTACGTTGGAAGGTTTCTTGCACAATGCCAGCAGCTGAAGCAAAGAGTCTTTTTGCATGCAGTGCGTCAGACAACACAGGGCTGGAGTATGTAATCCTGATCCCTGCACCACATCATCACAGTGCACAATATATCATATGATATGAGCTCGTTTCACCACCCCTTGAGTAGCAGTGCACCCATGTACTCACCTTCAAGGCTGTTACTTCATGCTACGTGCTTTAAGCAGATTCCAAATCGAAGTTTGATTCAACAAAAAAAGGCTGGCATCGCTGGCTTCGTCTCGATGCACTTTAGGTGGCCAATGACAAACCCCTTGTTCTGCATTGAAGGAATACAGGACATCCACGCAGCTTTCACTCACTTAAACATACTACTGCTCAACATTGAGCCCGCAGCTAGGCTAGCATCCTGCCAATGACACCAGATGATTCTAGATTTTGAGGGTGCTCTTTGCGTTGCTCAGAGGAAAGGCCATTATGTTGAAGCACAGATAAAGGAAGGCCTTCACTAGCAACTACAAAATCGACAGGAACTTATGTGCTTCACAATCGCGTAGACTCGCCTTAGCAGCCAAGTGAGCTTGCTCCAGGTTTTACTCGAGAGTGTTGCCATATGCTGTGACCCGGAGTCATTTCCGCACCAAAGCCATAAATGCCAAAGTTATAAAACAAGCATTGCAGCTTGAGATAAAGTAAAGAGTGGCAGTCTGAGATAGCGCGCGGAGGTCCACCCACCCAAATTTGTCGGACACCCAATGCAAGAACGGCAATGCCAAGCACACAAGGCTTCCTCACTTTCAATGCGACATCAAAATCCAGTCCGGGCATACATGCTTCAAAGCACCAGACATACAAAGACTCCGTTGTGCTGTGCTTCAACACTGCAATTAGGGAAATTGTTAGTAAATGTTTCTATGTGGGGTGGACCCACATTAACTCCAGCTCAATGCTAATCTGTCAGCTACGTCATTCTCATCTTGAAACCCCTCAATCCATCGGTATCCTTCGCAGGCGTCGCAAAGAGCAAGGGCCGCACATGGCATTGCAGGGCAAATAGCCCAGCTGCTATCAGCGCAGCACCTCTGACTCTGCACCGCCAATCACATCTAAGCCCAGTACCACCCCACACGTTGCAGCACTAGCCACAGTGCACTGTGGCTAGAAGAAAGGTACAGATGACAAAGCTTGGCGTGCAAAGGGATCCCTCACGCTTCCTCTCTCAAACCTGACCTATAAATTGATCTTTCATCATTCACATGGCTCTTGCCAATTCAGTAAATCGGTCGAGAGCCTCAGTGTAATGTGGTGCTCATGCATTGTCAATGTGATGTGACAGCAATTTTAAGCCATTGCATGCATCTGCAGTGGCTATTTTTCAAAGAAGAGAACCCAAAGGACTTCAGATGGAACACAGATTATGCGTGCTGATTTCCCTAGCTTTGGTTCAGGTGTACATGGCTGGTTGCAGCACGCATGACCCAAAGCTAGGAAACTTGACAAAGCAAGATCCGACAAGCAGCTGAGCAGAACAGATTATGATAGAGCACGGAAAAGCTTATTCTTCGCCCAGCAGAGACCTTCTGGCGAGCAGCCTCTGATAAGACGCCACCAACCCCAAAAGTACGCTGCCATTGATACTGCCGACGGTCTGCCCTTATACAGGCCTCCCAGCTTCTGACTTTGAATTGAAAGTCTGCAGATCTTTAAATTTGCAGGCCCCTTTGCAAAACTATCGTTCACTTTTCTGTCTCGCAGGGCTTAGCACGTCAGTGGCTGCTTCACTCCTTCTTCTGGCTTCACAAAGCTTCATTGGTGGAAGATCAGTCAGGTCAAGGTCGTTTTGCAAAGCAAGGAGACAAACTGGAAGAGAACGTAAATTACTAAAAGGCGCAATTCTGCGCATCACCAAATAAAACCGACAATATGCCTGCTCCCTACACTAATTCACAGCTGCCATGGCACATGCGGAACCCTTTGGATATTTATTAGAGCCGAATTATTGCGCACAGGACATCACAACCGGCAGCAGTGCTACAATACGGCAGGGTCCTGCGTCTGCTCTGAAGTGCATGTACTACTAATACTCATGCGCGTGCCTCGGTCGGTTTGAGTTTGAATACAAAATGCTTCGTCACGGAGTGGGAAAGGGCGCTCTGATGGCCTATATGAGGGCCGTCAGGACCGCCATCCGCCGCTGCTGCTGCAATGTGAGCTCTGCCCTGAGCCGCTGATTCATCTGCCGGGCCTGCATCGCGCAACATGCACATAACTCTGTTGGAGCACTTGTGCTGTACCAGATGTGAAAAGCTTTGAGAATTCACGGCCTAAATGCTGTCCTGAGACAGTGCTGCATGCTGCATATACCGGTAAATAAAAAGGCACTTGCGACTGGGAGGATGAAGTTCCCAATTGGCAGCAAAAGGGCAGACAATTGCCCCTGACTTGGCTGGACTACCAAGCATGCAGGCTGGCGGCAAGGAGAGGTTGCAAGAGTATGTGGCGCTCACCCTCTTCAGATCCAGCACCAACTCTTCCTTGGAGAGAGCGTCCACGTTCACTTCTGGAAAGTGTAGCTCTCCCCTGCAGCTGCAGGCGTGACTTAATGACAAGGGATTCACTGAGAAGAACTCTACTGGAGAAGCTCACTGGTTTTCAGCTTGCTTGCACAAATCGGTCTGCTGGGCCTCTTGATATCCTCTCTGATAGCAGGCACCGAGTATGCATAGCACGGGCACAGCATGATCATCAGCAGAATCAGCAGTTCTGCAAACACCTGAGTTGTCGGCGATCGCTGCAGCACGCGTGTTCCAATGGTTGCCTCAGAGCACAGGGCGCTCAAGCGATCCGGCGTGATATTCACCTGATCGAGCCATCAACCCCCCACGATTAAGATTAAGCCTTCGATACTCTTCCTGGGATACAGGCCCTATACAGGAAAGAAAATACAATCTAAAAATAAGTATGCGTGATTATGCTGCCAGACCCGATCGGCTAAACCGTGGCTGATCAAGCATGGGCAGGCGATCGCGCACATCTCTCATTGTGATGTCGACCGCCGTGGAGGGTCTTGCCGCCACATCGGCTCCGCTGGGAGGAAGGGGTGCCTTAAGCAAGCCATTGGACACGAGAAAGGCGAGACAGGCGACAGCCTTCTCCGCCGCAGCGTGTTCAGCGGACTTTTTCGATCGACCACGCCGTGAACGTCGCCTCCTCGAAGCCACCCAAGGGCGTGTGAACGGCTGGGATCGTCAGGGTGCACGTGAAGCTGGGCAGTGCGGGTGGTGGGGTTCCGCTCTCGATGGAAAAAATCGAGATGGCACATTCTTTCTGGTTTTGAGTTTATTCCATTATTATACTTTTGGGGTACTTGCACCATGAATGTGTGATAGCCATCTTGAAGCGTTGCAGAACGTGAAAGGTCTGACAAAGATCTAGACACTCAGAGCTGGAAGGGAAGCCCCTAATGATGTCAGAAGCGGAAACCGAACCCTTCTCTCAACGTCTCATCTCCCTGCGTCCATTTTGATAGAGGGTCTTCAGGGATCGAAAGGCCTTGTCGGAGCCGAAAGATATTGGCAAGTTCACTGAACTTTTATTAGGTACTTAGGTCCTGGCGACCAATTTCCATATCTGAAAAGGTGCGCAAGCTTGCCTAATTGGCCATGCGTACAATCTGACGCCCGATCAGTGATCGGGCGTTGGAACAGGAACCACATGGGCATATGAAATTTGACGTCGCAGTCCAGATCACAGACTCTGTGTGATCTATCTGTCGGTGAATCACAGACAGATTCAAAGTCTGTGATCTGGACTGCGACAGGTCCTGCAGGGAAACACTCAGCTCTTGCCAAGACAAAGGCAGCGCTGTCCTAGAGTGAGGCCCCGCTGAGCGGTGGGGTGGTCCCGCAGCCACCGCACGCGACAGTCCCCCCTGCGGTGGCGGCCAGCACGGCTCAGTGACACCGCAGCCGACCGGCACCCCTCCTACGGCCGCCAGCTGCGGCCGTGCGGCGTGCCGGCTGAACCCCCGGCCCGGCCTGAGAAGCATGCCTTTCTTTGACGTGACTGCTGAGAACTTCGCTTTGTAACCTTTCAGTACGCTTCAATTGGACAGCTGTTTGGACAGCCGTTTGGAGTGCTGTGCCCAGTCACTGGTGCACTGGTTGCACCAGGTTTGCTGAGCACTGCCCTGATAGACTCTGGGCGTCAATCCGAGCTTGACACATTAGAGAAAACAGGTTCGAGGAAAAGGACACATCACATAGCCAGTATGCTTGCATTTGGCATGCCAGCAGCATTCACGTGTTTACCTTGCCGATCTTACACATCTTTGTAATTCCATTCAGCGCCCACTGCTGCTGCCATGTGTGACATGCATATGCCGGTGCAGCATGTGATGAAAGCTTGACTGTCCCAAGGGCTAGCAGCCGTGCTTGAAGTTGGTTGATTGTGCTTCGATGCTCCCAGGTCACCATTCACAATGAGTGATGTAGGTTCGTTGCCCACAAATGGCAAGATTCCTTAGCAGGCGGTCATACGGTATGTTTTTTTTTACAAACCTGTGGACTGCGCTTGGCATCACTGTTGATATGCTGGGTACAGGAGTGGATCCACCTTCCTCAGTGTGCATGTGGGTGTATTTTAAAGCGGAGACTATTTGTTGGTGCCGCCTATCCCGGGCAACAATGATCTGAAGTGATCCGATAAGCACGCTTTACTGAGAATTGACAGTACGGGCGCCAGTGCCGGCCATCATGGCATGGCATGGCCACAGTGTACGCCATTGCCTGGGTGGACAAAGCATGGAGCAAGCAATCCAGAGTTGAGTCCCGTGTATTTCTTGAGGTACATGAATTCTTGACGTTCTACTGTTAGGGCATCCTAGCTGAGCTATGCACGGTGCTTCTGTCTGTCTTTCTGCAAGACTCAGCTCTTGAGTTCAGTCGTTGACAGAGTGACAAGACAGCTTTTGCATACGCACCCTTACACCTCACACTTGCTCACCATCAGCAGTATTCAATAGCTAGTTCAGTTTCCTGTAAGAAGCCAGGGTGACAGAAGTGTCCCTCTACTTTGTCTGTGTGCTGAGGACCCCCACCGTGGCTTTCCCTTGAGTTCAGAGTCATGACTCATGCTCGGAGCAGATCCAGGCATGCCTGCTCATGAGCACGTGTGCCACAGTGTGGTGGCATTCAATGTTGCTGGCACAGAGCAGCACCATAAATCTTTTCAGCCTGAGATCAAACCTGATGCAAGCCATCGGATGGTGCCCGTGTTCTTCTGATGGCGCTGCCATGGGACTCCCATCGGATGTGCCGACTTCATCAATGGACTCGAGAGCTCTCACTGAGGCTGATAACACCTCTTCCCAAGTCATAAACACTTTGACCGAGCCAGGCTTGCCTTTTGCACATACCTGTTATGCATGCTGTAATATATTTTGCTCTTCAAGCCATGCAGTGCTATTGAGGTAACCCCACCTAGGCTAGAGGTCAGCTGGTTTCAGAAGGCGAAAGAATTACATCATTCACATAATAATTCCCCTAAATGAGGAATCCTCAGTACATATATCCCCTTGAAGGAAGTACCGAATACACTTACGAGTTGGAAGGCGGCGCTGTTGTCCAGCCTGGATAGTTCCCAAATACCAGAAAGGTCCCAAAGTCTCCAGCCACGTGGCGCCGCCTGCACCCTGAACTCTGCCAGCCGAGATGACCAATGTGCGGCCTTATCCGCTCCGGCGATCACATAACCGGCGCTCTGCGGCTGTGGACAGCGCCAATATCCTACAGATATCTAACCTCCGAGACACGTCTCATAAGAGACGGCTGTGCATCGGCCGCTGCGAACTCCTGTGACCGAAAGACGCATCGTCACGGCGACTGGTGATCCGAATGAGATACTTCGGGTTCCCGGAGACCTTCCGCTGCGGCATGCTCAGGTAGGGGGCATGTGAATCTGCAAGGTAGCGACGCTTCATCTTGTTAGATACCTGTGAGAACCGTCGCTTCGTGTGCAATCACTATACATTTGTACCATATAGCAGTCGCGCAGCTGTGCGCTCGCGCAAAGGAGGACCGGCCAGTTGTACTGTGGCAAGGTGACCTCGCGCATGCCCGGGCTCTCGTTCAACCCTCCTTTGCCTGCAAGCGCAGGCCTTTCCGAAATCATTGAGTGTGTCTTTCAGCCCATATCCAGTCCTCCTTGCGGCGGAGAAATTAGCGTGCGCATTCTGGGCACGGAGGGTTCTTATTCGGCAAGGCCTTGAGCAGAGCTGCACCGACCTCCGAAAACTTTGTGTTGGCGATGCGGTCGTTCGATGCGTCTAGCATACGCCCTTAGCAGCAGCCTGAGCTGCAAGCATGAGAAGTCTCACGTGAAAGCATCTCCACAGGAGAAGCTGAGTTGCGGTCGTCTCGAGCGTGACAGCGACATCGAGGGGTACCAGAGCTGCGGCACACCGCCGATGGATGACAGATATGGTGACGACAGTAGGACACTAGGGCCGGACATCGATGCATCACAGCAGGGAGGCTCAAACCCAGAAAAGAGCCAGGATGAAGTCATCAAGCAGCTACTGAATGTGATGTACCATCACAAAGATAGGGAAGCAGCCATAGCTGCAGCCAGGGCAGCCATTATGTCGCTCTATCAGGACCAGGTGGGTGCCTCACACAGTTGCGCGCGGCCCTAACCTCTTGATGTGAAGTGAGGATGTGTCAGGCTTGCAAAACTGGTCGCTCATGCTGGTCAGCCCAGAGCCAAACAACAAGCCATGGCCGTGACAAGAGCTGACTGTGCTTCCAGGACAACACAGAAGGGGAGGAGAGTCTGGCTGAGACACCCATGAAGAGTGCTTCGGACCCGGGCGTACCAATGAGGTGGGCGCTGAGCGAGGAGCTCACAGATGTGCCCTCCTCTCGAGCAGCATCCAAGGACACAGCAAGTGCGCCAAGCTTGAGTGTTGAGCGGGATGCAAGTGCTCCCAGGTGCGCATCCATCAGCAGTCCCCATCCACTGCAAGCCGGCCTCTCTCCTTGTGCGTCACCGCACGGGTTTTGCAGCATGGCATGCTTCGAGCCACGACACCTTCTGCTTTGCAATCTCAGCGTGGCATGTGTGACGCCAACGTACTGCAAGTGTGGCATGCCTAAATCCATTCTATATGCAAGGGCAAGTGGGTCTGCCGAAGCTGCCCCTCAGCAAGGGTGGGCATCCACATTGCATGACTGGTTGCTTCTCTGGCACGCAGTAGTGCCTCTGTGCACCGACTTCCTGCACTCTTACTGCCGAGCATGGCAAGCTTGCTGTGCTGCTAAGGTGTATCTGTGTTGCTGGTGCAGGAGCGCGCCAGCATTTATGCTGAGCGACTTCCCTGGCTGCAAGCGGCTCGAGGACGCCTACCGGAAGATCTACCACATCCCTAACAAAACTCCCCTCAGTGTCTGTTACGAATATGCTTCGAGACGAAATCTGCAGGTTTTCCTCTCCTAACGCCCTGCCCTGAAGAATGATACACCCCTGCACAGCGTACAACCGGAGTGCGTCATGGTTCCTGTGAAATGCAGACGAGTAATCAAGCAACAGCCATGAGAGAACCATAGCTAGGTGGGAGTCCGGCTCTCATACTCTACGCAGCGTGCCTCTAGGCAGACAAGATAAGGACCATCGCGAATCCTGGCTAAAAATGTAGACAGAGAATGGGACGGCGCTGGATCGGAGTGTCGCATGAAGCTAGCTGCTGTTGGCTCCGCTCTTGTCTGCAAGAGAAAGGTGGCATGCTTGCTTGTCGAGGTGGGATCCATTATGGCAGCAGGGACTTTATGAGGCAGTGTTCCTCGGATTTTGTTGTGAGCTTGCTGGAGTCCTCGTGCACCAGCAGGAATGTGAGGGTAGAGCTCAGGGTTGTTTCTGCTGCACAGCTGGTGTTTGAGGAGATGCAGGAGAGCGCTGGGCCGGGGCCCTTCATGATACAGACAACGCTGAGGGACGCGGACGGGAATGCCCTCTACCGGCCAGGCGTCGGCACGGTGAGTCGCCCAGCCAAAGACCCTTGTATGGGCTGGGCAGACATCCAAGGGCTATGGTGTGCTTCCAGGGGATGCTTTATCATTGCCCACTTGGCTGCTTGCAAAAGCTGTGCCCATCGAGCTGGGGAGAAAATCTCAGCACCTTCCTGTCCCGAGTGGGCATTCAATTGTGTCAAAGCTGATCAGTAGTGGGGTTTCTTTCTGCATTGACACGTGCCCAGTACTGAGCTGATAGTGCACCGCTGAGAGGCAGCGCTCTACTTTCCAACACTGTGATGACCATTCCAGGTGTTGCTGGCTGCCCCAGCAATTGCATCGGCCCCAGAATCACAACAAGTGTACACTCTTCCTGGAGACCTCTTGCCGATTATTTTCAAGCCTGTGGCAACACAAGCTGCCCGGGCAGAAGGCAGGCAGAACATGCGTACAGAGCTAAGCGTTTGAAGTGCTGAACACAGCAAAAAGTCGTGGACCTCAGATCAGTCTCTGCACGCAAGTCACATAGTGGGTCTCTGCAAAATTGCAGGCGTGCGCCAAGAAGGATGCCAAGCAGCTGGCAGCGGCGACGCTGCTGGAGCATCTGCTGGAGAGTGTGCCCTTCCAGGACCTGCTCTACAAGTCCGACAAGCAGCAGCAGCTCAAGGACCTGCAGGTGAGAGGCTGATGGGCTCCTCTTGTTGCCGGTATCAGTGAAAATCCAAAGGTTGGGCTCTGAAAATCGGCATCTGGGAAAGAAAGTCTGTTCAATTTGGACCTCTACGGTCTGCATGACCTGGAGAAGCAATTTTCTTCGAGGAACAATCATCAGCATGGAGCTTCCAGGAGCTTGCCAATCTTTCCATTTGGAGATACACTCTGAGCTGCTGCCTGTATCTGGTGCAATAACAATCGAAACAACATAACAGTGGACACCCCGGCGCATGACATCTTCACCCCGTTCAGGGAAGTGACCATGCAGCCTCGTAGCATCGGTAATTGAATCCCCGTTGGAAAGCGCAGGAATCGCGCATGCGGTGGCCGGCGGCGGGAAAGGGGCGCTGCGCGCCCGGCAGGCCAATCGGCCGCCCCGGGCCGGCGCCCGGGCCGCGGCTGCCGCCGCTCTTCGGCGCGGGGTCAAATCAGGCCGTGCTGTGCGGGCTGCCCGGGCATGGGCAGGTCAGCCTGCCCTACGGGCTGCTCCCCGGCCTCTACGACGGGCCCCACGCAGCGCAGCACAACATGCGCGGCGGCAACATGCCAGGTGCGGGCCCTGCTCATGGCCCTAGTCTGCCACGTGCCCTTCAGGCCTGGCAACCGATATTATTAATATTGTTATCACATGCTTTCCCTGGCAAGAGGCAAGGTGCGTCTGCAGACAAGATGCAATTAAAGGCTGCCACAGTCCTACCGCTTGGATCTGGCGAGTCACACAAGCTAGACCCAATCGACCGTGGGCACGGTGCTCAGCATTTATACCGTCAGCCGGGGCGGAGTGGCAAACATAGGGGGCATCTAAACCCAGAAGGGTTGATGCAATGCTTTAGAAGGGGCCATTTGCAGTGTCCTGGTTGCTTCCTGGGCGTGCCTCGTCCCATCTTGTGTTAGCCCTGCCCACAGGATCCAATCTCACATAAAAAGCCGCTGTAAACGGCACCTGCCTTCTATCTGTGGTGGCTACTATGCCTGAGACAAAATCCTAGATATGTGTGCTGCTGTCTGACAGGCCCCAACAGCCACTACCAGCAGCCCGCGGCGCGGCCCGGAGGCGTGCCCTCCTCGCTGGCGGCCGCCGAGCAGGCCTCGGCCTATCTGGGCAATCGGCCGCTGCAGGGAGGGGACGCGCAGTACAGTTGCCCCGCCGACAGCTTCAGCATGCACAGGCACGCGCTGACTCCCATTCGCCTCTCATGCAGCTTGCATCAAGGGGAATGACAGGTGCCGTGACGCAGCCCAGCAGCACATGTGTGGGGCGACACAGAGCAACAAATATGACAGAGGCAGGGGCGGTCTGTTAGCATGACTGCCCCCGCCCACTCTGGGAAATTCTGTCCCCTCATCAAATGCCTCTGCTGTGCAGTGTTCTTTATAGGAATTATGGCTGGAAGCCAATGTGGCTACAAACATAAGCCATATTAAAATTATTGAAGCAGAAAAAGGCTGAGGTATCAAGGAATTCTCTCCTTAAATCGGTGTTTTTTGGGCGTATATGTGCTGGAAAGTTGATATGCGGCTTCCTGCACTAGTATATTTGATTTTTAGAAGCTATTTGGTGGCTTCAAAGTGCCCAGCAGTGCTGTGGTCGAGGGAAAGCATCCAAGTCCAAGTCGGATTCAGGATGAGGTCTTCGCAGGGATGATGGATTGACCAACGGCTACCTGGGCTATGACCTGGGGTCCAGCATGGGGCTGCTTGGTGGCGGAGGAGGGAACGCCGCGATGCTGGAGGCCGGCATGGCAGCACTGGAACACGACGCACAGCAGCAGCAGCAGCAGCAGCAGCAGCAGCAGCAGCAGCAGCGGCTCGGTGACGTGCGCGGATCAGCCCTACTGCAACAGGTGAGGGTGGGGTGGCGCCTTCAAGTCATAGACGTGTAGTGTAGCCCAGAGGAGTAGTTCATGCGAGGGTAGTATTGAAGGTCAGGGGCGTCCTGGTGCATATTTGGCTGCTCTCCATCGGAATCTAGAGTCTGCTGTGAATGTGCTGCTGGGGTGCTGCCATGCTTTGGACATGAGCAGCGGCTCTGAGAACAAAGCTAAGATAGGGACTTGTGTGCTGTCAGATCATCAGGGGTGAGATCCATGTGGTGGAGTAGTGCTGCCCATCAATAAGTCCAGAAACAGCGTCCAGAAATGTCAGCCACTCAAAAGCACCAAACAAGATCAGTGTCATCAAAACCAAGGGAGCCTGCTTCTTGACATCTGACATGGTTGCTTGCAGGACTTTGCGCAGCCAAGTTACGGTCTCCAGCAGGGCGCAGGGCAAGGGGTGTACTCCTGGAGTGTGTACCTCGATACGCAGCTGCCGGGCCGCTCATCCGCGCTGGAAAACCTGCTGCGCTGGCCCGACGGCCCGACCGGGCAGTTCTGAGCCTGCCCGCCCGGGCAGCACTGTCTACTGCACCTTTCTGGTGCTGCCCACTCTTTGCTGCTCGGGCACCGGAATGGGCCCGACTGCCTGTGGTGCCGGTATGCTGACCACAGAATGCTTGAAGTGATGCGCGGGGAAGATTTTGCAAGTGAGGCAGAGGTAACAGGTCCCCTGTTCCGGGCTGCTCAAGGAGCACGCTGCTGCTTGTTGGGCTGCCCTATTTGGGCAGGCTTCTAGGGCGCTCAGTTGGGCACTCAGAGAGGCCGTTTATTGATTGTGACAGTCGGGCTGTCATTGCACTAGGCACTCATCCTGGCATGCATGCCCAAGAGGATTGATCTCCATTCGGAGCACCTGCAGCTTTGGGTGGAGAGCAATAGGCGTTGGATGTATGTTGCGATAGGCCAGATAAATAGATTGATGTGTCAGATGAGCCCTTGCAGAGGGTCTTCCAGAGCACCTTTACAGATGTGGCTCACAACTATTGCGACTGTGTCACCAGGTCAATTACAAGGGGAATGCCTTTGCAGCTCCGGATTTCTTTGAAGCTTTCTTGGCTTTGGTGGCGTGCTGGGACTCTTTACTGGCCAGTGTTTGGTAGAGTGAGGGGTACTGAATCAGCAGAGGTCATGAAGGAATCGCCCGGCAATGCTATGAATGCCATCTTTGGCCATGCCGTATGTAGGGCAGAACATTGTTGCCCGGGCTCCTTCTAGAAGTGACAAGAGCAGAGTTTCCAGCAAATTGGCGAAGATCGCATAAAGTACAAGTGTCCCTATGGCAGATCTTCTCGATATCATCGATGTGCGGTATTCTAGGTTTCACAAAGTTTCATATCTTTAGAATGACATTCCAAAGCTGTGTACATCATGTGACCAGCTGGTTGATTCGTTGCAGATTCCAATCACGGTGAGGATGATTGATTGTCCTTTTGGATGTACCATTGTTCTTGATCCAGTTTGCTTGGCGAGGTGGATTCGGGGTGGGAATCAGTCTCTGACTGAGTAAATTTTACCGTCGCTGCTTTATCGAGCGTTCAGACGCCCCCTGCAGTGCCAAGTAGAGTGGTGCACGACCGAGGGCTTGCAGGCCCTGGGGGCAGCAACTCCCAGCGTTATAGCATTTGCAATCTTTTATTGTACTCTCTGTTTTCACAGGCCTAAAGGGTTGGGCCTCTGATACCCAAGTTGGGGGTCTTCCTCCTGACTGAACGATCATGCAAGAGCGCTTTTGTTAGCGGTGTCCTGGCAGGACAGCCGTCAGCCAGGAAGGTGTGCATGAATGACCTCTGTAGACCTGCTAGGAGGTCTGACCTTTAATGAGGTCCATTTGAAGAAAACAAACTTAGTCTCAGCACAATACTAACTGTGCTCCGGCTGTTGATGTCATGTGAAGAATATATGTAACAGGCAGGCTGGCAGGCAGGAAGGCACACTACAGAAGCCGAGGTGTATATTATGCTCGTGATGTAAGGCTCCGATGTTCAGTGTTCAATTTGGGCTTCTGCAATGCCATCAGGAGGAGGCGCTAGGAGCTTAAAAACATCTTCACTGCAGTTGTGTTACTCCATTTGAAGTTCGCGCTGCTTCCAAATATTGATCCCTTAATAACTACCATGCACCTGGCCATGTACTGCCCATGCCAGAAGTGCATGGCACGGAAACCCAGCAATGATGGAGCTGCGAAGCCACTGCCTGACCGCCCCGTGCTGCCGGGGGTTTCATTGTCCCTCCCCGTCTACAGGGGACTTGCACTAATGTAGCTCCGAGACCCTTCCCTTCTATCGTACAAGTTGTACGACAAGTTCAAACGGAGACCAACAGCGCGCGCCAAAGGCGGAGTGTGTCAAAATTAGATAGATTGCTCCGGGGAAAAGCTCCTCAGTAGTGGATCACTATGCTCTGAAGCACAAACTCAGCCGCTGGGTCACGAAACGAGTCCGTGCCAGTGCCGTCCGTAAAGCTGCATGTGAAGGAAAAGGACAGGTAAAGCTCATTGAACATTCACTGTGCTTGCTTCAGGTCTGCCGACGCCCTTTGAACGCGTCATTCTTGCAGCTGCACGCAAATGTGCCTGTTGGTTTAAAAAGTGCCTTCCGCGCGCAAAGTGCGCTTAGTCTCAGGGTGCAGGTTCTGACGTGTGTGTCTTTTCACAGTGTCCACGATGCTCAGAGCAGCATTCATGGCAATTCTGCCAGTCATCTGCATGTCCTTGTCACTCTGTGCAGCGCTCGACACTGTGAAAGCGAAGGTAAGCACCGTTTCGCAGATGCACAGAGGTAATAAGATCATCTATATGTATGATAGTACGATACCTCTCGCCATCCGTTGCAAATATTCACATCAGTGCAGGCACGAGCGGCTCATCTACACACAGTTATGTAAAAACACTTTCGGCCACAGAAGAATGCGTTGGAATCTGTGGGGAGTGCATCCCTTGTTGGATGCTTTTGAGGCTCACAATGTGTGCCTGTATGCGTGCTGTGAAATCTGTCGGATACCCAAATAAACAATATAAACCCGGTGGGACCAGGACACCTGGAATTTAGACCGCCTCGCCTAAGGAAACCCAGTTCGTTAGTGGCTCACGTTAGTGGGGCTATTTGAATTGGCACCCACCTGTTTCCAAGGCGAATGATAGTCAACTGTATCCTGCAACTTTTGGTAGGAGGATGGAGCTTCCAATGCACGCTTCCATCAAGGCCCCTTTGACAGGCGACTCCTCGGCCATCACAAGGTAAGACAAGACGAATGCCATTACAATTTATTGTCTCGGGTTCATGTATTCAGCATCCCTTCCAAAGCATCCCGTTCCAAAAGGATGTGCCGTTCCCTCTCACGCAACATTCTTAAGAGTGCTGATCTACTGTTGTGTGCCAGGAGGAGACATCACCTTCTGCACCTTTCCACCATGGTCCCCGCGACAGGCGCCTCCTAGGCTTCAAGGGTCATGACAAGGTGGCGCAAGCGAGAGTGCTTGAATGATTTGTCCCCTTCCCACACTTTCAATCTAAATCTTGAAAGTATGTACAATTTTCATCTCCGTTCTTAAGCATTCTCAACAATGGTGATCTTTGCCTATATAGGAGAAATCTCCTTCCGTGCCTTTCCACCATCATGGTGATCCTCATCACAGGCGGCTCTTGCACTTCATGGGTCATGACAAGGTAAGGCAAGCAAGGATCTTTGGTTTCTTGACAGTACGTGTTTGTGCTATGGATGCAGCAAAGAACCTGCAATGCACTTTACTAAGCCATTTCTGTCCATCATCTAACAATTGAGAATTCTAAAGACTGTTGATTATTGGCCAGCACGACAAAGCACCTTCCGTGCCTTATCACCAGAGTCCTCATGACATGGCACCTTCTGTGCCGTTCCATCATCATGAAGGTCACCATGATCATGGTCATGACAGGCGATTCCTAGGCTTCAAGGGTCATGACAAGGTGAGGCCTGAGGCGGACGAGGAAGGGTCCATGATTTCTTTTTCTTTTTGAAGGCAATCACATCGATGTAAATGCCTTCCTGGTCTTTACATCCTATGTTACTAGCGTAGTATGCACCAATTTTGATCATCGGTGATTGTTGTGTGCCAGGAGGAAACATCACCTTCTGCACCTTTCCACCATGGTCCCCATGACCGGAGACTTCTGGGATTCAAGGGTCACGACAAGGTGAGGCATACCAGGAAGGATTCATGAATTCTTTAGCTTCTCAAGGCACTTGTATCGATGTACATGCCTTCATCTGCTCTACATCCTGTGTTACCAGCATAATATGCACCAAAATTATATTTGGCGATCATTGTGTGCCAGGAGGAGACATCACCTTCTGCACCTTTCCACCATCAAGGTGGTCCACATGACCGGAGACTTCTGGGTTTTAAGCTTCGTGACCTTAAGGGTCACGACAAGGTAAGGTTATCCAAATCTTATTTTCATGAAAATATACATCCTGTGCTTTGCAGCAATTTGATAAGCGGTGATCACTGTATGCCAGGATGACAAAGCACCGTCCGTGCCTTTCCACCACGGTTTCCATGACCGGAGACTCCTGGGCTTCAAAAATCGTGACCTCAAGGGTCACAACAAGGTAAGATACCTCAATTGTTCCATTTATTGTGATATGCATCCTGTGCTGCACAGCGGCTATGCAACAATTTCAATAAGCGGTGATCACTGTATGCCAGGATAACAAAGCACCTTCCGTGCCTTTCCACCATGGTCCTCATGATCGGAGACTCCTGGGCTTCAAGCTTCGTGGCCTTAAGGGTCACGAGAAGGTGAAATAATCACTACTTATAATGTGGTCAGGAAGAATACTATTATTAGTAGTATATTGTAGTTTTCGGACATTATTTTCCAATAAGATTAAAAATTTTTGCTATGGAGCATGCTAGGGCCCGGGTTTAATAAAGATTGTGGTCCAGGACGGCACAGCACCTTCTGTACCTTTTCATCACGGTCCTCATGATAGGGGACTCTTGAGCTTTGACAGGCATCCTGATGGCAAGGTAATGTATGATGCATTTGGAAATGCGGCATGTCCAAAATTATATGAAGCAATTTAGGCAGACTGCCAACCTGTCCTGCGGCCGTTGCAAGCGATGCAATCATAACAATCAATTTAGCAACATTGCCAAAGAGCAGTTGTTTTTCGGCCCCAGGTCCAAGGCCTCCTTGACTCCCTCCCACAAAACTCCCATGACGGCCTGAGGCGTCTTCTGAATGTGAACAATGGCAAGGTCGCAAGCCATTCCTACGATGAGCTGATTGTGCGCGCTAAGGACTGGCATAAAGACATCTAGCACCACAGCAACATGTGGAAAAGCATCAGGCAAGCTCCGCGGTTCGAAAGGAATCCTTTGCATCATATTTTAGGCAACGGACATGTCTCGTTCCCGACCTCAAAACAAACCCTTGCGCCAAACAGTTTCATAAATGATATCATTTGCTTTGCACCGTGTAGGTGACTTTGCAATACTCTCATGCATTTTATTTGAATTTGCATATGGTGCGTTAACAAAAAAAATTAATTACTGGATTTTGACAGTGTAGGATTTTATCATCAAATTGACTGATCTGCTGATCTGCAGATTGTGTGCTATCCTGTGGGTGCATGCAATCTAAGTTGCTCTTGCTTGGTTGAGTTGTTTGCTGGAGTGCCGAAACCTGTAGAATAGAACTCGCAGATTTCTGGTACGCCACGATCAAAATGCAGTTGAAGGTGTCAAGACTAAAAAATGAGATCTCAGAGTAAGGCTCGGGATTAAGTTACTTCATCCTGCGTTCTAGTGGATCGTAAAAATTAGATTTAAGGCTATTACTGCTTTGTGCTGCAGGAGCAACGTGCGAGTGATCTGGCATTGCCTCAAAATGGTTCAAGGTTGCTGGGCGCCCTTGTGTGACTTTAAGTCGCTATCCAGGTATTCACTTATGTAACATTACACACGTACAAGTTTTCAGAGTCTGGGTTATCCACGTTTGATATATTCTGTTGAATTTAAAGTCATCGCTTCGCGATCGTGGGAAACCACTTAGTTTTTGTCAGAGTTCCGAGTCTCTGAATTCTTTAATGGGCCGCACGATTGCACAAGCGGAAGTGTCGTGTCTTGTCGAGGGAAGGGGAATCTCGCTGGGAACGAGGTTGTTGCTGGGAAGGGAGCATGCCTTGGGCATCATATGATATCCTGTTATTTCCCAATCAAAGTAGAAGTAAATGCAGATCTGCTAATCCCAAATCGAATGCAAAGGGGATAGCAAGCGGATACATGACCATTGCGACTTCCCCAACGTTATGTGCTACATTGTTGATGTCAACAGCGCAACATCCCTTTGAGGATTTTGCTGTTGGTGGGACTGGATTTGCCGTTGGTGGGTATGGCATCAGAATCCTCAAGGCATCGGGAGCATCAAGCTAACACCGGATTGCTTGAAATTGAACACTGTGCAACGCTTTTGGTTTTTTTTGGGTCAATTGGGCTATCATCTATGGGCTATTTAAATCGGTCATGTATGGGATATCATGTCATCCCATTCAAAATGACCTAAGTTGTCAGCTCGCATGTCTCAGACTAGAGTCTACGGGTATTTAAAACTGTTTAATGGCTTAGTATTGAGATAGTGTCCATCATGTATGATACCAATCAACGCAATATGTCATCCAATGTATTATTATTTATAAATTGATCAATTCTTGAGCATATTGCCAGAATTTACCGCATCACTGCCAAATATCTAAGACTTGATATGATATGAACTTTATATACTCAGTCAAAAATGGCGTGACTCACCTTGATTCGGAATCAGACGTTGCATGGTGCTTGGATGTGAGTTGGATTCGGCCTGGGTCTAGTCAACGATTGCCAACTTATAAAGGTGCATGGCATCTTTACCATGCAAGATTTATTGGTTTGAAATTATCTATTTAACATGTTAGGGGGATTGCGGGTTCAATGTGAAGTTCATCGCATGCCATTGAGAACTCTTTCGGATATCGTACATATTACTTATCCGAGGCACTCTATCTCATGAGTTGAAATATGTAGTAGCCAGTGATGTCAGATTCCAAATCTGCAACATGCATGTTGCCACATGCAATGCGACATGAAGTTGCATTGCCTGTCATGCCAACTTACTCCGGCCACTGGCATGATGGCCGGGCCTGCGTGAGACTTCGAGCTCGAGATACTCGTATCTGCCAGATCAGTGATTGGTTGGTCACATCATGTATGATACCGAAAGTGTGATCATTCGTGAATGCATGATATGCATCCACCGCTTGCCTGATCATTCATAAATGCAATGACTTCTATCGACATTGGCACTCAGTGCGCACTCAGTGCCACTTGTGTGCGACTTGACTCAAGTCACTTGAGCTACAACCGTTGTGACAAAATGGTGTTGTATTGTCAATAATTGATCACCATTGCCGGGCTTCACAGGCTTCACTAGAACACATAAGTAACGATAATTGTCAAAAAATGATTGATGATAGAAAACCTACTTGGTACTACCTACTTGGTAGTAGTATATTTTTATGTGGGCGGAAATCGAGATCTACTAAGTAGGTGGGAGGTAATTTAGTACAGTTTCTACTAGCTTAACTCTCTAGCCCAATTTGATTGGGTACCTCAACTTGACCCTCATGAGCTTGAAGAAGCGCATGTACTACATCGGATAGTATCAGATTTCTCCATTCTCGACGGTCATGACAATTTATTGGACTGTAAATCAATTTGGATATCCTCCCTTAGGTAATCAGTCCATATGAGCTTTTTGAAGAGTTCTGAGGCCTGCCCCTACCCTAGTCCCGGCCTACTTAATGTGCTCAAAGTCATATACAGTGGCCGCCCTGTGGCAGTCTTGCAATCGCAATGCAATATTTGCATGCTCCATTCTGGCAACTGGTCCGGACATGACTGGTATCCCAACCATTTGAACCACCTTTAATTGATCAGATTTGCCATCTTAGGAAACTTACATAACATGGGTTAGGGTTTAGGGTATATATCAGTTGCTGACACGGTGTCAATATCCAGACTCGTCTCTATCGACGATCCTTGTTATATTCTTCCTTCAACCTTAAACCCTACTAGGTAGATGAAGTTTATTTATCTCCGAAATCAAGATCTTTTGACACTTTGAAACCTGTGTCACTCAGGTTCTACCTAGGTGTAGCTGTTGCTAGATTATGTGAGTCTTATAGGAGGCGGTGCTCCATTTTTCATCCAAACCAACCTGACTACTGGTGTAGTGCAATGTGAAGCGCAAGCGTTGATATTGCAGAATGGGGTCTGTACAATAAACATAAATTTGGATCGCGGATGATCACAAATCCAAGCTTTCCTATTATTCCCCTTTCACCTCCAAAGGGCTTCTGGTACTACCCTGTGATTATGTAGGGTATTGTGGATTTCCAGGGGTCACGCAATATGTTCACTCTATACCCTAAAACTTGAAGAGGGTCTGGTACCTTGCCCTTTGGAGGGAAGAAGTCCAAATTTGTGTTGCTTGGCCCAGTACCATGCATGGCTGATGATGCGTAGCTAGGTGTTTGTGCCTTCTGCCAGCCCGTCGCCGCATTTCAGCGTTCAAGGCTTTAAAATACATTTTTTGAAAGGCCTGCTTCAAGCCCCCCAGTCTGCGCATGATTGATGCTCTCAGGTATATATCCGTAGCAAATGACTGTGATATTCTTTGATGAACAGCAATTACGCTTCATCTGCTACAGCTATGCATCAGTCTGTACCCATCGTATCATATACAAAACACCTTTCAACGCCCTCTACAGCGAATCTACGTGATCCTGTTGTTTCATTGTCAAGTTTAAAACCGTGTTTGTTTACTTCTGAGTGCTGCTATCCCGGTGTAGGCTGACCAAACAGGAAGGTGAAGGGAAGCAGGGAGAGGTGACCTTACCCAAGGAAAGGTGCCCCTCAAGGCCCCGCTTGTACATCATCACCAGTATCTGCGTGTCTTTCAGTGCATCCATACAGTGACTGACTCAGTAAACATCAAGGCTAAGGCATTCCTGGGGCTCATCAGGGTCTAGAGGGGAGTCTCACCTCCCAGGAGACCATGTGGCATTGCACTTCCCTCTTCCTCGTCTTGACTCTGGCAGCTGCGTCAGCACATGATCTGGCTGCAACAGCGCTGTCAGCCAACGAGGAACTACTGCAGCAGCAAGCCAGGCTGCAGTCCCTGAAGAGCAGTGGCACCTCCGTGCAGAGGCAGCTGCTTGCAGAGGAAACCACACAGGATGCACAGCTCCCCGCCAGATCAGCAGGCGGGAGCGCCCAGCGCAGAGGGGCCCGGCTGAGGCTACAAAGGAGGCGCAAGGCCGCAAGGGAGGCAGCCAACGCTGTGAGCAGTGAGAGGAGAGCGGAGGACGCCCCCGGCTCACCGGAAATAGAGTTGCACAGAGAGGCCGCGCCGCAGAAACTGAGACCAAGTAATGGCGCGGACGAGGAAGCCCAGGAGCCTGGTGAACTCAACTTGTTGAGCGTTTCTGATGGTGAAGCCACCGAAGAGGACCTGGCAAGAGCAGCTCTGCAAGGCAGCGAGCCCAGCCAGCCTGCTGCAGATAAAAATCCACGGGACACTGCCGGGAGCGGCGAGGCGCCGCCCACCGCAGCAGGCGAAACGCGCACCGACGTGCCTCCGCGCCCCCCGCTTGTGCTGGGCTTCGGGAGCGATGCAGATGCTCGCGACAGTGCCGAAGCAGCAACGTCGCCTCGGAATTCCGGGGAACCGGCCGCAGATGCCGCGCCGCGTGATGCGGACGCCGTCAAAGCCGCCGAAGGGGTGCATCGAGCGGCGGAGGATCCCTCGACCCGAGGCGGCAAGCGTGAGGCAGCGGAGCCACTGCCGCACGACGGAGGCCTGCAGGATCTCGGGGAGGGTGACAAGGATCTCGGCTCGGAGGAGCAAACGTTCCTGCCGCTGGCGCCTCCAGAGGACGACCTCTATGACTCATCCAAATCTGAGGTGCTGGCAGAAAGGAAGAGGGCAGCCGGCTCCTGGCAGCGGGGGTCTCAGCAGCCTCCCAGAAAGGCAGGCGAAAGCACGGGGAGCTCCGAGCAGAAGTCTGGGATGCCCGATGGTGCTGATGCGGTGCTCGAGAGGAGCAAGCGCAGCTCTGAGCGCGAGCCTGCGCAGACGGGCGGTGATCTGGGAAGGCCCCTTATGCAGGGTGCAGATGGCGCGAGGGCCAAGGACAGCGGGAGCTCGCGCGGGCGTGAGCAAGAGGGTGAACCCGCCCTGAACACAGACAGCAACAGGCCTGCCAGTTGGGCGGATAGCGAAGCTAGAACTGACGCGGAATTCTCCACGTTACAGGGCACCTTGCGCGATGCGCTGAAGCAGCTCCAGAGCGACGGTGCTGAAGATGGCGTTTGGGTGATCTCACCAGACGAGGTGCGCCACGTTTTCGTGTCATGCTTCTCCCAGGGCGCAGAAACCTGGCCAGCAGACAGCATGCATGGCAATGTGGACACATGCACGCTTGCCAAGCCAAGTTGGGCGGCGCATGGCCTACACACGAGCATGCAATGGACGCATGAAGTCTTCTGTGGGCCTGTCATCTTGAGCGCATGTGGTAAGTGTTTGCGCAGGAACTGAGGGACGCGGCTGAGAAAGGGGACAGCAGGTCAACGCCGCCCAAGAGGGGCGATGGGGAGAGGAATGCTGAGGGCAGGCCCAGCGGCGGAAAGGATGATCCGGACAGCGGTGCAGAAAAGAGCATCGCAAGCAAGGACCAGCCAGCCGGGAAGGCAGGCGCTAACAGCAGGCAGAACCAGAGCACGGAGGCCGATGCGCCCAGGGAGCAGGGTCAGAAGACCGAGCCAGGGCAGGATGACGGGCGGGCGGAGAAGCCGGCATCAGAGCCGCATGCCTTCTCGCGCATGCTGGATAACCTCCAGATCACGAACATTCTGGATATCCCCTGCGGCGATGCACAGCAGGTGGCCAGCAAAGTCAACTCCTTCCCAACGTCTCGCCCCGAGGCCATCAGGTCACATCCGAACCCATCCTTGCATGCTCCCGAATTGTGCTGTCGCACCCTGATATTATCAGAAGATGAGTGCTGAGCATACCTGCACTGCTGCTCCTCTCATGGATGAGGAGGCGTACCCAAGAAAGTTATGGGGGGTTCTTTTGTCTCTGGGTGCGAAGTTGTGGAGATGATGTCCATAGGTACATCGGGGTGGATGACGCGAAGGAGGCGATCAGCTCGGCAAAGAACAAGCATGGCAACACGCCAAACTTCAGTTTCCATCAGAAAGATTATGTGCACGTAGACCTGCCAAAGGCAGACCTGCTCGTCAGCAGGGCCGCCCTCTTGGTGCGCGCCTGGCACCCGTGTCAAACCTCAGTCATGTCATGACTACAGATGAGTATCCTAGCTAGAGCGCATGCACAAAAGCAGGATCAGCGCATAACATACCGTCAGTGCTAGAGAAACACTAAGGCAGACACGATCAACAATTTAAACGACTAATAACACATTTACGGTGCCGTGATACGGAGCCGAAGTCTCAATGCAAGGTTGATCTTCTTAGAACTGATGGTATGCGCAACGACACGTTCGGTATTGCTTGCAGCGGATGCCCTTGCTCAAACTGGTGGACATGCTGGCGAACTTTGCGCGCTCCGGCACGGAATACGCCTTGCTGGGCTCTTTCAAGGAGCCCGAGCTGGGGTCTTCCGGCGGCGGGGATGGAACGTCGGAAGACGGCGCTGCCTTCTACCTGAGCCTACGTCATGAGCCCTTCAACCTGTTCGAGCCGTTGCACATGTTCCCCGAGCCGGAGGGGTTTGGCGCGGGTTCTGGGGAGGAGGCTGGCCCGGAGGATGGCGACGCACCTGCCCGGCAGATGCTGCTGTACTACGGGGAATACCTGCGGCAGCAGAACTTTGAAGAAATGCGCGAGCGGGCGGAGCTGCTCCTGTCGAAGAAAACCGAGGGCGCCGGTGCTGCATCTGGGCAGGAGCAGGCTGGAGCAACGTGGGGCGGGATCAGCTAGGCAGGGGTGGAATGCGGACACGTTGGGACCGTCTCAGACTGGGGAAGCTCTCAACAGTGATGCATGCATTTGATTTGTCACTCTATGAGGCGGTGTGCAAGGCTGCTGGCAGCGCTGGTCTGCACGGTGCGGCACCAGGCCAAGTCATCCTAAACACTAGATTTGGCACAAGTAGGCTAGACATTTTGGCCTACTCAATACATGCCTATGATGCATGCCACCTTGAGACACACTAGCGACCACATCTGATCAGCAACGAAGGTTGCATGGATTCAAGGCAGTGTTCCAAAACCCTGCTTCGTCTAACATATCAAGAGGGCAACATTATAGTATGATTAAAGATGGTGTGATACGGTATATGTATTGCAAACACACTAGGGAAGGCGTGGTCTGTTTGCAATAACCTCGTGAGCACAGTGCTAAAAATAGGCCCGGCTTGAAGCCACCTGCTGTATTGGCCTACCCGGTAGTTGCAAACTGACATGTGGCTGGAGGGGGAACCTTGCCCATTCTGAGTGTTGCGCTCACGAGGCTATTGCATACGAACAACGCCTTACACTAGTGTAGGGTCACCGCATGCGATAATGGGATTAATGCGACATTTAATAGAATGCGAGCATTTTATAGCACTTCAAGAAATAAATGTTATCTCTGGCCACTGGCAGTACAATGCTATAAAATGCGATCCACTCAAAAGTGCTTTTTGGGGGCCTTTAGAGTCCCCGGGGGGCCTTTGAGGACTTACTCCATCCTCAAGCCTGTTCACACTGAGAAAAAACATTCCAAAAGAGTTTTTACTTTTATTTTTCAGAAGAAACCTTCAATTTACCTGGCTATACCTACGTTTTGCCCAATAAAACAATGGCAAAACTGTTCCGCATTTTATCGCATAATTTTTTTTCGCCAGTAATGCTAGCATTCTCAAGTGTTGTCGCATTATATTTTGTGAATGATCGCATGCGGTGACCCTGCACTAGTGCGTTTGCAACAATGATTGTAGGACAACATTGCCGGTGCCCTGTTTGCAATGATTTAGGATATCGATATCATATTATTCAGCTGCAGCAATGATTGCAGAGCCGCCGCGGCACTGCGACCGCCAGTGTTCGTTTCATGTACTGTATATGCATCCACCGTGCAGTGACTGCATATGTAAATATGGAGCCATGCTTTATGCCATCATGCCATCGTGAAAAGACATGAAACCGCTTGCGGCAAGGCACGCCAGCCTGAGGGTAATAGAATATTCTTAGCGATGACGGTTTAGACACCAGGCACAGGTGTCAAGGTCTATTCAGCGAGATCCAGTCCTCCCCAGATGTCGTCCTGAAAGATCTGTTTTAGAGGCCCAAAGGCCTGCTCCCCACGTCCGTGCATCCCCTGGAAGTTCATGATGAACTTCCCGACACGCAAGCAAACCCATATCCGGGTTTCCAGATTCCAAGGATCAGGGGTCATCATCCAGGGTATCAAACCCCGCTATCACCCTCAAAGAGCTATAAGCCCTGCCAAGTGTTACATGATCATCATGTAACAACATGATGTCTTTTTCACGCGTCTCAAAAAGGGGTGCTCCTGCTCACATGCTGGTGCATTTGGGTCTAGGTCCTACTAAGTTGTAACTCCCTTCCTCAAGCCAGGGGGGGTGGATGAAGATTGTCAAGTTACAGCACTGATGAGTAGTCTTTGGTTCCCTCTCCTGAGGAGAGTCTCCTCCAGCCTGGGGGTAAATTATAGAACCCTGCTCCAGCAATGACAGGGGTTGTTGATCTGAATGATTATTGTAATCCACTGGGCCCTAAGGCGCCAGCTTGACCTGCTGCACACGGAAGCACCTGGTAGGAAAGGCAGGATGCAAAGACAGCCCTGGCTCGGTCATGATAACTGAGAGCCCCCTGTACATCTTGCCATCAATGTTCGCTGCCCAGATTAAGTCGTGATGGGCCAAACTTCAGCTCTGCAAACTTCCATGCTCTCGAGAAACATAGTGTTTCAGGGGCTAGTTTCTTCGAAGCCCATTCGTTGTAAGGCTGCCATAAAGTCCGGTCCCATTCGCTCTGGCACTGCCACCATGGGATTCGGGTAGATCAATTCTGGGTGTTGGTAGACAGATCTTCAGTTGTTTTCAACACAGACGTGTAAGGCTTCTGCGTTCCCAGTAACTTGCAGTGGGTGCTCCTAAAGGCGATGGTACGCAAGAAGAAGAAAAGAGAAGCAGAGCAGGTGCCATGGTGCTACTATTGTGACAGAATATTCTCAGATGAGAGCACTCTCATCCAACACCAGAAGGCGAAGCACTTCAAGGTGATATTGCCAAACATGAGCAGACAGGCGTTTGTTGCACGTCAAGGGTCATGCATCAGGACACTGCTTGCATAAATAAATCTGATAAAGTCCCCAATTTTGGATGGCGGGGCAGTATACGGTGATCCCAACTCAGTCCTTGAAGAAATGTATTCCTTGCAGTGCACCACATGCCACAGGAAGCTGACCAGCGCCAGTGGCCTGCGGGTGCATTGCCATCAGGTGCACCGATTCACTCTTGACAAGTGCGCACAGCTCACCCTTGCCATGAGTTTAAAAAATTACTTTCAAGCGTGTGGCGGTCATGACCTGCTATTCTCGCAGAGCCCGCCATCCTGGGCTGGTCACGCAACAGAATCTCATGCCCTGTGCTGGCTGCGCAGAGTCCCTGCTGCCATACCTGGCAAGGACAGCATAGATCTGGAGGTGTTTGGCATGTCTGGAGTGCCAGAGGGAGCCAGCCCAGGAATACTCACCCCGGAAGGTGACACATTCTGCCCTTTTTGAGCTGGATTGCACCCCAGACCACCAGATGGAGCCCAAATTTTCTTCAGTATCCTGATTTACTGCCACTCCTGTGACTTCAGAAAGTTTAAACATAGGCATCTTGAAAGCCGCATTGGCTTTCTGCCAAATTTATTGTTAGAAACACTGCCTGGAACCTCCTCGTGCCTTGGATACACCTTGAGCGCCCTTCAGTGCAGATTCTGCCAGCTTGGCAGGGGGCATCACGCATGGCACAGTGCATGCATGATTTCCCCTCAGCATGGATGGATGAACGTCGGCCCCGGCTGGTGGGTAAGGGGGCGGTGCAAATACTGAGCACCGTGCCCACGGTTGATTGGACGTGGCCAGTTCATCAAGGGGCAGGATCGCGGCAGCCTCTACCTGCAGCTTGTCGGCAGACGCCCCTAGGGATAACGTGTACTGAAAAATGGATGAATGTTGCAAGACTGAGGAGGCCCAAGCAAGCGTACCTGAATGACGTCCGCGTCATAGTGGTTCCCGCAAATTATGAGCCGGTCGGAGGCCGCATCCACGCTTGAGTGCTACTGAGCTGCGTGACAAAGTGCCACACAATATTTTTGGTTGTTTGTCTTTTTTGGTACATTAATTTCTGTCGGTGCAGAGGATGAGCCCGCCAGCAAGGCGGCCAAAGTGGATGCACCGGGTCCCACGGCACCGCTGCAGCCGCCGCAGCCGCATCACCCACCCTTCAACGGCGGGCTGCCGATCATGTGCGCCCAAAATTCAACCCTTAGAAGAATCCCTGATGGCTTTTAGTATCTGCTGTTGAAGTCCCAGCCTCGCCAAATTCCGCGGAGGAAAGCTTAGGCTCTTAAGGGCGGTTTAACAAGCTACCTAGGTACTAGATAGCTGATACCTGGTATCCTGGATACCGCCGGGCAGGATAGTGACTATTGTACCCAGGGACACCGGAGGTCAGGATGTCAAGATGAAGACTTCGACCGGTATTGTGTTCAACGCTGAAGGGGCAGCAACAAAGGGAAAGGTTAAGTCTTGGTCTTCCGGTAACCCAAAATGCCGCAAGAGCATTTCTATGCGAATTCTTGTTTTTATGGTGGTGACGAGGCAGCGCTCAAGTGGGTCTTGCCTGGATCCTGGAGAGTCCGATGTAGGGCAAAAGCTGCGGCAGCACCCGCATGCTGCTTGTGTGCAAGTTGACTCGCCAATCTTGCCTGTTGAGCTCAAGTTGACTCAGTCAAGCATGCAAATGCACCGGGAAGGCAGCCCAACAGGCTTGGCTTGCGAGGCGCTGATCGGTGAAAAGAGGAGCCATGCTCGAATTTGTCTCCGTCAGGCTCAAAGGGCTCTGTTCCTCTCGAATCATACTTTCAAGACCGGTACTGAAGACAGGTATTGAGGCGCTGTGGCTGATGTTGCTGTGGTGCCTCGTCTCAGGCCGCCGCGACCGCTGCTGCCGCCACCCATGCGGCCGCCGCTGATGGCGACACCGGGGTTCCCTTTTGGGATCCCCCCCTCTGCCGGCCACCCAGGCCCCTACCCGGGAGTGGCACCCCCCTGGCCGCCGCCGCCCTTCCTGCACGGTCTGCCTCCGCAGCCGACAGGTGCGCCACAGCTGCTCCTCCTCTAATAATGCATGCATACGGTAGTAATCAAGCTAAAACCCCCCACTTTCAAAAATCTCATTTTCAAAATAAGGTCCCGCAGGGCTTTTCCGCACGCTGAAAATTTGTTATTTGTATCCTCGCAACCCGGAAATTGGCCCGCTTCACTAGGAAGACGGGTTTCTGGGCTGCAACTTGTTGACTCATGTCCCGCAGGCAATTTCCGGCACCGCAAAGACCTATTATTGAAGCATCCTGCAGGCTTGATAACAATCATGTATTGTGGGGTGTAGTATGAGTACACCAGTGATGTCTCAGGCACGCCAACTTGAAGGCCAGAGGCCGCAAGGTGTGCATGCAGCCACTTTAGGTTGGGCCAATCCTGGTCTGCAGCCTCAAAGACGTGCATGCATACATGCTATTGCTGTGTTCCCGGAGCCGCCACATGCGCATGAATCTCAGTGCCTACCTTTGTGCGGGAGCCGTGAGCCATTCCGGGAGCTTGGGAAACGTGCAGTTGTCTGCGCGGATGAGACATCCGTGCCGCAATACAGCCCTCCGAGGCATGAGTTATGCGTGCTGACAAAGGCTTTGCAGAATGGTCAGCTGAGCCACGGAAACATTCCTGCAATACGTTTGCTTAGGGTTTTAAGGGGAACATGAGTTTAGGGTGTAGGGAAGGGGTCTTTATAGCAATACTTTCGTCACGGGGAATGCAATGGCGGGTGTAGGGTTTAGCGTCAACAAAGGGTCGAATTTGTGCATTTAGTTTTGAGATCCATGACAGAGAAAAGTATGGTAAGACTGTTTTCTCCGCCTGCTGAGCAGCAGCACGATGTGTGATTGCAGGGCCCCTGCAGCAAGTGCCGGCCTTTCCGATTGGCTCGGCACATGCTGCCAGCTCGCCGGCGCCGCTCTTCCCCATAGCAACAGGTGCCGAGACTCCTGCCTCACAAGGTAAGTGACTCACAACAACCTGCGGCCTGTTTAGTATCCCCCTTTGCATCTCAATAAAGTGAATGAGCCAGGGACAGAGCAATGCTAATCCACCCTTGGCAAGAAAGAAAGTATTCCCCATAAAAGTTTTCTTCATCCGCTGCATACGATTTCACATATTCTATGGGCCAGGAAGGCAGCACGCGCATTACACGGGATGTTGAATGAAGCAACCCATGTCCAGGGTCGAAGACATGGTGAAACTGAGAGCTGTGCACGATATTATCATTCTTACCCACTTTTCCTGCCAGGGGCAAGGTGCCGCAGGTTGCAGGTACACTATGCTATTCAAGGATCAAATTTAAGGTTTCCACTTCAGGGTTGAGCATGACCGAGTGACTCATTGGATGCATCTCATTACATATGCATCAAATTGAGTCGCAAGCCCCGTGGTGATTGGCCCCTGGTAAAAGTTGCAGAAGTTGGCCCCGGCTATAAATACTGAGCACCATGCCCACAGTTGATTGGGTCTTGCTTGGATCTGGCGAGTCCATCAGTGGGACAGGATTATGGCAGCCTGTGACTGCAGCTTGTCTGCAAGCACCATTCCTCTTGGCAGGAAAAGCGTGCATGGCATATGCAGCACCCAGGCACGTGCCGGCATGCTGCATCCTGCCTTTCTCCCACTTGCTTTAGAGAAATGTTCAGCAGGTCAGGCTGGCACCTTAAGATGCAGAAAATATTGCGGCCCTTCCTCCTATCTTCTGGCGGTGGCTCTCGCGCAAGCCAGACTGAGATTCCACACAAGGCTCCAGAACTTGTCAGGTTCTGTTGCTCAGAGCCCTAGTTTAGGGTTTAGGGGTTTTAGGATTTGGACGTAGGCAAAATCTTAAAACACTTAGAAATATATTTGTGTTTATTTATGATTATACCAATTTGAGAACGCATCGCCGGTGCAGGGCCGGTGAACCTTGATGTCAGCGCAAGTGCGCGCAGCGTGCCGGGCTCTCAGCCACCGCCGGGCCTGACACCCGTTGACCAGCATCAATCTCCAGCCGCCCCACTCATCTCCCAACCCAGCAGCATTGATGGAGTCTCTACTCATGACATCTCTGCGGTAAGTCCGAACTCATCGAGGTTGGACGAGGGGGAGAGTCAGTTGATAGAATGTGTACATGCTTGGATACAAGCATGTGCACTGAAATTGGACAAGAGTCATGAAGAAGCTATTAAATTCGGCAGACAATCATCTCAAACCTTCTTCCTCACCGCATGTCAGGGGGATCTAAGGAGTAACACGACTATTAAGCAACCCCTGTGCACGTCTCAAGTTGCTCATGAAAGGCAGAAAAAGAATGCTGGGCATTGTCCCTTTCAAACGATAGGGAGGCGCCTGGAATAAGACTCTTTTGTGCTGCCATACAGGGTGGGATCATTTACAATTTGTGACCTGTGGGAAATCACCTGAGCCCTGTTGAACGCAGGAAGAATTGCGCGCTCGGCATCCCAGATACACTGCAAGAGTGTCTGTGCCCCAAACCTGAAGCTGAAAAATTGCATGTGGCACCATTGAGGCACCTGCGTCTGGGCCAGTCTTGTGTTTTGGATGTGCTTGGGAGGGGTTGCTGAAATAAGAGTCGAGAGATGCAAGAACGTACAAGGCAGTGCGAGCGCCAAAGTAGGGAAAAAGGGCTGCCTCGCGGTGTATATGCTGTGTCAGTGCTGTGCTAGTATAGTGTGCACCTCCGGCTCAGGATCATGAAAACCCATGTTGCAGACCACATTGGATTGTAAGCTTGTCTCTCGTTGTCTAGTAGATTCTTGGGTTGCCATCTGCATGCCCAAGAAGTGGTTGCAAATTGTGCAAATTTTGGTCTTGCTTTCAAGTTGAGTTTGCTGGTCAAAGAATGTGTTTACGGATACTTGCCTGCATTGTAATGCGCATTTCAAGCGCCTCTATGATGTGATGTCCGAGATATGCACATTTCTTACTGCATATGTATTTAGTCAGCGTTCCCATAATGATTGCCATGGCCAGTTATTTTCTGGGTGAAAGAGTTTGCTCAAAAACAAGATTCTCGAGTCATGCACTGCTTCACATGGCATTAATGCCAGCAAAGGTGAATCAAAGCCAAAAGTCACTGTTTGATTATGTAAATCCTCATTTTCCTTTACACCCAGCATTAATATTGCAGAAGCTCGATACTGCAGTCCTGCCATATGACCTGACTTGATTCAGGGAAATACTGTATTGGCATGGCATGGCATCCCAAACACACCCTACATGGTTGGCCTCAGGCTGCTCTTCAACGCAGGAGAGCTGCTCAAAATGAATCCTTCGTGCAATTGCCTGGAGAAACTTGAACTTCATCAAGTGAAGCTGCAAGCAAACAGCACTGGCACTGACTAGAAGCAATCAGCACAAGCCCAATCGGTCACTCTGGCCACTTTTATCACAGCCCTACCAGGAACTTCCTTGCCAAATATGAAGCTGAGCACAAAGGGCAATATACATACCCAATTCAGTAAGCCTTGCTGGCCACCCTTCGTGAGGGGTGACCATGCAGGGGCTTCAGAGCATTGCTACACCGTCACATCCCATCCAATCCTGGCGCCTCCACGGAAATGCGCATTCCACCAGACACTGAGCACATGCGCCACACAATCAGCATGCCTGCTAATCATCGCCCCTGCGCTGTGCTGCCCCTCACGTGTGAAATTCATCACCCTGCACAATGCTAGGGATTACCAAACCTGGATTAGTAATCCACAACAACTGTGTCTTCGTTACCCCTGCGCTGTGCTGCCCCTTAGGTGTATATCACCCCCTGCGCAACGCTAGGGGTGACTAATACACAACCATTGTGTCTTGAACCCCCTAAGCTGTGCTGCCCCACGGGTGTAAAATTCATCACCCCTGTGCAACGATAGGGGTGACTAATCCACAACCATTCTATTTTATATACCCCTGCACTGTGCTGTCCCCCAGGTGTATATTCAAAACCCCCGCGCAATGCTAGGGATTACTAATCCACAACAATTGTGTCTTCATTACCCCTGCGCTCTGCTGCCCCTCAAGTGTGCTTCCCCAGCTCGACCTTTTTGGCAAATCGGGCGCCGGTGTGAACCAGACCGTCCACAATACCAGCCACAGTGAAGACACCTCCAATGATGGCGCAAGTTGTTGTCACAAAATGGTACCTGCGCCCCAAAAACACATGCTTTGGATGATTAGTCCGCCCAGTCTAGAGGAGTGCCTGAGAAAGGTGGGACAGTTGTGTTATGGCCTGCCCAAATGTAAATCGAGCTGCAAAAACAGGGGCTGGGGAGCTCAAAACAACAGCAAACTCACAGATAGCTGGAAGTGAGAGACTAGTAATTGCTCTAGCAAGTGCCTATGTGCGGAACACTCTACTTTCTTGTGGCACAGCTGGGAACAAAGTCCTGCTCCTCAGGCAGCAATATCCTATGGAGACTGTTTGAGGAAGTGTGGTCAAGTCGACACTTTGTGAAAAGAGTCTGCAATCTCTTATGTCCTAATCTTGCGTTGTATTCCTTGCCTAAAGTTTGAACAAGTCTCACATTGTCACCCTGGCTGGCTGTGCAGCAGAAGGGACCAAGGGACTAAACAAGTGGCGCCTGCAGCGACCGCAGGCCAATCGACCCTGATGGTTTTTTTGCTGACCACCCCTGGTTTCATTCATCACCCCATTTCTCAGGGGAGTTACTTCTATGTAGTCCACTAAGCCAAGCGACCACAGAGGCAAACCGACTAGAAGACAATTCGCCAACAAAGGGGTGCCAGCGAGACACAATTACTGCTTTGCTGCTGATGTGACATGAAACTGCTCGGCAAGGACCTTCCAAGTCCGGGCACAGTGTTGCTCTGTGCTCATTTCTTCCAGCACTGTCCATGCATGGGAGTATAAATCGACCTGCAGCAGATGGCAAGGCTACAGCAACAGGACCCATGACCAGCAACGGTGTCTGCAGTATATTCTCCAGAGCCAACGTCCCGGCCACAGCTTGACACCACAAGAAGAAAGCGAAGTTCGGGAAAAAATAGTTAGTCATTGATTACTCACCATGCGCGCCGCTTCTCGCTGACGAGGATCTGGATGGGCGACAGGTCATATGTGAACTTAGCGGCAGGGATGTCGGCGGTGTCATACGTGTGACTGTGCACCTGCGCAGCCAGTGGCTCTTCTAAATGAATGGATGAAAGCCAATGTGGCTTTGAAGTTTTCTGAAGCCACAAAATTGACACAAAGATGGGATATTGAACAAAAATTTGGCTCAAATGGGTTGTGTTGGGACCTTCTGGCTCAGAAGGGCAAAACGTGCTTTCACGGCTGTGAATTACTTATTCAAATCCTTTTTGGGTGTTTCTAAAGGAACAGACACAAGCGTCTTCAAGGCCACAAATCTGCCCCCTTTAATTGTTAAAAGCCACATCGGCTCTTAAAAGCCACTAAAAGAAACACCGCACAGCGCAGTCTCTCCCAGACAAAGCATGCGGATCTGGCATCTCCGGGTCGCAGTCACCCCGCGCCACTGCCAAATTGGTGGTTCATTTTCATAATAGAGTACCCAGCAAGTCCTTCTCAGGGCCTGCATTGCGCGTCCGCGCTTGTCATCTCTTGCTTGGCAGAGACCCCAATTGACTTGCGCTAGCCTCAGCAAAGAACCTTGGCTGCCCGAGCGAGACTTTCTGGTGTCACTGGGCAGTCCCATAGATGTCAGATCGGCCTAGTAGATGTGGCAGGCCATGTGAGCAGCTGTTCTGAAGAGACCAGAAACCGGTCCCACGATCCAGAGGCGAAGAGCGGAACTCCCTGGGATGTCAAAACCTGGGCCAGACTGATGTGCATAAATTCGCTGCAAATTACGGCTGTAGCTGTGTCCTGCTATCACCCAAGTATAGTGCGTGCCAACGCCTGGGAGGGCCGTTAAACGTTCTTGTTGTCTCAACAGGGCCCCATTTGACCTGCAAGAGGTTGCAGAGAAGGGGGCCTAGCAGGCTGTCCAAGAGGCCTTGGCCTTGAGAGAAGGCTTCGCCAAAGCTGGCCCCCGGGAAAGACGCAAGTGCATCAAAGAGAGCCCGACAGGGCGGAGGCTGCAGCGTACCGTGTACTCGTAGGCGTCATAGCTAAGCTCTGGGCGGTGCTTGGATGGCTCAATCGTTGTCAGGACCACCTGCAAAACGCCAGGCAGGGAATGAGCAAAAGTCCACGTGAACGATTAACATAACGCCGACGACACAAAGGCAGTTGGCGCGGCAGCGCAACGTTGAGGTAAGAACTACTGAGAACCGTGCCAATTATTGATGAGTCTTGCTTGGATCTGGCGAGTCCAACAAGGGGGAGGATTGTGGCGGCCTTCACATGCAGCTTGTCTGCAGACTCACCTTGCCTCTGACAGGAAGCGCATGCAATAAATCCCCCCAATCTAACTCCGTTGCACTCGGCATCACCAGCCTTCACCAGGAGTATGACCAGGGTCACACCGTGTCTAGAGCGCGCCCCGTGGTATGGTTGCACTTTTGCAGTTTGAGGGGGCATGATAGGAATGATTATAATAATACTAGTATCAGCAAAGGCGGCGCACCTGCATGTAGTGCTCGAAGGTGGCCTTGGCGGCGCGTGAGAAGAAGTCCTGCCCTGCCAGCTTGTCCGCCCAGTCATCGCTGAGCCCCGCCGGGTGAAGCTTTGCCAGTGACTGTACGGACACATCAGACATCTGCTCAGCCTGTGACAGATATACCTCAGGGCCTGGGATCTCCTTCTAGACATCGTGTTTTCTTGTGCCACACAGATCCACTCAGTGGAAAGTGATCCTGTCCTGTCGCCGTTGACTTATGACCGGGTGTGCGATCGCTCGACAAGCCCGATCCAATGGAGCAAGCTCCTGGTCATAAAAATGTTAGGAAGACCCCTCATTTCAGCCTTGAAAAGTTCCCCGCACCATGGAGGTGCGGGGTTGAGCGTGACTTTTATTAAGACTAAGAATGCAGACACATGAGATTTTTGTGATATAAAGATGGGCAGTGACAGACTGCCCAGCCTGGCAAACGTTCAACGAGCCTCAGGTGGCTCCCAAAAGAGGACTGAAATGCAATGATAATAATAAGTAACGTTGAAGCAATGGAGAAACAGCGAGCCCCCACCTGGTGTCTCCGCGGCGAGGGCTTATTGCCAAAATAGAGGTAGTTGACGACGTGGCTCATGTTCATGGCCTGGTAGTCAAAGGAGTGGCCGGGCGACTTGGCCAGAAAATGCAGTGCCCCCGGCACCTTCTTGACCAGCACAAAGCCCGACAGAGCGCACCCACTCGTCTTCGCCATCCGGGTCACGCCCCTGCGCAGCCGCCAGAAGAATAGTCAGGGTTGCGCCATCCATGACCTTCTCTTTCATCTCATCTGCGCTGCCGCGCAGGGGGTTTGGGGTATTGGCATGCCAAGGCACAGGCCGAAAGAATGGGGTAATTGGCTCTTGTATGGCAGTGAGGAGTGGGGTGGGCACAAGCAAGGTTGGCTGTCCATTTTGGCAGCAAAGGGATCCGCAGATCCCTCGTCTGTGTTCCTGCCTTTGCAATACATCACTTTCGGTGACTTGTGTGTATTTATGCAGCCTTGCCAATGACCAGGTCCCCAGGCACGCTAGAGTGGTGGCTCTGCAACCTGCCAAGCAGACGGCAAGGATCTAGACACTGCTGACATTGCATTCATGCATGCTTCTGGCAGCTTCCTTTCATGATTCACATCTCTGGCCAAAAATCCCAAGTCTTTGGACACCTGGCAGAGGCCCTTCCCCTTTGCAACCCACATCGTACCAGAGAGACCACAACATCACACGCAAAGCCGATGCGGCTTGTGGGAGTGGCCTGTTTGAATGGGGGGCTTGCCTGATGTAGTGGTGCGGCTGGCCGGCAGACGGCGCAAGGTTGTCGGCGAACGCCAGCAGGGAGGCCTGGGTGCGGTCCCCCCGGTATGACTCGTGCTCCTTCACTCCATGCACGTTCACCTCGTCATGGCCTGCCCAGAACCCCAACGGTGCCTTCACGCAGTGTTCAGACAGCCAGCAGGGCGGTCCACTGGAGCAAACTAGACAGCTGAGTGTGTCGACACCAGGGCATGGTCTCTGAACCTGCTGCAGAGTGAGCGCAGATAGGCTGGCGGCTCCTGCCGATTATGCAACGGGGGAGCAGCAATGCTGAAGAAGAGGGGCCCGGCAAATCCCCTTTCCCCTTTTCCCCTTCTCCCTCCGTCTCTTTGCGAGAACATGGACTGGCCTCGAGAGGTTAAGACCGCGAGGACAGCTGAGGCCAAGGCCAAGGAAGAGGAGAGAATATGGAAGAGAATCTGCTAAAAGTAATGAAGTGCAGGATGCAGACTCAGACTGCAGAATGAAGGGGGGCGAATGCAAAACCACGGAGCCATAATCGCGCAAAGAAGGGCAGGGCGAATGCTACGATGGGTCCCCCACCTGAGCGGAAGACCCGGATGGAAGGGAAGCCCGTAATCTGGTGCTCCCTGCACAAGTCCACCTCCGTAGTGCAGTCCACCTGGCAGGCACAGTCAGCCTTTACTTGCGCTGAACCCCAAGAAAGACAAAGCTGAAAGAAGCAGTCATTCTTACTCGGCCAAACCAACTAACCAAGATTAAGTTCCTGGAAAAGCAATGCTCACCACCAAATGTGAAAAGTGAACATGATGAGAGCGTGAAAGGATCCTGAACTTAAAGGCGAAAGGCAAAATGTCCCAGTACAAATGAGCACTTTCTAGAGTGACCCCTACTTGACCAAGTGGAACACCCTCCATGCACACCAAGAACATATTGGCAGACAGCTTCAGCAGCTGTTCAAATCCTTAGCCCCCAGTCCAGGTCAGCCCACACGTCACTCTGCTGCAGCACTCCTCATATCGGGCATGTTTGCCACTCGTTCATTTGCAGTTAGCTAGCTCAGCCGAGGAGAAGCCCGTCTGGCCAGTGTGGGCTCACCGTGTTCTGACACCAGATATACGTTCCAGTGACCCAGATATATATATTCCCACTTCCTTCTTAGGACATGAAATGATTTTTTTGGGCTCAATGCCTCATGACCAGTGCATCACAGTGTCATGTGCGCAGATGTCCCACCTTAGCGAATCGGATCCTGCCATCAGCGTCGGGGTACTTGGTGTGAACCTCCTGAGTCACTGCCTCCCATGTCGGCTCCAGCCGCTGGCACCAAGGGCACCAGGGGGCATAGAAATTAACCACCACTGCGCCCATGCAAACATGAGTGCTTTCTTGCCGGCACGCAACCACCAACACAAAGGAACCAAGTGGCGGCAACCCGCAGCAGCCATGAGGCCAAGCGACCCTGATGAGGCTGATCACCCCTGGTTTGCACATCACTCCATCTCTCAGGCATTGATTAGATATATTCCACTAAGCCTAGTTAACACAAATGCAAATCGGCTATCGTCAATTGGCCAGTAAAAATTGCTCTGCATGGATACCTTGCTGCTGTTGGAACCAGAGCCTGACTGCCATTCATGATCAAGACCGGGCCCTAGAGTTTCCTCTCTCTTGCCCGCTGGTCACTCCTATGTTTTACTGCATGTGCCAGCTGCATGCCAAAAGTTCCCACTATGCTGCTGGTTCTAGGATGCATGCTTCCACAGAGCTCAGGTCTGGGGTGCTGCGGGTTTCATCGAGTGCACTTCAGGTCAGGGTTCAAAATCCTGGCCACATATGGAGAGTGTGTCCCACCGGGATCGCATGCAGATGTCAAGCCATGTGAGGGTATTGTATTTGTGAGGGGTTATTGTACCTATAGAGTAGGCTTCAAGCGTCGCCTTGAAGCTATCCTTGCTGAGAGGAAGCGCAAAGTCCTGTGCTGCGGCCTCTTTCTGCAAAGGCACCAGTTGTCTTGTTAGTCAATGACAACACTCTTGCAGGACATTTCTAGACAGCTATCTGGCGTTATGGCAAACAAGCGTCCAATGGAATGCTGCCTCAGCATGCATCAATCAAAATGTCTGCAACATGGAGGGCTGCACATGGGAAGCAAGAGGGTTGCTTGTGTTTCAAAAATTGTCGGTAGATCTGGTTGACAATTCTGCATGTCAGACACTGAGCGACAGCACCATAAAGATGGAGACCGCTTAGTTTGCTGTGAAAGGCAATTAACAGACCCAATCATCGAGCAAAACCTGACAGGAAATCGAGCTTCTGCGTAGTCAGGAGAGCAGGTCACACACCGAGGGCTCATCATACTTGATGTCTACGTTGCTGAGGTCGTCATGTACATAGTAACCCGCCCTCTGCCCGTCTTCATCGATCGGCAGTTTCCTGATCGTCTTCGTTAGGTTCATCCGTTTCTGCATGCAGCATTACCTGCTATCAAATGTTCATGCTGCAGATGGGTGTTTTGCATGCTGCTGACAAATTACCTCTTGGCAAGGGTGGGATTGTGCCTGCTTTCTCATCAGATCCATGGATCGTGCAGGCAGCAACAGCATGCAGCAAAGGAACTCAGTCAATGAGGGGCACGTCAGAAGCCCTGGCTCAACGAAAATTTTGCACCCTAGGAAGCTTCTCACCGTGCCAAGCGCGTCACTGACGTCCAGAGTTGCAAACTCGCACGAAAGTGAAGGGAAGCTGATGTTGAAATTGATTCGCAACAGGTCGCCATGTGCACTTCTGTCCACAATGAGCTCCTCCTTGGTCTCAATTGCCAGGAAACTGCTGAGCTCCTGGGCATCAAGAGACATACAATCATGTTGGCACAAGGAAATTTCCTTGTGCCAAAGAAATTTCCTTTTGGCAACCTGTACAACGGGCTTTGGGGGCATTTTATGCATGCTGGGCACATCTTTCACGAGCCGTGTAAGCTCACCGCTGTTAGGAGCACCACAATGGTGAACGCAGCAACTAATGATATGCCAGCTCCTGCCAAAGTAGCTTCTGTAAGGTCACTGCACACCACAGAGGCAAAGCGTGATGCATCTGGACACACGATTGATCGTATCTGCAGTCAGCTGAATGCAAATAGACATTTTATGCACATGTATGGCAGAGTATGGATAATTATGAACACAATTTGTGAAAGATTCTTGTCAGAACTGGAGATTCCATTCTGATGATTAGGAGTACTGTCATTGAAGCGCCATCGAGATATACAATGCAAGCGCAGGAAACTTTTTGAGCACACGAAAGCCAGAAAAGCTTTTATGTGCATGATTTTGGGGACTTATTGTAGCCTCACTTGGGAATCTTCCGGTAGAAATCCACACTCCGCAGCTTTTGCAATACTCTTGCCATTGCAGATCGGTTCCTACTTCCCGATCCAGACACGAGCTAAGAACTTCTACACAGTTTGACTCCTCGGAGCGAAAATAACATTGACTTGCTCTTCAATAGAGTAAGTAAGGATGTGCCTCGATCAGGAATGCAATTTTAAAGCAGGCATTGCAGCGGAACAGAGCTTGAATACTCTCCAGGTTACAGTGTCAATGCGAAATAAGATCCGTTGAGCAGGAAACAAATACGAGCTAAAGAATAGAGGCTTTTGTTCCACACATGAGGAGCGTATCCTTTCCCTTTCTTTCGAGGCCCTCGAATCGAGGGAACTACTATTAGTCACCGATCACCTCATCGGCAGCTGTGAGCCGCCTTGGAGTAGAGCTGCAAACAGCAGACAAGAGCGAGGACTTTCTGGCACAGGAGCAGCGCTATGGCTCCCAAATTTGACCCCTCCCAGCTTGTCGAGGTCTACGTGAGGGCCACAGGCGGTGAAGTGGGCGCAGCCTCATCTCTGGCACCTAAGATCGGTCCTCTGGGTCTCTCCCCAAAGAAGGCATGAGTCTGCTTCTCTTGATCCGTTTTTTGTATTCTTTGCATGTTCCAACAGGGCTATATTGATGACGGTAAGCTTCCTGTATGTGAGAAGCCAGGCCTGGTTGTGCACTGCTCATCTGTAAGCGAGGCATAGACATGACTCGACTAGAATTTCAGAACTCGATGAAAGTGATCATTACTTATGTTTGCATGTATTATTGCGCGATCGCATACCTCATCGCCCAGTCTGCAAGTAGTCTGACCTGTGCAGCAGTCATCTGATGTTTGAGGTTGCCTGGCTTCAGATCGGTGAGGACATCGCAAAGGAGACAGCAAAGGAATGGAAGGGACTCAGAGTAACGGTGAAGCTCAGCGTGCAGAACAGGATAGCCAAGGTGTCTGTCATCCCCTCAGCAGGAGCCTTGGTCATCAAGGCCCTTAAGGAGCCTATCAGGGATCGCAAGAAGGTGAGCAGATCTTGTCATTGCTGACAGCCTTACCAAGGCTCTTTCCGAAAGATCACGCCAGACCTCACTACATTGGGGGTCCACCCATGCAGAGGGAGCCGTCCTATGGGGACAGTACTGCTGGGCAGGGCATGAACACCTGTTCCAATCTGGCCTGTTTAGCCTGTCCTGGAATAGCTTCTGGCCGCCTTACGCTGAGGCAAGGGAGGGAAGCACTTGGCTGGGATAGCCTGGAGCTTGCTGATGAGGCTCTGAGGCCTCTGTGCCAATGGCCAGAAGTCTGGCAGACGGTGCCGTGAGTCTTGCAACCTGGGAGTGCATGCACTGAGCGTGTGTTGTTGCTGCGCGCGTGCAGGAGAAAAACATCAAGCACAGCGGCAACCTGGAGCTGGACGAGGTGATCGAGATCGCGCGCGTCATGCGCGACCGCAGCTGCGCGCGCAAGCTGGCCGGCACAGTCAAGGAAATCCTGGGCACCTGCGTCAGCGTCGGCTGCACCGTTGACCACGAGGACCCCAGGGAAATCCAGAGCAAGGTGGGGGCCCACCTCTTTCTCCTGCGCCTTGCCTAATGCACAGCAGTCAAATACATGTGGTGCTGCACCCTCAGCAGCCCTGTAGTTCTCCAGTGAGAACATTCATGTGCAATTCGGACACCCAATTGAGTCTGCAGTGATCACCTTGTTGTTTTACACCTATTCAAGTCTCCAGTGATCACCTTGATGTCTACAAACATACCCATTTGGTCCTCCAGGTTTCCCTTGACAGGCAGGCGGAGCAGTGAATGCTAGTGTGTCTGCAATGTGGTGGCCAGCCGGTGATCCTTTTTAGACCAGCGATGGAGAGATGCTTCTGGCTAGAGGTGACCTGCAGCAGTGGTGTCAGTGGCAGTGGTGCAGCAGCTGACTGGCTTTGTGGTGGTGTTGCAGATTGATGAGGGCGAGGTGGACATTCCTGAGGAGTGATGCCGCTCTCGGGGGAAGCAGATAGTGTGTCAGTGTGTCGTGCTCCTGTTTTCAGCCTTCCTGTCGAGACTCACATAGCCAATCTCACAGCATGCCTGGTGACGTGTGCCCAGTCTCTATCATAGATGCCATGATGGGCGACTACGCAAGACGGGCAGGCATGTAAGCACTGATTGATCTTGGTGCAGCCATGGTTCAATGAACCACAGTGCAATACAAGTGTCAAGAGATTAAGGGTGAAAGCGCTCATTCTGTGACGGAGCAAAAATTGGCTGCCAGTGCTGCTCTCACTGATTGGCTGATACTGCCACGTAGCACGCAATCATCGCATGATAATGACTTCAAGTTAGAATGGTGCTTAGATGAGTTCGACCAGAGGATTGGCATCGTCATCAGCAGATTGCATGCAGTGAGTGATTTTAAAGATCGAGGCCGCTTGGGACCTTGGTTCAGAGGAGAGCTGAGCTTACACTACAGTAGCTGGAAGCGTAGGCTTGCAGTGCACCCACTGTGGCACACTGTGGCAGGCATACAATTCGAAGACATGATCATGATCATGCATGAATTCGAAGCTTACGAGGCATCACCTATTTTAAATGACACATCCATGAGCCTTGACACTGTGAGGCCTATTTTAATCACATGGACTTTGTGGCTGTTGGTGGCTGTTGGCGACCAGTGGAAGAGTTGGTCAGTGACCGCTCGCAACTGCATGGGTTTTCCACAACGCCCTGGTTTCAGGGAGTTCGCAACCCTGAAATTGGGTGAGCCATAGCAGCCGCTCCTCTAACCTAGGAAGAACGAGACAAAGGAGAAGAGAAGTGCTGCTGGACGGACGGGACGGTCGTTCGTGGGGTAGCAGGGGTGAAGCAGCCGGATTGAGGGAATGCGGGAAGCCGAGGAGAGAGTGCTTCCTGGGGATCAGATTGTTGTCTCCTTGGAAAGGCGGAACGACAGACGCTGCTCCGCATGAAGATTGCGGCCGGATAGTCTTGAAGGTAATGCTATTGAAAATGTTGTTGAGGCTTCTATTGGCGCTGCCATGCTAGAGAGGTTTTGGGAGAAGGGGCATCACGGCCTTTATCGCCATCCGGGCGCACGACTTGTCCTGCTCGATGCTTCTATGCTATTGTATGTTCAGGAAAGAATATCTGAATGAGAATAGCTATGGCTTGATTGCATCAAATGGCCACAGGAGGGCGATAATTCCCGCTTGGCCCTTGAAGAGCCTGCTTCATCACACTAACCGGGAGGAAGGCTGCGTGTTACATACACGCAAAATCGGGCATCAATAAACCCCGTTGGGCCTTTCAGCCATCCCAAAGGGGAATTATGTGCAGACTGGCAGGTTTCGGAACAATTGTGGCCTGATCAGCCCTCTGCATCACGGCCTCCTGGTATTTTATTCACTTTTGGTCATGCTCCGATTGCCGGGTATTATTCTCAAAACAATGCTTGAGCAGACTTCTCCCTGTCTCGGATGCGTTACCGCATCGAACGGGCACCTATGTCGTACCCCAGTCATCTTGAATGTGACCTGCAGAGCAAGGCTGCTGCCTTGTCTGGGTGCAGGGGAGGCATCCCGACGAGATGGACAGCGATCCCTTCACCGCCAATGCGACCAGCCGTATGTCCTCTGATTTCCGCTCTGCTGTCTCCACATCGCCTCTGGAGCATAGCCTACACCACGCTGGCCACCTGGAGCGAGCCTGCAGTGCGTCCCATAGCTCCTCAAATTCCAGGAAATCTGACAGCAACGCAGTATTTGCTAGATCATGGCATGGAGCCGAGTGCGGAGAGGCACTGTCCGATCACTCCAGGCAGTGGATAGCGAGAACGCTGATATCATCGCAGCGCAGATACTCCCCCTCAAAGCACCTGGCGTTAGTATCCCAAATTGGTGTTTAGTCAAAGCTGTGAAGGTGTATTCATTCTGTCCACGTGAGCCACTTGTGGTCACTTCATCGCCTTGCCTCTCAACAGGCCCCATCTGGATGTTTGTGCCGTGCCTCCGTACCTCCGTGCCCCTGGCAGGTAGTATATAATAGTGGGGAGTGCCTATTCCGACCACAATCAGGCAATCCTATCACAGGTCAAGACAATACAAACAAATTACATAAATGGCAAGGTAGTGCGTGTACGAATTAAGCATTACAGCATGCGCTGATGGTCAGAGTGCTAGTGTATCTCGAGTTGTTTTATAAAGTGTACCTGAGAGCCGGTATATAGAGTGGGGGCAGGGCACCCCTCCACACCACTCAGCACTGACTGGTCTGCCTAGTCCGATATGCTGAGCAGGCGATCTAGACTAGTACAAGTCGTTGGATAATTGTAATGTGGAGGGCATGTAGTTTCCCCATGCCCTACAATATTTCATGACTGCACGGCTGTCCTGGCAGCTGAAGGACTGGCATGTGCGCGCAGGTGCGGGCATGACGTCCACGGTGTCGGCAAAACGCCAGCGCAGCACCGAGGCAGTCGGCGTGCCTATTCTGGACGAGGTACATCCTGTCTGGCTGGAGGCGGCCCCCGGCAAAAGGTGGGTGCAGATACCCCACACCCGTCACTGTGAATCATTGTGCAGGGAGGGGACCGTTGCCCTCGGCAATGATGACAGCCTCAATCTGTGTTGCAGCGTTTGCCGGTTTCAGCAACACCGACAAGTAATGTTGAGGGTTGTGAGAAATGCAGAGTAGACTTGCAGAGGTAATCTGTCACGCGTGCCTGCCAGCTGGGCTGTCTGTGCGTTGCCGGCCCGAGAGACATCCTTAAAGGTCTTTTAGATTCGCAAGCCGTGCAGCAAAAATCTCAACCTGAGCAGATGGAGTGCTTCCAATGAGATGCGCACAGCAAAACTCAGTCCGATGAAGGGACACCAAAGAAAGCAGGGTTGCACCGGCAGTGGTGCTTCAGTCCTCGTACTGGGTGGACGTACTGACGTACTGGCGCTAGCGAATCTGGGTGCTCAGGGCCTTCTAGTACATCAGTACTCCGCGTGTTGGGGCGTACAGGTGCTACCATGAAACCAAAAAGGTGTGAACCGGTGCTTCATCCGCATGCAGCTGAGCAGATGAAGAGATACCGATGAGATGTGTGAGCCGCACAGCGAAACTCGGTCAATTGAAGGGACAGCAAAGAGAGGGACAAGAAAAGAGTTTCAGGCGGTGCTTAATCCAAATGCAGTTGAGCAGTAGGAGAGAATGGCACATGGTATATGTAAGGTCGTGTACACGGGATTTTGGCCAAATTTGGCCGTATCGGACTGTATTCCATATCTCTAAAATCCGTACGACCACATCTATGGTCGTATATACGGCCCCGGTGATTTTCGACAGTATTGTACAACCGATGAGACGCGCCGTCGATTGCAGGTATTTGCTGCTGGAGGACGCGGACACGGGAGACATGCTGATGCCGCTGATCTACATGAAGGCGGTCTTCGAGGCCAACTACAGCCGCAAGCTGTCCGCGCTCAAGCACCGGCTCGTCACCATGCCGGCCGACGCGGTGCTGCCGGACTCGCGCGCAAACGCATACCTGTATTGGCGCTGGGCATTCGAGGCGCCCCCCGGGGTGAAGCTGCTCGTGCGCCAGGAGCTGGGCGATGACAACACGCCGCAGGTGGGGCCGCATGGTCATGGGTGTTGTGAAATCACCTGCATGTCTTTGAACCCTGAAACCGCCTTGAATGATAAATAGTAGCCAAGAAGGGTGGATAAATAAGACCCTATCTCCCAAAACCCTATGATCTTGAGACCAGAATTGGAGAGATCTCGACAAGCCCAATCCAATGGAGCATGACCCTGGTATCTTTGAAGCCAGGGAGACTCCCCCAAGTTGGTTTGAAACATTCCCGCACCCCTGTTGGTGCAGGAGCCTTTTCAGAGCACTACAGTATACGATGCCAGCGGTGGCACGCGCCTGTGAGCTGAAGTGCTGTGTCTCTCGTCTTTATAGGGGCACCTACGTCTGGTGCTGCTGCCCATAGTGTGTCAAATCATCAATAATTAAATCTTACCAGTGTAGGAAGCCGCATTCCAGCCCTTTTCAGCAAAGGTACGCCCTAAAACACCTTACTCAGGAGACTTCAGGAATCTTCAGCTTTCAGACATTTTCTGGCTTCATAACTTCAAATCAAGCATGTGCTTGTAGCCACATTGGCTTCCAGCCAAATTCGTTATAAGAAGTACTGGCCACGAGGGAGGCAACCGCTCCAGTGCTGAGGTGTCAAGTTGTGCACGGCGCAGGGCCATCTGCGGCTGGTGCTGCTGCCAATAGTGTACAATGCGATGGCGCTGAAGGAGCAGCTGCGAGGGCTGCCGCTGTTCCGGGCGCTGCAGGGCGCTATTTGCGCGTCTGCTTATGACTGCCTTCTGCGCCACCCGCCTCCAGACCCCACCACGCCCGACAAACAGGCCGAGTGCGGCTGGCACCCATCTGACCTTTCGTCAGTGATCTCCCTGCTGGGTTGTGTATGCATGTTCTGCAGCACTGAAGACACCAATGGTCTTGGCCTGTCGGTGTGGACGTTGCGATGATTTTGATGGATAGGGCAGACTGCATGCTCTCCCATGGGCCTCGGGATGGATCGCAGACAGATGGGCACGTGCATGTTTGAGGGGAGTATAGCTCTACCCTGCACGTTACCTTGAGAATGGCCGACAGAGGGGCTCGAACGGGCGCTGAGAGATTCGAGGATGCGTGGATGTGCGCAGCCCGGGCAGCGGCGCAGGCGAGGCCGAGGGAGGGATGCCAGCAGGCAGCGCGGCCGCCCCGGGAAACGGCGCGCAATCGCGGCTGTTTGCCGGCCCACGCGACCTGGCGGCCACGGCGGCAAAGTACATGTACAACTTCCGCGAGGCCGAGGCGACCGACGTCAGCATCAAGCGGCCGCGACTCGTCCACTCCGCATCCCACGTGAACGCCGAACCCCTGCGCATGCCCTCTCTCGAACTTTTGTTCTTCTTTTGGAGGTTTCTTTTTGGGGGATAAGGGTTGCATCTTTTAGGGTTTTAGGGGATATAGATTAGGGTTCAGGGTATAATCATATTATTCAACGCTTTTCCCGCCAAAAGGCAAGGTATGTCCTGCAGACAAGCTGCAGTCAAAGGCTGCCTCAATCCTACCCCTGGTTGGTTTCGCCAGATCCAAGCAAGACCCAATCAACCGTAGGCGCGGTGCTTAGTATTTATACCGTCCCCCGCCAGCCGGGGCCCAGGTCTTATAAGCCCTTAATATGGGCTGCGGCTGTGCAGGACGAGTTGGGGCGGGGCAGAGAGGTCTGCCATCACCACGGCGCAGCGCGGCAGCCGGCAGCTTGCAGCCACGCAACCGAGCTGCGGAGGGAACTTCGTGACTGGAAGCGGCGGGTGGAAACGCAGGTGGGGTTTCTATCAGTGGCTCTTGAAATTGAATAACAACGGAAATAAGGAAATAAAGAAAGTTATGAAAGCCAATTTGGCTTCTACAATTGAAGATGGCAGATTTGTAGCGGTCGAGAGGTTTTTGGATGTCCCTAGGAAGCCACATATGGAAGAAGTAACTCACAACCGCGCAAAAGCGACACTGTGTCCTTTTTGAGCTGAAATGCCCACAAGACCACCATTTGAGCCCCATCTTTCTCCAAAACCATAATGTCTGCCGCTTTTGTGGCTTCAGAGACTTTCATCTTTAAAGCGACGTTGGCTTTCAGCCAGAATCCTTTAAGGAAAATCACCGAACGCAGGTGGAGAGCATCTTTGGAGAGCTGGCCATCGTCAAGAATTGCATCATGCAGCTCTACAACGTGCTGCTGCCCGGCAAAATCCCTCCGATGCCGCAGCCGCCGCCGCCGCCGCAGCCGCAGCAGCACGGCCGGGCCATTCCGCCATTGCAGCAGCCGCCGCCTGCGTACCGGCAGATGGGCGTGGCCCCTTCACAATATATACAACCCAAAAAAGGTTGAAAAATCAGGTCTGGCAGCTGCATCTTGCCTGCCACTGATGCTACTTACCAGGGCCTTCAAGGCATGCCCGGTTAGATTACAAATAAGTGATAGCCTGCCCAAAACACATGCAATAAGGGTGGATCAGCGATGAACCTACCGTCATCAGCACAGAATTCTGGCAAGCAGTCCTCTGATTGACACATTGATTAAATGTGAGGCTATCTGACCGGCCACGAAAGAAGCAGGCCTGCTTGAGCCAGGGGATAGTGGGAGAGATGGGTGCGGCGCACAGCGGAGCTCTCAGGATCAATGTTTCTTTTAAAGGCTTTTGGAAGCCAGTGTGGCTTTTAGCAATTGTTGAGGGTAGATTTGTGGCCTCTGAGAGGGTTCTGGAGGTCCACTTGGAAGCCACATATTGGCTTTGAAGAAGTATCTTACAATCGCGCAAAAGCTACATTGTGCTCTTTTCGAGCCGACATGCTCCCAGTACCACCCGTTTGAGCCCAAACTTTCTTCAAAATCCTAATCTCGGCCATTTTTGTGGCTTCAGAGAGTTTGTAATAAGGACATTGTCAAAGCCACATTGGCTTTCAGCCAAAACCCTTGGTAGAAGCACTGCTCAGGATGGCTCGTGTGTGAAATGCGCAGGCGCGCGTGCAGCCGCGCAGCCTGGCGCTCTCGGGCCGAGCGCCAACGCCGCCGCTGCCGCCGGCTGAGCAGTTGCGCAGCAGCCGCCTGCCAGACGGCCTGGTCTCCCGTGGCGTTGCCCGCGAGGCCTCCCATGAGTCAACCACCTCTGCCATGCCATGCGCGCCAAACTTGGCCGCCTTTGCACACACGCTCCCGCCACACATGCCACATCAGGTTAGTCACACCTCCCCTCACTTTGGGTTGTGCTGTATTAGGGTTTATGGTTACTTAGGGTTTTAATTGAAACCCTGAAGTATATGTCGTGGAATTGTGTGCGCCAAAATGGCACTCAGCTGCGGTGTGGGGTGAACGCTTCTTTCTTCTGCTTCATTTTTGCTCCTGGCCCGCTTTTGTGAGATCGATGCATATTTTGAGAGGTAGCAAAGCTGCATGGCCTACTCTGTGCATATGTTAAGTGTGCAAGATGAAAGAAATCGCCTGCATGCAATTCAAAATTTGGAAAAGCCAAGGACATATTACTTGCCCCTTTAGAGATTGCTTGAGCGAGGTTAGTCCCAAGGAGTGCGCTTGCATTTGCGTCCCGGGCATAGTCCACTCATGCACCTTCTGCCAACCCCCCTTTACAGGGTTGATTTAGAAGTTACTAGAGACTACTACCAGTGGCCTTAAATTCCCTGGCTGACTGTGTAATTCTCTGGCCTTTAGTAACCAGATGACCTCTAGGTGGGGCAACCTATTACATATATCACATATTTGCATCTTACAAAACACCCCCTGACGGCCGGATAATGTGCGCGTGCAGATTGCGCCTCCTCCCGAGTCCATGGCATCGAGCGGCCTGGCAGCGGCGCCGATTCCTGCCCAGCCGGGCAGCGAGTTTGGGCAGCCCGTAGGCCACAGCTTCATTATGGGCCACCCCGCGATACACGGTGCGCCCGTCAACCAGAACTGGCAGCTTGGGTGTGTCTGCAGGACTCGTTGCTTTGATTCATGATTGTGTCGTGAGTCCCGCCCAATTTACAGAAGCACCTGAGAAAATGGGGATTACTTACTTAAGGCCTGCCCATATGCAAATCGACCTGCAAAACCATGGGTCGAGGAGCTTGAAACATTCCCAAATTTACAGGTGGTGAAGATTGAAGACTTGGGATTTTCGGGCAAGCACCTGCGTGCGAACCGCTCTACTTGTGCGGAGGGTGAGAAAGGCTTGACATGCTAAGTTTCCGTGTTGCACACAGGCTGTCTGAGTGAGGGCGCGGCAACCCTCGCCCTGCATGTACCGCAGTTGAGACCAGCGCAGCGCGTTCCCTCCCAGCAGCATTGGGTGAGCCCTGCCCGCTGACTTTGATTAGGAATACTAATCTGACCAGATCGCTTCCTTTCTTTTTCCACAACAGGCTGCGTAAGCATTCATTCACCAAGTAAATGCAGTTTCGCCTGAACATGAAAGCTCAGGAATCAATCGCTCAGGTTTGATACAGCACAAAAAATCATGGAACATTGGCATGACTACGGTATACCCGGTAGACAAGCCAGCTCGTATATGCATTCAAACCTTGGGTGGCTGTAGCAGAAAATCAGATGCCCACTGCAGCCTGTGGCAGAATTTATCACCAAAACATGCCGCCTCAGTACTCTGATATTCTCCTGCCCGGCATTTTAATCTTGTAGGGTCCTGATGAGTCCTCTGTCATGGGCTCTTCACTGTGTTCAATGTGCCCTATCCACCCTCACAAAGCCGGGGGCCGCAGATCTGATTTAGGGGTATTCACATATCTAACTATCTATTTGGCACATCCCTATCTGTTTGGCACATCACATGCGCGAGGGCAGAGTTGTGTGCTGCAGCCAAGGCCAGGCATTTGACCCCGGATTTGCATGCAGCGCAGCATCGTGCCATGCCTGACTCGAGTGGTGGATTCTTGGTGGTCTGATGCACATGGGCTGTTGCCTATCTTGAGTCCTGGGGTTTTCGCCGTGCGACGGCCACCGCAGGCTCCTCAATCCTAAACCTAACCCCTGCCAGGATGCAGCACAAGTCTAGGTGACACGAGTGGCTGGCCTCCGGATGGGCTTCTGACAGGCCGGCAGATTACGCGCAAACAAGCAAATCCGGCCGAGAAGATTTGCACCTAAAGGGGGATCAGTAGAGAACCTTCCGTCCGTGCCAGCTGAGTATTTGTGTCGCCGAGTGCTCACAGGAACAGATTGATCACGGGTGCTCTGTGTGCTGCGCAGGAGGCGATGCAAGGCATGGCGTCGGCAGCAGCGCAGCTCGCGCCGCAGCATCCACCCTTCTCCATGCCCACCCCCTGGCGGTGACTCACCATTGGACGGCCAATTTAGAAGATTCTTAGGGGCTGAATCTCCGGGGGTAAGGGTTCATCCTGATCCCCTGGAAATGCCAGACCCCCTGGGGGCGCGGCCTGCACAATTGCATGACCCGTCCAGCGCTGTATGCAGGCCCTGAACTTGAAGGGGGGAATATTTTACACATTTTCCTCCCTTCATCAGTGGCATGAACCTAATGAGTGCGCAAAAAAGCCATAGTGCAGGGTAAGCCTAACGGCAGCGCACTACGGCCATTGAGGGGCGCTTGCAGCATCTAGAGAAGAGAGAGTGACTAGAAAAAGCACGAGGCCCTTTTTGCTGCTTGCTCTTCACTGTCAATTGATTGATTGCCTAGATGCCGATTTGTCTTTTTTGTGAGGGTTGTATGAGAATTTCTATTGCCCTTCGCGTGCACGTGAATCCTGCTGACATCATATGCTGGGTGCTAGGGTGTGACCAGGATACTTTGCAAGCGCGGCAAGAGTCTGAGCATTAATTGTCACTGCCAGCACCCTTTCATGGGTTCAGCGCCCCGTGGGCTTGCATGCGCCAAGGGGTTTTTGGTCTGTCTAGCTCGGGTTTGCGCCGATCTGCTGTAGAATGAAGGTTCCTCGGAGTCATTTCGGACCCCGACATACTCATGCATTTGTTGGGCAGAACACAAATTGCGTGCTGAGGAAGTTTGGGCTTGAGGAAGGTGTGGGAACACCATAAACATAGGGAAAAGACCGCCTTTAATACATACTGTCTATGTCCGCACTTCAAATGAACTTGACATTGCTGCACAACGAGGACAAGCTGCGCGTTCGGCACGTAGAGGGCACAGGACGGTACTGTCAAGTGTGTACGAAAAATACTACTTTCACAAAACCGCCATTGATTCCCTTGACACTGAAATATGAATGTAGTGTTCTTAGTAAGGGGGTTTGTATGAAATTTTTGGGGGATTTTGGAGGTTCTTAAATTAGGCCGGAGGACAATCACTGCTTTTTCTCATCTGAGTACCCCGATTAGGGTGCCCTCATGAGAAGCTCAAGTTTGCCTTCTGGTCGGTGAACGCATTTCCCTGCTTGAAAGCATTTGATGGTATTTCTATGTGGCAGTAAGGTGTGTGACACTTAGTAAGACCTCTTTAATGGTTAGAACTCTATTAATCTAGAGAACCAATCCGAAAATCACCGCTGATCATGATCTGTCGTTCCTCTGGGTGAGTGATACCAATGTTGTAAAAATGTGAGCAAATACGGTATACCGTAGATTCCCCTTGGTGGATATCTTGCCAGGGGTGTACCTTGTATTGCACCCATGTCTACATGGATATCCCTCTCCAGGTTGTAAGCATCATTGCAATTGTCCCAAAATTAGCTGTGCCGCATGGCTACACTGTGATGCTCCGAGCCATGCCATAAGTGGTTCACGACGGCAATTCATTTTTTTAGTTCAACTCGGTCATCAACAAGTTGTGATCGTACATCATGTTTGCCAACATCATGATCCAATCAAGGTGCCGTCTTTCTTTGCGTCGCTGACGGGGCATGCTCACTGCCAACGTACTACGATGATGTAGTACATCAAATACATGCTGTCACTTGCCATCGGGCAACTTGCTATTACTGAATATAGTACTATTTAATACCATGCAAAACTATATACATCATATATGATACTACACTATGATATCAGGTAGCACCATACAAGCTTTTCTCATTGAGTGCGGTATGACCTCAGGTGCAAGGCTTGCAAGGTGTGTGCTTCACCGTGCGACAAGTTGTCACTGACAACGCTAAATAACATGAACCGCATGCACCGCTTAATATCAAGCCACCCACTCCAACATGACGCTTGGCGGCTATTTACACGGACGGCTCATCACAAGAAGGTCCTAATGGCAAAGTAACGGGCGTTGCAGTATACTTTGCCCAAGAAGACAGAACAAATCATGATCCATACCGGGGGCACAGGGCTGTGCAACACGATTACAAGTGCAGAATTATCAGCAATTCATGTTGCCCTCACATCATTGGAAGATTATATGCACAATGACGATGTCACCATCCTCACGGATAGCATGACATCTTTGCACCTCATCCGCAAAGCCATCAGGTCGCCGATGCGACTTCAAGACAATAAACACCGCGAACTCTTGGAAGAAATAGTGAACATTTTCATAGAAAGAAGTGAAGCCAACCTACGTACCACGATAGGCAAAGTCAAAGCCCATATTGGCATTCATGGCAATGAGCAAGCGGACAAGGGCGCCGTGCAAGCTAGCCGCCGGCTCGAGACCGGACATGATATCACAGTTGATATTGGTAGAGACCCATATGCTGACCATTATTGGCCAACATATAATGAGACAATTGATACGGATACAGGCCCTCAAGTTAAAGTGCAGCAGGTTTCGGACCTGAAGACCGGGTTGAAATCAAAGCTATACCCAATATGCAGGCTAGGCTACACAAAGGAAACATTTACACTCGGTACTAGCGCGACATATGCAAAGAGGCTCATGGCAACATTAGCAACACGTTTTGGACCTCCGCAAAAATCCCATGTAGTGCCTTGAGAAACGTGCTGCAATACAGAGCAGGAGTGCTTTACAATGAGAAGTTGGCAATGCGATATGGAAAGAGCTCAGCTACACGGGGGGAAAATGCCCAATGTGCCAAGAACCCGACTCGGCCGGCCACATACTAGGAGGCTGTCTACACCAATACCCCAAAGGGATGATTATTAAACGACACAACGAGGCAGTATGGGAACTGCACAAAAGCATTAGCGCAGACACCCAAGGAGGTTACTTCACAATTGTTGATGCCGGCCGACCGGATCATGACCCATGTGACACCGACTTGTGCGCCTCTGAAGTCACTTCAATTGAGGACCCTGAGGAAGAAGAGGCAAGCCATAGTGATATGACCGCTAATGGGGCACAAGACGACCCTCAAGGCGCCCCACTAACAGGGTTTGAAAATAGTGCAAATCCCCTGAACACCCCAGAGGATCTTGACCAAACCTTAGGCACCCGCATACCAAAAGAGATGCTCCCTGACATTGACAATGACATTCGCATGAAGCTAAGACCGGATATTCTCAGAATTAGAGGGCTACCAGCAGGCGCAACGAACTTTGCGATTTCAAAGGACCAACGGGCGCGATATGAAGTACAGATTATCGAGGTTGGCTATTGTGCGGACACAAGATACAAAGAGAAAATGCAAGCTAAATTGTCACAACATGCACAGCTTGTGCAATACTTGCGCGACGCAGGGTGGAGGGTGCAAGACCCTTACGTATTTCTGTTTGGGGTTGCTGGCACTATTTAAAAACGGATTTGACACAGTTGCAAACAACTAGGTGTATCATCAAGCAACGCCAAAAAGACATCCACAAAGATTCATATTAATTCCGTGCAATGGGTGGACAAACTCGTGAAGACTCGACGCCACTTCTCAAGGAACCAGCCAACAAATGTAGGCGTCACGTGACGCCTGGGCTTTGTGATTAGGGGACATGGGTTTACCCATGCCCTCACGGTGGCGAGGAATATCATGCCCTTGGCACGATTGCCCTCTGTCTCCTTAATCACGCCCCAGGCCTCATCAGGGCGTCTATATTTCATTTTATTTTATTTTATGGGCATGTGCTAGCACAAATGAAAAAAAGGGGCTGACTCTAAAGGGGCTGCCCATGAAACCGGCAAATCACCTGCTGGGAGAAGTTCTGGTTGATGGCGGTGGCCTCCAGGGAGAGCTGCTGCATGCCGTTGATGTTGTCCTTGTCCTCGGGTATGGCCTCGGGGGACGTCTCAGCCACAATCAGCATGTCCAGGGACGAGCAGTTGCGCTTTAGGAATCTGGCAGCCTTCAAGGCATGAAGTTCACATGCAGCTTGTTTGCAGACGCACCTTGCCTTCGGCAGGAAAAGCGTGCAATAATAGTAATAATAATAATAATATATATATATTTTTTTGCTTAGTTTTAGGGGGGTCTATTTGTGTACGGATGTAAATCCCCCTACAGAACTAGAGGTGAACGCGCTGCCTTGAGGTGGATAAGACGGCGTTTTACCCCCACCCCCCTCTGGGGGGTGGGGACGCCTCTTGAGGTTGGTCAGCATTGAGCAGAATGGGTAAGTCTTGCTGATTGGTGTGAGAAGGCAAATGTAATTTCACATGGATAGTCATTATCATGTTAGCAGTGATTGGAGGCAATGTAAGCAATCAATGTTCACTGGTTGAGACATTTGCAAGTCTGGAATTGTAGGCATATGCATGCATGGCAGGTGAACAGCGCAACTTCATGGTTGGTGTGCATGAACGCCGGGCAGTCCTAGGCAATTTCCTGGACTTCTGCCTCCATCTATGTTGACCAGTTAGAGTAGTCCCCGGGCTGGCTCGCATTCGGGTCGAATAGAGTTGTGTTGATGTGCTTATGGCTGCACACATAGCGGTCGGGCATCTTCGCCTCCAGGAAATTCCAGACAATCTTCATGTTGGGCCGATGTTGAGGACCTGAAGTGTCTCCGGAGGGCACATACAGCGGTTCCCCTACAGGTCATTGAAGAGATTTCCCCTGCAGGTCATTGAAGAGAGATTTTTGTTAGTTTGACCATCATGAGGCCATTGTAGCCATGTGCGTCTCAGCCAAGCAGGCGTTGGAGTCATAGATTTTGGCAGGGTTGAGGAACCACCAAGTTGCTGATGAGCCCCCCTCTTCAGCCGCTGTGGCATGTGTCTCCTGATCTGGGGCGAGGTCCGTGTCAATCTCGCCCTGATTGTCGGGTGGGAGGGTCTGCAGGCACACAAGCAACTTTAAGGTAATCTCACCTTTATTTGGGTGTATCAATCAGCCTGAGACTGCCTCTAAGTGCTGGAAACTTTTTCAAATTGCTTGAAGTGTGCCCAACTTCTGTCTTGAAAGAGGATAGATTACCTGAAAATCAAACAATGTATTCGGCCCTTGTGTTGCGTCTGCATGCAGCGTTGTTCCGGTCTGGATGCCTCCCAACAGTATCATCGAAGACATGTGATTGTCAAAAAGCCCGAGCTGGCAGTCGCGGGGATGCGTGAAGTAATGTCCGGAATCTACGCGGTGCGTTATGTGAAACGCCTGTACATTGTAGACATAATTGGAATCGTTGACTTGAACTGCAAGGGATGAAGATACACCCTGGGGTGGGATTGCACGTGCATTGCACGTGGGGTGCCTCTTGAGGTTGGTCTGCATTGAGCAGAATGTGTAAGTATTGCTAACTCGTGTCATAAGGCAAAGGTCATCTTACATGGACATTCATCATCATCTTAGCCGTGACTGGATGCAATTGCAAGCAATCATTTTTCATAGACATTTGCAAGTTTGCATGTTTGGCAGGCAAATTCAACTGCGCAAATGCACTCTGTTGCTTTGCATGAATGCCGGGGCCCTTGGCTTGGCAATCTCCTGGATTTCTGCATCCTTCAGCAATGGAAGACTAACAAGCACAGTATAGCACATGCTTGTCATGTTTATGTTATTGCACAGACACATTGACAGACTTAAATCTGGAAAGCTGTCACACAGCTTCCAAGAGAAAATATGGCTGGGGAAATGACTGGAGGCAATTTCAAGCAATGAATGTATGTCACTTGCAAGTATGGATTCGCTGGCCGGCAAGCTCAACTGTGCAACCGCACTCTTTTGCTGTGCAGGAATGCCGGGCACTCCTTGGCAATCTCCTGGATCTCTGCATCCATCCATGTGGACCAGTTGGAGTAGTCCCCGGGCTGGCCTGCATTGGGGTCGAACAGCTTTGTGTTGATGTGCTCGTGCGTCCACACATAGCGGTCCAGCATCTTGGGCTCCAGGAAATCCCACACAATCTTGATGTTGGGCCGGTGGTTGATGACCTGATGTATCCATCCGGAGGGCACATACAGCGTCTCCCCTGCCTTCTGATGGTAGATCTGCAGGTTTTTGAACAAAGAGTTGTGTTAGTATGTATGTTGTAATTTGCTGTCCTAGATGTAAGGTTAGTGTGTAAATGAGCAGCAGTAAAGGAGCCGCGAAATATAAGGAATACTAAAAAACTTGTGGGCATAGTGTTTGGCAATGAAATGGCCGGCTGCAGGGGCCATTGGTGAGGGTGAGTTGTGAGTCTTGATGACTTGCATGTGATGGGTGCGAGGCTTCCTTAGACAAAAAGTGGACGTGCATACCTGGATGTTGTAGCGGTCCCGCTCATCCAGCCCCATGGCAGCCTGGGCGGCCTCCATCTCCTCCACTGTGAGGCGCCACTCCCCGTCCCTATGCTTCGCCATGAGGCCTCCTGAGCCCTTGTACGTCTCAGCCAGGTAGGTGTTGAGGTCAGCAGCTACGGCCGGTTTGCAGAACCACCAAGTCGCAAAGTAACCCCCCGCTTTGGCTGCCGTGGCCCGGATCTTCTGATCTGTGGTGAGGAGCCTGTCAAGCTTGCGCAGCATGTGGGTTGGGAGGTTCTGCAGGCACACAGCACCTTCAGCTTCATATCACCTGTATATTGGGTATTTCAATCATCTTCTAGTTTGCTGAAAGCTGCTGAAAACTGTATGACCTGCTTGAAGTGTGCTGGTTTTGAATCTATAGGAACTTGTATGCTTGAAAGAGGAAAGATTACCTGAACATCAAACAATGTATTCGACCCCTGTGCTGCGTCTGCATGCTGCTTTGTTCCTGTCGGGATGCCTCCCATCATGAACATCGAAGACTTGTGGATGTCAACAAGCCCGAGGTGGCAGTCGCGAGGGTGCGTGAAGAAATGTTCGTCGCCTCCGCGGCGCGTCGTGATGAAACGCCTGTACATAGGAAAATAATTGGAATCGATGGCTTGAACTGCAAGGGGTTGAGATACAATCTGACGTGAAGTGTACGTGCAATGCACGTACAGCGCACGTGCTGCCTTAGAAGGAATTAGTACACCTCTTTGTTTTGAAAGGAAAAAATGCAAAGCAAGAGATTTCTATGCTCGTATTCTCAGATTGTGTAATGTAACAAGTATCATGAGTCAATTTCACTAGATCTTGAATTGTTCACTAGTGTAGCATTGAGAAAATGGAATGCTTACTCGATGGTGTTCATTGTTCCGGGGCCACTGCCCTTCGCCACAATGTTGCCCCGCAGGTAGAAGCCTTTCTTGGGATGACAGGTGTACTTGAGTGCGATCTCCATTGCCGCTGAATGTCTCTCAGCCTCGATCTCGCTGCCCAGTTGGTCGTTCTCTTCCGGTGTGGTAAAATTGAGGCAGTGTGAAGAGTCCACCACAGTCCTGTGGCAAAAGAGCTTGGAGGCTGAGTTCAATATGACAGAGTGCTTGCTTGTCAAGGGGTATCACAGCAGTCTGTTTGTATAGTAGGCTGAGGCAGCTCACCTGTAGAGCTCGGTGTCATCTGTGGACTCCAGAAGTTGCTGGAAGTCGACGGCCGTCTCGCCGCCCAGTGTGCTCCCGGTGCTGCTCTTGGGCTCATCATTTTCCACCTGCAATCCTTGAAGGAGTCAGCAAGATTCTGATCGGTTGGAAAATATGCTGCTGACATGTCATAGGAGAGACCACATGAGATGTGCTGACTCTGAGCCCTCACCGGTGTTGCAGGGACCTTGCGCGGCCCCGCCTTCTGGATGAAATGCAACAAAGCCAGGCAGCTTTTCTCTGTGACAAGCGGGTACAGCTTGCAAATCTGCTGTGCGTCGGTGCTGAGCCGGCTAGCGCAGGTGAAGCACCAGAGCTGGTTCCCCTTGGGCACCTCGTGCCCCATTTCATTCTTCACCAGGCGGACCTGCCCATTCTGCACACATGATGTATTAGTTTGACTGACTAGAAAATTCCCAGAAGTGTGCATCAAGGGCCTCTCAAAGTAACAAATTCAGGACTGCATTGTTCGCCATTGTGTCACTGCCACTTGTGCCATAATTGCATCGAAGGAGTGAATGTTTAACGAAGAAGCGCACCCCCATGGCTGCCACGCAAAGAACGATGCGGCAGTTCATGCATGTCACTTGCCAGTTGTGCGTGTCGCTCAAGACCACATGGCCGATGGTGTCCCTGGCGGCTAGCCGCAGCTTCTCAAAGAATGGCTCCACGTCATCCATTGTGGGGATGTGCAGGAAGCGCATCATAGCTGTGGCCAGGGGTTGAGAGTAGTCCAAGTCGCAGCACGTGCAGTGAGGAGCTGCTGCGGTACCCACAAAGTGCCCGCTGATGAGGGGGCGACCACGCTCGCACGTCCAATGCACGTCCAAGCTTGACTTGGAGTTTCTGATGAGTGGCGTGGTCAGATCCTGAGGGCGCCACATGGGAACCGGAAAGCTTTCTTATGCATTTTGCTGAGACTGTCACATAACGGTTCTGGTGGACTGGGATTTTGTGAATGCTAATAAAGCAGGGATCATCCGATGATCATGAGTCATGATGACTCGGACACTCCTTCTTGTAAACATTTTATAATTCCTTGTCAATTGCAACACTTCCCTCCCCCACAACGGCATCCCAAACTACCAACTTATTAAATAAGCACTCAAACCTCTTGTCTGCAACAAATTGTCAGTATCTTGCGCAAGTGTCAGAACATAGCAACAGGCTTTCCCAATATGCATTATGCCTAAGTCACTTGTGCGCAAGATTTCACTGCCCAAGACAATCACCGCCGGCATGCATGCAAAGGTAGCAATGGGAACAACAAGGCAGCACCCAAAAGCTTTCATCTATTGGAAGGTAGGAGTCACGGAGAAGAACACTGGCCGTTTTAGTCCTGCACTCTTTCAACAATTCCCCTTCTAGTGTACACTACATGTACACCCAGAGCAAGTACCAAAAATTACACTATTTGTGGGACATACGCGAATATTCTCCCCTTTAACACGATGGTGGAGGTCCACTATCCTTCAATTCTTTTGAATCCCTGTTGTCTGCGGGACGTAAAGCTACTAGAAAGCTCCATGCGGGCTGCAATGTCACGAAGCCGAGATCCACCGGGCCTCAGAGTGGTTGCCTGTCCTGTCCAAACTGAGGCAAACCTCAAAGTCAAAGGTAGCCAGCAAGAAGATGATTGGTAGTGACTGCAACCTCAACATTGAGGACGCTCAGCAAAGGTATCCTTCTGCTCTAGTCCCAAGCACAAAGTCTCACATGTTGTAGACAGCACAGAATCGTCGTGCAGCATCTCGTCTCTGTGTAGCATTCATCCAATTGAGATCAGACATATCTTGCTACCGCTTGATCAAGTAGCTTCTTTAAATAAAGACAACTACAACAGGGAAGGCCACAGGTGCAAGCTCCTATGGTAGAGGTCAGCAAAGATGTCTGACACACTTGCAGTCTAAGACATGCTGGCTGTCAATGAAGGTGGAGCAGACACTGTCAATGGATATAGAGTGGGCACCAGCACGGCGTGAGCAAGTGATCTTGGATGGGATGGCCTTGTTGATTCATTGCCATTGCGCAATGCCCCTAAACGTTGTGGACCGCATGCTGTCTTCTACATCCACAACGTTTAGGAGTACTGCCCAATCGCAAGGAATGAAGAAGGCCAGCCTCATCCAAGATCACTTCCTCACGTCCTCGCAAGTGCCCACTCTAGCTCTTTGTTGATTGCTCGGTGCTGCAAGTGTATCAGAACAGTACTGCTGAGCTTCATCAGCTTGATTGTCACAATCTATCACGCCTTCATCTGTGATGCGCAAGTAAACAGAAATCCGGCTAAGTCGGAAGCGCGGAAAAGGTCGATACACCTATAATCACCAAACCCTGCCGAGTTTGCAACGCTCGCGAAGACGGAAGAAGCTCTTGCAGAGAAAACGCAAGAGGAACGATCTGAAGAGAAGGAAGATAAGAATGGAACGGGAGGTTTGCCGAGCCTAAAATTCTCAGATGACATGACTTACAAGCGGTGAGAAATCGGACAGACATTTTTAGGTTTTCCGTGGAGCCCTGAATAGCGCGTTAATCAGGGGGTACTAAAGTCTACAGGGAGTCTTTAGTAACCCCTGATAGAATCCTCAGCAGGGTATAAATAGAACAAGTCCCAAAAATCGGGAATGGATATGCTTTAGAGGTTCGCCAGACTCCAAATTTGCCGAAAATCCACGATTTCCATTGGATCAAAATGGCCAACCTACACCCCAGCGACAACCAGATACGTGCAGATATACATATATATACACCCTCAGACGACGACCACTTCGATCCACGTCCATACATCACGTATACGTGTGAAAACACCTATCAACCGACGCCTTTCAACGTATACTCAATAGATCACACGGAGTATACACGAACCGACCAACACACAATCAGATATTCAAGCCTCACCTTCCAGTTCGTGTTCTCTATGGATTATCTACCTCACCGGTTACTAACCAGAACCGACCATTGAGCATACGCTTATAAAAGAGCGTATCCAAAAATTGGTGAGAGAAACCGCGACGTTGACGATACAGTAAGCCGGCACATCCTGACGCATGAGGACGAGGTTGTTTCTTTTCCACGATTATCTTCCCCCGACCAAAACCCGAACAATGTGCTCCCGCAGCTATAAGTCAACCACTTCCAAGCTTCAGTAGGCGATACCCTACAAGAGGTCCGAATCCAAGTACAAAAATGACGATTTTTCAGACTGAGTTGTAATAAACTTATTGTATGTAAGTATATACGTTATGCCAGGTAGGCGAGCCAGTATTTGACGATGCGGGCCTTTTATCTTCTCGCACTCGCTTTGTGCACTCAACTGAAGTGGACCGATGGTCTGGAAGGAGCAGCATCAGAGGGAACACACTCCTACAGCAAGAGTAACGATGTGTCGAGGCGCTCTCTAAAGTCTGGCGAGCTTAGTGAACAGAACGTCGCATTTCCCATGTGGGTGCCTGGGTGGTACCAGAGCGGCACTTCTTGGGCTAAATCCACCTCGAACCTCTCAATAAAAAATGCAGCTGCTGGGTACCATGGGCAAGATGAAGAAGACAAGTATGCCTTCGAAAACTTCTTCTACAAGACCACGCACGGTACCTATCTGGAGATGGGAGCGCTCGACGGGGTTGAATTCAGCAACACTTTGTACCTTCAAGAGGCCCACGGCTGGCATGGACTCCTAATTGAGGCGAATCCCACATCTTATGCTGCACTTGTGAAGAACCGTCCTGATGATGTGTGTCTTAATGTGGCTATATGTGCATCTTCTCGGGTGGTGCACTTTGTTGGTTCGGGACCCGCACCCACAACCGGCATTTATGAATTCATGCCAGCTGCTTTTCTGCAGTATTGGCACCCCGGTATAGATGTTGCCACATTGGCCACGCTTCAATGCCACCCGTTGAGTGCAATTTTTGGTAAATTGGGCATCGAAAACATTGATTTTTGGAGCCTGGATGTGGAGGGAGGTGAATTAGAGGTTCTACGCAGCATTGACTTTGACGTCGTCAAGGTGGGAGTTTTTGCAATTGAGGCAGATGAGCACAATCCAAGCAAGAATCAAGGGGTGATTGATTTGCTTGTGTCCAAAGGATACACCTACCACGGTCATGTGGTGCGGAATGATTGGTTCTTGGGCCCGCACTTTGTCCCTGTTTCCAAAACAAATGCGCATTCTTCCATCGAAGGTCACCACCACGGAACCATTGATAAGCATGCTCTTGGACAAAGCCACTTGAGACGCCAAGTGTAGGTTTGGAGTGACTGATTGCAACTTGCAATCAGTCACTCCAAAGACTAGAAGCAACCACGCACTGCGACAAAATGTATGTTCAACATGTTCAACATGTTCAACATACATTTTGCCGCAGTGCGTGGTTGCTTCTAGTCTTTCTTAGAGATAGGATCAATCCCTACATGTCTACACAAACAAATCTATAGAGTAGCCAACTTACCTTTTCAAATGAAAAAGTTTGATTTTCATCTAAGGAATGAGATTCCTTGGCAGTGACAGCGCGCTGGGAACTTCCTCAAAGTCTTCAAGTTGAAGACTCTTCGTAGGACTTCTGTAACGCATGTAATAAACCAAGAGAGAGATACTGACGTATGTTGCCCCGGTCTATACATTTGGTGCAAAAACTTTCCTACAACTTGAAGTATGTGGTATGCCGTCACAAAACCGACCGACTATTTTGTGATCCGGAGGAGTCAACACCGTGTGACTATTGATAGTGACTCATGATAATCTAAATTCATACCACAACTAGTACTGATGGCATCTGGGTATAAATTAGCAGCCCTAGGGATTGTCGATGATCCATGGGCCCGCCACTTATCTGCGCATGCTTTGCAGCTTTCCAACCTGGCTTCAGACAGGTTTTTTAATGGTAAATTGCTCTAGAGTCTCCTATCACCATGTCAAGGTCACTAGATTCCATATCTAGTATGGTTTGATTTGCGGCGGCAATCCGGGCAACATGCAATAGCATCATGCCATGATGGGGCCGTTGGCTACGTGGCAAACCTCTCTTGCTAGCACCTTTTAAAGCATTGAACACTTCAAATTCTCAAAGTATTCGACTCAAATAGCGCTATTTGCGAGCTAGCTACTCGGAGCTGCTGTAGATTCCCTATGCCATGTCACATACTTCAAATCAACAGTTTTAACTGGAAGTATTCCAAGTGTAGTTCTCAACACCTCATGCATGCAGTGCATGAGGTGACAGCTCTGTCAGACTTTCATATCGTTTGTACATTGTATGGCATTTGCAATTACCGCCGCGGGCGGCCCTTTCGAGTAAAGTCATGCCATCAGAGGTGGAATTTCCATTTGAGAATCCGAACTTCGAATCAAGTTGAATTTTATTCCGAACGGGTTGTCATGATTATGATATCATCGATGGAAAATGTCGACGTCGTAATGCTTCGAACCTACTACTAGTAGTATATAGTATACCTTGTCCTAGTGTGTAAACTTAACTTTACTGTACCAGATAAGATGTATAGAGCATTGTATAGAGTCCAAACTAGGGGCAACGTCACGTATCCCCTGGGGAATTCCGTTTAAACGTATCTCAACTTGATTGGCAATGGTCTGGCCAATGATTCCAAGTTGACAATTCAGGCAAAGGTCTGGCGATGTGTTCCATGGTGGACTCCTTTGTCTGGGATAAATTCCTTAATCATGCTAAAGCTACTTTTACGTCTGACCTTTGCAAAGGTCATAACTAAAGGCTGAGCTTCAATTGACGCTCAGCCTTTTCAGAATACAGGATCAGTCGACCTTGAAGTTGAACTTCCATTTCAAAGGCATTAAGCCTCATTCTTTGAGTCCAAAGAAAAATTCGACCTGGTTCAACCCTGGTTGGGCTTGAAAATAACATAAAACATAGACGGGGCCCTGACTCATCGGATGCCTCTTTGGAAATCTGGTGCGTGATTAAGGAGGCAGAGGTCAAGCATGCGAAAGTTGACCTCGCCATCGGGAGGGCATGGGTGAACCCATGGCCTCTAATCACAATTTCACGGCGGTTCGGCGTATAAGTTCAACTTATATGCAAGTTGCCCCATGTGACATCATGAAGTCACTACCATGATAAAGTCCGACTCGGACTGACTCATGACAATAATCACCGTGCCACTCAGGACTAGTGACTCATTCGATGTGACTCGGCCCGACCGGGTGTCAGATATACAGTACTAAACCCATCCGCTGCCCGCAGTGCTGGCAGTGCAAATAGCAGCCTGCTATGTAGTTGCCAGCTGCAGTGCATACTCTATAGTATATGTCTCATTGGATAGAATGCGGCCACAGTCGATCAACAAAAGCTCCCTCGAAAAAACATGTTCCTCTTAAATTATCTTCTTGACTGATCTCACACTGACATCTGCCAATGTGAGTCAGCAAGTTGGATACTTAGAGTCATCTGTGATATTCCATGCCAGTCTTTCCTTCAAAAACCCGCGCTTGGCTTCGTGGCCGGTACGACAGTTTGCATGTATCCATGCCGGAAACAGTGTATGCGGTCGGGCTGGGTCCTCATTTGGACTCCAATCTATTTTAAGGTTGCTTAAGGCGGGCGTTCCTGAAGGAAACAACTGCCTGGGCATGATGTACCAGTGTAGCTTTTGCTTCATATCAGCACTATTCCACATTCGATTTAGGGCTTGTTGGTCGTCACCAGCTTGGTGTGCACAATTATCATACCAATCTTTTAGGAAATCCTTTGACCTTTGAGTTGGCCGCCAAAACATAAAGCACCCGCATAGATTTCCAGTATTTTGTTCTAGGTGCTTGGGTCCATGATAGGAGTCATCTACCCCAACAAAATCAAAGCCCTTGGGCATGATATCCAAAGGATTTTGATACCATACTGTGTCCATGTCAGACCACAAAAAAGTGAAGCCATGCTCCAATACCTTTCGTTGAAATGTGAGCCTCTCACACATCATTTCGTCGAAACCCGCCGACCCATATTCCATAATTGGTCTGTTTCTTTTTAGTTTACTGCGTCCAAATAGTGCTGGCGTCACAATGTGACCAGGAAACCTCGCATTTAAATACTCGAAGCTGCCTTCATCATCCACAATCGTTAGGTAGTTTTTTATACCCAAATCCTCAACATGAAGAATCCAATTCTCAGCGAAATCTAGGTAACCACAAGATGCTTGGGTAAGAACGACAACTTGGTCTACGGCCACCCGCTCTAGGACCTGCAGCAGGTGACCGTGATCGAGGACACTTGCATCGCTGTGCATCAGAGCAGCAAGGAACACAACAAATGCCCTCCACCGGCCAAGCCTCTCCTGAAAGATCACGGTCACCGAACAAAAACTTCAGGAAGTGAGTATCCGGTAGTAACTTAATCATTCAATGATTTGGTTGTTCTAGCGAAAAGTGCTTGCTGCAAGGACGTAGCAAGCTTCGTGCGAAAGGCATGTGGTTCAGACAGCTGATTACCAGACGGCCTACGACCATGACGAGCGAGAGAGTCAAGAGTCGGCCCCTGTGCGCTCTTATGCCTATTTGCTCACGTCACCGATCCTTGTGGTGATTTTTTTAAGTGAATATCGACATTGGCATACCGCTCCGCTCTCTCTGTGATACACGGAGACACCTCTTCCTTTCTCCGGCAGGGAACCAGCTGAGCAACCTGAAGAAGATACATGATTGTAAAGATGATAAAGGAAATTGTGAAATTTTGCAATACACTCTTTATGCAAGGGTGACTAAGATTTTCCTTCACCTCGACCTCTGTTTCTCGTTGTTGGTCACAATTTGTGACTCACAAGTGTAGAATTGGATTTTTGCTCAGTCACACACTGTAAGTATTGAATCTGATATCCCTCAGTCTTATCAGAGCTTCACACTACCTTTAGATTTTATCGTCTGCCCCTGAGTGACATTCGCGGAAGTTCCACCTTTGACATGCGCAAAGATTGACCTACAATATCGCTGTCCTGATAGCGCCTCACACAAATTTGTCAAGCACATTGGATAAAGCACGCTCAGACAGAGACAGCAGCTGTTTGAAGTGTCATATATGTTAATCTTTTCACAGTCAGCCCGTGCTGACACGACAGCATCCTAACGTTTTTCTTGCCTTGTGCTGTAATTATATTTAAGGATTCAACGTAAGAGAAGCGTGTCAGAGACATGGTGCGAAAAGCACACCAGGAGGGTTGTGCATGTTTGGCTGGGAGCGCAGAAGGCGTGCTCAGGCTAAATGCCTTGCATATATTTTCAAGATCTTTTGATGAAAGGACAGCGGGTACTAGAATTCTGACATATTATGATTTCCGCACAGAAAGACCGTCATGGCTCCCTGTATATACGATTGTAGAAGGAGGATGAGGGCTTATGACACTCGACTTTGTGGCCCGAATTTGCATTCTTGCGACCTGCTATGCAGCAGTTATTAGCGCAACTACTGAACACAAGCCCAACAGTGGTGGGTACCGTGCTCTATGTCTTGCATTTCATTTAAGGCATTGTCTTTGCAAGGAAATCCTGACTCCACCCCAGTCTGGTAGTAATGTGTCATCGACCGTGCTTTGTACTCCCATACAGAAGGTGCACTTCAGGAGCATATAAGTTGGCATGTGTCGACCCGACATGAGAATACTCAATGTGAAGAAGGCCATGTGACGGTGGGAAATATCTGTTGCTTTATGCTTTTTCTTGTCACAAATGGTTTTGCTCAGGTTATGAGCTTGCAACCTGAAAGTCAAATGGCTACAACCTTTTCTTATTCTAATCAGAAACCAGAATGGCAGGTATCCTTCCCGGAAGAATACCTGGGCCAGACGAACATGTCAATAAGAGCCGCGTTTGTTTCACAGGCGCATGACGAATATGTCTTCGAAATCGTCTATTCCCTGTGCGGAGGCAATAGGAAAGAAGAGTTGCTTCGCAGCATACATTCTTTGCTTTTACTTGTTACAGCCACAGGGGAGACTGATGGAGGCATTCAGTTGCATGTTCTCTATTGCATCCATATTATCACAGATGGCAGCATCACACCCGAAGATCTTCCTGAAATACAGCCCACCAACGTCTGCTACCGTTTTCACAAGCCTAATTCGAAAGCTGCTACTTTATTTGCGCCATGTTCAACGCAAAGACTGTATCTTCATGAGCACCCCGGCTTCAGTGATGCCCATGAGGTAGGTTTCTCCGGTCTCCCAATGTTGATCTGGATTGCTTGGCCACGTCAAGTTGAAGTTCATCACATGGTTTGTGTTTACAATGGATCATGATGGCTTACAACCCCAACTTGAAGTTGAAGTAATCTGGTTGCATGTTTGCATGCGCATCATCAACCTCACAGTGCTTATCCGATTTACTACTCTTCTAGATGTATGGTGGCTAATTTATAAGGCATGTGTGGTGGCTAATTGATAAAGTGCTCTTCTCCACAGGCCATTTACTTAGATTTAGATACCCTATGGATGGATACTCCGCGGCGTTTACTGAACGAATTCAGAAATCTAAGAGAAAGTCATGCCTTTTTTGCCATGGCCCTTGAGACGTCGGACAAGAATGGCAATGGCTCCTGGTATAAAGGAGGTGATATCCCTGGCAACATCGTGCCTTCTCCATGCCAGGAATAGCTAAGTGTTGACAATAATGGCCAGAATCGTGAAAGCCACCCAATTTAGGGTGTTGGACACAATACTCATAAAACATGGTGGTGTCAACCAATGGACCTGACAATGCAACCAAGTGCAATGGATTACAATTACTTCTTCTGCTTTCCAGGCTTTAGCAAGAGTCTTCCATTCTATGGCGAGTACGGACTGAACGCCGGTGTGTTACTTCTCAACTTAGACGAGTTGCGAGAATCACACTTCGCGCAAGAAAGAGATAAAATCATAAGGCACTTCCATCCTAAAAAAGCTCTGCCACTTGGGGATCAGGATGTGCTCAATGCTTTTGCTTCAAAATATCCTACACGCTTACATGTCATGTCTTGTGTATTTAATTTCCGGTCAGACTCAGCTTGTTACAAAGGATTTCCAGCTATACTACACGGAAACAGAAATCTCAAAAACGAGTTCAGCAGTACCTATAGCTCATTGTACAAGTTATTTGCATTACCTGTATCAAGCCAGCCCTGAGGGTGATTAGATTGTCTATCCCTAAGTGACCTCGTGACCTCGGAATTTCATAAAATGCAAAAAAAATGTTACTATCAATACGATTTTTCTTGCCAAGAGCTCCTCGAGGTAAGGTGTGTCTTGCAGACAACTTGGCTTGAAGCTGTCGTAATAGGCTGCCTTAATCCTACTAGGTAGTACCCTTTCATGAAGGCTTGTTGGACTCGCCAGATCCAAGTAAGACCCAATCAACCGTGACGGTGCTCAGTGTTTATACGCCGTGTGGCCCCCGCAGCTGGGGTGAAAAGTGATGTGATTTAATAATCTTAATCAAACCCAATCAAACCCCAGTTCACACACTGTAGCATGCTGTACTAGGGCACTTTTTTGTCTCTTCCCAGTGTCCACCAGTAGGTACGCACCTTGTGGCAATATGCATCTTATGGCCCAGTGTAGTGACTCCGAGGAGTCCTACTAGTAGTAGTACTGCACTATCCAATTAGTAACTGTATTCACCACATCTTTCTTCAAGTTCAATTCTGCCTGATAAGTCATTTGGTGTCTTAATACATTCATGTACATTCGTTATCACGACTCATCACATGTGTTCCACACAGTCACTAAGGTAAGATTTCCTTTGCTAGTAGTGCTTGTGATGTGTCTCAGGTTGGCAACATTTTGACAGGAATAGTAGAAATGTATACAGTGGCTGTCACCTGCGACCACAGGTCACGGTGACTCACCGGGTTGCACCGGGGTACCCCGAATGGACCCGGTCTCTGCAGACGGCCCGCCGGGGCCACCAGGAAATATGTTATGCCGTTTGACATCGCTCAGCGCTCAGACAGCTGCCCTCAGTAATTACTTTAGTGGCGCCACGAACGGCCGGCCTGAATAGGCTCTCAAAATGCCTTTCATATAAGACCAGTACGGGCCGAGCGCCCTTCTAATTTGTTTAATATTGTAGTACTGCACTACAATATTGTGACAAGGTACTTGCACACTGACTCAGATAGTAACAGCTGCGGTGGCCTGATGTGAATGTCAATGGGGGCCAGCCAACAAATTGCCGGCAATGATATCATATTTAGTACACATGTGATAGCGCTACTAGCGTCACGGGCCGTTACCAGGTTGTTCTTAAAAAGCTTCGCTATTGCGCGGACATGTTGATAATGAGGTAGCTCCCCCTTGTAGGGTAAATGAGCTCACCAATGTCCTCACGGTCACCAGTGACCGACCATGGTGAACAATGGCCACGGTGGCGATTGGCAGCATGATGCCATTGGCATGTCTACTAAAATTAGTAATCCCTATCCCTTCAAGATCGAAGCTCGCTAAGAAGGTAGGTTCCACAAAGGCTTACAAAGCCTAGTGAATGATTTACTAGCCTGGCTCATGATATCAGTGAGACTCTCGGAGCCCCTCCACGGTTAGCACTTAGCACCGGTTCATCAAAAAATTTATTGTGAGGAGGATCCGGACACGTGCGCATAAGGACATTATTATTATGATTACAGTGTTGGCAAACCCAAAGCCCGAAGGCCATAGGGCATACACACAGAGTGTCTGCAGCCACATCTGTGGGGCCTGAAGGTCTGGTTTGCAGCCCATATGGTACCATATATGGTATATACTAAAAGTCTAAGTCCTAGTCAGGCGTGCGTATTTAGGAACATACCACCACCCCCACCACCAAACAATGCTACACAAGAAAGCAAGCAAATGCATTCCATAGCATAGCACGTACAATCAAGCAATTCTGACTCAGACCAGTATCCCTCTGGTGCTGACACCTCTGGCCCGCCAGCGACGCAACACCCTGTGGGTGACGTCGAGGACATCATGCAGGGAATGGCAGAGTGGGGCAAAGGCAACTAATAAACAGCACATGGTAGTTAGAACAGGCAACTGATCGTCCAGGCACTCTGACGAAAGTCACAGGGCACCACAACTGCAGATGGCTGAGTGCAAAACTTGAAGTGTAGTCTGGCAGGGTCACGAAGCCGAAACGACCACAGCTGCACCTCAATGTATCCCTCTTAACCTCCGTCTGCAACAGGCTGTGTCTGCCTCATGGAGGTGTGGGCACTCAGGGCATCGACAGCCAACGGTCACCTACACAAACCGCACACAAGAGGCGCACAGGAAAGCTGGACATGCAACACAAGGTGTAACAACTGATACAAGGATACACAACACTATCACAGAGGTGAAGGAGGCAAGAACGTGAGAGGGGGACGAGGGACAAAACTACCATCCGTCAGATGCGCACAGAAACCTACTCGAACTGCATGGCAAAGACACAAGGCACCCTAAATGGTTTTAAAAATATACAGGTACACTATGTGAACAGCTGTGGTGGAAAACAACGCGGAGACCAGGGCGAGCACGAGTGAAGACAGACGGGATGGCCGTAGTGCAAATTGACGGAAGGTGTACACTGCTGCTACTCACCTGAACTACTTACCTTACCTTACCTATATACCTTAGAACATGCACTACTGCCATAGCATACTACTCACCCTGCAATAGGAGCCAGTTTTTCGTGATTGGCACCTGTGATCGAGGATCCTATATGATATTGGAGGATATGCATATGATTTATATAGACTCATCGGATGATATCTTGAGTCAGTCACACTTCAAAACTTCCATCGATATCGAATGAGTCCCCGCTTACAGTATATTCCCGAAGTTGAGAAAGGGCCGTCTTGAAATGATTTCGATTGGCAAGACCTGCCGATTCCACTGAGATAGTAGTAGCTCCATAGCGAACGCCATGTCCTTGACTTGTGGATCATCCTATGATTGTACACAGTCGCACTGAGTGTGGGATATTGTGTTGTGGCCGTTGCAATTGACAATTTTTTAATTTAACCCCTCGTGATATCAGCCATATGCATCACTGGCAACTCAATTTTAAGTGTCCCATAACGTTTGTTGAATTGAACGATAATTGTTAGGTCGGCTGTGATAATCCATTATAATCAATGTTTCATTGGCAAATGCCACCATAATGTCATCAAAAATACATCTGCAAGTCACGGATCTGCCTCCACTTCCGCTGCCCATATCCAGTAACCCAACCCAGTCACGTCACACGTCACGTGCAACCATCCTCCTTTATCTGCCACCCTTGTATCTACTAAATTACCTCCCACCTACTTAGTAGATCTCGATTTCCGCCCACTACAAGTGTACTACACTAGTTAGCAACCACTAGTTGCAACCTTACAGCTATGTTTGTGCGAAAACTATGGTTAGTAACCATGTCAACAAGGTGACCTTGTGTATACGATGGAAATGACTGATGGTTATCAGAAAGTTGATTGGATTCCATATATAGAGCGCTCTAGTTGATCAATGCCACTGCTACTACTACTAGTAGACGCTCCTGAGGAATGCAATTTGCATTGACAGGATTTTGTCATATCAGAATGACTTGGCAATTTCCACTTGAACCAAACGCATTGATTTCCCGGCTTTGTAATAGAGACTCAGATCTCATCTGACCAGCTTTACACATTACCATGCAACGAGTGCCTTGAGATGCCACCATGTTGCTTCTCAATGGCAGGGGTACCTTCAAGGAAGTGTTCCATAATATAATGAATCGTGTAATTGTACGTAAACATGTGATGGTACCTTTTCAAGGCCGCCATCATGCTCGGGATATCAGCTTGAGCAAGTCTTGCAGGAATGGTTGGAATGTCTTCGGCCTCAACAACAACAGCAAATTCGTTCCAATCGATTATCTCTTGGAAAGGCAACCACTTCTCGTGTTGCCAGACATATAAGGGAATGGTGCCTAGCTGCAGAGTCTCAAACATTCGAAAAGAGGTGGTACCAAACCCACGGGGGCAAAACGAAATATTGCTACTCTCGGAGATCAGTTTCCAATTATTGCATTCTCCGCCCAAGAAGAGATACACATCATTAAACTGGTCATGTATTGCCTGCCTGATAGGATGAGTGTGAACCGAAGCTTGAAAGCTTACCGATATGGTTTTGCCAAACCCAGCAGGTTTCAACTCCTCCTTGAGGAGAGGAACAGGCACCGTCTTCAAAGGTGGGCTGTCACCTCCCGATGAAAACAGTATGAAGTCGATGTTGGACGGCACAGTGAGCGATAGCTGGTCGTGATTGAAGCCAAGGTCTGCTTGTAAGACAGTGAAATACTTGAATTGTGGCTTCAAATCGGTCAAAACCTCTTGCATTGCTGCTTTTAGCCTATTTGTATGCATGCAATCAGTCCATGCCACAGGGATATAGACGCGTGTAAGACGTGGTTTCAACTTTGACCACTCCTGGAAAAACGCGTTTTCCAACCATGGCCCGTTGTATCCTGCATAAGAATGCCAGCCTGGACGCAAGGATGCCGTCTGGGAAACAAGCTCTTCTTGATAGGTCGCAAGGTCGTCTCCTGTACCGGTTGCGCTGGACATCGCAAACAGAAATACCGCAACTGTTCCGCTTATCGCGAAAAAATTCTTTCCTTGCATTGCGGACCTGCGCAGACAATTTCCCAGCATGTTTGCCCCAGAGAAATGGTGCACACGTATAAAAAGGATTCTTCTCGTCAAACTTGGCTTGCAGTCTTATTATTGGCATCTGGGAAGTTACCAGCCAATAGCGGTAGAGAACAATATATGAGGCTCCCAGAGACTTTTGGCTGCAGGTTCGCGCCTTCTGGAATCACAACGTCCCACAAAAGGGTGAGGATGCCTCTACTTCCGAACGTGTGCTCTTTGATTGATCAACTTAAAATTGTTGATCATAAATTGTGTTATAGTATAGTCATATTGAAATGAATCCGTCACAGTGCCCACCACTCGGGAACGGCTATTCTGTCTTTTGTCGCACGCGGAAGGACGAGACCTCATTGAGACGGCGTCCCCTTAAGCTTGTCGAGTTGGGTCTTGTGGATATCAAAATCGCCTCCACCAAGGGAAATGTTTAGGGTACTGGTGTCAACTGATTGAGAAGGTGCAGCTGCATGCCAACTGCAACCTTTCATTGCGAAAATTTGACACTGCGAGAGTCATTGTGGTGAACAATGTCATCACATTAGGCTTTTCTTTTCTGGCACTCAGAACTGCACGTAATTGAGTGATCCCACAACAGCAGGATGTACTACGACGACCATACAGAGGCCAAGCTTGGCAAAGTAAAGGATCCCGTTGTGCGAGTGATAAAATGGATCAAGAGCAGGAGTCCGCGGGAGAAAGGCATTATGGGGTGCTTGGGCGGATTGTTGGTGTGTCCCACGCACACCTGTACAGGACCAAGTGCATGCTCTTTTTAGGTCATCCTGTTTAGCGATTGTCCTGTGGTGCTGTGGTGTACTGGTAGTTGCATGGCATTACAATGGATGCGACGGGTGCCATAGGGCAGATAAATTGCAGGGCGTCTTAAACTCCACGAGGCGCCAAAAAATTTGGTTGTTGCTCATTCAAGGCTTAGCGCATTGCCTAAACTGAGGTCAAATGCAGTTCGTACAAGGTCTAGAGTTCAGGTCGCCCAAAGGGCCGGACATCTTAGCGTTTCTGGGTTTGCAGTTGATCAGACTATTGTCTGTGCGCTCAACAATTGCTGAACATGTCATTCGCGAAATTGTCTTGATTATCAAATCAATAGTTGAGAAGGCGGTTACCTCAATGCTGGGCTTGATAGTGTGACTTTCCTTCACTTGTCTCTTTGCTGCTTCCACGCAGCTGCTCGTCCTATTGTGGTTGGTGATTGAGGATCATGACAACCTATTCATCATGGCGGAGAGCGTGCACTTTCTGGGTATCGGCCTGCTGATCTACAAGCTGATGACGAAGAAGAACGCGGGAGGTGCGCACCATCAGAGGGGCTGCATCCTAAGCGTCAAGCTTGCTCATATACCAATTTACTGCAAGAGCAGTGAGGCAACCATGCCATACTGTCATGGAGGCTCTGCAGAGACATTTGAGGATCGCATTGGGGAACACAGCATGCTGGGCGCCTGGCAAGACTGTCCATGTGGGAATGTGGTCACAGCTCAAGGGGAATCATGCTTGTTCTCGCGCACACTGCCACAAGGCCTCCAAGCAATTGCATGCGCTGGGGAGCTGACAGGGCCGTGGGATTCCCTGTGCAGGATTGTCACTGCGATCACAGGAGCTCACCGCGCTCTTCCTTGCCGTGCGCCTCTTCTGCAGGTGAGATGGCAGACCCGCTGCAAGGTGCCACAGCTGATGTAGTCCTTAGTGGGTCTGCAGTCAGATTGTCCAAAGGCACATAGCTAATCTGGGAGCAGGATTTGCGAGTCCTATCCCTAGCTTGAAGTCTCATGCATGTGCACATTATGGCTGTTGTTAGTACGCTGTGCACCACATTTGTCATAGCGGTCATGATGCATGCATGACCTCTGGACACCGGTGCATGTGAAGAGCTTCCAGTGAAAACATCAGTCAGATGAAATCCTCAGCCAGACGTATATGTGCCCCCGGATTGCAGTTTGGATTGCATGTCATGGCGAATGGAACCCGGCAGATGTGAGTACTCTGGCGCTTGGCAGCCAAGGCTTTGCGGCAGTCCAGACCCGAAATGTTCTTGCGAGTGTGGTGAAACGACGGCTCTGTGTGCACCGCAGCTTCATGATGGAGTATGACATCCACACGGTGCTGGACTTTCTGACGCTGCTCGCCACTGTGTGGGTCATCTACACGCTGCGCCTGCCGCTCAAGGACACCTACCAAGCAGAACAGGACTCCGTGCAGTCCTACTACGTGGTGAGTCATCCGCTTGCAGCTGACGCTGCAGCCATCGCAGCCAGTGAATTCTTTTCCTGCTCTCTCTGAAGGCCTGCCGTGTGACATCATTGCAGCCCTGCATCTTGCCTCACATGTTCCCAGTGCATCGTGACCTGCAACTTGTTGCACACCTCTTCTGTGTGGACAATTGAGGGGGCACAGCCTGCGTACTGGCTGTTGCGAACAGCATTTGAGCAGCGCATCTGAAGGCTCAAGAACTTGTCTCTGATCCGCAGGCGGTGCCCTGCTTAGTGGTGGCGGCGATAGCGCACCCGCGGACGCACCACCCTCTCGTGCTTCGGGTGAGCCCGCAGAGTCCTCTGATATGAACCAAATGCCCACAATTTATGGTGCCCAGGCCCATGCGTCTGATCTGCCACATGATGCCTTGCAACGAGCATTCCTTTGTGGCCCATTTTCACCTGCCAGCATGTCGTGCCGCATGCAGTCCATCAGCTGGAATGCATAGGACGCAACACCGCGTTCATGTGTGTTTCTGGGGAGTGCGAGAGTGCTGCACAAGCTCAGTGCTGAGATCAGGGGCGTCGTTGGCTGTGAGCAGGTGCTGTGGGCGCTGTGCGTGTATGTGGAGGCTGTCAGCGTTCTGCCGCAGCTGCGCATGATGCAGAAGGCCAAGGTGCGCGGCCCGCCCAAGGCTCAGTAATAAATCCATGGGTGCAGCATGGGAGCCAGGGTTGCACCGGCCCACTCAAGGTTCAGCAGTGATTCCATGAAGCCAGGGTTGCACCAGTACTCCATTTTTCAGCAAGTTTGCACTTCAGTACTCGTAGGAGGACGTACTGACGTACGGGCACTAGCAAAGTCGGGTCAGGGCCTTTTCGTACTCTATTGCTCAGGGTACGGGCGGGGGGATAGGTGCAATCATGATGCGAGCTCTTCTAAATAGAAGGGGTCCTCTCCCCTTCATGCAGGGCTGGGGAGATTGGCAGTTGCAGAGCTCAGCTTAGAAGTGAGCGAACGCCTTTTCTCCCCATCTGCGCTGGAGGCTGTCCAGGCTGCTACTGCCCGCACAACCACCTATGACAGTTCATTCTGTTGCACCCGCTAATCCGGGGGGGCGGCCTCGACGCACCATGCAGCGACAGGTGCCATTGTGCGTGAGGCTGATGCGATCCAGGGCCCCATGCGTGCTACCGCGCAGGTGGTGGAGCAACACTAATAAGAAATCCGGAAAAAAGGTGAAACTTGTGAGATGTGAACCTGGGACCTGTGCGCAGGTGGTGGAGAAGTTCACGGCGCACTATGTGTTTGCGCTGGGACTGTCGCGCTTCATCAGCTGTGCGCACTGGATCCTGCAGCTCATCGACGGCGACTCATTCCTGCTGCAGGTGCGCGCGCATGCTGCCGGCACATGTTGTCCTGTCTTCTTCCTTCCGCATGCCTTCGTGTCAAGTAACCCATCACCCTGCATCTCCCTGATGCTCTTTGCCACTTGCTGTAGTATATTCTTGGGTGCTGCTCTCTGTGACGGGACTCACACAGAAGCGATGTATCTGTCATCCCATTGGTTTCCTTGGCCCGGTGCTTGGCTCGCCTCTCTGTGTGGGTGCTCTCCAGCGCTGTTGCTGGGGCCAGGTGTTGCCGGCCCCATTGGGAGCTTAGACACTCAGAGATCTTTGCCTTTGCAAAAGATCAGGCAAGATCTTAAAAACGCTTCCAGTCCTACTAGAAGGGCTCCCTTTTGTTACATCCAGATCAGCTGATGCATCCGTGATGGGGCGTTCCTGCAGGCGCTGGGATCTGGGATCTGGCCGGTGATGGTGCTGCTTTCGGAGGTGGTGCAGACCTTCATCCTGGCAGACTTCTGGTGAGTCACCCTCCCCACATACCGTAAATGCTGTCACCCTCCCCTCGTCCTGTAATTCATGTTTTAGCAAGCAGGTCCTTGTGGTCCTGCTGCTCTTCTTTACTGTGAGTCTCACGCCATGGAGCATTTGCCCAACTCTGGGTCACTGTCCATGAACCTGGGTGTCGGATGCTCTGAAAGCATGTATATGTGGGCGGCCCGCTGCTTCTCCATGTTTATGATTAGTGACTTCCTAGCAAAGCGGATGATCTGAGCGAAGGCAGAATGTCTGTTCTCTGAGGATGCCAACACCTCAGAGTCTGCTGACAGGCTGTTTTGGGCCGTTCAGTGCCTTTCCAAGTGCAGCAATTGGCATGGCATCTGTTGGGGTATTTGCATTGAGTCTGAGTGAAGCACCTAGGACAAGGGGCGTACAAAATTCTTCGCACGCATTGCATCTAAACTGCGAGGCAGCCATTTCTCCTTTCATTGGCGCTCACACTGCCTTGATTGTCTTGCCCTGCCTTGTATGTCTTGCCATCATTCTTATGTTAGCACGCAGTCCGTGTGCTGATTGCGTATTGTTGTGTGCTGCTGCAGCTACTTCTACGTGAAGTCATACGCAGAGGGGTCGGGAGTCATCCACCTGGCAGCGGGCATTGTCTAGGCAGACAGCGATTTCATCGGCTCAATTTAGGACAACTCCCATTTGACAGAGGCATGGCTTCCTCTAAGGGTGCAGCCTGTTGGCTGCGCGAGTTGCTCCAGAAGTTGTCAGTCTTTTTGGGTGTGCTGTAGCTAGGTAGGTCCTGTCTGGATATGCCACACCCAGTGGGTGTGTCTTCAGGGCCGATACCCAAGGAGGCCCATCTTCGCAGGATATTGCAGGCAGATGATTGTGAGGCAATATGTGAACCCCTGTCTATGGCTTTCTGGCTGGCATCTGGCTGGCCCTGAGATACTGCTGGAGGATTCTTGTAGATTCCAACGTGGGTGCGAGCACATGCATGTTTTCACTTGAACCTGTTCCACCCCAGCAGGTGCAGCCATTTATTGGATTGCAAATCTGGGTTTGCACAGCTTATAGCATGAAGTGCACACACCCACTGCCAGTGGCACATCGCATAGTTGCGCTGCTAATCATGCACATGCAACCACATACATGACAGAATTGGGCGCTGCCAGGCAGAACATCAACAAGCAAAGCTAAATGAAGGTTGCCTTTCTGTCAGGCTCTTCACTGAAGAGTCTTTAGCAATGCTGTTTGCGTGTTTGAACTTAGCTGCTCGCATGCGTCCCATGTAGGCAATTAAGCAGACCATACAGGTACAGCAGTGTCGCATTCTCAACATGTCAACAAGGTTCAGTCATGCCTTTGTCTTCTCGGCTTTTTCTTCCAGTCGCCCAGTGCACCAACAGGTATGCCATCAAAAAGTATGCCGCCAGCAACGTCCTGTCAAGCTTGTGATAACTGACAGTGTCTTTCACCGGCACAACTGCAATCTGGTGCACGGGGGTGTGGTTAATCACACTCCGTTCCCATTGCCGCTGCGGTCCATCATGCCTCCTTCCATCTTCTCTGCCATAACGCCCGTCTCCGCAGTGCGCCTGCATATCAAGCCAGTGGTGTCAAGAATTGCTCCCCTCTGCCCCAAGAAATTTCCTTCTGGCAGCGCAGTGTGAAAAGCCTCCCTCAGAGTCTCTGACACGTCAGTACAAGCCATGCGAGAATGCATCCTACAGTGTCAACTGATCAGTGAGACCTGAAATGCATCGTACATTGCGATTTGATGAGATGATGTGTCAGTGTCAACGGCAAGGTTGTTCCAGAAGGGCCTGTGGGTGACGTACACTCTGATGATGTCAGCGACAGGGTGCACAAATATCTTGCCATCGCCGATCTCGCCAGTCTGCGCTGCGCGCGTTATTATGCGCACCACTGTGTCCACCTGCGCCCTGTTTGTTGCAACCGGCGAGTCAGCATATGCATCACAAATCACAGGCTGCCATGCTGTAAACCCTTCAGCCCCTGACCTTGAAGTCCGACCTTCAAGTGCCATAACCCCTGAAAGGGCACTATAGCTTATAAAGCCAAGGCCACCATTGTCTTCCCCATGAAATTTATCAATTTAAAGACCCCTTTCCTAAATTCTACAGGGGGTTCTATATCTAACACCCTGAATTCTAAATCCCAAGAGGCCTCCCATTACCCGATAGTGGTTGAAATTTAATGTTTGGGCCCTACGGCCTGACACCTGCCATGCCTGGACATCTTGTGGTTTGTGACAAAGACCTGCTGCAGCCACTATAGAGACCTGTGCATCTGACCCCCTGTGCTCTGTCTTAGCCATTCTGGCACACTCCGGCCTTGTGACACATTCCATGCCCACGTGGCACTTTTCATGCATGCATTACCTCAACACAACAATCTCGAGGCATTCCTTCTCCACCAGATTATCGATGCCATGCTCCGTTCCACTGTACCTCTCCTTCCTGCCTGCAAACCCGGAAGCCAGTTCTCTCAGGCAGCTTGCATGCACGCGGCGAGCTCTTCAAGCTGCCCAATCACTTTTATGTGGATGCCGCTCACTGCAGCTTCACAGTCATTAAAAAAGTCCCCCAACTACCAAGCATCCCATGCGCCGTGTGTGCAGACACAGAATACTGGGTGGGGCAAATAGAGTTATATGCACATTGGACCTGATCCCGTAATCTAGATTTTCAGGCCTCCATCGCTATGTGAATTTGCTGGTGCTCCGATGCCCAGCACCAGTTTCTACATTTCAATTTGGATTTGGGCAGGCTACAAATCGTGGACGCACATTGGGGAGCATCTCTGTGGTATTGGGCATACTGATTAGTGTCGAATGAGCAGTGACTCACCTCCCTGCACGCCTGCCCCCCTGACTGTGCTGGCTGTCATGCCCAGGATGCCACGCGCGCTGAGGGCTGACACCACATTCTGCAGCCGCCACGGCCGGATGATAGCCTGCGCAGGTGATCTGCCACTCAGGGAAACACCAGCGCAGCATCAATATGGTTTGTGGCGTGATGCGGTTGTAGTGTGATGGTGCTGTGCGTTTGTCCTGTGAATGTAAAAGGGTTGAACCATTTCGTCCCTCTAGGAGGTCCTCTACCAAAATATACCTGCCTTTATCTGCAACTTGTCTGCAGGACGCACCTTGCCTCTTGGCTGGGAAAGCGTGTCAGCGTTGTGTAGAGCTTGCGCTCTGGGCAGCTCGACAGGGCTCAGGTATCTCTCATTGAGATATTTCACTGGGCATGCACAATTGAGCAATAGTGCAGGAGTAGGGTGTTGTTCCAAAACCAGGTAGGAAGGCACTGGCATCCAGGAGCCAGCCGTGCAGCCTTGCATTCGAGCAAGCCATGCAGGATATAAGATCTTCACAGCCGCATTTCCTGCTTTTGGAGGAGAGCGCAAAATCACCTCGACACGGAAGAAGTCACAAGTGAAGGCGCTGAGGTCCACAGTCAAGTCCTCAATCTGCTGTTCCAGCGCTGCAGCTCCCCCGGACGGGCCTGCAAACCGCAAGGCGCAAGTTCTCACGCATCTAGTCAGAGCGCCACCTCATTTTCGCTGACTTCCCCACTCAAGGGCCTGACATCACATCCGGTGCACACAATTGGACAAGCCAGCATCCCTGGCCCCAAGTGCATGCCACGGCTGAATAGACAGATGAGACTGTTTGCAAGGCCTTCGCTCTCTATTGTTCAAAACGTTGAGATCCTTGAAGAAGGCGTAAAGATGTACCTGCTGCTCTGACAACGGTGTTCCTTTCATTGCGTTGGCGCCTGCCTTGGAGGATGCTGTTGCAAGCAGCGAATCTTTGGCTAACTGGTGCACTTGAGCGGGTGGTCCTACGCGACAAACGAAATGAATGACACAAGTAATTGGATTCAATGGATGTGGTGGCAGCAGATCCGTATGTCCAATAGGCAAGGCATAATCACACCCTTTAGCAAGTGGATGAAAACACTGAACACGGGAAAAAAATTATTCTTGAAGCGAATCGACATGACCGTCAGTACAAGAATGACAAATTTCTGAGGTCTACTCAGCAGGACTAGCAACCTGCAGAGAGGATGTAAGGCATAGGAAGTAGGGCACCTGAGAGATTGCGGCACAGCGCTGATGGCGCCTGCTTGAGCCCTCAGCATTGTTTCGCAGGAGCCCCGAAACCTTCCCCTCTCTAAAATCTCCGCATCGTCCCTCCCGAACGTGCAAGATGGAAAGTTGATGAACTTGCATGATCCACGTCATGTTGCACGTGATTGTACCACGTGCAGTGAAACTAGGGTTAGGGTTTAGGAATCAAAGTAGTCTTGTCACCCTGCAGGGGAAAACACGTAGGAGTGCGGAGAAGGACGTCTAGACCTATGGGAGGATGTTAGCAAGCCCAACTTCAAGTTTAAATCCCAAATTGGAGCTTGAAGCCTTCCTGACTGCAGTTCCTGGCTGCCAGCTCAGTGAGCCTTACAAAGTAGCCGCTACGGCAGCGGAAATTGGCTGCCAGCAGAGCTAGCAGCGCTACTAATTGCCTATAAGTAGGGGGTGATTTAGTGATTACTGGGTCACGTGGGTAAACAAGTGGGAGCGCCCGTGGGCGGGCACGAGGTCATACGCGAACTCCCTTCCAAACACCATTCACATTACGCAATGGGCATTCTACACATTCTCACGATCCACTACAGTTCCGATATGTACTCATATCTCAGTTCTCAGCACTCCCTGATGTTCACAGAAGTCGCAAGCCCGTAAAGCCAATCGCCAGGGAGTTATTTAGAGATAATCTAGGGCCAAAAACGGGGCAATCACCCGGAAAGGCCTCTAAACTGCGCCTCGCGTTCCGTTTATGTGCCGTGGCCGCCTCACGAGCAGCCACATGGCATAGGGAAGGGGCAAAAGATAGAGATAATCCGTACCAGGTTGACCGATCGTAAAGGACATTCGCCTTATGGCGAATGCCCAAAAAGAGTGTTACTCAGCCACACAGGCTGTGTGTCATGTGCCGCGACAATTACTGCCACAATGGCAGCCTGCGGGCGCCCCTGGCCGCCAGAAGTTTCGTCGGAAGTTTCCTCTGCCTACTGAAGAGACCTGGACAGTCCTAATTCAATAGTACGCTGCTGCTGAAAGAGCCTCTACTGATTTTGGACGAGGGGCGATAGTGCGCTCAGCAGATTCCGTAAATACTACTGAATCAACAAGTGTGCGAATTGAATCAGTAGTACAGTGGCTTGCCGATTCAGCAGTTACTTTGCTATCTATTCAGTAAGGAGGATGCACTGATTTAGCAACAGGATGTTTACTGATTCAATAGGAGGCTTGTACAGATGCTGCGGATATGTTCTAGGACAGAATATGCTCTGCGTTTCAATGTTACACAGTCTTAGAAGGGCAAAGGAAACGTACGCTGTACACACGGTGTGTACATTGCAAATGTCCGGGATGCATTGTTACAGCCACGCCCACTGGCGTTACTTGTTGGAGCAATGGCTGCCCATCCCCACCCTTGATCCTCCGCTATCCGCCACTACTTGAGCAAGAAGACTAAAATAGGATGTCCTTTCGGTTATTTATCAGTTATGGGTTAAGGCAGTCGCATCAGCAGGTCTTACAAGGGACTTAATTGCACTTCAAAGTTTGGAATAACAACATGGAGAGAAACTCGTGACACTCCAGGTTTAGCCAGAGCCCAGCCTCGTGCACAGCACCAAGCTATTCTGCTGATACATTTGTACAGATCTGCACATAGTAAATGCTACTCCCGCACAAACCAAGACAGTAAATTTGAAAGGATGGCTTCACAGTGAAAGAGACAATTTCTCCAACGAACCCTATCTTACTGTACCGAATGCGCCCACTATATTCAACTGTTATTTACCTTAAATGAAGTGGACGGCTGTTGCCGGCCCAAGCTCCTCCTATGTATGTGTTATACAAGAGAACAGTGCTCGGGACTTCAAAGAAATTTCGTTTCGGGCTTGTTGCCTAATCAGTCTCCCAGGACCCGTGCTGTTGAAACAGCAAGGGAGCATGTCACAATTCAGTAGAGGGAGAAAGCACGCTCTGATTCAATAGAGGGGACCACTGTTGATTCAATAAGCAGCCTTGTTGAATGTGCAGCTGATTCAATACTGCTGAATCAATAATGGAAGCTTTGCTAAATTACCAACTGATCACTTTACTGAATCAACAATAGGCATCCTGAATCAGAACGACACCTGCTGAATCAGTGGGATGCTACTGAATTGGAACGGCCCTTCAGCAGTCTCATAAATTCCGACTCAGTGAGTGTAGCGAGCCACTTGCCTTGTCAGCGAGAATACCAGATGTCGATGGTTTAGCCACCTATCCTTAGGTAGCCGGGTCACTGTAGTTCGTATAATTTATTTATTATACAGCTCTTCCCGACGAACTACAGTGACCCGGCTACCTAAGGATAGGTGGCTAAACCATCGACATCTGGTATTCTCGCTGACAAGGCAAGTGGCTCGCTACATTTGGTTTCGGAGATGTCTAACGTTCCGTGTGTTGTGGGGGCGTCCTTTGCTGAGCAAATGCGCTTAGAGGGCGAAGTAGAGGATTGTCCTATCTCGTATAGTAGCAGAGGGGATGTCGAGAGCGCGAGATTTCGTAAAATTCTGCTGCCCCAAAGTTTCGTTATGCCCGAGGTCGTACAGATGGTCGGAGCCCATCGTCAGGTCGAACTGGGCAAGGTGGCCAGCGTTTTGCTGGAGGTCACACCTTTTGACGAAGAAATATGCCGTTTGATTGATAGGCACTGTTGCAAGAGTGTGCAAGTCGAGCAGATCAAGTATGCCAGTCACCTGTGCCTCGAGATGGGCTTGGGAACGTATAACTACCTTCCTGCCAGTGTGTTCCAGGAACCTGGCGAGCCCTATCTGAGGTTAGTGTGGGCATTTTACACGGATTTGAGCATTTGGGGCTACCTTAAACTTGGTACTGATTATTATGATGCTGATGATGGCCCAGAGAAGATAGGCATCATTATCCGTGACTGCTTGGTATTCTATCATATCTTGGCAGGGGTTCCTCTCAGTAAGCTCGTAGACTTGATAGTCATTGAGCTGGAACATGTTTCTAACACTCCATGTGTTGCCGCGCAAGGTTTGCTTGAGGCCCCACTGATGGCGGACAGTGGTGATGATGAACACATGGAGGTCGACCCTGTGGCTGCGGCTGCAGAGGTTGAAGTTCCTCCCCTTGGCGGCCCGGCTGTGGTGCCTGCGGGTGCCGCAGCCGGTGCTGTCCCAGCTGGTGGTGCTGCGGCACAGCCGGCAGGTGGTGCGGCTGCGGCTGCAGCACCGGCGGACCCGGCAGAGGTGGACGTCTACGTTGCTGCTCTCGACAAGATCGGCGCCAACGTGCAAGAGGAGTCTCGCCTGACTCGCGAAGTCCTGACAGAGGCTCTCGCGGCGCTCGCGGCTATCCGCCAGGTAAATGCCCCACCCGCACCTAGTGCACCTGCTGTTCATGTGCCTGACCCGATGGCTGCAAAGCCAGGGGCTCTTGCAAGCAATTGGCAGTCTGATGCACAAGCCTGACTTGTTTGATGGGGAGCATCCTGAAGTGGATGTCCGCCAGTGGCTCAAGCAGGTTAAGAGAAGTGGTTGTAAGCTTTCTGAAGGGCCATTTGGCCGCATCATCCTTGAGAGGTCGTGCAGCAAATTTGTTTGAGGCAACGCTTGAGAGCACTGCCCATACTTTTGCTGACATCTCTGCAATGCTCATTGGGCATTTTGGTGAGAGTGATCCTGAGTATCATGCGCGCATGAATGCTATGGACTGCACCATGAAGGATGGTGACCTGGCTGCTTACAATGCAGAGTTTCTGCATTACAAGGCTCTTTGCATTGAGTCACCTATTGGTGAAGCTGATGCAATCATGATGTATCACCGTGGTTTGTCCAAGGCCCTGCAGAAGGACCTGTACAAAGATACATCCACCAACAAATGGTGGACAAGCCTTGATTCTCTTATAAATAGTGCAAATTTGCAGCACAAGAGTGCTAGCAAGGTTCAGACTGACTCCAAGACAGGCAATTCATCTGCTGTGGCTGGTGAGCAGGGTAACCGGGGTGGTGTGCGTGGCTCTGGCAATGGCCAAGGCCATGGCAAGGGCAAGAAAGGGGGTTGGAACAAGAAACAGGGCAAGAAGAACGGCAACGGCAACAACGGCAATGGCAACGGTGGTGGGGCAGGCAAGGCGCCCGGCATCAACAAAGCCGGCGCCGGTGTCAAGAAGCCTGACTTTGACTGCACCTGCTACAACTGTGACCAGAAGGGCCACAAGTCCTACCAGTGCCCCCACCCCAAGAAGGCCAAAAAGGCGCGTGCCGAGCCTTCCCCTGCTTGTGAGCCTGACACTGAACCGAGCACTTCAGGCAGAGATCTTTTAGCAAGTATGACATATGTGCATGACTGTGAGGTTTCTCCTGCTGTCAAAGATGAGCTGGAATCTTTGGTCGGGCGCAGCTTCACTGCTGCTCCTGACAGCAATCATGTCCACTATTTTCTCTTTGAGCCCTCTGGAGAACTAGGTTCTCAAGTGTCTGCATATTTGCAAAGTAAGCAAAAGAATCCATCTCGCACATCTGCTGTGATTCTTGTCCTCAAGTGGGGAGGTCATGTTCGGCATTTGTTGAAGGGAATGCAGTGCATCAAGGCTTACCCGCGCGGTAGCAAGATTTGCTGTTCAACTGCTGGCACGCTCTTTGGGCTGCCATGGCATGTTGATGCATTCTATGACCCTCCCGCACCTGCGGTACTGGCAAGCACGCGTGCTATGCCCAGTGACATGGAGGTGGCAATTGATCTGGATGATCAAGATGAACCATGGAGTCAGTTGTACTCTGGTTCTGCCGCAGGCTGCCCAGTAAGGATCCTCGCGGATACTGGCAGCTATGTGCAACTCCTCATGGACACTGGCTTCGCGCAGCGTTGTGGCTTGCATGTAACGGCCGCTCCGGCGATGACCATCAAGATGGGAAATGGGACTGAATCATCAGTTGTTGGCACTTGTGTGGCTGATTTGCAAATACAGGGCTACAGAGAGTCCTTGCAATTCCTTGTGACGCCATTGCACAGTGACTTTGATGTGATCTTGGGAAACCACTTTTTACGAAAACGGTTTGTCCAGATGGACCTTGCAGGAAACTTTATGATGCTGAGAAAAGGAAATGTGACTCATGTATTGCACAGCATGGCCTCTAGCGGAAGTGTTGACGCTAGTTATGCAGATGGGGGTGCACAGTATCATGTACCGAGGCCGCAAGGTCCTCTTCTATGCTCTGCAAAGGCAGCATTGAAATATGTCAAGACTAAATGTAGATCTTTCTATGTGGTTGTGTCGCCGGTAGTTGCTGATGATGAATTAGGAGATGATCAGGCTGTGGCTGAGGATCCCATTCCTGCTCGTGTGGATAGTCTCTTAAAAGAATATGGGGATGTTTTTGAAGAGATATCCGGGATGCCTCCTGCTCGTGATCATACTATTTATCACACAATTCCGCTTGAGTCTGGCACACAACCCATATTCAGGCCGATGTATCGCCTGTCACAAGCTGAAATTGCAGAGGTCAAACGGCAGCTTGACGAGCTCTTGCAAAAGGGCTTGATAGAGCCAAGCACTTCCCCATATGGTGCTCCAGTTCTTTTTGTGCAGAAGAAGGATGGCTCTTTGCGGATGTGCATTGACTTCAGGGCGCTCAATAAGCACACCATCAAGAACAGGTACCCGTTGCCCCGCATAGATGATTTGCTGGACAAATTGCGTGGTGCAACTGTCTTTTCATCTCTAGACTTGCAATCCGGGTATCACCAGATTCGCATAAGTGAAGAAGATGTGACGAAGACAGCATTCAGGACACCGTTTGGACACTTCCAATTCAAGGTGCTCTGTTTCGGGTTGACCAATGCACCTGCTACATTCCAACATGCAATGAATCATGCCTTTTCTGACTGTATTGACAACTTTGTCTTGGTCTATCTAGACGACATTCTTGTCTACAGCAAAAATGAAGAAGAACATTTAGAGCATCTTGAGCATGTCTTGAAGGTCCTTCGCCGGAACAAGTACTATGCTAAGATGAAGAAATGTGAATTCTTGAAGGCTGAGCTCCCATTTTTGGGGCATGTTGTGAGCGGGCAGGGTGTGCGCATGGATCCTCGCAAAGTGGAGGCCATCAAGGATTGGCCTGTGCCCACCACTGTCACCCAGGTGAGGTCTTTCCTGGGTTTGGCCAACTTTTTCAGGAAATTCATGCAAGGGTATGCTTCAATAGCTTCTCCTCTGTCAGATTTGACCCGGAAAAATGTCCCTTTTGTTTGGACACCCGAGCGCCAGCGCGCGTTTGACCGGATAAAATCTTGCCTAATTGAGGCTCCCGTCCTTCGATTGCCGGATTTTAACGAGCCATTTGAGGTCATTTGTGATGCCTCGGGGTTTGGCATTGGTGCAATTTTATTGCAAGATGGCCATCTCATTGCTTGTGAATCGGCCAAATTAAAAGGGTCGGAGCTCAATTGGTCTACTACAGAGAAAGAGCTTTATGCTGTGGTCCACGCTATGAGGACATGGCGCTGTTACCTAGAGGGGGCGAAAGGCACAACTCGGATTGTGACCGATCATAAGCCAAATACATCTCTGGAAACGCAGCCCACATTGTCAAGACGGCAAGCTCAGTGGTCTCAGTATTTGCAGCGTTTCCGCCCAATGGAATGGGTGTACAAGAAGGGCTCAACAAATGTTGCGGATCCTTTGAGTAGGCATCCTGCACTTGTGAGTGCCGTTATTGCTGCGAGTACTAGGAGTGCCAAGGGAGCTGTACAGATTGCTGGTCTTGACTCAAGAGAGAAAGGTGCAGTCGAGGGGGCTGAGGCACTCGAGGTGTGGCCAACTCTGCTTGGAGTCAGTGACAAGCCTTCTGCTGTCGAGTTTGAGATGAGAGTGAAGAAAGGGTATGAGGAAGATTCTTGGTTCCAGCAAGCTGAGAACTTGGCTGAGCTGCGGCATGCCAAGGGCTTGTGGTTCAGGGATGAGGCCCTTGTTGTTCCAGATTATGATAGTCTTAGGCTGCAATGCATGCAAGAAGTGCATGATGCGCCGTATAGCGGGCATTTTGGGCAGCTTAAAACTAGGAAGACAGCCCAGCGTCTGTTTTGGTGGCCAAGCATGTTGAAGGACATTACTGAGCACGTGAAGTCTCGTGAAACGTGTCAAGCTATCAAGCCCACAAATCAGAAGTCTGCTGGTAAGTTGCAACCGTTGCAAATACCAGGCAGGCGATGGGAAAGCGTTAGTGTAGACTTCATCATGGGTGTACCGAAGACCAAGAGGGGTCATAATGCGATTGTGGTGTTTGTTGATAGGCTGAGTAAAATGACACATTTCATAGCCGTCAATGACACGATAAGTGCTGAGCAGTTTGCCGGCATCTTTAGGGATGAGATTTGGAAGCACCATGGTCTTGCCAGGGAAATGGTGAGCGATAGGGATCCAAGGTTCACCAGCAAGTTTTGGCGAGATATCTGCAAGATGCTGCATATTAGGCAGGCGATGTCAATAGCTTATCATCCTCAGACTAATGGGCAGACTGAGCGGATGAATAGGGTGCTGGAAGACATGCTGCGTATGTATGTATCTCCAGTTCAGGATAACTGGGATGATTTGCTTGCCTCTGCAGAATTTGCAGTGAACAACGCTTATCAAGAAAGCGTGAGGAATTCCCCTTTCTTTTTGAACCATGGTCAGCATCCTCTCACTCCTTTATCAATGGTCATTGAGGAAGGCCAATCAAAGGTTCCAAGTGCTAAGCACTTCGTAAAGGTATTCAGTCAGTCTATAGGGGAAGCCAAGAAAGCTTTGATTGCCGCTCAAGACAGGCAAAAGGCCTTTGTTGACACCAAGAGGCGACCTGTTGAGTTTAAAGTGGGGCAAGAAGTTTGGCTGTCTAGCAGGAATATACCGCTAAAGACTGCAGGCACCCGGAAGCTGGTACCGCGGTGGCTTGGGCCATTCAAGGTTACTGAACAGCTTGGAGCAGTTGCCTACCGACTGGATATGGTGGCGAGCATGAAGCGTTTGCACAACGTCTTTCATGTCTCTCAGCTGAAAGCATACGTGCCGCCAGCTAACGGTAGAGGCAAGCGCTCCCCTCCTCCTATTGTGCTTGAGGATGGTGATCTAGAATGGGAAGTTGAGGCTATCCTATACCATTCCATACGGAAGCACAAGAAAAGGGGCAAGGTTGTCTATGATTATTTGATAAAGTGGAAAGGTTTTGGCATTGAGCATAACTCGTGGGAACCTGAGGAATGCTTAACCAATTGCAAAGAGCTTTTGCAAGAATATTGGGATGCCCAGGAATATTGCCATTCGCAATAAAGTTACTCACGGAGCTGCGGAGGGTCTTGCTGTCTCAGAGCCTGCAGAGCACCAGTCGGCAGAGCGCATTGCCCCGGATGAGTCTGGTGGAGAGCACGCATCTGCCGGGCAGAGTGCCGCACATCTGAGGCGCAACATTAGGCGCGGCGGGGGCAGGACAAAGCGTCCCGCTGACGCAAGCTCCGGCACACGTTTGTCGCCTAAGCGATCTCGGCAAACTCGGTGATCCTTTTCCACTCTATCCTTCCTAAGCTATTGAACGAGGGCGTTCACAGCAAGTGGGGAGGAATGTAACGGATCTGGCTATACACGTGGGAGCACGTGCCTTAGCAGTGAGATAGGGTTCGATTCCCTAGTCGATGACCCTTTGGGGTAATACAATTAAGGTTGTGTAGTTCTAGGTCTGCGTCTGCCTGCGTGGCAGTGCTCAGGGGATCCTGCGGGGGACCCTGCAGCAGACCGGGGGGACCCTGCGCTGCAGGCCCTTGTTCGAGCTTCCGAGAATAGCTCGGCATATATATATTTATTATACAGCTCTTCCCGACGAACCACAGTGACCCGGCTACCTAAGGATAGGTGGCTAAACCATCGACATCTGGTATTCTCGCTGACAAGGCAAGTGGCTCGCTACAGTGAGGGCTATAAACTTCAAGTTGGCCTAAAGTTTCATTGTATGGGCCAATATGGCCCCGGCTGATGGGGGGCGGTACACATACTGAGCACCAAGCCCACGGTTGATTGGGTCTTGCTTGGATCTAGATCAAATCCAGAGTCTGGCAGTCTAACCGTTAGACTTGTGACAACTTGAAGGGTAGAATTTCACGGTGGCAGCCTTTAATAAACTGCATTTTCCTCTAGGGCTTCAAAGCACCTTGCCTTTTAACAGGAAAAGCGTGTGATAATGACAGTAATAAATCTTTTTATAATGCAAAATTGTTGCCAACAATTGTTACAGTCTAGAATGCTGACTCTCACGGCGTCCAGGTCAGCTACAGGCTGCGTTTTTGGAAGAGGCTGCATTGCAGTGGGTGTGATTAATGGATTGGATGCAATCACATGTATTCAGGCTCTGGTACACCGCATGATTGTGCCCGCGGTACCTTTGCAACGAGGGTCCATTTTGCAGATATTTTGCCCATCTAAAGTGCAACCTGCGCATGCCACAAAACCAGTCGTCAATTCAAGCGGCTGTCAAACACTTCTCACATATAGCACTGTGACTTAATTTAGTACATCCAATGTGTGATAAGCGGTAGTCAATCAATCTCTGCTCCTTGACACAAGCTATCGGCATGTGACTCTTCAAGAGTGAGATCAAGTTCATTATGAAGATCAAAGCATGAGAGTGAGGTCCGTGTACACACCTGGAAAGTGCCATAAGCAGCATTTCTTGGCCAAGTCAAGCTCTTCCTCCGGCGTATTGAAAAGACAATTTGGGGCAAATGAATTCTTATCTTGTCGGGTCGACCATCCCCATGTCCCAATATTTTTGGAGCCATGGCCAATGACATCGGATGACCAACACCTCATTAGCAGTCTAAAGCGCTCTGGGGATTCTTGTTCAAAGTCTGCATCGTGCATGCCTTCCAATGACTTCCAGAACCCCGCAAGGGGCGGAAAAGTCCTGATGGGCATGAAATTTGCCAGCGAAAGTAGTCTCGGATGCGCTTCACTGAAACAGTCGACATATCTATTATAGTCATTCTCTTCTCTTGACCGTTCACACACACTTGCCAAGTCAGGTGCTGCAAAGTCCAACAATGTGGACAACAAATCGCCATTATCCCAATTTCCCCTTGCATGCAATCCTTTGCCTCCCCATAAGCGCACAAAGCAATCCGCAAATGGCGTTGTACGCATCAGAACAGCAGCCGCCGTCACCTCTTGGTTGAGGCGCAACTGCAGAATGACATCCTCTGGCATTGAGGTGTAGGCCTCCAGACTCTTATTGAAATTGAGGAAAATACTATCACCGTCAAGGTGCAACACCCACTTGTGCCGCCGCCACACATCACTGCTGACAAGGTCCAGCCATCTTGCACTAAAGAAGTGAACCAGTTTGCTCGTCTGAGCAATCTGAAGATAAAATCTGTATCCGTGCTTCTCGGCATATTGCTTGATGTTGTCCGTTGTGTGGTCAAGTTCCACGTCCGATGTCCGGTCAGGGGAAACTGAAACAACAATGGCCAGCCCCTCCTTGGATTGGCTGGAGCCTGACTCGCCAATTCTTCTCAAACAGTGTTGCACATCAACAGATGGGTCCAGATTTTGGCCTATCTTGGCATCTGGATGCTCAGCGCGCATGACATGCAAAATATCAGTAAAGTATTGCATTGCCTTCTCCTGGGTGTGCACAGTTTCAATGAAATCACACTGTGTCCCAACGCAATAAGCGGCCTGCACCCACACTCCTTTGCTCACATCTCTACTGCAAATGCTTTTGCTGCACTTTAATGGTTAGCAAACCAGTCACATTTTCATTTAAGCATTTCTTTCCGCAGCTTTGCTTTGGTACGAGCAAAAGCGGTAGTGAACCGCCCAAGTTTGAATTTTGCAAGAAGGATATATGCACAACTCAATTGGACTATTCTGAAGTGCCAGTGCACAGCCTCCTCATTTGTGGATTCGTGGATCCTCATTCGTTTCCTTATGCAATATATTTGGGTCAAACAAATAAGCGTGGCTTCAAAGAGAGACACGCGCCTGGCCATTCAGATTTTGACCAGACCGAGCCAGTCCTGTATCGTCCGTCATTTCTGGTGTACTTTGGGTGCCTTCAACATTTGCCATAATGGTCTGGGCCGGATATACCTATATTCATGGGGAGTTGACACTCAGGCAAATTTGCCTCACACATCAATTGCTATTCATTCAGCAAAGTCGCGTAAAATGTATACGCCTCCTTTAGCCATTCATTTTGAAAAAAGCCACTTACAGCAACACTACAAGTTGCTTTATCTACTTCAACTATCAAGTTGATAAGAGCAAGGTGGGCACTTTCATGATAGGAATACTTACGTGGGACCTGGCAAGCTGATTCTTGTGTGTTTTTGACTTCATTGCGGCCGCACAATGCCACAGGAAAACAGTGGAGAAGCAAGCTCTCCAGAGACCTCCTGGATAGCGCAAGACCTGAGCCATATTTTACACCAGAACCCCTGCACGTTTTCAACTTCATAGTTAAAATTTGAACCAGTCCTTATTCAAATTCTGGATCCCGAGGCTCTCTCATGACAGGTCCTCGTGTTGCAAATAAGTTCTTGGTACAGTTTTCTTTCTGCAAAAACCAGCATTTGGTACACGCCCTCAACTCGGTGTTGTACCTGCCAGGCTGATTTGGTGTGTGTCAACGTCAGTACTCTTTAGTTTTTTTCCAGAAGGTGCATATAGCGGCGTATCAAATATTGAACCCTCTGGGGACTAAAATGATAGTAGTATGATAGTATGGCAACACAAGTCTCACTGAGTCACTGGTATTCATTTTGGCACATTCGTGCTGTTCTCACAGTTGCCTGACTAATTCATCCCAATGGTAGGGGTCTGCCTGCGCCGTGCGCGGCTTTCTTTGGACCGCCTGTCCTGTGCTTCTTCTGTGCTCGTACGTCATAACGCCATAGAAAATAAGATGGCTGGACCAGTTCATGGTAGCGAAAAGCAAAGGAATCCGATGCCAATTCCCATTGTTGGTGTGATAAGAATCAACGAGAGCGTGTTCGATTCCTCAGACGCAAGACGAAAGCGTGGCAAGAGCAAAAACAGACTCAATATTTTCAGAAGGCCCTTACTAAGTTAGTAGCACGACCCCGCAAATCCTCGCACTGTGGATACCTGAAGATGAGGCCTTTGCCACAAGGAGGCGTGCATATAAGTTTGGTAGCAGTTGCAAATGAGGATAGTGTATTGTACGTTTGGAGTATGCCACCCAGACAGGGAGAGTCCACTCCATGTTGGACGTGCACGTGCCCCACGCGTCCCTATCGTCGTTTCTGTGCGAGTTTGATTGCGTGATGATTCCGTGATGACCATGAATACAGTGCCCTCTTGCAATCCACTGGTACAGTCTTTGTCTACCGGGCTTGGCAAATCATAAGCGATACCTGCAGCTCTGAACCTCCCAATTTCAAGTTGAGTTCTCCTCTAAGTGCAGAGTGGCTTCGATTGATATCCCTTCCTGCTTACTCAACTCCTGAAACTTTCCTCAAACCTAAGAGAATGTCAGAATGGGAACGAGCCTGATCGCAAAGCAATAAGCAGCTGTCCACAAAAGTCGCTATATATGAAGATGCACCAAGGGCTGCTTTATAAAGGCACTGATAAACTTACTATTTCCACCTTCAATCCTCTTTGTAGACGAACTTTAATGCCCGACACATTAAAGCACGGATGATGGCAATACTTTCATGTCCTTTATGTCTGGCTTGCAAGGCTGGAAGGAAAGATGCTGCGTGTCAGGTGACCAACCTCGCTCTCGCGTATTTTTGGAGGGCATGCCCATGCAATCATGTATGAATAGGAGCATAGCTGTGACGTGGCATTTCTCTCATCTCAGCTTTCATCACCGCTCGAACTTCCTGCTCTAAGCACCGATTTCTGGTCTCACGGCCTGACCAGGTGTTGTGTGCAGTAACCTGCTGAAAAATGCAGCTGGGGCAAACGGCATAGACTTGTCTCTCTCACATCTCTGCCACTTCCATGCAGGTACGCGATACCAAGTCTGCTTGCAATCCTTGTCTTCCACACCGCCGATGCAGCTCTGAGCAGTGGCAAGAACACAGCAAGGGCAGTGCATGCTGCGGCGGCAGCACAGCACAGCACAGCAAGAGCACGTTTCCCTCACGGCGAACAGCACCACATCTACAGGAAAAATGTTTCTGCAGCGGAGGCTTGGACGCCGTGCCACCCAGACGCCTACCCACCAGGTTGGCATGCGTTGGCCAAGCAAGTGGTTTTCTAGCCGTGGGAAAATCAATGATGCCAGGGCGAGCCCGTTACTTCTTTGGTGTAATTGCCCTGAATACTGTGAAGTGCTCCACTTGCCCAATGATCTCAGGTTGTACAGCTGGCACAGGTGGGGATGTACTTGTAGTTTCATGCATTGGGTGTGTCAATCCAATGATACACCTTCAGGACCAATATGATTAATGGATGCTCGATGCTGGAGCGCCCTGAGCTGCACCAGCCAAATCATGCCTCACACTCGCTCAGAGTGCAGCCAAGTCAGTTTCTGGCAGACATACATGCACAGCCCGGCCAAAAAAGCAGCAGGAAGTGAATGGGTGGTTCATGGCCAGGGGCATGGGTCTCCAGATCAGGCGGCAAACATGGCGCCTCCAGCTTTGGCTCGCACTTGTACGGCACTGCCAAAGCGCAGCGCTTCATTTGGGCTCACCAGCACCCGCGCAACTGCACGGCGGCCAAGTTTCTGCTATACCCGCCCAGTCCCTCCGGCATAGGCTCCATCCTTCATCACATGGGACAGGTCGGTGCCATGCCAGGTCATGCACACATGTCAGTTGTACAATGCATGCTGTGAGAGCGCTGTACTGTTTTAGGCTGTCTGTCGGCTGCGGATGTCTCTGCCACCGGTGAAATCAGGGAGCATATCCACTCTTCGTTGCAAGTGCGCCGCCTCACAGGCTTAAGATGTGCTGCTAAGCAGGCACTGGCGCTGGCAATACAGCTAAATCGAGTGATGGTGGTGGCCTACTCACCTGACTTCCCTTACTACAGCAAGGCCAGGTGACTCAGCAGGGTGACGCTGCACACACCCAAGATCATGTGCCAAATATATGTCGCGAGAGTATCTTCGCTTATAAGCGGCAATTTGAATCTGTGCACGGAACTAATGGCAGTGCTATCTCAGATGCAGTGTGCAATGCAACATGCACCCGCTGCTGACACACGGCTCTTGGAACGCCCAGCAGCGAGCATGCAATACAGTCACAGGGGTGGTCTTGCTGCAGGTGTGGTGTGGAGGTAAGCTTTGAGGCGTGCTACTTTGAGCCGCTGTCCTCATGCTCATGGAGTGACGCCCTCGACGGCGTGGCCCGCCGCAACATGCCCTCGATCAACTCTCCTTCACAGGTGCTCTCCCAGGGTAATCTGATGTTATAACAATGAATAAGATTACAGCCATGCAGGCGGAGTGAGGTATTAGGACGTGTAAATCCTGGGGGGTACGGCGAATCCGGCAAGGTGTTTTCCCCTTTTATTTAGCTCCCTGTTCGATCTCCTGGACAAGACCATTGCGGGAGCGGTTTGTGGTGTGTCCTAAGACCCTATTGGGACCCACGTACAGTGCCGGTGCTCCATGGCCCTCACCAGCATGGATGTTGTTCTCACCACGGACCTCTCATACACTGCGGTCTCCCTATTACTGAGGGGGTTTGATCCGGTTAGCATCGGCACCCCAAGTGGTCCGGGGCGATCATCACTTATATGCGGGGACTGAGATTCCATGATGCAGCTCGGTTGTGATGGCCGGGTGTGATGGCTCCGCTGCAGGTCACGGACAACAACACCAAAACAGTGCAATTTTCTGGAGCGTTCACTGCTCCTGACTACCATTGTCAGGTATTTGCTCTGCCTGTTGGTGCTGCTGCTGCAGCTGCTGCTGATGTTGTAAGTGCTGCTGCTGTTGTTGTTGTAGAAAGTGCTGCTGTCAGAATCTTGATGCAGCCTGTCCACCGTGCCAAACCATGCCCCAAGGGCCTGCAGATGTTTTGCAGCGCACGCTTCCTTGCATTGCCTGGCTTTGAGGAGCAAAAGTAAATGTTGAGACTGCGTCCTGCACCAGCCTAGCTAATGCCCATGCAACCCATGGGTTGATTCAACATTCGTTTCAAAATTAGTACAGACAACACCACTAAGGCTGCAAGGTCCCACCAGAATAGCTGTCGGACCAAGGCACCTGATATGAGCACTCTTTGCCTTAATGTGCCTACGCAGCTGGCGTAAATGCAGGTAATCAAGCTGGCCCCCGGTCCGCCCAAACTCACCTCTTTGTAGGATTAAGGGTTCTATGGTTACCCCATGAATAACAACCCCCCAAAATTCCCTTTTGTTGCCCAGGACGACAGCGTGCCCCCCCAGTTGCATGCACTGCTGAGGGGGGGTCCCATCGACTGGGCCAAGCGGCACTACTGGTGGCGAGCGCAGAGTGTCGCGTACATCGTCCGCCCCAATTCGCGCACCCTTGCTGAGCTGGCGGCGCGCAAACGGCGCATCTACCCTGGGCGCCTGATCAGGCGCAGCACCCTCTCCGTGCATGTCCGCCACGGCGACAAACACACTGAGACGCCGCCTGTACCCGACCAGGCACGCTCTTTCGAGTCTGTAGCCATGCTCTTTGGCTCCTACTATTGTGTGTAGCCAACCCTGGTCCGTAAGAGTATAGGATGCAAAAATGAGATGTACTGCAAAAGTTGATGGAATGCCCGCTGAGTTGTTTCAACCCAAGCTATCTCTTCCTGCGACAAGCCGAAAAAACCCCAAGGGGACCACCAGACAAAGATGCAAGTTTGCAACGAGCCCATCAATAACATGGCAAAGTTGTGGAGTAGCCGTACCATATCTGTCTTGTTGGGTCCCCGGTGCTTGGGTGCCGACTGGGCAAGCCTGAGATTCCCAGGCGTCGCTTGATAACATGCAGCTCACCAAGTGAATTTGGGTGCAAACAGGCCTATCTTGCCCGAGCAAATGAGGCAATCAGCCTGGTATGGCAGCCGCGCAAGACTGGGAAGAAGGGTGACAGCGGTATCAGGCGGCCATCCATCTTCCTAAGTACGGAGGACCCGGCAACGGTGAAAATCTTTACGCGGCAACCCCAGTGGGACGTCAGCTTCACAAATGTGCCGCGCAAGCCGGATGCAAATCGCTCGACGCTGGCCTACGTGGCAGAGATCGGGGGCGACGAAGAAATGCTCAATTCGCTGGTGAACCTCGATTTGGCACTGGAGTGTGACGCCTGGATAGGCACCCTATCGTCCAATTGGTGCCGGCTCATTGACGAGCTCCGCGCGACGGTGCGCTGCAAGGCGCATGGGACGTATCTAGACGCGGAGCAGGAAAATCCGCCGCAGGATTTAAACTGGTGAATCACATGGTGCTGGGCCAACAGCATGCTGTTGCATTTACTCAATGCATGACAGTACTTTTCTCCCAAAAACTGTCCATTATATATCTAGTGACACATCAAGTTGAAAGTTGCGCCATGGACCAAACCATGTGCCACACTCTGGCTTTTGTGCCATGTATCAGCCTGGTACCCAGTACCAGATTGACCTGAGGTGTCAGGTCAATCTGGAAACCAGGGTCCATATATGTTGTGACTTTTGAGGTGAAGGTTGAGGATCACCCTAAATTATTCAGGGTTAGGGTAAGGGATAGGGGTCACGGTCACAGGTTGATCTCTACAGGTCCAACCAAGTTGGTGATGACATTGCCAACGGGGGACATCATGTGATATATCTTATCACCTGTACTTAGATATAGAACCCTTGTAACCCCAAAGGGACTGTGAATCAGGGAGGTCTATATCTAGCATCTGTACCTCTTATGAAAGGAAATGTTGTGACACTCTGAAACCTACAGCGCTGTGTCACTAGGGTAGCTGTAGGTTGAAGAGTAACATTAAGGACTCCTCGGAGGCTTGTAAGCTTACAAGAGGCGGTGCTCAATTTATGATCCAAGTGGAAGTGAACATTTTGCAAATATTTCATTAATGAATCATAATGAATCATTAATGAACCTGATTACGTTGTAATCATTACGATGTGAAGCGCATCCGCTGCAACTGATCATCAATTGATATTGCAAGATGGAGTCTCTGCAATAAATATAAAGTGGGATCACGGATGATCACACAATCATGGTGCCGTATTAATCCCCTTGGGCCGATTCACGGCTACTAAGAACACCCCACAATTTGGCAGGGTATGCCAGGTTTCCAGGGGTCACACAATATACATTAAAACGAGATTGAATGTTCACTCATGTAGAGATCGTCAGGGCTTCAAGGATCATTCCAGTTGGAAGTGAACAAGTGATACCCAGATAGACAGACTTGTGAGCTTGTTCTGATCTCCGTCCATGCTCCGCATGCATAATACTTCGCTGACTGTTATGATTCATCAAGAAGACAATGCCCAAGAACAAATGGCAAAGCATCGCTGAATAGGACACCTGGTAATGGAGGTTTGTAATCAGTATCAGAGGTGGCCGAGGCCCAAAGCGGCTCGCTGGTAACCTTCCGGGTTCTGTCACACTGATGCCGGATCAACAGGGCCACTTGTTTCTCTGCAATTCATTACATAAAAGTTTGAGACACTGTTCTAGCAGCCTTTGGTTGGCAGGCATTCTGGCAATCACAATTCTAAGCTTGGGTAGTTTCAACACCCACAAATCCAACAGGTGAAGGTCATCTCCTGCCGTGCTGCCCTCCTATAAGAGTTGCTTGATCTTGCATTTACAAGTACTGCCGAAAGTTCTGCTACAGGTTCTTTACTTGTTTGAACAGGACTAGCAAGAATGTCATCAACTTAAAGGCTATGAGTATGCCTGCTCTTCGTGATGAGGACAGCACCTTGGTGTTGTACACTTTTTCTGATACTGATCCGGAGTATCTCCACAATCTGGAGTACTTCATTCAGTACGGACTTGGTGGCAAAGATGTTGAATACATCTTCATTGTACAGCAGGTATCCCTGCTTGAAAAGATTACATTTGGTAAAATGAAGACATGGAATTTTTGGGAATTCTTGGTATCTGATTCTGGGCGCCTTTGGTTGCAGACAAGGACTTCAAAATCTTTGAGCTTGCCTGCTCTTCCTGAAAATGCAAGATACATTGAGCATGAAAATGAATGCTACGACTGGGGGACCATAGGATGGGCACTGCAAACAGGAAAAGTAGACCCACAGGGTTACAAATTCTTGATTCTCATGAATTCGTCGGTTCGTGGGCCTTTCCTGCCTTCCTATCATAGCGTACGTTCCATACAATGGTTCACCTGATTTGCAAAATGACCTCAAAGAAAACGAAGTATTTGTAAATATGAAGTTTCTCTAATGTCTTGTACTTCTGTGTGACCATGATCATGGTAGCATGTGAGACAGCGGGGTAGTATAAGGCATGCATGATTTTTTATGCGTGTTTGCAGGCCGATATTCACTGGACTAGATTGTATACGCAACGCATAGATCAGAACGTGAAGCTCGTTGGCAGCACCATAAGTTGTCAGCCTATATACTGGAATTCAGATACTGCAAACGAGATGCGGAGAAACCCACATGTGCAGAGCTACATAGTGGCAATGGATCAGGCAAGTCCTTCTTTTGAAAGATATGTCTCTTGCACAAAATTTGGAGTAAATTCTGAAAACCTTACTGTTCATCCTTTTTATTGACAAGCCCGGGACATTGCAACAGCCTCCTTTGCTGACGAGGCATCATTTGAGCAAACTCTGAATATTTTTCATGCCTATCGTGAAGGTTGGTCTGCACTTACTCCAAAGCGAACGCACGATCTTCCAATGCTATAAAAGATTGCATGATGTTGTTTGGTTCTCTGAAGTCGGGGCGAGCCGAGCCGTTCTCAAAGCAGGATACAGCATTGATGCTCTCATGAATAAGTATACAGGCGTTGATTGGCGCAATGAGACCAACTGGGACTGCAACGCTGGGTGAGTCACTGGAGTTGCATTGGTGACATTAACATTCCAAGATAGTGCTCGGCAGACCAATTGTTGATCAATGTCATGCTGCGGGCGTACGTACCTGACCACCTTCTGGTCGATAATCACCTGTCCAGAAATAGGAGATGACAATCTGATGCAATCGGGTTGATAAGTTCACATGCACGATGACTCTCTTCCACATGATGTTTGACAATGTTCTATCTTAACGCTCAGTGTTGCTCGATGTTTGCTGACCAGGCAAAACCCTTATGACGATTTTGCTTACGATGGCTTGATGATAAACCCCCTTGAAGTCCTCTTTGTGAAGATAAAGAGCTACCAATTAGAGAGCAACTGGATAACCTCGAAGATGGCAATAACATACGAGAGATGGCATCGTGATCAGGTCCTTTTTCTTGCCTCTTATCTGTTATGGACATATACTGTCAGAAACAGCTGTAAACTAATTAGCAATATCAACCTGATTTCTTATTTTATGGTTCCTATGTCTGATCCTAGGAACATTCCACACACATCTGATCATGAAGCACATACTATGTAGTACATCATGATGACTTATAATATCTAAGTAGATATGACTTTTTACCTTTGTCTTTCTGACGGATATATACTGTCAGAGCATAAAGAAACGATTCGGTTAGAGTTGTAAAGCAATGAGAAAAATGCTGGTTGCCTAGACACCGTGTGACACTATTTATGTCACAATATTGAGCACCGGCCCCGGCTGGCGGGGGGCGGTACAAATACTGAACACCGAGCCCACGTTTGATTGGGTCTTGCTTGGATCTGGCGAGTCCAACATGGGTTAGGATTGTCGGAGCCTTTCACTCAGTGACTGCAGCTTGTCTGCAGAAGACACCTTGCCTGTTGGCAGGAAAAGCGTGCAATAATAATAAAATAATTGTGCACTGCAGGGACATCATGCATCCATGAATCTCCATGAGTTCGACAAGGGCAAATTTTCATATTTTTTGAGCAAGGGTATTGCTATGAGCATGAGAGGCAGCGATTGCTTCGATTTGGCATACTACCAAAGAGCAAATACCGACATGCCGACTGTAAATGCTACCTGGCAGCACTTTATATCCTATGGCCAATTTGAAGGCAGGCCTTTCAGGTGAATCAGACTGCATAAGCGTTGATACCTCCAACGTTTATGTTGCGAATTCGCTGAAACCCTTGACATCGTAAAATGAGCATTGATTGCCATTTACAATCAAATGCCGGTTGGCCATAAGCAATTAACGCTGACCTTTCAATTTGCATGCAGGTTCACGTGCGCTGAGGAATACTCTCGACCATCCCCAAATATAATCCAAAAAGCAGCCGAAATTGCTCGGCACTCCATGCACTCCTCCTTTCACTGGCAGTTGCTTGAACAGCATTGAATGCAGTGTCGTCGATGTTAACGCTCAAAGTTGGGGATGATCATAATCACACGCAAGTCGCCCTCGCTTACTAAGGTAGGATGAGAAGCTCTGGAAAGTTGATATCCTCAAAGCATATTTACTAAAGCTAGTATTTACAGTACCGTTGTGTGACACCAGCTGGTGTACTTGCCAAAGTTGAATTATGTAGTTGTATACAGTGCTCCCGGCTGGCGGGGGGCGGTACAAATACTGAACACCGTGCCCACGGTTGATTGGGTCTTGCTTGCCAAGCATCCAAGAATCCAGTGGATTCGGCGAGTCCAACAAAAGGTAGGGTTGTGGGAGCCTTTGACTGCAGCTTGTTTGCAGAACGCACCTTGCCTGTTGGCAGGAAAAGCGTAATAATAACAACAACAACAACAACAACAATATTATTAATAATATTATAATAATACAGTGATCACTCATGAGCAAGGAGACAATAATTGCATCATGCTGTCCATATGTCCACATGTTGTCCATATTTGCATATCATTACGCAAAGGACCAATATCCAGTTTAATCGATTTCATGTTGAGTAATGTGCAATACAACCGTTATGATCAAGTAATTTTATTTTCAGACATGTCATGTCAAATGCAGCAGGGGTGGCGCTTATGTACAACAGCCGCTGAGCGGCAGCATCAGCGGAAAGCGTCCAAGTTGTATTACACCCAGATTTGGGCAGGATCTGAAGTTGAGAAGATCCCTGAAAGTTGTTCTGATTATGTTGCTTTATAGAAGGTTTTTGGTGCGGGATCCCGCATTGCCGGGGTCGCGGGTCCGACCGCGAGTCTTACAATGAGCCCTGCTATAGTACTACTAGCCCAGTGCGTCGTGCACTGTGAGTCAGTGCTTGAGGCTTGCGTCTATTTTAGTCACCAATTTCATTTATCCTCTGTAGACTTAACTTAGGGCTGTATATCCATGAAGAACAACTTCAAGTTGCTACTATTTTGCAGGGTTGTAGTCAATATCATTTTGTAATCATGCATGTCCTACGCATGCTCCAGCCACTGTCAGCGCTGGTTCCTATCCGGGATTAATTCTGCTACTGCACGACAAAGAAGGATATGATGCGTACAATGCCGCATGCGCATAGCTGCAACCTAAGACCAAGTCCTGACAATATATTACAGTATACTGCCAAATTGTAGTCTCTCGCTGTGCATACAGTCACTGTTCTGTGCGAAATGTAGGCATGCTCAGCATGCATGGGCATCATATGATGCTACTAGCATAGTATGTAGCTTAGTACGACGTAGTATGTCCGACAGAGTCTGAGAATGTCACTAATAATGTCTATATTCGACTTGGCTTCACCTCGGCTTCAAGCAATTGCAAGTCGTATTACACCATCATGCAAATGCATTGTCTTGTCTCCCGGGTGCTCTGATGTAATCCCGACCTCTAGACAAATATTTGACGGTCCAACTTCTTGAATGCACTATGATAAATGCCGCACATGCGGCACAAATATGTATTTAGAAGAGACTGTGTGTTGGCCATTGAGCCTTTTTAGTAAAGTTAACAACTTGAAGTTCTTGCCCTGAAAGTTTTACTCTCTGCCACGGGTCTATGCCTTCCTGCCGTCATGGTGCACCACGTGGTTGTTATCAGTGTCGAGGGGATGCATCCCATATGGGAGGTACCTAATTTCTGCCCTACAGTAATTTTACTTTCTGTGTTCCTCTGATGTTACCTTATCAGCGGGTCTTTTGTACTCTTAGATACCCCTAGTGGATTACGTCACGTTACTGTAGATTTTGTTGGAACTCTAATTTGATATTATTTGACCCTAGTAATTACATCTTATAAGCACAATTCTGAGCATTCAAGGCAAAGAGACTGGCAGAGTTGCCATACAGACGCTGAGGACAGGCCTCAGGAAGTCCGACGGGAAAGCAACTCGGCGTCAAATCTTTTCACGGGAACACTTCATAGTGCATTACGCATAAGCAGGATAGACGGATTCAAGCAAATCGACGAAAGTGTCTATTATGGTTGATTTGGCTTGGCATTGCCATGTACGTAGAAACTTTTACAGTCGGTCCACCTCTTTTCAAATACATGCAGTAGAGCCACAATAATGTCGGCAAGGCCTGAAGATGCTTGCCGTCAAATTAGAAGAAAGCAATCACTGCTGGTAAGCGGCAAGATCCAGGACTTTGCTGGGTACAGGCCAATTACGATCTCAGGCCAACATGAAGGAAGCTGGAATAGAACGGGTGAGCACTGAATTTGTCTCCGAAAGAAGGGGGTGGACATGTATCCGCCTTCCTATGACAGCAATAAAAAGACGTTCTTTTCAGAGCTTATTTCACGATGACCTTGACCACCATATAAGCTCTTCTTCAGGTTAGTCATTATATGCAATTCAGTATACTGAATTAACCTGAAGGATCCAAACTAAAGATGGATCGCACTTGGGTGCCATACAGGTGAGTGCAAGAGCTGTGGTACTGGCTGTGGTTGCGCTGACCCTGACAAGTGTGTTCGCTAGCAATGCACGCTCTCACCGCGAGCCCAGGCCCACACAAAATCAGATGTCCACAATTGAAGATAGTAAAGGGAATTGTGGGAACTGGATGCGCGATTACACGCAGTTGCACAAAAGTGTGAGAAGCGGTGCAAAAGGTCCACGGTATCTCATGGTGCAAGCGAAGAACACCAGTGGACTAGCTGATATGTTTGCTTGCATCTCTTCAGCATTCCTCTGCGCCCTTCTCAGCGATCGAGCCCTCATCATTGATGAGTCTGATGAGTCTTCTCGTTTGAGCGTTGCTTACTCTGCCCCAAACATTGACTGGATCCACCAACCTCAAAAATTAGAATCTCTTTCTAGGAAGACAGTGCATGGAATTGGTACGACTGGGCCTCCCGCAGAAGGACCGGACATTGACGTATTCCATTGGGGAAACCTAAGCAGCTTTGGCAGTGAGGAGCTTGTAATATTTGATGATTGCAATGCGGGCCTTATCATGCCGCTTTTTGACAATCCATTTTACAAAGTTCGACTGTATGAACTAGGTTTAACGCCCGAGACTGCTTATGGTTGCATATTTTCGTTTTTGTTTAGATTGAGATCCACAGCTAAGGATACAGTGAAAAAGGAGATAGAGGCAATGGAAGACAGCAGGTACATCAAGATTGGTATCCACATACGCACAAGTGACCCAACGATGGCTAACCAAGAGCTTAGGTGGCCTAGCCACGATGAAGCAGAAAGAGAGTTAGCAAATTATCGACCATATTTCTCGTGTGCTTTGGAAATAGAGGAGAAGATCTCACGTGCAAGTAAGAAGGAAATTCTTTGGTTGGTATTAAGTGATTCTATGTTGCTGCGAAAGAGTGCTGTCGTGTTGCATGGGAAGAAGATATTGACAAAAATTGAAGATGGGAGGCCGCCGCGGCATGTCAGGTCGAGCCAAGGAGGTGGTGGGGCAGACGCCATGAGTCTTAGTGCAGGAGAGCATTGGTTATTTAGCTTGGCAGATTATCATATATTTGGTTTTGGAGGCTTTGGGAAGAGTGCAGCTCTCTCTTCAAACAAGTGGGGTTATTACGAAGTTCACTGGCACAAGGACCCTAGCTGCAAAGCTGTCAGTGTTCGAGAGCTTGCGGATGTACCACCCGGTATTTAGTGTAACAAGTCACCTGCATACGGTATTGCACTATGTTTGCTAAAAACCGCCCGCATAATTGCCTGCCAAATTTTATTTAAATAGCTTTCGACGCATACCGTGCAACGTGCCATCATATCACCTCATGATGACTCATATCGGATATGTGCGGTGCGCCATATGATCATCATGATATGATATCATTATTGATCCGATCATGGCATGCTGAGGCCACTGGCATGGCATGGCATGGCCCAGGCCAATGCCCTGTGCACGGAACCGCTGCCCCGTGTAAACATGTACTGAGTCAATCTATTTTGCAATGGGACTTCCTCCACCTTTTATTATTACATGCTTGTCCTGCCAAGAGCCAAGGTCACCACGGCACCGTGCGGTGCGGCCTGCAGCTTACAGTCAAAAGGCTTAAGCCATAATCATTAATCCTACTCCTTGTTGGACTCCGAGTCGCCAGATCCAAGCAAGACCCAATCAACCGTGGGCACGGTGCTCAGTATTTATATCGCCCCCCGCCAGCCACTGGCAGGACCACCTATACATATATATACTACATACTAGTAGTATGCAAGGACAATATTGATCGAATGTTCATTAGGATATCGTATCCCATCCATGACGAAATGATTGAATTCACTAGAAACGTATACGGAAAGGACTCCCTCGGAGAACTTGGACTCCATGTTTAACATCCCCGGCATCAAGTTGATACCGGGGTTGTTTGCAAAGCGTTTGCATTGCAAATGCATTTTGTCCGATATGATCGGCACCATGATAGATGCCATCTATCATGATGCCGATCAGTGATCAGCATAAATGCAGCGCCGGGCCGGTCAACGTCGGACGTGTCGGACGCGTCGCGGCGCCAGCCTGGCTGCCGGCCCAATGGGCACTACTCTATACATCATGTATAGATGATGTTAAGGTCATATATATGTATCATCATGATACGCCGTATCATCATGATACGACGGCGTCATGGTGACTGCAGTGCGCATAGAGTCACCGTGACGCATTGTCAGCTTGAGGCTGACAACCATGGAGTTCCAATTTGAAATTTAGAATTTTGATCGATCACAACCTTAGAGTCTGTAAGAGACTCTCTTAAAGTGGTACGCTTGGAGCGCACTCCTCACGATGTTATTTTCTACTAGGTAAGCCTTGTAGGCCACTGTTGCGCAAGTCGGCCGTCACACCCTCTAACCCTAACTTTTGAAAGTTGGGAAGGGTTTGAGAATTGGTTGTAGGGTAAATGTGATCAACATAAGCCAGCGGCACATGCTTCCCAACAAGTTCCCCTTCTTGTGACTTCAGACAATCCATACAGGAAGTCCATGGGACCACTTCCCAATCGGCTCAATATCCATCGCGTTGCTGTGATGCTTATAGGATATGTTTGTGAACCGTTCTCAACCACTTCACAAGTGCATGACGCAAATAGGAAGTGGGTACACAGGCAACTTACCTGGTTGGGAACCCTTGGGACCCTCTTGGGATGTTGTTGTGAAAGTGCCAGTTCACCTTGTGGGGGATGCACCGTGTGCGCCGAGAGAGAGGTGGATTGACTGGGAATATTCATTAATGAAGAATCATTCTACAGTACGGTACGGTACCGGTATAACAGCTGCTAGCTGCCAGCTGCCCAGTGGGGCAGCTCATAACATTCTTACTTTGGACCTGTACTCCCAGAGAAGAAACAGCAACTGGGATGTGTGATGGGATGGGACGCCCGTTGACGGAGCAGCTGTCCCTTTCCCGGACATTTTCCCGCCATGGGCGGCTTGAGGCTGACGTAATTCATCGGATCCAAGCAACATCGGCAACCATTAAGTGTTCAGATGTTCAGCTCCACAGTCCCGCCTTGGGCCTTGCCGAACCCTCCCTCTCGACCTGACATTGTCTTTTTCCCCGGCATACCCTCTTCTCTTTCCCCCACTACGCTCGCCTCTTGGTCCCCCGCCCAGCGGAGCTTGCACACCATCATTCTTCTCGAAATCTCCTGTACGACCGATACCTACATCCACGAGCGTGCTGTTCGTAAATGCGAGCAACACGAGCCCTTGCGTCTCCAGCTTTTGGCACGTGGCTGGGGCACCGTTGAGGTCCACCCCCTCATTATCGGTGCCGCCGGCACGCTTCCTACCACCTTCCCTTCTGCACTCGAGCGATGTGGGATCCCCTCCCCATCTCCGCTCCTCACCGCCCTTCTGCGCTCTTTACACTTTTCCGTCATCGAGTCCACCTGCCGGATCCGGGCCAATTTCCATCTTCAGTGCAAACGCCGCCGCCTTGCGCCTCCATCTGCTACTCCTCACCCTCCCTCCATCGCCCAGTTGTCTGCCCTCCTTACCGCGCCCCCCCTTCCTGCGGGCCTTGCCCCTCCCCGCCGTCCCTCCCGGGCCTCCCGCCCCTCTGTCCGGCTTGCCGCTCGGCCCCCTCCCTCGTCTGCCCCCCGTCGGCCCCGCCGCCCTGTGGCACCCCCCGGTGTCCCTCCCCGGTCTTCTGCCCCTTTGCCTTCCGGCCCTTCTATCCCACCCGTGGCTCTGCGCCGGTCCTCTCAGACCCGCCATGCCCCTTGCCCGCCCCTTCCTGGTTCCCTCTCCTTGCCCCCCCATTTCCCTTTTGATGACGGGGGCTAGCCGTTACGGGTGATGTTCCCTGCTCAGCCATTCTGGCTTTGCGCGTATGCATGTTAGGGTCTCCTACGGGGTTCCCTCTAGTGCGTTCTTTCTTTCTTTCTTTCTTTCAGCAAAGAGATCCTTGGATACTGTGCTTGCAAGGCTCACGCTAGCAGTCCTTCAATCTATCCGAGCTGCAACGCTGCGTCGAGTGATCGTCACTCTTCTAAGAAGCCTAAGTTTTTATTGATTCCAGGTCAAAAGATCATGAACCTGCTGTTAACCTTGGTCCATCTTGTTCTGGCCTCCGGGGCATTAGGCCTAAATGTCGAGCTCAGTAGTCATCAGGATCAATCCCACAGCAGAACGGCGCAAACGGAGAATATCTTTTTGGAAGCACGCGATAAAGCAAACAGGGAGCGGAAGGCGCTGCCAGGAACAGTCTTGACCAACGCCGTGACAGATCTCGGGGACTTTCGTCGAATCTGGGACTTCTACACGCCCGACTATAACTGCCCATTCCTAAAAGAGCGAGTGGGCCGCCTTGGGGACGGTGGCAAGTGGGTCTGCGGCCTGCGCTACCTGCTGCAGTCTCGCTCCTGCCTCATCTATAGCCTCGGCAGTGCAGGAGACGCCTCCTTCGAGGAGCAGCTTCTGAGCCAAACCCCCTGCGAAGTGCACACCTTTGACCCCAACCTAAGCGCGGAGACGCAGACTCAGATGCAGGCTAGTCTCCCCAGCCTCAACTTCCATGCAGTTGGACTCGGCCGCAGCAGTGGGCCGCTCAAGTCTCCCAGCGACCGGGGCATGCACAGCTTTCAAGAGGTCATGGCGGCACTCGGCCATTCATGGGTGGATGTGCTCAAAATGGACATTGAGGGCCACGAGTGGGATGTGTTTCTGGACTTCTATGCCCAACCCGATGCGCGCCTGCCGGCCACCCAGCTTCTTGTCGAGTTCCACTGGCCCGGCAGCGCTGACAAGGTCTGGAAGGTAGGGTGCGTCGAGCCTCAATGCTGTGCATCAGACATACCGCAACTTGCTGAATTGGGATTGCGGTTCTGACTTTGCGTGTACACGCACTGGTGGCAGTGAGATACCCCTTGTGACCAACTGCAGGCCATTCTTGAAGTAGTAAGGAGACTACAATTTTATCTGTGTTGAGCAATACGGGGAAAGCATTTATCTTGAGCCTTTTGCTGATTGCTTGCAGGTGTTGGATGTGCTTCTGGCGGACAAGTACCGCATCTTCTCAGTGGAGCCCAATTATTACTGTGAGGATGGCGCGTGTGCGAAGAATCTGCTGGAGTTTTCATTCATTCGGGTGTCAGACAATGGGCATGTGTGTGCGCCGCACAGCCACACCAGTAGTGCAGAGGAAGGTGCCGGCATGACACTGCCACATGGGTGCTGAGTATCTAAACCTGACAAATCTAGTGCTGTGATAGAGTGTGCTGCTGAAATAACCTGAACCTGTCTCCAAGCGTCTGCAGTGTTGAAAGTCAATTGGTTGTCCGGGAGAAAGTATTTTGACAGTTGCTGTTGGGCGTAGCTTTTTGGCTGCAATGTCTACGTTGGAAGGTTTCTTGCACAATGCCAGCAGCTGAAGCAAAGAGTCTTTTTGCATGCAGTGCGTCAGACAACACAGGGCTGGAGTATGTAATCCTGATCCCTGCACCACATCATCACAGTGCACAATATATGAGCTCGTTTCACCACCCCTTGAGTAGCAGTGCACCCATGTGCTCACCTTCAAGGCTGTTACTTCATGCTACGTGCTTTAAGCAGATTCCAAATCGAAGTTCGATTCAACAAAAAAAGGCTGGCATCGCTGGCTTCGTCTCGATGCACTTTAGGTGGCCAATGACAAACCCCTTGTTCTGCATTGAAGGAATACAGGACATCCACGCAGCTTTCACTCACTTGAACATACTACTGCTCAATATTGAGCCCGCAGCTAGGCTAGCATCCTGCCAATGACACCAGATGATTCTAGATTTTGAGGGTGCTCTTTGCGTTGCTCAGAGGAAAGGCCATTATGTTGAAGCACAGATAAAGGAAGGCCTTCACTAGCAACTACAAAATCGACAGGAACTTATGTGCTTCACAATCGCGTAGACTCGCCTTAGCAGCCAAGTGAGCTTGCTCCAGGTTTTACTCGAGAGTGTTGCCATATGCTGTGATAATAATAATATATGCTGTGACCCGGAGTCATTTCCGCACCAAAGCCATAAATGCCAAAGTTATAAAACAAGCATTGCAGCTTGAGATAAAGTAAAGAGTGGCAGTCTGAAATAGCGCGCGCAGGTCCACCCACCGCAGCATAATATCCACGGCCACGCTTGTATATCTGTGAGCAGAATTGCATTAATGGCAACATTGAGAAGGCAGCCTCCAGCCAGGTCAAAATATTTTTTCAGTACCTTAGTACGGTACTAGTACTCCTAGTGGGCAATGCTAGTCCGATTTTGAATCATTGCACTCCCAAATTGTGCTTGATGGTATCAAGAGACAGACTTGCTTGAAGTATGGCATTGTGGCGCATGAAGTATGGCATTGTGACAGAAACAGTTTTCATGGAGGCTCCCGCCTCCAAAAGGCTTGGCATGCATCATGCTCCTTCTAGTTCCCATAGACTACAGTACCCGAAATATAGGCATTTTTTGGGCCAACAGTAGCGGCAGGAGGCACCTCAGCTGAGTGTGATTGTCTGAAGCAATTTCAGAAAATGCTGTGGGCTGAAGATCAACCTGCTGGAAGAGTGGATCAAAAATAGCAGTCGGTTTTGCTGAAAATCAGACCAAGCTGCATTATAGTGATGAATAGATGCTCAACAGAAAATATTTTGATGTGTTAGAAGGCAAATGGGCATTATAGCTTTGAGTGGTTTGCTTCAGCGGTACAGGAATCCTCAAAGAAGTAAAACAGTCGGTTTTGGTGCCCAGGCACATCTGGAATTTATGAGTTCGCGTATGACTGCAGTGGGCAGACAACGGGTCAATTCACATCTGCTTCGATAGGCAGAGTCACTTTCACATTTGTGCAAGCAAGGGCAGTGGCACCTTGATAGTGCCCCTTCGGCCAAGGCAAATTGGCGGCCTCTGAATTGCAGCGCTTGCGGTAAGAAGTGGGCGGCTTCTGTCTTATTGCGTGCGCTGCCCCCGAGGCATATAATGGGCCATATCTGAGCAGAGGCAAGTTCCTTATGCTCATGCTTGCATGCGAGATAACGATCGTACAGTGCCCGGACAACTCGTGACAAGGGCACCGAGTTGCACGTGATGGTGGGACAAGCCATCTGTAAATGCGCAACGACCAGCAGATTAAGGCACTCAGCTGAGTGGACGGCAGGGAAGGAATCTCACGCTCATTGCACCACTATACATCTTGCTTTCCGCCTTTGAGGAGGCTAGAGCTTGTGGCATATCCCCGAGCGAAAGTTGCAGATCTGGGTCAAAGATCTCGACACTTATCGCCACTATGGAGCAGTGTCTGTATTTAACAAGTTGCAGGGAGTCACTGCGCGATAACATTTGATTAGTCTTCTGACAGCTTCTGACGAACCGGTGTAGTCAACCCGCAATGCAACATATCTTAGTTCCGGGTCAGAGCCCTAGCTATATAGCATACGAGATATGTTTTGCGAGGCCGGCCCATTGCAAGAACATGTCCCACTGGTCAATCAACAAAGTTATGCGCAATGCTTGAGCCCTGTCTCGGCCATTGCACGATATACCATTCTACCATTCTTGCTTACACCACAACAGAATAAACGATGACAAAGTCGTGAACAAATCCCTAAGGCTGTGCTCAAAACAGTAGTCAAAGATGCATGCGCACTTTGACCATCTGCAGAGAGAAACCATGAATCCTTCATAAAATGGTCAGTTAGGATTTATGGCTAAGGTACTCTCAGAGTTAAACCGTAATACAGAGACAGAAGGTTGAGATTTTAAAAGTCACGCTGCCATGGACTACACAGTGTCTTCAAGTTGGTGTGCTAGGAAGGGCACCTAGATGTAGTGCTTGTGTGCGCATATGTTCTCACAGCCACTGGCTGGAGGCCCTCCGGGATGGCATGATGACTGCAACAAGTCCAACTCCAGTGTTTGGTTGTAAGTATCCAAGTTCATTCCCGAGACGTGGTTGATCTTGTTGAAAGTTAACCCAAAACATTTTACCACTTGGGTAAATTATATCACAGAAATATGTCACGGTGCAATGTGATCTCTCTTCACTAGGTGTCGTTTGACTTTTCTTTGTATTCAAGCGGTCATGTCAATATATGTTAGGCCTTCGTCATGATTTGTGAGTACATGCAAGAGTTGAAAGAATGAAAAGGACGGCTGACCACCACCTCCTCTAAGCTTCTTCTAGATGAGACGGTGCTCCCAAGAAGCGCAAAGGCATTGCCATCGGGATTTCTCCGTGGGCCTAGGCCTCGTACTAAAACGTGCGTAGGGACCATGCTTGCACAGTAGTCTGAAGGGCTCTACTGTTGTCAGTGATGACAATAACTCTTGTTTTAGTCGGGTGTGATAACGTGCTTTCCAACACTTACTCCGAAATCTTCTGAGTCAAGTCTGTCAGTCAAATCTCTTTTGTAGTGGGGTTTGCGAAATTGTTGCAAAAGCGCAACATCGTTCTGATGTACGTTCCTGGCATATTCCCATATACGCAACCCCTTGTTGCATGGTTGAGGGCGGACCGCAAATGGGCCATACAAGCACCCACACCCAGAAGACCGAGTCGCATTCCTAGAGCATAGCCCCTTGGGGTTTGAAGCCCCGGCCCCGGCTTACATCCCTTGCCTGGTGCTGTCTGAGGCACACAAAAGCCAGCTGAGCACTTGCTCTGCAAAGCCATGGCTAAAAAGCCTTAGCCTCGGCCGGCACAAATACCGATCACTGCGCCCACAGTGACTAGGTCTTGCTTGGATCTGGTGAGTTAGAGCTTAACTCCACTGAATACTATCCACGGGATAGCGAGGGTCGTGATTTGCCGCAAGGTACACGGCTCCGTCAGGCAACGACTTGTTCGGAACCAATACGAGCGCGTCAGGGGTACGACATTTGAATTGGAGTGTTGGCCAGCGGTGCCCGACCGGGGGTTGGATTCCAGGTGTTGAATCATGACGTTTCCTGATGGCATTTGACGGATACCGTATCAGATGCCGTAGTACATCATCTCACCCGCGTTGCTGTTTGAAGGGTCGAAAGAGGTCGCTGTAGCCTTTCAATGCACGATTGACCACCCGAAGGCTTTAAACAGATTTGGTAAATGACGCTGAATGCGTGCTGCACGGGCAGCACGTCCTCAACCCTGGCGATCTGCTCAATGCACCATCTGTTGGCTGCCGTTGGGTGTGCTGCCGAGGTGTCAGGGCCTGAACGGCAAATACCATTTGTTGCATAAGTATTAAAAAGTCACACAATGTCAGGATTGTAATAAGATTCACAGATGATACAACATGGTACCCACAGATCTGCTGATCAAGCCAGATCTGCACACATCATCTGATCACATGCTAATGTTGTCAGGACATTCATTAGTGTACAGTGCCAGTGCACAGGCCGAAGGCAGACAGGCCCTGGCGTCACCAGGGCCTGTCAGACAGGATTGTTTGATGCAAACAAGCCCACCCTGAAAAACAGGTCACTGCTTGCACGCACTACCCAAGGCAGTGCCTCACACATAGCAAATGAAAAAGAAGGCATCCTGCTGGGTCGGGTGTGGCTGGATATTCACAGCCCTGATCACCTTGTCCAGCTCCATAATTTCGAAACGGGGCTGGTGGGCTGCGCTGCCGGGAGCCCTCACTGCCTCCCATTTCAGCCTCATGTAGCCGCCCTCCAGGTGCCGGTCGCTGGCGGTGAAGTCCGCTACATCATACCACCGCACAAAGATGCACTCCCTCGCGCTCTGGAGCGCCTGCCTTCCTGGTATGTAAAGGCCAAGCGGACATTGCCGAACCAGCAGTCAAGGTCCTCGTCCTTTTCCTCGCACCTGCGCAATCATACAAGCACCTGCTCCTTTCAGGGTTGCACATGCTGAACAATCTGAGACAACATCATGGCGCAACATGGCGGCATTCTGTTGATGGCCAAAATGGTCTTGCACTTGTCAAACTAGCATGTATCTTACCCTTTACTGGTTCTACTTCAACACCTGAAACACTGGGACTTGACTTGATCCGCTGTGCCAAAAGTTCAGATGAAGCATTGACCAAGTTGTAGCCCTAGAGAATGCTGCCAGTGCCTACCTGATGGCCACATTGTCGAAGGCTGCACGGCGCTGGGATCCAAAGCAGGGAGATGCCCTGACCACGCCTCCCTCAGAGCTCCCTGTGCTTCTGGTGCGGGACGGCAAAGGTGCTGCGGACGCTGATCTGCATGTGGTGGCACACTACTAGTACTCAGACGCATCCCAGGAACCAAGCACTTTGCATGCAGCGCATATCATGGGACTGCATGACATGGCATACCTCTGGCTGCCAAACGTGTCAAGCGCACACATCAGCTGCAAATTGAAATCAGGAGCTACCGGCCAGAAATGCCACGAGGAGCACTTAGGACACAACACCTCCTGGTTGATTCATTATGACTGTCAACAATGACCTCTAGCGCACCATGCATCCTGGAGTGTTGGGCAGGGTGTCCAGCACGGTTGCATCTGGCTGCTGCATCAAACTCCGGCAGACCTGCAAGGAAAAGACGGAGGCACCGGGGGAAACCGGCGAGCTCCGCCTGCAGCGCATGGCGCTCAACAAAGCGCTGGCGCTGCTCTCCTTTACTTTTCTCGCATAACACATCAATGTGCCGGTCTTCACCATGAGAAGCACCCCACTTTCCAACGCCCAGCATTGCTGCAGGCAGCACTTAATTAATCATTGTTTCAATTGCTCGCATGGACCTGCGTAATCTACCAAAAATGATAAAGGCTGAGAAGCCACCGCCACCGCCGCCCATACACCAGCTGCCGCCGCCAGCTGCCTTCCTTGATGTAATGATACAATATATTCTGCCAACATCTTCTCCATCGAGCCGCTGCAGCCAGCTGGCAAAGCACTCAGCGCTCCCGCTGCAAACAACTGCTCAAAAGCTGCCCAAGCCTCTGAAGACATTGTGATGCACCTTTTCAACCGGCTATCCAAGACAAACAATATTGGCAACTACCAGCAGTCTTTCAGCCACAAGCACTCCAGAAACGTGCAGAGAACAGCAGAGAACATTGGCCGACCACTGCAGTTCCTAGCAAATGGTCAGGGACTCATTGTTGGCAACAAATGCTGCCACCGCTTCCCTGCCAGCCGCCGCTGGCCACCCCAGAATGTTTAGCATATCCTCACTGATTCAGCCGATTGTTAACCCAGCCCAATGCGATACAATAAAGAATTATCTTAAAGGATGAAATATGCAACACCATCGAGATGCCGCATGTTCTGCCTATACGTCTCTTTTTGCCATGTGCATAAGCACGCACCGCACTGCCGCGCTGGGAACGGTCCTCCTTGTTGTCCTCCATCATGCGCACCATATCAGCCTTGCGCAAGTCATCCAGCAGCTGCAGTGCATGCAGCGGAGATCAACCATGTGAGAAGGACACATGAGAGGTTTGTGAAAGATTCTTCACAAACATCCGCATGGCCACCCCCACATCATAGCGAATGCATGACTGCTTTGCTTAGGAGGCCACCAGAAAAATGCTGGCCAAATACTGGCCAAAAAAGCTAGCAATTGGCCATCCATGGTGCTGGGTGCAGGGCAATCTGGGCTTGCCTGGTCGATAGCTGACTCGCTTTGTTTGTTCGTGTGGCGCCAGGCCGCCTTCAGCTCCTTGTGGATTGCTTCCCCGCCGGATGCAGACAAGATGATGGCGCTCCCCAGTCAATAGCCATCTCATCCTTGCGGTTGTGAAAAACCTTAGTTACCGAAAGTTTATCGCTTCTGAGAGCAGCTCCATGGCCAATCCTTCGACAAGGATTTTGAATATGCATCCATCATACAAGACTCTCATCATCGCTTGTGGGTGCAATCCTCCAATGCGCCCCTGAATCCACCCTGGCGCGCCCTGGCGCATCTGCAAGCATATTCTGCAGAGTAATGAAGAGATACAAGACATGCATGATTCTACGTGCCTTCAGCCGTTGTAGGGACTCAGAGTCTGCCGTTTGTACCTTGAAATCCCTTATCTTGAGGTAGTCGAGGTACTTTGCACCGCCCAAACCACATTAATATCATTCGTAGATACTAGCATCTAGAAAATATCTCCTGAAACATCCTGACAGGCACCACTCATCACCATTTGGGCACCTCACCGCAAATCACAGACCCAAGCGTCTTTGCCAGGGGCACTTCAGGGATTGCCAGCAGCGCGGGGGCAGCACTTTGATCAGAGCTCCCAGCTGTTGCTCAAATTGCCATGATGTCAGCAGCTCCTCGCTTGGCAGCCGCACACCAGGGAAGGTTGGGCATGCCAAAATGGCATCGTTGACCAGCTTGCCAAGTGAGCTGGTTGGGGGTGAGGCGGGTCGTGGAAACGATGATGAGGTGCTCGCCATCCTCCTTCTCACTCTGATGGAGCTCGTCAGGGGAGATGAAGCGGTGTGGGTCAGTGTGGTTGAAGCCATCAAGCTATGTCTGCAGCACTTCACCTCATTTCACCTCCCTGGTATGCAAGAAAGTCTACCAGATGGTGGCGCCTGAGCTCTATGCACACTATATCTGCGAGCAAGGTGCTCACCACGTAGGCAGGCTCCTTCGGCGAGGGCTGAACAGCAGCGAGATGGGCAATGGGTGATCCTGAATTTGACAAAGAACACTACATTACTTTTGCAGCGCAATCTGCCATTGCTGGAAATTCGCCCCCAAAATACGTGCTTTACCAGACGGAGCAATGGTCACATTACTCGCTGAAAAAGGCACAAATGTTGGGCTAACAAACGAAGTTATGGAAGCGTGAGGGATTCACGGGAGGCGAAGGTAGTAAAATTTCCTGTCAAGGCCGTGTTAATTCTATTTTAGGTCATATTTGCATCCACTGTTCAGTGATTGCAATTCCACACACAAGACATGTATGCTTGAAAGGGGGCCACTATCAAAATCACATGGTTAATCAAATATTTGAGATTCAACGCGCAATCGAAATCTGGAGTTTTGCCGAATTTCACATTGAACGCTGTATGGGGACAGTTTGAAAGCATCAATACAAATTTTATATGCATAGGGAACATATGTTACCTTTCTTTACTTCGACGTGGTGAGCTACAGACCTATAATACATCCTGCGCCATAAACGATGCCAAAATTGAGTCAACTGGGCCATGATCGTGTTCAAGGTGTACTGTTCCAATGATCAGGATCCAATGGTGAATGCAACGGACAAAGATTTGGACGTTCCATTGTACGGTGGTGTAACGAAGGGGAATTGGCGGCTTGGCTCCAAGGTCTTCAAGAACGGAGAAATTAATGTGACACTGTCATACACACATATATATATGTATGGCATATGCAAGTTATTCAGTCTTCAAGGTACATCTCCTTTTCACCATAGATCACTATTGCTATGACCAGGCCTGACTTAGGTCGGCCCCTTGTGAACAACATTTAGGAAAGGTTTCAGCAAGAAGTTGTCTTTGCAAGACGTTTACTTCTGTGCGGGTACTTTCAGCTAAGATTGAACTTAGTATACTTAGTTTGAGTTGAATTCATTTGCTGAACTTCATCATGCATGATGCAAGGATGTGGTGTGTGGGATTCATCACATGACGTTGACATTTGCTCTTGTTGATGATCTCTCTCTTGATCATTGGCTATCTTGCCAAACCTGTTATTCATTATGATCATATAATGAGTATCATCCATTACACTGCATACTCTTGGTGACTAGTCACATGATGGCGTCAATTGACACACCCAAAAGTATCGATGCCCACCATTCTTGGGTTATTGGTACGCCCAATACTGAAGGGGTGCAGACGGAGGGTGGGCCAATGTGTTATGACCTGCCCAAATTCCAAAAAGATGAACATAGACAGAGAACTTGATTTGAGAATTGACGCAAGGAAGCTATTGCCCTCCCACTCACCATGTGCGTACCACAGTAGTTGTGAAGGTTGAGCATCTGCAGTATTGGATGAATGCTGACGTCCGTGCCCATCATGATGGCCACTCAAGTTCAGGGTGGGTGGCAACACAGACTTATCGCACGCATCTTCCCTTCATGTAGCTACAATATCTACTATTTGAGGACCCCTATATATGCGTGTGACCGCCAGGGGCGTACGGGTGACTAGGGTGTACGGGTTGCCAAATTAGGACATTGCGCCAATCCTGTTTTATTTGTCAAAGCGCGGAGCTGCTCGAGGCAGCTCCGACCTATTATGAATGAGTGATCACCTTCAGTGACTCGAGGAAATCTGGATGACGAATACACGTTTTCTATTATGAATGCATGATGAATGCATGATGTAGTGAGGTTTGTGGCCGCCATATGCAACGGGAGTTTGATGTTTTGGGACTTCGGATCCTTGGGTTGACCTTGGTGATGTTGCACCATGTTACTTTAGCATTCTAAAAGGCAGAGAACCTGTCTCATTACCCATTCAAACCTCTTCCACTGAGCTACCTAAATTAGAAGCCGTACGTGTCACTTCAAGCGTACGCCGTTGTTGGTTTCGGAGACCGTGTTACGACCTCCTGACCTGTGAGGACGACTTGATAATATCACAGCAACACTGCAGCACGACAAGCGCGCAAGCTTCTGGGAATTCTGTGGCGCATCTGGACATTGTGCCAAACATCAAGATTCGGGCCATCTGTGGAGAATACAAACGCCTGCCGAGTGGAGCCTGCCCTGGAGATCCCAGCGGCATTGCTTTCATCTACTGCGCCTGGAGTTTGGACCGGATTCTCGCCCACAGCCGCTCAACCGACCCGACCCATCTCGTTCTGTCGCATCCTCATCTGGCGCCTTACAACACCAGCCGCGTGGACGCTGCTCTGGAACCTCTGCTGTAATAAATCTTCCTTAAGAGCCTAGGACTTGGAATGCATTCGCGTCTACAACCGTTCTGTCGACCGTCAACCGCATCCCGTCATCGGCATCCGTCAGCGCCTCTTCAAAATCAAGCTCGGCTTGCCTCTCCAGCTGGGCAACTGCTGTCTACATCGTCTGTGGAGTGCTGTGGAGGTCGTCGAGGCTACGTCAAGCCGCCTATCTCGCCCAGCAACTCGTCTGCTGCAGCCCGCACTTCTTACGACATTCGTCAGGCGGCGTGCCGCCGTGCAGAAGCTGCAGAACTTCTCGTCTACCGCTCTTCTGCCGCATGATTTTGGACAAGACGACTAGAACAGGTCTTATAGCAGCTGCACCCGCCCGCAATTCAATATAGCGTGTCTTGGTGAACAAAACGACAGCACCACCTTCCGGATGCCAACGCGTGGCAGCGCAATGGAGGATCAAACACCTGCAGACGACAACATCGACATACGTGACTCTATTGCACTCCTCGCCAGCTCTCTTCAGCAACTAACCGCGTTGGCTATGCAAAGCCAAGAGCGTAACGCTGCAGCGCTGACCCAGCTCATTGAGCTACAGCAGCGACCCCAACCAAAGGAGACGTATCCACTGCAATTCACCGGCAAGCATGCTGACAACGCTGTGGAGTGGCTGGGCAAATATGACTACCTTTGCCAATGCAATCTCTGGCTCAGCGACGACCAGAAGCTCCGATCTCTGGGCAAATACCTGAAGGATGCCGCCTGGACTTGGTACAACACTGCTGTGCTGCCGCTTATTGACACTCTCAGTTGGACAGACTTCAAAACGTCCTTCCTTGACCGCTACGGCTTGACGGTCGACCAAGCCCTGCAGCGCGCTTTCACCAGAAACCAGAAGGAGCATGAGGGCGTTACATCCTTTGCAGATGACATCCAGCGACTTCTCCTTCAAGCTGGAACGGAGATCCCTGACAGCCTGTATAAGTTCGCCTTCACCAGAGGACTTCGCACCGACCTTGCTAGTGCGCTGGCCATCACCATGCCTAAGTCTTTCGAGGATGCTCTGCGCAATGCTCTGGATCTGGAGGCTGCTTACAAAACCCTCCGGCCTGCGCACAAGGCGCCCGCCGCATATGAGGCGTTGGAGGTGCTTGTTGAGCTTGAGGCTCCTGCTACTGACGAGCCGTCTCAAGAGCGCATTGAGGAGCCACAAGCCAACCACGTCAACTTCTTGCAAGCAATGCTGCCTCCAAACGAGACTAATACCTTCTACAGCGACAATGATGATGAAGATTTTCTCGAGTGGAACTGGGGCGCTACTAGCGAAGGCGCTGCACCACAAGCTAGTGCTTCAGCGCCGCGACCGCTTGCCAATCTGTATTCCATGCAGCCGACCCTCATCAGTCCAACCTGGCCTCAATCCTACAATTTCACGAGGCTACCAGTCTTCACGATCGTGCCGCCTATCCCTGCGCCGCTGCATCCTGCCTTGTCTGGCCTGAGCCTGCCTGCACTTGAGGATGCGCCGACCGCTTCCCTGCCGCCGCTCTTGGGGGGGGTCATGTTGACCGCCAAATTTCCGCCAGACCCAGGCATACCCCAACACAGCCTCCTCGGGACACTTTGCCTCAGCCGCGATGATCCGCTGCATCACTGCCGCATCGATGTGTCAGTGCCGGCCATCACTGCCGCCATCCTGTCCGCGACTCTACACTTCTGTGTCGCAACTTCTGGGCCTCAATGCACCTGGCAATGCCCGACTGACACACTGCCGCTTGCTCCCGGGTGTTTGTCTTGGAGGGGGTGGCCTCTGTGCCGTATGATTCCACCGCGCCGCCGCCGCCGCCGCCGCCGCCGCCGCCGCCGCCGCCGATACCGCCGCTACCGGCATCAGACCATAGCGCGCCCTGGCGTCAGCTGTTCTTTTGTATCAAGCTGATCAGTCTCGAGGACGTGACTGGCTTTGGAGGGGGTAGGTCACAGCTGTGACCGCCAGGGGCGTACGGGTGACTAGGGTGTACGGGTTGCCAAATTAGGACATTGCGCCAATCCTGTTTTATTTGTCAAAGCGCGGAGCTGCTCGAGGCAGCTCCGACCTATTATGAATGAGTGATCACCTTCGATGACTCGAGGAAATCTGGATGACGAATACACGTTTTCTATTATGAATGCATGATGAATGCATGATGTAGTGAGGTTTGTGGCCGCCATATGCAACGGGAGTTTGATGTTTTGGGACTTCGGATCCTTGGGTTGACCTTGGTGATGTTGCACCATGTTACTTTAGCATTCTAAAAGGCAGAGAACCTGTCTCAGAAGAAGAAGAAGAAGAACGCACGACCTGGGAACCCCGTGGGAGACCCAGCATGCATACGGGCAGAGCCAAAGGAGGCTCTGCAGGGAACATCACTCTGTGAGCTTAGCCCCCGTCATCAAAAGGGAAATGGGAGGACAGGGAGGAGGAGGCAGGAGCGGAGCGCAAGGGGGGCCGGCGGGCGCGAGAGGAGCGCCGGAACCCCGGGCTTGGGGAAGAAGCAGGGGGAGGAGGGGCGGATGTGGGAGGAGCCCGGGGGGGCGTAGCACGGCGGTTTGAGCGACGGTGGGAAGAGGAGGGCTGGCGGGCATCGAGGCGCACAGAGGGTCGAAGGGGACGGGTGGAGCGGCGCAAAGGGGGACGGCCAGCAGGAAGGGGGCCAGGGAGGTGGACGTCAGAAGGGGAAGGAAAACGGCGACGTTTGCACTGGAGATGGAAATTGTTGCGCACGCGGCAGGTGGCTTCAATGATGGAGAGGTGGAGGGAGACCTCGAGCTGGGAAAGGGCACGGGAGGGATGAGGAAGGCCGCAACGGGCGAGAGGTGGACGAAAATGTGAGGGGAGGAGGCCTGCCTTGCCGAGAATGAGGGGGTGGACCTCTACAGTGCCCCAGCCATGGGCAAGAAGCTGGCGACGGAGAGTGTCATGCTGGAGACATTTGGTGACAGTCCGGCTGTGAATGTAGGAGTCGGTGACACAGGAAAATTCAAGGAGGAGAATGGTATGCTGGGCCCGTTGAGCGGGGGTCCATGAGGCGAGCGTGGAGGGGGTGACAGAGGTAGGGATGTCCGGAAAGAAGACAATATCAGGCCGAGACGCAGGGGCGGGCAAGGCCCAAGGGGGTACGGTGGGCGTGCGAGCGGCAGCGTTGGGGAGGTCGCGGTGGCCTTCAGCATCCTGGAAGAGGTAACAGGAGCCAAGCGGGCCTTGGCGAATGGCGGTGGCGATCATGTGGACAGCATCCCCATGGCGGCGGCATATGACATCTTGCATGGAAGGGTGACGACATCCGCCACACTGGTGGGCGAGGGAGCAGTGGTTGGCATCGCAGAGGGGGCAAGCATGTGGGCGGGACGGGTCAGCTGTGGCGGACCGCTTGCAGGGAACGGTGGGGGCAAAACGAAGACGGAGGGCGGTTTTAATATGGGAGAGGCGGAGGCGTTTGGCGCGGCCGTGTGTAAGAAAGATGGCACTAGTATCGGGAAGGATGCCAACGTGTGTGGGGAGAGGTAGGGTGGCAGCCGGGTCAGGGTTGACAGAGGCAGGGCTTTGAGTGAAGAGATTTCGAAGGGTAGGAATGGTGGAACCAGGAGTGGAGTGAAGGAGGGCTAAACTATGTGCAGCTCTAGCGAGTTTGCGAGGGTGAGCGCGCAGATCATCCACATCGCGCGGGGCAGGGGAAGATGGTGGTGCTAGAGTGGTTGGGTATTGAGGCCAGAAAACGCCCCGGCCGTGAGAAGGGGAGGAGTGGTAGGTGTGGGCCGCAGTGTTGGTGTGAGCGGCTTTTGCGAGCGCATCAACGGTGGTGTTGCCAAAGCTACCAGTGTGGCCACGGACTTTATGAATGGCAGACGGCGCTGAGCGGCTATAAAGTGTCTGTGCGATTTCGGAGAGAAGCCAGCGATGTTTGTGGCGAGCGAGGGATTGCGGGTTGGAAAGCATTGTGGAGAGCAAATGGATGGAAGTTTGGCTATCAGTGAGGAGTGTGACTGCCTCGGAAGCAGGGATATCGCGGAAGGCAATGTGTATGGCGGCAAGCTCAGCACGGAGGACCGTGTTGAGGGAGCGGTCATGGTCAGCAAGGCGGAACATCCAGCGACGGTCGCGTGCCGGGTGGAACACCGCAGCAGAGAGGGAAGTACCGACTTTGCTACCGTCGGTGTAGATAAAAGTGTCGGATTGAAAGCGGAGCATGCGTGGTGTGGTAGAGACGGGGAGAGACAAGAGAGGAGGGAGAGGAGGCAAAGGTACATCGAGAACGGGAAGGCGAGCAGCAGCAAAGTTTTGAGGTGCCTGGAATCGAGGCCAAGGACCCTGGAAGGGCGCAAGGGTGGGGGAAAAGGCAAGCATGGGGAGGGCTAGGGGTTGCAAGGAAGCTTGGAGGACAGCACGATAATTAGGGGGAAGGTAAGTGGACAACCCAGAAGAGTTGGCGATAAGGAGAATTTCAACACCGGGTGTGCGTGTGAGGTCAGTGAGGGGCCGATGCCACCAAGTGTGTATGGAAGAAATAGCTGTGTGTTTAGGAAGGTTGAAGGAACATAGGGAGTGGACGGCGGGGTGGCGAAGGAGGCGGCGAAGGCCTGCTTGGGGCGGTAGCTTAGGGAGAATGAGGATGTTGAGGGTGGGAGAATTGACATAGACCGATGAGATGGCCCATCGAAGAGCTTTTGCGATGGCAGAGACGTCATGACAGGGGTGGACGAGGCCCGAGCCAGTCCAGCTATGCGTATAATATCCGGGGATGGCTCCGAAACAAGCATCGCTGGCATGCATGCTAGCATACCGCGGAACAAGAGGGTGGTGCAGAAGAGGGGAAGATAACCATTCGACTTCAGTGTGGAAGGTGGAGACAAGGGCGGTGTGGAGGGATGTGGGCAAGAGGGCGCGGCATGTAAGGGTGTGCTGCGTGTCTACATGGCCGTGCACCCGGGTGTATCGTTGCAAAAGGCTAGCAACCGCGTCCGGAAATGGGATTATGGGCCCGGGGTGTGCGATTGAGAAGTGTCTGTACAAGTTTCGGCAGCAAGGCAGAGAGACGGATTCAATGCAACGACCCGTGGGCGTATAGCTGTAAGCACATGTGTCGGTGATGTAGAGTTCGAAACGATGGGTGGCCACCCATGGGTTGGATGTCAACGTCAGGGTTGATTTCATCAGGGGAGATGGTGATGGGATGGGGGCTGCAGGAGAGGGGGAGTGGTGTCAGGTGCGGGGCAATGTCGATGCCTTGGTTTTCTTGGCGAGGTTCGCGCGCCCATGGCATGGCGGGCATAGGATCGACGGTGTTTCGCAGGTTGCTGGCAAAAGTGGCGGAAATTTTGCCAGGCCAGTATCGCCAAACATATGGAATGCATTCCCAAGAGTCCTGCCATGTGATGGATTGCCAGATGGGTTGTCCCTGTGCATTGCGTTTAGGACTGGTTTGCAGAATTTGTTTGATCTTATAACCAAGATCCAAGGCGGTTTGTACGCGCGAGGAAGGCCATTTGAGGGAGGGGCACCAAGACACAAGATAGCATGGCTGCATGGGGCGATCGGGGGATGAAGGGTCAATGCGCAAGACAGTGTGCAGCTCGTGCCAATAGGGCTTCATTGGAGGGAAGGGAGGCGTAGGCGGGCGAGAAGCAGCGGGCTGGAAAAGCCAAGGGAGTGTACGGGAAGAAGGGGGGAGAGGCGCAGGTGTGACTGATGAAAGAATTTGAGAGAGATGCCTGGGTTGAGAACATGGTGGGGGGGGACAGAGAACGTGAGTGAGAGTATTCAAGGCTGAGCGCTGTGCGATAGTGGCGGTGGGAAAGCGGAGGAGCAGTTGTGCTGAGTCAATGAGAAGATCGTTTTCAGTGACTTGTGATGGGTGATAGATACGGAGAGACCATAAAAGGACGAGAACATGACGTACGGCATCGTCTATGGTATAGAAGTAGTGGTGCGCACGCAAGGCTTCAAAGAAGAGTTGGTGCAAATCGGGAGTGGCGGAATTGACCGCGTGATAGCCACCTGAGCCAACGGAAAGTGACATGTCGCACAAGTTTAAAAGGGAGGCTTTGCGAAGATGCATGGCGGAAGAGTGGGCAAGCCAGGCGGGGGGGGCCGTTTGCAGGGAAGGCGGTGGCATGTTACTACTGGAAGGCATGGTTGTTAGATGGCAGGCGGTTAAGCAGCGGCTCAAGCGGCCAAGGCGGCCCGAGTCGTTAAGGGAGGACGTGAGAGTGTCGGCAGCGACTTGCGCGGCCTCCACAACGATGGACGTGCAGCCAAGGCCTTGGTGCTCCAAGGATAGGAAGCAAGCGGCGGCAGGTGCCATGCTAGGAAGGCCAAAGATTGGTTTCAAGACCCGAGCTCGGGCAGCGTCCAGATCGTGCAATTGTTTGGCAGTGAAAGGGCAGAGCGATAGGACGTGTCGAAGTGCACCGAGGATACATTGCTCTTCAATGAGCTTGGCTTGATGGAAGGTGGCTAGGGAGTCCGCGAGTAGAGCACCTTTAGTTTTGATGAGATCCTGGGAGGCTTGGAATTGTGATTTCCAATCGAGGGAAAGCGTGAACAGGATGCCCAGATATTTGAAAGGCTTGCTGGGGGGAAGATAAGTAATTAGTTGGCCCGAAATAGTAAGAGTGGACAGCTGTTTATGAACAGGGGAAAAGTGAGTTGGGCGGGTTGGTTCAGAACCGTGGAGGATGCATGAAGCAAGGCATTTAGGGGCGGAGATTTCCATGCCAGACCAAGCAGAGAATGCTTCAATCTTGGTGGTTTGGCGTTGCAGCTGTGGCAAGTCGGGGGTGATAATGAGCAAGTCATCTGCGTAGGCGAGGGCATTTGCATAAACCGGAAAGTCTTGGGGAGGCGATGCACATTTGTAGCCGCGATCATTGACCTTGAGCCATCGCAGGAGGGGTTCTAAAAACACCATGAAGAGGAAGGGCGAGAGCGTGTCGCCTTGAATGGTGCCTCTGCGAATGGGGATCGGGGGTGTGGTACCGGCAGAGCAAGTGATGCTGGTGGAGGCGTCAGTGTACAAGCCCTTGACCACATTGATGGCATCTGATGGAAATCCAAGGCGGTCCATGATGTGAAAGAGGCGTGTGTGGTCAATGGCGTTGAAAGCGGATTTGAAGTCAACGGAGAGCATGTAGAGATCTTGGTGGTGGAGTTTGGCGTCCTCAAGGACACATGTGAGGAATTGGAGTTGGCGAGGTGTGTTGCGGTCTTTGCGGAAACCCTCTTGGGCATCGTTGAGGAGGCCATGCTGTTCGGCATACGTTTGCAACATGTTGGTGACGATTTTGCTCCAGAGTTTGTATATCGTGCAGTGGAGGGCAATCGGACGGTAGTTGTCAGGGTTTGTAGGATCTCCCTTTTTATGGAGGAGGATGGTCGTGCTATGTTTCCAAGGCGTTGGGGTGCGGCCAGTATGCCAACAAAGCTGGAAAAACGTGAAGAGCAAATGGTGATGGGAGGAAGGCAAATGCCGTATAAGTTCGTTAGGGATCCTGTCAGAGCCGGTGGCTTTGTTGTTGTCGCATGTTTTTAAGGTGGAGTTGTACAGTGTTTGGGTGAGTTGGGGGGCAAGGGGAGTCTTAGGGCCACGAGAACTGAGTCTGAAAAAATCGGGAGCGTTATGGGCTTCCCATGGGAATGCTGGCGCAGAGGATGTTGGGACTTTGGGTGACATGAGGCATGCCTGCGAGAAGTGAATGCTCTGAAGAATGCTAGGAGGATCAGTGGACAATCCCCTGGTGGTATGATGCAAAGTTGGAATGTCGCTGGGACCAGGAGAGGACGGGCTGGGAGGATGGAAGATTTGTTTGTGTACTTTGCGTGGAGAATTTTGGAGGGCAGCATCAAAGGCTCTTTTTTGTGCTTGTTTCTGAAGAGATACGTGGCGGCGGTTGAGTTCTTTGATCTCGGTTTGTTGTGTATGCAGGAGGGTGCGTAAGAGGGGTAAGTATGTAAAAGTAAGGGATGGGGTAGTGTCCGGAAGGGGAGTGGCGTTGGGGAGATGTGTGCACAGGTGACGGTAGGCGGATGTGCCACGGATGTGGGCGATTGTGGAGGTACCATTGATGACATGTTTTGTCGCATGAATAACTCGCCGCAGCGCCTGGGCATTATGAACGTGGCGGGTGAAGTTGCGTTTGAGTGTGCGTGGGAGGTAAAACATGTTGGGGGTAGGAGATCGCGAGGGAGAGTGCACAGGGGTCATGGGTAGCCTATCGAAAGCAATCTGGAAGGAGTTATCAAGGCAAACAGAGACATCGCGATGCCATTGTTGGAATTCGTCATCAGGTATGGGAGCATCGGGAGAGGTCTGGGCCGCGAGAAGGCGCTCTTGGAGAGCAATAGTGAGGGTGTGGGCTTTCCCGCCATTGGTAGCTTCGCATAGGCGTTGCCACTCGAGGAGGGGTTCTTTGGCAAAAGGACGAATGAATTGAGGAGGGCGGGACTGTAAAGGGGGCGGATTCGGAATGGGGCAGGCAAACAAGGCGGTGTGCGGGACTTGGAGTAGCACAGGCAGGTGATCAGAGCCTTCAGTGTATGGGGAGTGAAGTACCTGAGGTTGGGTGTAGATGATGTGGGAATCGAGAGTACCGGGCGAGCAGAGCCAATCATCAATGCGTGATGTTGAAGGGCATAAGTCCCTGTCTTGAGTGAATGAGTGGGAACGTGGGCCATAGTGATGTTCGAAGGCTGTGTGGAGATTGGCGTCGTGTAATTTTCTACGGTATCGCGTATCAAATGAGCTGGTTGTGGCGCGAGCGGGTCCGCGATCGGAGTCAAACAAGGTGGCATTAAAGTCACCACCAATGAGGACATTATCTCCAGCAGTGGTAAAGCCATCAGGTGTTAAATTATTAATGTACTCAAAGATAGATTCCTGGACGTCAAGACGGAGATCATGCGCAATGTCTTGGTACACGCCAATGATATGGAGAGGTTTGGATTTTGGGAGACTGAGATGAATATGGACTAGGTACCCTTGGAGATGGGTCGGGGTTTGATGTACCGTAAGTACATGGGATTGGTTAAAGCTGTGGTGCAAAGCAAGGAGGACTCCTGCTTTAGCTGAGCCAGAAACGGATGGGAATGAGCTAAATATGGGGGTATAGCCAGGCATGCTATCTCGGAGCCATGATCGCTGGTGTTGGCACGGGCGCAGCTTGGTTTCTGTGAGAATGCAAACTGCAGGACATGTCTGTTGCAAAATGGGCTGGAGGTGTGAAAGCCGAGACTGGATTCCCCGGACATTCCAAGTGAGGAATGTGAGAGGGGGTGATGTGGAAACGTGCAAAGTGTCGGCAAGATTTAGAGGGCAGGGAAGGAGGGGACCCGTCATAGCAGATGTGGTCTCTTCAAGTTCAGTCATGAGAAGTGTATACCGCTGAGCAAAGGAGAGGACACTGGGCATATGATCTTCACATGGAGAGGAGATGTAAGTCTCTAGGATATCACAAAATGTTGGCGTGCCACATGTCTGCATCACTTGATAGAAGGCAAAGCCTGTGTTGCAGGGTGGGGTGCTAGCGGTGTGGGTGGTGAGAGCACAGAGAGTGGGGTATCGGCTTTGGAGGAGTGCAATGAGGACATGTCCCTCTCCGGGAGAAATGTGGATACTAGAATTCATGTGCATCGTTTGTGTTTGATGGGGGGTGTAGAACGGAGGTGACGCAAGGAGTGGCAAGGTAAGTGGGGTCTGGGGTACAGGTGCACAACAACAAAGCTTGCAAGCAGTGCTGTAATGAGCAGGCCGCAACAGGAGCACATGCGATTGTACGCAACGGGAAGAGGCACGCCTGAGCATCATGGCTGCCAACGCTGGTAGGGTACCTGGCAGGCAGACACGATGTTGCAGGTCTGAGTGGGTTGTTACAATACAATAGTGCAAGCAAGCCTGTATACGAAATGTAATATTGGCAAATACGAGCAAAAATTACGGCTTGTAGACGCATGGGAGAAAGGCAAGCCTGACTGGAATCATCGCTGGGGCAGTAGCATCGTGTTGGCAGGTACAATCCTGCAAGGGACTTCGGAATGGTACAGAGGCAATCAGTTGCATCCGAGTTAGTTGGAAGGCAATATCGATTTAAAATAGAGTCAGACGCGAAGGTAAAAGCGGTCTGGCACACTGGGAAGTCCTCAGCGAGAGGATAAGGTTGGGAGTAAACAGGCCAGGGTGTCTGGCACCCACGCACTAAAGGCCTGCAGCGGGCATACGGATCAGCTGTATAGCTGATCTGAGCGCCGGACCTGCAGACCACCCTTCGCAGGTGTGTGTGGGCCCATTGGCCGAAGTTTTCTGTGAAAGTACAAAACAGGGTGAGGGCTACCGCCCAGGCGAAGGGGCCATACCTTGCCACGCTAATTTCTTTTCTCCAATCAGTTCAAAAGTCCTAATACTTATTGCTAGGAATCTCATGTGGTCTCAACAGCCAAACAGCTGTCTCATTACCCATTGAAACCTCTTCCACTGAGCTACCTAAATTAGAAGCCGTACGTGTCACTTCAAGCGTACGCCGTTGTAGGTCACATGCGGGTGGGTCCTCAGGGTCCGCAGGGTTTTCCTAGGGAAGGGTCCTCAAGCCGCTATATGTGCCCGTGAATGTGGCTGTAATCAAATCCACTTTCTGGCGGGATCCCGCACCGTTTCCCAGTCTTGTCCGGGCTACCGTGATAGTAGGTGATGCTTGGCTTGTCTCCTGGAGCTTCAGCCGTGGACGCACATGTATGGCCCCGAAACGAACCCGACAACCTGCACAGGTGTGATGCGAGATCAGAAGCCCCGCCTGCCCCGCCTTGAGCCCAAGCACGGATGCCCAAGCACGGATGCCAGCGCGTAACCTAGTGCTAGCGCATGAATGTGTGATCGAGTATGCTGGTTGGTTGGAATTTCGTGAGGGCTGAACCTGATCATGGGGTGTCTGAACACTTGCTGTGCGGTATGCAGGCTGATAACTTATTAGAATCTCTTGTGAGTTTGAGAAGGGCAGCAAGTGGATTAGAACCGGTAGGCAGGTTACTCCGGAGCCAGGCGTTGGCAACCCGAAACCATTTAAGAAGTCCTGATGTTGTGCCTCATGCAGTCGGCGCAGTGTCTGCCGAAACTGGTGAGCTCCGCATTTTGCTTGCTGATATGTCAGTTAAACCAGATTCCAAACATTGCTTTTAGTAATTGCTTTCAGTTATCAACTGTTTCGGTTCGTTGGCATTGGTCTGCAGGTCTTGCAGCGGGTGAGCAATCAACGAGTGAAACAGCGCAGTCAGAAGTACCGAACAGTTCCGATGAGCAGCCCATCCCTCGTGGAAGGCGAAAAGTGGCTGCTGCAGCTGCTCCGTCCTCCGAATCCGACCTTGAGCAGGAGTCAGATCCAGAGTCGGGTTTGGCAGATGATAGTGATTCAGGGGCAGAGTCAGAGCCAGACGCTGCTGCACGACCAGCAAAGAGGCCCAAAAAGAGGCCCAAGAAGTCTACTGCACGGTGAGGTGGTTTTCTGAGCGCAGAGAAAGAGAAAGGGTGTTCAGATCACGGGTTCAACCATCTGGTGCTTGGGAGTCTTGCAGCAGTGATGTTTTTTGCTGCTTGTGAGTGCAGGCTGTCCGCCAGTGAATTGCAACAGATTGGCCAGGAGAGGCGAGCTTCTGGCAGGGAGAATACAATCAAGAAATATGACAGCATTATCAAGAGATTTGAGGTGAAGCACTGTCTCATCTCGATTCAATTTGTTGGAGCCCTGGCCTGCACTGGTCATGGATCTCAGAATAAATGCATTGCTTTTTGCAGTGGTTTTTACTCCACAATGAGGAGGGCAGGAAGCGTGCTCAGCCCTATGATGGCAACATGGTGCGGGCGGGTGTGGATGTGGCGGTGCGCTTCCTTCACTGGGTCGGCAAGAATTGGCCAGGGTTGGACTGGCCACAGAAGGCCTCCGAGCTGGTAATCTCAATTGCCTCTATCGCACTCTCTGTGAAGTTGCCTTTCTTTTGTCCACACAGGAAACCTCTGAGAACGGCAGGTGTGTTGTGGCTCACAGAGGCTTAAAGTCCTGGAAGGGGCCCACAGCGCCTTGCAGAGCAGAT